AACAAAGCCATACAGTTATACCCAGTTACCTAAACAAACTATTTTTATAATTTTATCTACTACTTTATCCCAAATGTACCTCACTTTATCCTCCCCAACCATTCCAACTAAAAATGTGTCGAAAAACTTGGAGTTTGTCAGATTTATAAGCCCCCCTACATCCCCACGTCTTACTTCATAACTCCGCTAATCAAAGTAAAAAAAGCGAAAATCTGGCGCGTTATACAACTTTCTCTTCGTCCTACTTTGTCGTATGTTCTGACTATGACATGTATGTCCGTTAGTTGGTGGTGTCTATCATGTACTCGGCTCTTCGTATGTCTATGACATACTTGTCTCTGGATATGGTTATGGACATTTTGGTCTATACCAGTCTCTTGCTATGTCTATGAGATGCATGCCTCTGGCTATGTATATAGACATGCTTGTCTCTTCGTATGTCTATGTAATTACTGTCTATGCTTCTATCTATGTTTACTTCCTTGCTCTGTCTATTACTCTTGCTATTACTATGCCTTTCTCATCGAATCTCATCGTATCTTCTAGCTATAATCTCTTTACATCTTGTAGTATCTGTCGAGCCAAACTTTAGTCTTTACTATGTCTTTCTCATCGTATCTTCTCTCTACAAGCCAAGCTCTAGCCTTTACTACCCCTTTCTCATCATATCTTTCCTCTACAACCCTTCCAAACCATGCCATTTCTTTACAAACCCACACTCTTAAACTTATTATGCTTGCCTCGACGTATCTCTCCGCCTTACTGCCTCTCACCCTCTCCCGCCTCACTATAAACAACCGGCTGTCAGTGGCCAGAAAAGGAAAAGAAAAGCCTCCGGCGCCTTTTTTCGGCCTCCCCCTTCCCAACTTCCAATGTCCTAAATAGGCGGCCGAAGGGAAAAGATTTTCTCTTCTTTATATTATGTCATTCAGATTAAGAGGGAGGACGTTACTCGGTAATCTTCAAAGTAAAAGTATAATAGTACATAAGACACGACAAACAAAAGAAAATGTGTTTAAAATACCTGCCCTAGCTAAATTTTGTTTTTACCCTACCCAACCCTACCCTACCCTACCCTACTTACCCTACCCGGCCCTACCTTACCCTATCCTGCCCTACCATACCCTACCCTATCCTGTCCTGCTGTTTTGTCTTGTCCTGCTCTACCCTGCTTTTTTATTAGTTTTTTACCCCGCCCTCTCCTCCCCACCACTGCAAAAAAAAAAATGCTACTCGCGGGTCTCACCACGAAAACCCGAGTTGTTTTTAAAATCAAGCAAAACTATACATTCTGACAACGCCCTTGTTCTAGCAGTAAACCACCATCCCTCGCCTACATTACCTTGCCCTACCTTTTACTTATTTTTCCATCCCCCCCCCCTCTTTAAATTATGTCTTTTCTTGGGTCTCAACACGAAAACCTAAATTTAAAAATCCAGCAAAAACCCGAGATTTTCACAACTGCAATTTTAAACATAAAAGATTATAAAATCTAGTTCAACATCCACTAGCTCACCATAGCCAGTTAATTTTGAGAAATATTATACTTGAAGACATCTGCCAGCCGGTGGAAAAACATAAAACCAGTCATTATTCTCTAAATTACAAATTACCCCACCTAAAGGCTTAATTGGTGGTGTTAAGAAAGGAAGAAAACCGCAAAATTACGTGCTAAACATTATTTTAGGTAATTAAAGTGTACTATTAGGGTTAGTAGACCTTATTTTAGACCTAAAACAACGTACTCTATTAAGCAAAAAAGTCTTGTTGCTTATGATCCTTAAAAGCTATATAAAAATGCGACAAGACTTTTTTAATAACATATTTCTTAAAAAATCTAAAATAAAGCTTTAAAAAAAGTCTTGTCGCCAATTAACATTAAGCTACATAGCGAAAAACGACAAAAATTTTTTTGCCATTTTAATATAAACCCAAAGCTTATAAAACAAACTATAGTGCTTATATACAAACTAAGGCTTTATATTGTACTTGTATCTGTCAAATTATGAAGTATGTCCTTATAATAAACAAGCACTTTTGCCTTATTTAGCCCGACATGGTATGACATTACCTGTTACCTACAAAATGCCATTTTTAATAATAATATACTTGAGTACAAGTTCAAAAATACTAAAAAGGACTTGTTAATTAACGTACTTTTGAAAATATTTGTTTTTGACTTTAAAAATAGCTAAAAAAAGTCTTGGCGTTATTTTATAAAGATTCGAACGATCAAAAACGACAAAACTTTTTTAAACCTCTAATATGACAATATGTAATCTTAAACTTGACGCCATTTTTAAGCGTATATCAATAATTTACTAAAAAAATAAAAAAATATTATTCTTACAAAACATATCGCATTAAAAATGACATTAGAATCAAAATTAGAAGCCATAAAAGAAGTCTTGTCGCTAATTTTCATTAATTTAAGATGTCAAAAACGACAAAACTTTTTAAAACAAATAAACTTATAAAAATGACATGACAAACAATAATATAGGAGATCAAAAAAGTTTTATCATTGATTTATAAAGATTTAAACGATGAAAAACAACAAGATTTTTTAATTTTCTCTGCTTCAGTATTAGGTTGTTCAAATAATTATGTGCCCCTCTCAAAGAAAATTTTTAGTGTTAAGAGGCTCAGAATTATTTGGACAGTCTACTAAAGTCTCAAAACAATGTTTTTATCTCTCTACCCTACCCTAGTTTACCTTATCCTACCCTACCCTATTCTTCCTTACATTGTCTACCCCACTCTATCCAACCCTGCATTGTAGTATTAATTTGTTTAAATAGTTCTGCGCCCCTTTTCAAAGCACATTTTTTGGAGTTTAAGAGCTCAGAATTATTTGAACAACCAAATAAATTTAAGTTTTTAAAAAATGTCATTTTTAAATCAACTTAAAATATATATTGTGGTAAGTTTGAACCTGCATTACTAATGAAAACCCGAATCTCAATAGCAAAAACAAAATCTTGTATTCATTTATCTAAACTACGAACACCAACTTCCTCCGACACGCATTGTTCGACCGGAAATTTCGAATCCTTAAAACTCAAACAAAGACTTTACAACAAGAAAGGAACACATTCACAAGTTGTGGTCTAGCCTTTCTCTATGAATATTTCAATTCATTCATAACAAACATGTTAGACAAGACTAAGAATGCCTCAGAAGCTTAATACAACGTTAAATGTAAAAAAAAGTTTACCCTATTCTACCCTATCCTACCCTACTCTACCCTACCCTACCCTACCCTACCCTACCCTACCCTACCCTACCCTACCCTACCCTACCCTACCCTACCCTACCCTACCCTACCCTACCCTACCCTACCCTACCCTACCCTACCCTACCCTACCCTGCTCTACCCTACTCTACCTTACCCTGCCCTACCCTGCTCTACCCTACTCTACCTTACCCTGCCCTCCGCTGCCCCTACCTTTAGCTCTAGCCCTAGTCCTGACCCTGGTACTGGCAAGCCCAGCCTTATTACTTTTAGCCCTAACCCTAGCCTACATTGCTATGTTCTAGCCCAAGCCCTAGCCTGGCTTACTCTCCCATAACCTACTCTACCCTGCCATGTATCAAAATTCCTTCCAAAAACATAACCCAATGTAAGGCCCAACATATTTCCCCAATCCAAAAACACCACGCTTATTTACCCCTCCCCCTCCCCCCCCTACCGGAACCGGTAGTGATCGAATTGCAACCACTAAAATTACACCTAAGCGAGTCCTGGAAATCGGTTTTTGATTCATGGATAATATAACGACAGGTGCCCCCTAAGATAAGCTGACAAAAGAAGAGCCGTCATTCTCATCAACCCCCCCCTTGGGCCACTCTTTTGTTCTAGGTCTATAATAATGTGTGAGAACCAAAAATAACACTGAATAGCACTCTCTTGAGCTATAATTTTTAATTTGGGTGGGTATGAGCAATATTGATACTAATAGAAAGAGGGTAGTGTAGAATGAGATAGAAAGCTAGAGTAGAATAAGATAGAATAAAGTAAGGTACGGTAGGGTAGGGTAAGGTAGGGTAGGGTAAGGTAGGGTAGTATAAGGTAGGGTAGGGTAGGGTAGGATAGGGTAGGGTAGGGTAGGGTAGGGTAGGGTAGGGTAGGGTAGGGTAGGGTAGGGTAGGGTAGAGTAGGGTAGGGATTGTAAGATAGGGTAGAGTAAGATAAAGCAGGGTAGGGTAAGGTAGGGTAGATAAAGATAAGGCAAGGTAAAGCATACAGATAATGAGAATAGTAAAAGAAGTGTCATATCTTAAGAAATAGATAAAGCATACCTTAGAGTTAGTAAAAGACTTTGGCAATGTAACATCTGTAGCTACTATGACTACAATTGTGTTATACGTAAAAAGCAGGTAGAAACAGAAGACAACTTGTGACGACACTTAACTATCTCTCCAAGTGGTGCTTGAAAGTATTGTTCTGATGATTATAATTAATTGTAAAGTGCTTATAAACACAAATTCGGTCCAATTTACTATTAGTTAAATCTCAAAAAGTTTTGTCGTTTTTGGCCAATCAAATACATATAAATTGACAACAAAACTTTTTCACACCATTCTAAGACAATGTTTTTGGCTTATAAATTATACATGGCATTATATTAGGCTGATAGTACAGTTTAATACTGTTTTAGAGTTAAGTTTCATTATAAACTCATTTTAGGCTTAAACTCTCCTATATTTTATATTCCCTTAGGCTTAAATCTTCCATTTTCTCCTACCTTAGACTTAAACCATCTATTCTTATTTTACTTTAGACTTAAAACTTCATTTCATATCCTTTTAAACATAAGAACTCAATTTTATACAATTTTAAGCCTAAAATCCAATTTAGGCTTAAAATTAAATAATTTAAGCCTAACCTCCCCTAAAATCCAAAAAAAACAAAATAAACTATTTACCAAAACAAAAACACTTAACATGGACAATATATAACAGCTGAGATTTCCTTGTAGCGATTCCTGATTCCCGTCTCACGCAAAGTCGAACATCGGATTGGCATAGGCCATGGACTTGACGTTGGGGTGGGGAGCGGCGTCGAACGATGTGAACTGAGGCTTTAGGTTGTTACCAGTAATCGTGATGTACGCTCCCTTGTTGCCCATCGTGTCACAGTACTGAAATTTTACAAAATTAAATTTTTTATTAATTTTAAAAAAATTTTTTTTAAATTAAAAAAATATCAAAAACGCATTTTTATTACCTAAAACATAAAAAATCTTCACTTTTGTTACCTAAAATTTAAAAAATTCGACAATTATGTCGTTTATTTCTATTGTTTAGGCTTTTTAGCTCAAGAAACATTAATTTAGATTTTTTCTTTTTTCATACTACACTTACATTTGGAGCACTGAAGATAGTGTAGCACTTTCCATCGTGATGCTCTTCATATCCTTCTGGTTTCACTTCGTGTGATCTGAAGTTAAATTTTAACATTATTTTCCAAAAATTTTGTAAAAATCATATTTTAGGTAACAAAATCAAAAATTTTTTTAAAACCCATGCCCTACCTCACAACATAGGCCAAATCATTTAGTTTCAAGAACTTCTCAGTGACATCTGGGCCAAATTGAAGACCCACGCCTCGCTTCGACGGGTATCGACCGGGCGATGGCTGTGGATCCGCCCACAACAAGTCTGTCATAATACCCTCATCTGGTGGTTGTCGAACGCGGTTCACCTTCTGAATCTGGTCAATCGTCACACCGTCCTTCGAGAATAGTCCACCGTGACATACCTGAAATGACATTTAATATAGACCTATTTGAAATTCTTATCAAATATAAAAAAGATTGGCATTCCATTAAAATACCAACTTACAAAGATTTTCTTGTTGATCAGATGGCACAACGGTAGGTAATTGAAGATTTCCGAGAAGAACTCGGCCATACGTTGATTAAATTTGGCCTTGATCTCGCCTTCAAACCCGTACATCTTATTCATTGTGTCACTTTCATGGTTGCCTCGAGATAAATGGAAGTGTTCTGGATATAGTAGTTTGTATCCAAACAAGGTGAATATCGTTTCGGCCGAAAAGGAGCCTCTATCAACAAAGTCTCCATTAAACAGCTAAAAAACGGTAATGTTATTGACTAGATAAGCTATATTATCATCTAAATGAGCTGGTTTAGCTATATTATCGTCAAAATAAGCTGATTAAGCTATAATCAAAACCTTTTTCCTAACGTAATATTCAAAATACTAACATTCCCAGCGACTTTCCATTACAATACACCTTTTAAAACCTGTCCTTTCAACAACTTACATAAGGATTCGTCTCGGAAGGCCTGCCATTAAGCTCAAAAATGTTACAAAGATCATAAAATTGGCCGTGAACATCACCACAAATCGTAAACTTTTGTTTCGCTGGCACTGTCACTTCTCTTAAAGTCGGGTAATTACCAAATAACTCTCGTATTTTCAATAGAATCTGTAAAAATATTAATTACTAAATATATATGTGGTTAAACTGATACGTTAAGTAATAAAACAACATTCTAGACTTTAAATAAACAGCTTTTCCATCACATTCGTAAAAGAAAACATAAAATTATATTTATCAATCAAATTCAAGTTGAAAAATGTCTAAAAACCGACAAAAATTTGAAAAACCTTACTTTATACGCGTATTTCATGTGTAGTTTGCCTTGTTTTTTAAAATTATCGACCAGTTCATCCATGAATTCCTTTGTAATATCACCATCCAATCGTGGACCCGTGTAACTGTCTTCTACTGCTGTAAAAAGTAATATAATAAAGCTTGTCTTCAAGTTTGTAAAAAATTATATTGTTTTAGGTTTTTTATCAAAAAATAAGCTAAAATTAAAAAAGAGAATTTTAAAAACAAAACTTGTTCTAAGTTACATTAATTCAGTGTTTAGCAAAACAATGCAATTAACAGTCGTAACTCCTCCAAAATATTATATTATACTTGCCACTAAAAACCAAGCAAAAAAGAAAAAAACTCACGATAAGCTTCAAGACTAATTGACTCCGCAATACTCTTAGGCTCATCCACAGCAATAGCCTTCTCAAAAGCTATCCGTTTCACGATCTTGTTCACTTCCTCATACTTCTTTTGGACATCTTTATCGTTCGGACAGGCTTTTCGGACCTTATCATAGTCAGTCAGAGCTTTTTTGTACTTTCCAAGTGCTAAGTTAGCTGAAGCACGTCGGAAATACGCTTTGACAAACGATGGTTTCAATTCCAAAGCTTTATCCGCATCAGCCAACGCTAATCCAAACAATTCCTTCTTGATGTAGGCGAAGCTGCGATTGCTGTAGAAGATCGGATCGGCTTCATCCAATTCGATAGCTTTGCTGTATAATTCAATCGCAGAATCATAATGTTGCTCTAAACCCAAAGTATAGATACTTTTTATGGTTTACTTTACACTTTTGAACCACAAAAACCTGTTTTACACATAAAACTTACCTTTAAAATGTTTGTTTGCCTCGTTCTTGAACTCCTGAGCCAACTTCTTTGGATCTTCGCCTTCAGAAATCTGACAATTCTGAAGGACTTCACTCATCACATCCGCACCCATTGACACACCTCCCACAGCTATGCACAAAGCCCACTAATTCACGCAGCCAAGCTTGTCGAATTATATTTTCCTACATCAATAATGGAAAAGGCGAAGCGCCACAATTGACTGACGAAATATATAATTTGAGAAAAATGTTGAAGATTTTTGTAAAAAATGGAGCATTCTGAAGGCCTAGAAGGAGTAAAAGAGATTGAAAAAGGTTTTAAAGAGTCGTGGAAGACAAGCTGTTGTCCAGAACACGAGATATTTATCAAAGACTTTGTTTTAAACAGATTGACAGCGCTTTATCCGGATGAAGTCAACGATACCTATCTTCATTGTCTTAAAAGATGCTTGTATCTTTTACAGTAAGTTGTGTTCTTCTATTATTTTATTTTAAATTTAGAGTTTGTGGTGTTGGATTGAGTTTGGACGAGAATAAAAGAGTTCGCGATATTATTCATGGTCTTGTCGCTCATCGCAATGATTACATCTCACATTGTGGAATAGAATGTCTGGAAGCTTATTTAGAAGGTCATGCTAAGACTTGTCAAGCTTGTGGGGGTGTAGATTGTTTAATTTTAAAGGATGTTCAAGTTAAATTCAGTCGAAATGATTTTCGGGAAAAGCTTTGTGGACGAATTATGGTAAATTTGCGAAACTTTGTTATTATATTAGCCTTTAGGTATTGTTATGCACATGGTCGAATGAATATGAAGCTTCTGAAGATTTTGTTGAGAGAAGTTACAGGAATTTGGAAAACACAGAGTATAGGAATGCTGTGAGTTGTCTACTACAATATCAATTTAATCCTTTGTTTAGGCTTTAAATTTTCTTGTGGCTGATTTGACGATAAGTGAACCCAGAAGACAATTGCATTTAAAATATATTAAAAGGATATTGAATACTTGTAATGATTACCGACTTCTTGGGCGACTTCTTTCGATATTATTCAAGAATAATCTGCTCTCAACTTGGTTTTTTGAGCATAAAGACGATTTGATAGGTAAGATCAAGTTAATGTAGATTTTTATTGTTTAGATGAGAACAAAATAGAACCTCAGATATTGGTAGCCGAGAGTATGATCACGTTTTCTGTGGGTAACAGCTTAACTTGGGATCAACTGATTGATGAAAGGAGTGTTAGATTGGCTATACATCATGGTAATGATGTGGTACGTTTTTTCTTTATTCTAAATCTTCATTTACATAAGTTCTTTGTTAAATTTGTTTTAATATTAAAGTTTTATTTTAGATACGACTGCTAGTACTAAAGTTACTCTCTTGTCATCCTCGTATGTCGTTACCTATAAAAAAGCTAGACTTGGAGTTGATTTTTGATGTGATAGTGGTGTCTATGACTATAGAAAGCCCAGCAATACGTGATCCGGTCATCGATTGTTTGAAAAAGGTAATAGTTTGTAAAATACAATGGACCGTGGTGAGTAAAGGGCTGGCACAGTACGATTAATTTTGAATAACGCCCTGTGCAGGTAAATTAGTCAATATTAGTTAAGAATGGGTATTATCTTGTAGATGATACTATTTTAAGCTACTTTAAAAAATATTTTAGATTCTAGAAGTTTAAAAAAATTTTTACATAAATTTTAATAATTGTTGCACGGTGCACAAAGATAAAAGTTAGTGTTGATGTTTAAAGTGCAAATTCTTTATTATTTTAAGAAGAAAACGTAATTTTTCATTTTTTAAAATTATTTTTGAAATTTTGAACTTGTTTTTTAAAGTAAAAAGGATTTTTAGCTATTTGCTCGCATGTTACACTTGCTTCAACTGTCACACAAAGCTTCAGAAGGGACGGTCGGCTTCTACAAGACATTTCTACACAATTTGCACGATGTTTGTGTAGCTTCTTTGAATGGATCAGAGAACTTCAATCGAAGATTCTTTGCTTTTCATGTTTTACGCGAACTTCATTCCGCTGCTTTTGATGTTAAAGTCAATATAGTTGATGAAAAAGATGTTTTCGATGAAGAAAATGAGGTAAAACAAGGCTCAAATGCTACGGAAAAGAAGGAAAAGATCTCTTCTTACAATAAAACAGAAGTAAAAAGGAATATTTCATGCTACGAACAGCTAGAACTTGATGTAAAGGTAGCTTCTGACCAGTTCTTCGATGTTATGATAAGATCCCTGGACGATAGCTACGAGAAATGTCAAGATATGGCGGCCGCTCTCTTACTCCGGTCATACCAATATGGTGACAAAGCTAGATGGAATGCCATAATTTCTCAAACTCTGGCTAATTCTACAGTAATCTGTGCCAAAACTCAACATGGGGTAGTGTATAAGATGAAGGTGATCACGGAATGTTGCTCCACAAGCGTGATAGGTATCATTATTGAGCTGGGAACAAAGGCCAAGACCATGATCAAGATGCTACAACAGAATTTACAGTTGATTTCGGCTGAATGTCCCGTACATACCATCTTGAATGCAATGTCAGCCGTCACCTCCAAGTGTAACATGCAAGAGGTCAAAGAAGCTGTAGATGAATGTATAATCAAGGTCTGTTTTGATGTAATGGAAATGGTAAACCCAGTTTTGCATAGTATTTCACCAGAAGGCATGGTACTGGACGAAGAGGAGGAGGATGGTGATGATGATGGTATGTTGAGGTAGATGTTTGTAAGATTCATGTGTTCGGAGGGGAAAAAGTAGTTGAGAATTGTTAAATGTGTTTAAGATGTCTAAAATGATCATATATGATGAGTTTGAGCTTTAAAAATTAGTTTTAGCTCAAATCATGTTTTCGTGGTGGGATCAAAGTGCACTGCCAGTGTTGATCTAAAATTAGGTTTTAATATTACTTTTAGGTTAAAGTAGAACATGTTTTTGACAAAGATATTGAAACGGACTTAAATTTTTTATGTAAAAATGTTTCGGCATTTTAAATTTTAAAAAATGGGTAAATATGATTTTAGAAGAAATGAACGTTCCAAACCAAGTTCTGAACCAAAAAATGCAATCACAAAGACTGCTGGTTGCTTGTTGGAGAACAATCAAAGCTGTGTCGGAAATTTTTGCTAACATTGTTACTAGAGTAAGTTGTTTTTACTGAAAATTTTAATTTTTTATTTTTTACTCCTCCCAATACTGCTACCCCTACCTCTAATCATACTGTTATTCCTACTTTTGTATCTACCCCATACCCTTGTTTTGTTTTTCCTATACCCCTACTCTTACTCCCACTTTTAGCTTAACTCCTACTGACGTTGCCCCTACTCTAATATAATCTCTTTTAGTCTCCAAAACACCTACTTCAAAATGACTGGTCGAAGCATTTACCGTTGATCTTGAATTATTTTTGGAATCAACTAACTGAATGTAGACATCGTGGTGCATTCGAAATGGCATCAGAATGTTTTAAAGTGTTTTGTGTAAGAATGAAAGAGCTGTATGTTGAGGATGGTCATGAGCTGAACCCAAAGGAATGGCTAGAAGACATTTTGGAGACATTAAATACTGGCAAGGGTAAGGTTTTGAGAGTAGGAACAGGAGGTAATATTGTAGGGTCCGGTAGGGTGGTTTAATTTAGAGTAGGTAGAGTAGGGTACGGTAGAACAGTGTAGGGTAGAGTAGGGTAAGGTAATTAAGCTAAGGTAGAGTAGGGTACGTCCAGGTACGGTTGGATATTGTAGAGTAAGGAAAAAACAAAATTGTAACCTAAATAAAAAACTTTAGGTATCCATCGACTAGTATCGACAAGGCGAAGTGCCGGTCTTCCACATTTAGTGACAGCCATCTTGGCTGCTTTTCAGCCTAAGGGCAAACAAGACAAAAACGAAGCGTTGGACAGAACCATGAAACAGCTTCTGAAACGGGACGGTAAAAGCTCAGAAATAAAGTAAGTTACATCAATTTGATCTTTTAATGTTTTCGTGCCGGGACCAAAAATCGAAATTTTGACTTTTATGAGAATGGATGAAATTAATGTTTATGACATTTGAAATGACATACCATGTGACTTAAAATACATTTGAGCTTTAGTTTTTTTATACAAAAATGATAGGTTATGTTAGACTAACCACTAATTTTCTTTTTTAGAGTGCACAGTGCAAACGTCTTAAAAGCGATCATAAGCAACAAAATCTTCAAAAACCAAATTAGCAAATATATTGAACAAGCTTTGGCATTGAGTATCGAAAGGCTACCATCTTCTTCGTGGAACCTGAGAAACGCATACTCACAATTATTTGCGGCCATTACTCTACGGATTTTTGGACCGCAGAATCTGAATAAACTTGGCACTGGAATGTCGGCTTTTGAGTTCTTTACAACGTGAGTTTTTAAGGGTTGATTGGAAATGTGATTTTTTAACAATTTAAAAATATTTTGTGGGTCTCACAACGAAAACTTGATTTTACATTTTGGGTTTTTATTGTTCAAAATGCTATTTTATACCAATTCCTTGATTACTAATCGGCTTTTAAACGTAAATTTACATTACTTTATTATAAGTTTAGATTTTATAATGCTTTAGGTATCAATCTCTATACCCACTGTTCATTGACATTCTAATCAAATTCAACCCCCAAAAACTGGATACGGTAGATCGTGCGACGGCTGTAGCTGCCTTCTTATGTCATATTAAGCCAACAAAACTGTCATCAAGTGATAAGTTTTCTCTGATATCATTCATGTATCCTCTACATTACATTGCCTTCACAGCACATTCGGATCACACCAGAACGTTCGCCGTGAAATGCTTGAGGTGTTTGTTTGAGGTGGATTCGTTGTGTGAAGTTATGATGGATGAATACTTGAATATGTTGGAGATATACGATGGTTTACCTTATGGATGGGTAGCATCACTCAACTTTTTGGTATGTTGTCATAGTTTTTGATGTTTGGGTAAATATTAAGCATGTTTTTGTAAGTTCATATTTTAATATAGATGTGTATTGGACTTGGCTATAATAGTAATGCATTATGAAGGCTTGATTTTATTGTTATAGGGGTTAAAATGAAGTTTATTTGATAAAAAACGGCAATTTTAGGTACATCATTTAGTAAAAGACACGAAACAACAAAGGTATATTGATTTACTGGGCAGAAAGTATACAGAAACAGTAGAAATTTGTCTGAGTAAAAACAGAATGTAAGTTTGTTGCTTCTGAATTTTGACGTTTTTAAATTCAAATTGATTTAATTCTGCACGGTGCAATGAAACTTACAAGGAAGCTGCCCAACCTACCTCGCTCTGATTGACTTTAAACTTTTTATATAGAACGATCATGTTGATATAAGAACTTAAGCAAAGTACTAAATTGCGCTTTCTAGTGAATCTCGATAAAATCGAGATCAAGAAAAATACGTTTTGAATTTTACGCCAAATTGGCATTATCTTTCAAGCTTATAACTTTGCCATTTTTTTACTTTTAATCATTTTCTGTTGATATACTAGTAGAAAACTTTCAAACGGACCTACATTTTAAAATTTGTAAGCGTAGCTTGTCTGCAAAGACAAAAAAAGGCCTTGAAACACAATGCCAAATTTTTTGACTTGCCGGGAAATTCAAATATTTAAAACTTAAAAGCGCGAGCTAAAGTTTTTTATGAGTACTATTTACAAAGAATTTATTATATATAAAACTTTGAGATGGTTCTGAGTTGGGTCAGGCATGTGTACTTTCTTTGTAAGGTTTTTGCGTTTCTTTTTGTTTGGCTAGAGAAAGAAAGAAAAGTGCGCTTTCTCTGATCATTGCGAACCCAATCAAAAAACAAGCGAGGGTTTGTATACCTCGCAAATCAAATCCTTTCTTTTCGAACATAGAGTTCCTAATTAAGGTTGGTAACTGTTTCAGCTCACTTTTGTGTGGATGAACAAGATAAATTTTGGAATGCTTGGTCGAAGGATCAGGCTTATATTGGAATAGTTTTGATTAGACATGAGAAACGGGTCGGGTCTGACTCTAATTTAGGTCGGGTCGGGCCTGAAAATCAAAGCCCGGACTGTTTGCACAAAAAAAAATTGGGCCCGTTACTCATTTCTAGTTTTGATTAATTCGAGTATAGTGGTAACGTACTAATTGTTAATTTTTGAGAAAATGAAAGTAGTATATATTGAAAACAGATCAAAGAAAAATTACGTGAGGTTAGAGAAAGAAAGAAAAAGCTTATTCTCTCTTACTAGCGCGCAAACCAATCAAAAGACAATTGAGGGTTTATATACCTAAACAATCAAATCCTTTCTCTTCGAACTAACAGTTCCATATTAAAGTTGGTAACTGTTTCAGCTCACTTTTGTGTGGCTGAACAAGATAAATTTTGGAACGCTCGATCAAAAGATCAGGCTTATAATAAATAATTTCTTCCAGACCCGATCTAACCATCTACAGTATTACTACAGTCTATTATGAGCTCAAAAACAAAGGATTCAATATAAATCTGGATATTTTTGAAAATTCATGGAAAAATGGTCATCTCAATCGATGCCTATCTTCTCTTGACATGTTTTCCAATCTATTATGTCATACTGAAACCAAAGGGTATCCAGAAGCATTGGAAAATAAAATTTCGAAACTTCGAAGTATGGAGAAGATGGATGATTCTGGAGATTGTCAAGCTTCATCTGGTGTTAGTATAGGACGAACTGTGAAGTCATTGGATGTTGAAGAAGGGTATGTTGATGTAGAAGTTGGTTTTTGATATTTTTTTCACATTTTTTTAATGTTAAACAGATTATTTTTGGTTTTTTTACAAATTTTTTAACGCTTTTTTGAAGTTTTTAAGCCTTTATTAAGTATTTTTATTATCCGCAGGCATTGTTTAGGCATTACACCTCTTTCTAAACCTTTTTCAAGTATAATAAATCTATATTTCAGCTCACAAAAGACCCTGAATACAATAACAACAAAGTTATTGCAAGGAGAAGACATTTGGAACCAACTTGATCATGTTATACTTGACCAAAAAGTGGTGGAATTGGCTCTGAATTCGTTGAGAAATTTGTTACTAGTAAATGAAGAGAAGGTCATCAAGTTCTTGGCTATTTTCCTACAAGATGAGAATAGAAATGTCAGACAAAAGGTGAGAAAATGAAAATTTTTGGTAAAATCTCGAAAAAAAAATTAATATAGGTAATGAAAAATGGCTGTCACTTTTGAAGTTTTTATCGAAATTTCGTCAAATTTAGGGATAAGATAGCTGAATGTATGGCTGATGAATATGTAAAATGAAAAATTTCAATTTTGGGTAAAAGTTACAGTAATCTTTATCAAAGGTTCGGAAAATTCGAAAATATTAGATATAAATAAAGAAAAATGGGTGTAACTTTTGAAGTTTTTGACTATTTTTTGTCAAATTTAGGGATAAGGTAGCTGATTGTATGGTTGATGAACATGTAAAATGAGACATTTTAAAATTGAGTAGAAGTTACAGTAATCTTATTTTATGTTGGGACTGTCAAGATTTTGAAGATTTTTACTAATTTAAGTTATTTTTGATGAAAATGACATTTATATTGTGGTTAATTTAAAATTTTTTAATTTTTGATACTTACAGTAAACAGTAGTTTAAAATTTTTTTTTGAAAAAATAAAAAAAATTTTAAAAATTCTATTTTAGGCCTCAAGCATCCTCTCGGCCCACCTATACCCATCTCTTAATCTAACCCTGTTCCCACGCGTACAGTACGCTCTGTTATGCCTACAGTACCCGGATTTGGAAGATTTCGTAAAAGAAAGAATGTCAGTTCAATTCGACACCTCTTTAATGGTATCGCCAAGTTCAAATGAACAAAGAATCTTCGAGGAATGTAGCCAGAACACCTTCTGCGAACCTAAATTGTTAAGTTTCGAAGCGAATGTTGTTAAGAAGTACTCATTGTTATTGTTATAAGTTGTTTTTTGTTGAATGTAAAAGTTTATTATTTTGTAATCAAAAAAAATTAGTTGTTTTATATGTTTTGACAGTTTTTTTAGGTTTAGGGGTGCTTTTAGGGTATGATTTTATCAAACTGTCACTCATTCTTTCTCCTCTACAATACAGTACTCCATTATATATATTGTACTCCGTAAAACACCTCAATACCATAAAAAACCAAACTTTATTGAAGCTGAAAACCCAGCCATTGTATATGTTATCAATAACCATATCAGTATTGTTGTCTCGGCTTTCTGACCATATTTAAGAAGGTCTTGTTGCCGAGTGGATAACATTGTGGTGGGACTGACCGCTTAATGGTACTTCCAACCGCCGAACCAAGATTGTTGACAAAGTTAAGACCATGGTAAAAGGGTCGCATCATGGCGGCGGTCATCACACTACCAGCTACTGGACAGACTGCATCCAGAGTCTGCTGGAAGTTGGGGAGGAAGCAGATTGTGGAGCTAAAACATCATTTTTTAATTTCAAACTGTAGAATCTATATTACTAATAAAGGTTGGGATGAAAGGGAAAAGGCATTTATGGTAAAAAAGCAGTGGTAGGTGTGGAAAAGGGTAAGCATTTTTAATGTAGAAAATAACATAATAACAACCTCAGCGCAAAAAAAGAAGCCCTCGTAGAAGAGTTGACAAGATCAAAAGTAGAACTTGATAAAAGAAATTAGCCTAACTTTTCAGTCAAGCATTCCAAAATTATCTAATGTCCAACCACACAAAAGTGAGCTGAAACAGTTACCAACCTTAGTTCGGAACTTTATGTTCGAAGGTAAAAGATTTGATTGTTTAGGTATGCAAACGCTCACTTGCTTTTTGATTGGGTTTGCGATGATCTGCCGGTAGTAAAAACTTTTACTATTGTAAACGTAAAATTTATTTTTATTTATGTCATCAATATACATATCATTGTTTATAAAAAAAGAACGCTGTAAAGACTTTTTTTTTAACTTAAAAAATGAGCTCGGCTTTTCAGCCAAGCATTCCAAAATTAATATTGTCCAGCCACACCAAAGTACGTTCGAACAGAAAGGATTGGCTTTATGAGCTATACGAACGCTCATTTGTCTTTTGATTGGGTTGCGCGCTAATAAGAGAGGACAAGTTTTTTCTGTCTTTCTCTAACTAATAACGAAAAAATGCTTATAATCAGGATGTGTAGTACAAAGCCTTTATTTTATTATATTCTCCTTTGTCTTTCAGCCCTACCTCTGCCATTTTACAGCCTACCACTTGCTTTTCAGCCCTACCCTTACCCGTTCACTTTACCCCTTCTCTTCTACCCCTCCACACTGTATTCGTTTATCCCTACTCCTGCCCTTTCACTCCTGCCCCGCCTTTTTTATCCCTACCCTTTACTACCCTACCCTTTCATTTTAAACCACGAATACAGTAAAAAATTGAAAAACCAATACTACCATATCAACTTGAAACTTAAACATACGTGCATAACGGACCAGTTCGACTGATCAGTGGAATGAAAGTGGCACCACCTTTCCCAGCATTGCTGATCACGATCGGATCATGAGAGAACCTTTCAATTTCTTGGGTGAACTCGCAATGATTATCAGCATCTGTAATGTTACAGTAGACTAAATTTTTGAACCTTTGCTGTTCTATTTTAATTTTTAGATATTTTACATTTTTAAGCTACCAAATTATTTATTTTACGGCACAAAACGCTCTTTTTAACCTAAAAATAAGCCTAAACTTACCCTGTAAAGCCTGATCAAGATTGTCTTGAAGACATTGATCGTATGCAGTAATGTAATTGAACTTTTTGGAAGTGCAAAGATCGTAGAATCCACCATAAATCATGACAAACCGATTGGCAAAGCCGCATTTCTTCTCTTGCAAACATTCCGAGACGCCTTTGATTTTTCTAAATTTCAAATTTTAAAATTTTCAACAATAAGTTTTACACTTTTGATAGTATGCGTTTAGTTGATATACTATCAGTCATCTTTCTGTTAAATTTCAGCTAAACTCTTCCATTTATACAAAAGTTATGACACGTTTTATCTGACCTTGTCTTGACCTACTACAATATAAATTTAGAAATAAATTCAAATCTTCTTTATGCCAAGTTTCAGTCAGATACCTCTGTTTAAACAAAAGTTAAGGCACTTTTTACCTAAACTTTTTGACCTACTACAATATAACCTTTGAAAGCCAAGTAATTTTGAACAGATTTTAAGCTTCTAATGACAAGAGTTTACTTTTTATAACATAGGGTATTTGTTTACTAAATTTCAGCTAGATTTGTATATTTAAACAGAAGTTATGATATTTCCTATCGGATTATACCCTTACCAGGGCCGGGCGAGGACTTTTGGTCTGAGGGCAGGGGTCCAAAAAATCGGCAAGCTACCTGTGCCGATTTTTTGCGAAAATTTTTTTCTTAAAATCCACAGGGGGACCACGTTCTAATTTTTTCGAAAATTCTTTTCTGGGGGGGGTACCCCTCCCGTCCCCCTCCCCCTCGCGCCCGGTCCTGACCCTTACCTACTACAATATAAATTTTCAAAAGCCAAATATTAAAAAACCAACCCAATAACTTACTGACAAATGGTCATAATCTTCTCGTAAGTGTCTTCAAACTCCAACAGATCTAATATCAAATCTGGTAGATCGCCTTCACAGTTTGTGTGACATGCTGAGTAGGTCAATATCTTCTTCAAGACACTCGTATTGATCGTATCTACCGTACAGTACACAACAAGTGCCACACTTAAACCCACCAAAAGATGTTTTAGCATTTTTAAAGACCAAGAAATTAACGGTCTATGCAGTTAAATACGATGATTATGATTAATCAAGCAATTAACAGCTCCAAAACATATTATTCATGATGGTGGTGTCACAAATGCAATGTTCTTTGTTTTGTGCTGCTTCACAGTTGAAAGAATGATGGTATAAGGTTAAGTATAGCAAGATAAAGCAAGGTAAGATTGGGTAAGACAAGATAAAGCCGAGTAGGGTTGGGTATGGCAAAATAAAGCAAAGCAGAGTTCGATACGGTAGATTACAATTAGGCATGGCAAAATAGAGTACGGTCGGGTTGGGTATAGGTATAGTAAGATAAAGTAGAAGTTGACATAGCAAGATAGAACCACGTAGGGTTAAGTATAGCAAGATAGAGAAAGTCAGGACTGATATGGCAAGCTAGGGTAGGGTAGGGTAGGGTAGGGAAGGGTAGGGTAGGGTAGGGTAGGGTAGGGTAGGGTAGGGTAGGGTAGGGTAGGGTAGGGTAGGGTAGGGTAGGATAGGTATGGTAGGGTAGGGTAGGGTAGGTGTTAAAGTGGATTCCCCATGTTGTTCCCCTCCTCAGCACTCGTCTCTGCTTATAAACCTTTCAAAACGTTTAGATATTTTTCAAAAAACATGTCAATATGGAATACAATAGAAAGAAAACAAAATCAAAAAAATTGGATTGAGAAAGTTTCGCAAAAAGCGGTAAACATAATCATTTCCACTGACTTTTCAAATGTCAACTGGTCTAGTTTTGTACAGTTACTACAAGAGTTCATGTACATGGCGAGTAAGAGCCGCCTTGGCCTACAAGGGCCTCGAGTACACGACTAAACTCGTCAATGTGGCCAATGCTGACAATGTAAGGTTTTTGAAAATTTTGAAACATTTTGAATTTTAAGTTCAAAATTTTTAAAAAGTATTGAAATCTAGAGCAGGGTAGAGTAAAATAAGGCAGGGCGGGGTAAAAAATAAAAAAAAATCATTTATAAATTTAAAATTTTCAAAAAAAGTTAAAGTTTATCTAATTTCAGATGATGCCAGCCTATTTAAAGCTAAACCCCTCAGGCAATTTGCCAACTTTGATTCACAACGGCCAAGTCCTGACTGAAAGTATGGCCATTTTGGAGTACTTGGAAGAGGTGTTTCCAGACAGAAAACAATTATTACCAACTGATCCGATCACTAGAGCCAAAATTCGCACAATTTGCTCATTGGTAAGGGCTTGTTTTGGAAAATCGTGTTTTCGTGGTGGGACCCATAATTATTAAAAAATTTAATTTTGACGTTTTGCCTGTTCACATTGTAGTTTTAAGCTCAATTTTGGTTTAAAATGTTTGTAATAGTGCCGTGACAAGATTTCAGGGTTTTTCAAGTTTTCGTGGTGGGACCCGAATCAATCTCCTAAAATTTTGTTTGTAACAAAAAAAACTGTTCTCTACTATAATTACCTGCTTTAAAACTCAATAGAAATTTTAAAAAGTTCAAATTCTGAATTTACAGTTCTTTTTCCAATATCCAACTCACAAGCTCACCTACTATAACATATAGAAATCCTGTTTCAGATAGTGGTCGGGATTCAGCCGTTGCAAACACCCAAAGTCTACCAACATTCTGGTCGAACCGAGCGATTTGCGGTCGAAATGACAGTGCTGGGTCTGCATGCTCTTGAGGACCAGCTCAAGAGTACAGCTGGTACTCATTGTGTTGGGAACGAAATGTCACTCGCTGACATTGTTTTTGTGCCACAACTTCACAATGCTGTCACGTATGTTTTTTGGAAGTTTTTTGAAGTATACATAAGTCAAAATTTACAGAAAAATTGGGAAAAAGTGGAAGATCAGGGGGTTATCAGGTTTTCGTGGTAGGACCCAAAATCTTTAAAAACATTTTTAGAAAATTCAAAATCAAGTTGGACAATCTACCGATCGTAAAGAAGTTGTATGCAAATCTGAGAGAACATGACTGTTTTGCCACCACCCATCCTACAAAACAACCAGACGCCCAAGCCTCGGACCTATCAAGCTGTAGATCAACGACCTCTCTGACATTCAACTTGGGCAAGTCCTCGTCCGACGAGAACAATGACACTTTTGGCAAGGAATGAACATCTGACAATTTTTTGATACATTGTGTGAAGAATGACAATTTTTGCATTTTTGTGACATTTTTTGGCATAAACTGATGATTAGGTATAACTTGTGGTGCTTTGATGAAATAAATATATCTTTTGACACCGTCTTTAAAACGTATATCTATTAAAACACTGAGTTTTAAAACATGTTTTTACAAATTTTGCCCTTTTTCATTATAAAAATCAAGAGATACGACAGTTTTAAATTTATACTGTGATGGCCATTTTGAAATTTCGTTGTAACTGAAAGATTTGAAGCCAAAACCGCTTCAAATTTTAATATAGCATAGTTTGAAAAGCTCGTTTTTTATTAGTAAACATATTTTTCAAATTTAACAGCTTTTATAACAAATACAGCGATCAAAAGTTTAGAGGGAAAAAGTTGACACAAAAAAGAGAGAGGGAGACTTGACACGAATATTGTGTTGCTTGACGAAACTATTATATCAAAGGTCTTGATGTAACCCTGTCTTTTTCATCATAATAAGTTCGCTTTGACATTTTTAAAGATGATTTTCAATTTAAAAATTCGAATTTTTGATTTTTTAAGTTTTTTACAAAGTTTGCTTGATATTTCGTCCGAGAACTTTTGAAAAACCGCAATGTTAACATTGATATTGCGATAAATAGCTAAAGCATTATTTTCTCTATTATTACTTTTATTAGTTCCACCTTTACTCTTAATTACAACGTTATAATATTGCTTTATACCTATTCCTTACCTATTTTTTCAGCAAATGGACAAAGAAAACGTGCCATCAGGATCACCTTCATCAATCATACCAAACGTCAATGGTATGTCGACGCCAGAGGTTTTGAACCGAGTTCAGAATGGGTCCATTGATTATAACACTCTTTTTCAAGCTTGTGTTACCTATTGCCAAACAGAAAATAAGGTTGCGGTTCAACAATGTTTGTCGCATTTTTTGGGTAACAAGAGCAGGAATCCTGGACAGGAAACTGGTTCTGCTGGCACGGGATCTACATTGTCTTCAAGGTAAGGGTTTTATTTTTAGAATAATGGTTTTAGGTTAATTTAAAGCGGTTGAAAGTTGAGTTTTGATCAGTTTTGTTGAGATATATAACTGGATTTGCGATAAAAGGGTGTCTTGGGGAAAAAGCTTGTAATCTAGGTATTTTAAGAGCTAGAAAATTTAAATTTTGGTAAAATAGAGTTCAGTTTATCTTTTTTGTGCTTTTAAATTCAAAATTTTAAATTGCAAGTTAACATAGTTATGAATTCTTGAAGAACAAGCAGTCTTACTTCAAAATCGCCGGGTTTCTTGAGCAAAAATCAAGCTTTCAGTTTAATTTAGGTATTATCACTTCATTTTTACTTAACTATGTTGACAATAATGCAATTTTAATACCTTTTCTGTTCAAAATTTAATCATTTTTTAATTTTCCAGAGCTACTTCTACGTCAAACGATATCACACACCAAGCGTCAAAAAATGTCAAATTACCTAAAATGGCAAGGAGAGAAATAAAAGAATGCGATATATTAATACCGATAAAAGAAGCTGGATCAGATGCAGGATTGTGTCCTCCAAGTACTTCTGGATTTGGAGGGGTTACTAACAACGTTGGAGGCATTCGGAGGTTGCGAGGGTATCGCCGTGGGATAAGAAGTTCTGAAGGAAATCACAGTGGCGTTAAGGTTCAGGATTCAGAAGGATTTCACAGTCAGAATCAGAAGCAAGGAGGTTTCCACGGTGGGAATCAGAAGCAAAAAGGTTTTCACTGTGGGAATCAGAATTCAAGAGCGCTTCACAGTGGGATTCAGAATGCAGAAGTTTTTCACAGTGGGATTCGGAAGCCAGAAGTTTTTCGAAATAGGAATCAGAACCTAAAGGCTTTTCACGGTGGGATTCGGAAGCCAGAAGCTTTTCACAGTGGGATTCGGAAGCCAGTAGCTCTTCACGGTGGGATTCAGGATCTTGAAGCCATTCGAGTTAGGAATCAGAATGCAAAAGCTTCTCACGATGGGATTCAGAATGCAACAGCTACTTACGATGGGAAACACAAGCAAGAAGCACATCACAACGGTAACAACCTTGTCTTTAATGATCAATCAGATTTAGAATCAATTGACGTTGTTAATGTTGATGAAGATGACAAAAAGCTTGGTAATCTCAAAACTCATTTTAACCATGGCCGCAGTAATGGTATTGGATGTCAAAGTCATATTAATCATGCCAGTAACGTTACCAGTGGAATTCATATTAACCATGGCTTTCAACTGGACCTTCAGAGGAGTATCAGCCAGGAAATTCGGAATAATGCTGGAAATGGATCTAAAGATATTAACCATGATCACAAGCGGAAATTGGCTAATGAAAATGATATTGCTAATACCAATGGTGGACCATCTGGATCTAATCTGGCATCGTCATCATCTGGAGCTCATAGTACTGACAATTCTTATTATATGCATCAAATGAAGGCTTTGCAAGAGCAACAGAATTACAATAATCTGGTTGCTTTACTTTCCAACCCAGCATTTTTCACATCGTTACAGTATCCATCATACGGAGTACCTCAAGCTGGCCGTGCAGCATCACCATATCCTACATTATCACCTCATCTTATGGTACCATCTCAGGCTACAGGATCACATCAATTATCAGGACCGTCTCAGTCTGTAGTACCACCTTTTTCTACAGTACCATCTCAGTATACAAAACCACATCAATTTTCAGTACCATCTCAGTCTACAGTACCACCATTTCTTACAATACCACCTCAGCTTACAGCACTACCTCAGATGACAGTACCACAGCAATTAGAGCTCGTTGCCAACTTAGCACAACTGCTACAGCCAACCTCACCTCACTCTATGTTGCAGCAGCCGTACCAACAATACCCGTATCCTGGTGCTATGGCGAACAACTTCAATCAACCAAAGCCGAGCAACAGTAAGCCGAGCATGCCAGAGAACAGGGAGAAATGTGTGGTTTGCAACGATAAAGCCAAGCGCATTCGTCATGGAGTCATTTCTTGTGAGGCTTGCGCAGTGAGTTTTGTTTCTAAAGATATTAGTTTTGAGTCTACTAAGCCTAAGCTTCCTAAATCTATATCTAAAAGTATAAAACTACTAAGCATATGCTTACCTAGCATAAGTCTATGAAGCTTAAGGTTTCTAAGTGTTCTAACTAAGCCTAAAGCTTGTAAACCTGGCAAACCTTAACTTATCTAGTCTGTGCGTTGTCAGTTTAAGGTAACTAAGCCTACTAGCCTTAACAATTGCAAGTCTAGCAAGCCTCAAATTCATAAGCCTAAATTTACTGATTTTAAGCTTATCAAGCCTAAGCCTTTTAAATTTAACCTTATGAAGCGCAAACCTAATATTATAGGTTTAAGCCAAGTTATAGCGTACTAAGCCTCTTAAGCTTAGTAAGCCCAAGCTTCTTAAGCCTAAGCTTCGTAAGTTCAGTAAACCTAAGATTCTTAAGTCTAAGCTCCAAAACCAAAGTTTCTTAGGCCTAGTCTTAGTAAGCTAAAGATTCTTAAGTCTATACTTTGTAAGACCGTGGTTTTTAAGCCTAAAATTTTATTAATCAGTTTTAAACCAATTAATTTTGTAAAATAATAAAAAAATTTTTTCAGAGCTTTTTCGCTCGTTCCATAGATCGAAAAATGGTATACAAATGTAAAAATGGCAAAAACTGCGAAATAAAGGACAAATATCGTTGTTGCCTGAGTTGCCGCCTGCAACGTTGCTTCATATCCGGAATGAAGTTGGACTACGGCGAACTGGAAAAACTCTACCAATCGACTAAAAAAGCCTACGATGACGCATTTATTGGAAGGAAATTTGATGATATTAGAGATTTTTGGTTGGCAGTCACCGATTTCTTGAATAACATGGAAGGACTGAACGATGTGGATTTGGAGGAAAAACTTGAAATGGTTCGGGAGCGGGGCATGGCTGTCTTGGTGAGCTTTATTTTTTTTGTTTTGGAATACAAAATTTGAAAAAATTATTTTTTTTGAAAAATGAAAATTTGCATAATATTTTTTGAGAGATGGGGGGGTAAAAAAGTTTTGGGGCTTCTCTAGAGAACCCACCCACCCCAATAAACACACCCACCACCTATTATGACCACCCATTTATTCAAATTTGAGTTTTTACAAATAAAATTGTAAAAACATTTCAACTGATGGAAGCGGTCGTTTTGTCGGATACGGCTTCGTCCAAGTTGAATTGCATCAGGTTTTCGTAGTCTTCGTTTGGGATGTTGAGTACCGGTTCATACGTCGGTTCTGAAATTACGTACTGAACTACATAAAGTGCTTCTGGTAATGGGTGTGCTAACTAAGGAGTGGGTGTGCTAACTAAGAAGTGGGTGTGCTAACTAAGAAGTGAATGTGCTAAATAAGAAGTGGGTGTGCTAACTAAGAAATGGGTGTGCTAACTAAGAACTGATACAGGATCTTCAACAATAAAAAGTTAAAAAAAGTAATGTAACTTACATAAAACCTATCGCCAAACACCTTCCGTTTACTCAGTTTCATCGGCGATCAACAATTGGCATAAGCAGTTGACTTCTCGCATAGACCATGGTGTTGAAGATACCATACGAGCTAGGTTCTGCGCTTAAACTCGTCTATATTTTGAAGAGAAGATCTCCGGACCTATTCCAGCGACCACTCGGCAACACAAAAAAAAATTCAAAATGAAAGAAGCACAACCGTGCTGGAAAACCGACAAAATATTCAAATTTGGGTGTGTCTAATATAGTCGAAATTTGGGTGTGTTTAATAGGTAGGGTGGGTGGCTTAAATAGATTAGCGCCAAAACTTTTTTAATTTCAAAAATTAAGCTATTAGGTTGTTCAAATAATTCTGGGCTCTAATTTTTTTTGAACGAATTTTCGGGTTTAGGAAGCACAAAATTATGTGAACAATCTAACAGTGGGTGAGCTAAACGAGTTGGATATTAAAGGTAGAACTTTAAATCAAAATTTGATCTTTTTTAAATTTATATGGTATTTTAAGACTGCTAAGAATAGTAGAAAACAGTTTTTGTGCTTTAAGCAAAATTTTATAAAAGGTACATGGGTCTCGCAACGAGAGCTGGAAAACTCCTGATGTGGCATCCAAATGCTTTTAAAAGCACTTTGTGTTAAAAATAAGCTTAAAATGAGCATTTTAACATTCAAAATTAGGCACAGTAAGAAATGTTAGGTTTATGTGGGTCTCACCACGAAAACTTGAAAAATCCTGATATTTTGACCTAAAATTGCGAAAGAAAAAAGACCTTTATTTTCCAGATTCTCCGAGCCATCTACATTGACCAAGACCTTCAAAAGCACTGTTGTCAACGAAAGTTGGCCGTCTTTAAGGCCCTCAACTTTCAAGAAATCAGAAAACAATTCCACGTCTTCTCAGCCCTCGCCTTAACTGAAGGTCAACGTCAAAAAGTTGTAAGCAAGACTGGAGCCGATATTGCTGAAGAATATTCGAATAAATTGGGGTCATGCATCTATGTCCATATGGCCGACCATTCAGTCAGTTTTCTTGACATGATGAAAAACATTTCCTTTTTGTACAGAGAGTAACTATACCTTTTGTTATTAAATAATACAGGGTGTTTCACCATATTTTGTTTGTAGAAACGAGTTATATCTTTGCAACTACATGTGCTATAATTCTAAATTTTGGTACATTGGTAGTAGAGACTGGTACAATTTTTGTGCAAAATTTTGGATTTTTTAAGTGCTTTTTAAGGTCGTCATTAATTTTTGAAAATGAGCATTTTTCGCCAAAATACACATATTTTCGGTTGACAATGCTTTTTTTACTCGAAATTTTTCTAGGTTTTCAATTCTTTTGATACAAATCGCATTTTCAATGTTTTCAAAGACTTGGCGGAGACGCCGGACGCCTAAATTTATCGGCTGAGGCTATAACTTGCTTTAAAATTGTCGTGGTAAAATTTAGTTTTTGACAATTTTTTGATTGGAAATGGCATTTTTAGCAAAGTTTTTGATTTTTAAACGTCGGCGGAGACTCGGCGGACGCCTAAATTTATCGGCAGAGGCTATAACTTGCTTCAAACATAACGTAGCGGCGTGAAACAAAAAGCATTAGTTTTAAAATTATCAGGGCAATCTCCACTGAAATTTAAATTTATTTTGTAAATTGCACAAATAATTTTTAAAATTTTAACGTATTTAATCTTTTAGTTTACTTAATAACAAAAAAAACTAACAAGATACAACATGTGATATATATGCGGTTTAACTTTTGAAGAAAGTGAGTTTATCATAACTTTTGAACATAAATAAAATTTTTTAAAACCGCGTCTATTTCTGAACGTTAATATCTTTTGATTTAACTTTTTCGTGAATTTTTAATTTAGAGTTATTTTCAAACAAGTTTAGCGTCAGTGAAGATGGTCCTGATAATTTTAAAACTAATGCTTTTTGTTTCACGCCGCTACGTTATGTTTGAAGCAAGTTATAGCCTCTGCCGATAAATTTAGGCGTCCGCCGAGTCTCGGCCGACGTTTCAAAATCAAAAACTTTGCTAAAAATGCCATTTCCAATCAAAAAATTGTCAAAAACTAAATTTTACCACGACAATTTTAAAGCAAGTTATAGCCTCCGCCGATAAATTTAGGCGTCCGCCGAGTCTCCGCCAAGTCTTTGAAAACATTGAAAATGCGATTTGTATCAAAAGAATTGAAAACCTAGAAAAATTTCGAGTAAAAAAAGCATTGTCAACCGAAAATATGTGTATTTTGGCGAAAAATGCTCATTTTCAAAAATTAATGACGACCTTAAAAAGCACTTAAAAAATCCAAAATTTTGCACAAAAAATTGTACCAGTCTCTACTACCAATGTACCAAAATTTAGAATTATAGCACACGTAGTTGCAAAGATATAACTCGTTTCTACAAACAAAATATGGTGAAACATCCTGTAAATCTTTTTCATATCAAAATATTGAATAATGTAAGTTTATATGTGAATAAACCTTTATTTATATTTATTTTTGTTCATAATTTGGTGAAAAAGAATATGTTAGGTTTATTGGTAATGTTTTTGTTATACATTATTGGATAAATTTATATAAAAATTGGATTTCAATGTTGACTTTTTAAATTTTCTTTTACTTGCTATTACTTTTCAATTTATCTTTGATGTTATTCACTTGTTTAAAGCTATTCTTCTGGGATATGAAGTCATTTTTGATGTTTTTCTGCAGTCATCTTTAAAGTTTTTTTGCTCTTTTAGTTTATTTTTCTTGGTCTTTTTTATGTTCTACACCTTCTTCAGCGTCTTTTTGATCTTGTTCGTCTGGGTCTTGATGTTTTAGCCATTTTTGATGTTTATCATCTCTTTCGCCTTCTTCTTCTTGATCTTTTAGCTATCCTTGATGATCTTCTGCTCTTACTAAACCTTCTTTTTCTTTTTACAGGCTGTTTCTCGTCTATGACGATATACTCCTTGTTTAAACAGCCATTTTTGATGTTGTTCCTTTCTTCTACGTCCTTTTTTCTAATTTTTTATCAATCTGCTGGTTTTTTATATTTATATGCGTCAACGTAGACAGTTTTGTATAGGTTCTCTAAAAGTGTAATTTTTAATCAGTTTTTATTTGAAATCAATATCTGTTTGACGTCTGAATGACTCAAAATGCTGTGTTACATTAGCTATTTGTTCAGAATTTGTATTCTGTACTTTGCGACTTTTGGAAGATGTCGTCAATGACAACTCGACCTGAACTCTAAAGCTTTTGGTTTTGAAGACAATTCAAATCTTGTTTTGAGGTTTATTTGAATACAGATGGTAACATTTAGTGCTGGTCGGGGGAAGAATGAAGGATTCAATTATTGTTAGGGTATGGGTGGGTAAAAATCTTTTTCTACAAAGGGGTTTTTAAATATTTGTCTGAACTGTTCTAATCCTACCTCAGCCTTGTTCTAGTCTTGCTTTAGCATTGTCCTAGCTTTGTCCTAGTCATTCTCGAGCCTTGCTCTAGCTTGGCTTTGCCTTTTTTCCATAGCTTTGACCAAATTCTCTGCCTCGTCTAGCCACGCTCTAGCCCTGCCTTATATAACATAGCCCTACTATAGGCCAACTTTAGCTCTGTGCTAGCTCTGTACTTGTCATGCTTTAGCTTTGCACTATTCCTGATTTAGCGTTGCTCCTCTTCTTTAGTTTTGTCTTACTCTTATCATAGGTAAGACAAAACTTACTTTTGCCCTGGCTCAGCTTCTCTTTAGTCTTACCTTATTTTTGCTTTATGCTTACTCTAGCCTTATTTCAGCACTGCTTTAGATTTTTCCTATTTTTTTTAGCCTTGCCCTAGCCTTGCTTCAGTTCTGATTCATTCTTGCTTTAGCTCTGTTTTATCTTTGGACTAGTCTTGCCTTAGTTCTGCCCTAGCCTTGTGTAAGCTTTGAGTTATCTCTGCACTGTACCTACTTTACCCTGCCCTACGAGGGAAGATTTTCTTGGTTTGCGTTCCCCGTTCCCTTTCTACTCTCCAGCCTTGGTAACCTATGACATGTTAATCTAGATTAAACAAGAACAGTGTTAGTTAAAGTCTAAAAAGGCGTTAATTACTTCATGTACTTGGTTAATTACATATGTATGGTAATGTAATGTAATATTTAGGTATGAAATCGTAACTTGAACTAGTGTAATTACAAGTTTGTTTTGTTTTTCGCTGTTCTCACGGTTTTAATCTTGTTAAGAAGCATAGAAGAATGCCTTTCTTCATATGTTAAAAGTAATTTTTATTATAAAATTTTATGAAATTCTACTTTTGAGAAGTCATAACATGTTGTATTTACTTAGCCTTTACCAATATAATATTTTATAGTAATGTTAAAGCTTTCTTGACATACGTTTTAATGAGTCAACCTCTCAGACAAACATTTGAACTCTGTTTGTCTCTGGTTTTAATGTTTATATAAACATTTTTAAAATAATGCGTTTGTAACTATATACTACCCTGAAGGTTGAATGTAAGCAATATAATGAACAGAAGGGGGTGGGGCGAGTTAGGGCAGGGTAGTGGACGTAGGTTGGAGTGAGAAGGAAAAATTTTTTAGATGTTTTTACAATTTGCTTTGGGAATTTTACCATGCCCGACCAGTTTATGGGTGGCAGGGAGAGAAAATAGAGGAAAATAACTTTTTTGAAAAAAAAATTTTACTATTTACCTCTGCCTCTACTTCTACTTTATTTTGACCCTTGCCCAGATCCGGGCGGGCACTTTTGGTCGTCTGATGGCGAAGGTAAAAAAATCACAGGGGGGGGGGACCACGTTCAACTTTTTTTTTAAATTTTTTTGCTTGGGGGGAGGGGTGATACCCTCCTGTCTTGTCTTCCCTACCCCGCGCTCGGTCCTATCTTTGCCTATATCCTCTCTCTCTACCCCTACTAACCCCCACTCTTCTTTCCCCCTACTCCCTCTTCCAACGCCCCTACTCTTTTCTCCTTAACCCTATCCAACTCCTCTCTCCTATCCCCTACCCCTGCTGACCCCTCTCTGGTTTTTCCTTATCCCCTTCCTACCCTGTCTTTTATTTCCCCCTACCCCCTCTCAATCCCCTTTCTCCGTTTCCCCTACCCTCTCGTCTTCCTCTCCTTTTGTCTCTTACCACTTCTCGACCCCTCCCCTCTTCCCCCCCCCCTTCCCTTACCTCCCTATTGTTCTCACCCCACCCTTAAAGCTCGACCTTCAGTCTAACCTCAATCGTACGCTGCTATTATTATATAAGTGACATTATATTGAAAAGTGCAAAACATTAAAAAAAGAAATAGTTTACAATGATGTGTCATATTGAGTTAAAATACATTTTATTTTGGAGTAAATATCATAATTACAGGAATTGTATTTTATTTTGAGTGTGCCAAGTTTGACTACTTTATCTTTGTTCTTTTGGGGTTTAATTTATTTTATCTTGTCCCTGATAACTGAAAAGAGAAAATTAAAGGCGATTAACTGATTATATTTACATATTGCGACAAAGAATGATTTTTTATTTAAAAACTTACATTTAAAAATTTTTTGTTTTACAATATGCGCCAAAAGTTCTGTTACACGGTTTTTTAATCAAATATTTATTTTAAAAACAAATATAACTAAAACAACAACTAACAATAGCAACATAGAGAAAACGATTGGTAAAGTTTTGTAACAGAACTTTGGGCGCATCCTGTATTGTTAAAATGTGCTTTAGTAAAGTTATCTATTTCTGAAATTCTTTAAGGTTGCTTTACATTAGTTTTAATTTGTCTTATAACTTTATTTTGGTCTCAATTCTCGCTTGACCTTTTGATAAAACTTGTCATTTCTGATTGACCTTTTCAAGAAATTGCGTTATCACTTATATTTTTAGATAAAAGATTCGTTTTTCACATTCTTTTTGAATTTATTAAGCCCTTCACTTAATTCTGCGCCTTCTGACACAATATACAAAAAGATTTGAACATAAAAATTTTTATTTAATTTTTTGTGATTTTTTGAAAATTTGCTTTGAGAAGAGGCGCAGAATTAATTGAATGGCCTAAAGTTAATAAAAAAAGACACCAATTAGTGATAGAATGTTTGATTTATGGTAAAATACGCGAGGGCATTCTGAACTGAATTTTTTCTTTTATAATTTCAGTTCAATCACAATGCCAACATTATTACAATTAAAAATTGGTGCTCTTGTAACATTGATTGTAGCATGGGCCTTCACAGTGGCAGCTTTATTCACACCAGCATGGAGAAATCTTGATAGTGATAACAGTGTTGGACTAGTAACGTATCATTGCTCTTCTACTGCTTGTAATTCTTTTAAAAATGTAAGTTTACCTAGCCCTAGTCCAGAGCTTTAGTCCAGAAGCCCAGCTTAGAGCCCTATTTTAGCCCTAGCTCAGAGCCCTAGCCTAGAGCCTTAGCCCAGAGCCCTAGCCCAGAGCCCTAACCCAGAGCCCTAGCCCAGAGCCCTAGTCCTAAACTTAGTGTTAATCCTAGCTATGGCTCTACCCCTACCTCTTCCCCTACCGCAACGTATGCCTTGTCATATTGAAATCTGCCTTACTTAGTCATACCTTCATCTAATATGCCTTACTGTAAACATAATACGTCTTATCACAACTCATCTCTATATTACTATAGTACGCACTTATTTCAGAACGTGCCCGACTGGTCGAGTACTTGTAAAGACTTGAATATCGCTGCGGCTGTTGGAATGACAATAAAACTGATTGTCAGTCTAGTGACATGGAATAAAACAAAGTCGAAGTGTATGTCCGTTCTCAAGGTTCTCGTGTGCCTTATTGCTATAGCCAAGTTACTGGTATTATTAATATTGTACGCCATCAAAAGTGATGACTACTTTGGGAGTGGTGGAGGTGAGTTAACGTACTTTTATTTGGTTGTTCAAATAATTATGCGCTTTTTCTCAATACTAATTTTTGTAGTTAAAGGGCCAGAATTATTTGAAAAATTTATATTTTTGAAAAAATGAAATTATTAATTTCGGAAATAGATATATAGAAAAATTTCGTATGGTTAGAGAAAGAGAGAAAAAGTACTCTTTCTCGGCAGCGCGCAACCCAGTCGAAAGACAAACGAGCGGTTTTATACCTAAAAGATCAAGTACTTTCTCTTCGAACGTTCAGTTCCAAATTAAGGTTGGTAACTGTTTCAGCTCACTCTTGTGTGGCTGAACAATATTAATTTTGGAATGCTTGATCAAAAGGTTAAGCGCATATTATATTTTTTTAGCTTTTCAATACTCAACAGTAGCTACAGCGACTGCAACCAGCCACTCTGGTACTTCATTGGGCTATAGTTATTGGTTCGCTCTAGTAGCGGCTGTTTTCATGGTATTTAGTACTGGTTTCTCTATAGTTGAACCATGTATTGCTAAGTAGAAAAAGTTACTGTAGTATCAGCTTTATATACTACGTTTATTATGACCTTTTAGAGGCATTTCACTTTATTTAGCTACTGTATTACTAGCATTGACTCTACGCTTCTACATACGTTAACTATTCTTTTTGATACCATATAGCACTAGTGGTTTGGTACTGTTATATTAACTTGACAGTACGAGGATAGTATATGGTAATGCATGATTATTCTATATTATGTGTATGGTCATCTACTAGTACGTTATACTATATCTACAGTACCATTGTGTTATTATAGATGGTACAGTACAGTTGGGATATTTTATAGTAGCACAATTATCATGGTACAGTTTATAGTACCAAAAGTATCATTTGGTACAATTTATAACACTACAAGTATCGTCTGGTACAGTTTATAGTACTCCAGGTATCACCGCTTTCCATACATATTCTGATGCCCAAGTACTATATAGTACGTGCATATTAACATATAATACCACGTACAATGCTCTCAGCGTTTGTTTTTACCGTAAGTTGGGCATGTTTATTTATTTTTTGAAACAAATCTTCCATTTTGAAATTCAGTTGCCATGCCTTCTCCTGCTTGTGTCTTGTGGTCGGGCTTGGCAACATGACCGCCCATTCTAGGAGGTCACTCTCCAATGTTCTTTCAGCCTTCAAATGCCAGTTTGTAACAGTTTTTTCAAGAATTCTGATGTCGTTTTCTTTGTCCAAAAACCTTGTTTTTGAAAATTAAAAAAAGTTTTGTTTGAGGTTGGTTTTGGGCATGGCTTCCAAAAAATTTAATTTTTTTTGTGTTTGAGGTAACAGTGCTGGGCGGGGTATTTTAAACTAAAGGGTGTCATAGGTTGAGTATAACATAAACTTACTAAAATACTATTAGGTTGTTCAAATAATTCTGTGCTCCCTTTCAAGAAAAATTTTTGGGATTGGGGCTCAGTATTATTTGAAAAACCTAATATAAGATTTTGGTTATACAATCAGTATGAATTGTAAAACATTTGCTAAATATAGGCGTGCTTTATGTCAGAGAAAGAGAGAAAGACCTTGTTCTCTATGTTGAATACGCAGCCCAATCAAAAGCCAAGTGAGCGCATTTATACCTGAAGATCGAATTCTTACCTCTTCGAACGATCAGTTCCAAATTAAGGTTGGTAACTGTTTCAGCTCAATTTGTGTGGCTGAACATTGTAAATTTTGGAATGTTTGACTGAAAAGTTGGGCTGACTTTTCAATTTTTATTAAAAAAGTTTTAAAAATTTTTTTTTAATTTTTCAATTTTAAAGAACTAGAAGGTTTTCAAAATGTACGTTCTTTTCAAACCCGTTTCTTCTGGACTATTTTGTGAGTCATAAACTTAAATCTACTCATAGAAGTAGAATATTATTTTGTCTAGACATTACTAAACCTTCTACTCTGTCAGAGGTAGAGTAAAACAAAAACCCCCGTAACGATTTGTTACAGGAGTTTTACTGTATCTAGTTTATTTAATTTTTGGTTTAATCTCGTTTCAATTATTTTTGTTTTTGATTAGAGAAAGAGAGAAAACCTTGTTCTCTCTTATTAGCGCGCACCCAATCAAAAGACAAGTGAGCGTTTACATACCTAAAAGATCAAGTCCTTTCTCTTCGAACGTTCAGTTCCAAATTAAGGTTAGTAACTGTTTCAGCTCACTTTTGTGTGCCTGAACAATGCAAATTTTGGAATGCCTGACTGTAAAGTCGGGCTGATTTTTTAAAAATTTTAAATTTCAAAATTTTTTTTATGGTATTCAAAGATATATGTTTTTAAATTGGAAACGCGTTTTGATATTTTAAATTTGATTGTTATAAAAGAGTTTCCTTTAGTACATTTTTAAAAAAAAGTTTATATAAGCCGGATCTTTCAACCAAGCATTCCAAAATTAATATTGTTCAGCCACACAAAAGTGAGCTGAAACAGTTACCAACCTTAGTTTGGAAATTTATGTTCGGAAAAGAAAGACATGATCTTTTAGGTATAAACGCGCTCACTTGTATTTCAGTTGGTTTGCGCTCTGATTAGGGATAAGTTTTTTCTCTCTTTCTCTGACTAAAGGCTGTTTTCTTATATTTCTTGACCTAATAATATTTAGAAGTTAATTTTTTATCCATTTTTTTAATTTAAAATTTTTTTTAATGTTGAGTTTATAATTTTATGAAATTGGGCTAGACTTGTAAAGAGGTCGGGTTGAACCCAATTTTTTGGCCTGGCCTACGAGCTTACGTGTACCGGCTTGGGCTTTTTCAAATTTGCTTTGTCTTCCTTAAGATCGATATGACTAATAAGGCTTATAACTAATTTTTGGCATTTTTTAAAATATTTTTAAATTTAATTTTTTTTTGTCATTCAGCCTCTTTCCTATAGCGTTTCGTCTGCAACAATCTCTTCTATGTACGTATGTATCTATTATAAAACACTCCTGCCATTGCCAAATGTATTCACGCTTGACCTCCGAACACAAAGTCCGAGCACAATGTCTTTCCCTCTTCCTTGACAATGCCGTGCCAGTCCATCCTCTCGATTTAAACGTTTTTCGGCCCGGAAATCCATGAACCGGGTCGTCAAGGACACGAAACGCTCGAGGCAAAACACCTGCATGACCTTTTTCAGAAGAGTGCACGATGCCTTCGACCACGTTCCTGAAGCCTGCCTTCATCGTGGTGCTGATCGTGGCGTTGGCGTTCACGGCGGCGTCACTGTTCTCGCCGGCGTGGCGAAAGATTGACAATTACAGTAGTGTGGGGCTGGTGACAACCGACTGCAACTTTCAGGCTTGTTGGTGGTATGGGGATGTGAGTTGTTATCATTTGTTTTTTGGAAGTGGGGGGGGAGGGGGGGGAGAGGGGGGGTTGCTGGCGAATTAGCGGGTAGGATAGGGTAGGGTAGGGTAGGGTAGGGTAGGGTAGGGTAGGGTAGGGTAGGGTAGGGTAGGGTAGGGTAGGGTAGGGTAGGGTAGGGTAGGGTAGGGTAACATTAATATATTTTTTATTTTTTAGAACCGCCCCGACTGGGAGAAGCCATGCCTAGCCTTGATGATAGTAGCCTTGATCCTGGAGATATTACTATTGATTGGAGCTTTATTTATGTGGTCCAGGTTTTTGTGCCTGGAGCACATTGTGGACAAGTTTTTGTTTGTGTAATAGCATTGGCCGCTATTGTTGTGACGTTAGCCATCTATGGAGCTAAGAGTGAAAATGCCTTTAGGGGCGTTAGTAAGTTTTTTATACGTTAATATTGCAGTATTATTTTAACTTAATTTAGCTTTAGTTTTGGACTAACCTAAGACTCGTCTTAATTCTGGACATAGCTTTACGCTTAGACTTTGTCTTTACTTTAGGCTTAGTCGAAGCCTTATTCTTAGTTTTTGGCTAAGCCTAGTCTAGCTCATCTAGCTCAAGCCTTAGTCCTAGCCTAAGTTTTGGATCTAGCTTGTGGCTTAGTCTTTGCTTTAGCTCTAGTGTTAGCCCTTGATCTAGGCTTAGGCTTTGGAGTTGCATCAACGTTAGGTCTAGCCAAAGCCTTAGTCCTAGTTTTAGCTATGAACCTTGTCTTAGGCTTAGGCCTTGCCTTAGCTATAAGTGTCTAAGCCTTAGCTTTAGTTCTAGCTTTAGATTTGGATCTAACCTTGGGGCTGGACCTTGCTTTTCGGTCTAGCTGAATCCTTAGTTCTGGCTCTGGACTAGTCTTATGTTGAGGCTTTTTTTGAACTTTATGCCTAGCCAGTGCTTTAGTCTCTGCCAAACTCTATATTTCGTCCAGCCCTAGCTTTTCAATTTTACAGGACTTCCTGATTATAAAACGCTTTTTTAGCTCCATACACAGTAGCACCTCCAGTCACAGTATACAATACAAACGAGTTTGGCTACAGTTATTGGTTAGCTTTAATCGCTGCCATTTTCATGGCAATAGCAACAGCTATTGCTGCTTCAAATGCTATGGTTAGTATGTCAATGACCGCTAACTCCTAGACTGAGCTGTTTAGAGCTGGACGTTACACCACGTGTTACTACAGTATTTTGTGTACATACATGTTTTGTTGATACTGCTTTGTACATAGGCTTGTTTTTTATTGTATATTACTTTTAACTAATTTATTGTTTATTAAATAAATAATTTTTTTTATTTTGTATAGAGGGCAAAGGTTATGATAAGGCTGGGTTTGAGGAAGAAACATTTAAACATTATAATAGGAGTAGTCAGAGAAAGAGAGAAAGACCTTGTTCTCTATGTTAAATACGCAACCCAATTGAGAGATAAGTGAGCGCGTATATACCTAAACAATCAAACCTTGTCCCTTCGAACTATCAGTTCCAAACTAAGGTTGGTAACTGTTTCAGCTCACTTTTGTGTGGCTGAACAATTTAAATTTTGGAATGCTTGATCAAAAGATCAGGCTTATTTAGTAACTCCTTTTGGTAGTAATATAATTTACATAATTGAAAAATCTCCTTTTAAAATATAAAAAATTTGGCGCTAGGACAAATGTGGTTTTTGAACATTTGCGGATTTTTTAAAGTTTTTTTTTATTTTTTAGTTAATTTATTTGTATTATGGTACTAAATTGTACTAAAGTTTGAATTAGTACGGTTTTAACATAACAGTACCTTTTTGGGCTTTTAGTACTATTTAGTACCAAAAATATAAAAACAGTACCGATTAAAAATTTAGTACTATTTAACATTAAGAAATATTAAAACAGTGCCAATTTAAACTTTAGTACCATTTAGTACCATACTACAAATAAATTAAATAAAAAATAAAAAAAACCCCTTTAAAAAATCCGCACATGTCCAAAATCCGCAAGTGTCCAAAAACCGAAGATCCGCAAATGTCTAAAAACCGCATTTGTCCTAGCGCCAAAAATTTCTTTTATCCAATTACTTGCCCACCAATATAAAATGACAGAAAAATGTCAAGAAGCAAACAATAGCTTATAAATTTATGACGCCAAGGTCAGTGAATTTTAAAAAATTACAAAATTTTAAATAATTTTTACTATTATCAAGCTTTTCCAACAAAGTGTACTAAAAAAGGGACAAGAAATATCAGAAAAAGAAGCACACATACGAGCCCTAATGTTTTTGGTCACAGAAAAAGAGAAAAAAACGTATCTCTAAACAGCGCGCAACCCAATCAAAAATCAAGCGATCGTGTTTATACTTAAAAGACGATTTCTGAGACGGTGAAGCATGGTGTGCACTAGAAATTGACCCCCTGTTTTTATCGTCTTAATGCATGAGATAAACAGTTTTAAGATGTATAGTGAAGTGTTTTTTGCACAAAATGTCATTTTGACATTTTTATGACATTTTTTGTCAAAAACAGTGAAAATTTATAATAATTTTAAAAACTAGCAGAATGTTTTAAAAATTTGTACACTTATGTTTTTAACTATGCTGATTAAAATTGTAGTTGAACATTTTTTTCTAAAGTTACCGTAACCTACCGTAACCCAACAGGTCGATTAAAAAAGTGCAAATAAAAAAAATTTAACACGGTTAGTCATAGTCAATTTTAGCATATTTGAAATCTACATGAAATTTGGGTTTGAATAAACGGTACGCTCAAACTTAAAGCTGCAAGTTTTTGGGGTTTTTGGTCAATTAATAAATTACGGTAGAATACGGTCAAAAAATTAAAAAATTACTGTGCCATTATTAATACATCAAATGCCGTGTAATTTGTTATACTTACGTTTCAAAACACGCTTATTAAAATTGTAGTTGAACTTTTTTTTCTAAAGTTACCGTAACCTACCGTAACCCGCCCGGTCGATTATAAAAGTGTAAATAAAAAAAAATTTAACACGGTTAGTCATAGTCAATTTTAGCATATTCGAAATCTACATGAAATTTGGGTTTGAATAGACGGTACGCTCAAACTTAAAGCTGCCAATTTTGGGGCTTTACGGCCGATTAAAAAATTACGGTAGCACAATGTCAAAAAATTTAAAATTTTACTGTCGCTTTGCTAATGCAACTACAAGCCTGCAAATTTGCATACTTATGTTTTTTACCATGTTGAACAAACTGGTAATTACAAAAAGTTTATAAAAGCACCGTAGCTTACCGTAATCCGACCGGTTGATTATAAAAGTGCAAATATCTAAAAATTTAACACGGTTAGTCATAGTCAATTTTAGCATATTTAGATTCTTCATAAAACGTAGATATTGAAAGGCTATAAGATAATCTTTAAAGCTGCCAATTTTGGGGGTTTACGGTCATTTTTTGGATAGTATGCCACCGTAATTTTTCAATTGACCAAAAACCCCAAAAACTGGCAGCTTTAAGTTTGAGCGTACCGTTTATTCAAACCCAAATTTTATGTAGATTTCAAATATGCTAAAATTGACTATGACTAACCGTGTTAAATTTTTTTTTATTTGCACTTTTTTAATCGACCGGTTGGGTTACGGTGGGTTACGGTAACTTTAGAAAAAAATGTTCAACTACAATTTTAATCAGCATAGTTAAAAACATAAGTGTACAAATTTTTAAAACATTCTGCTAATTGTTAAAATTATTATAAATTTTCACTGTTTTTGACAAAAAATGTCATAAAAATGTCAAAATGACATTTTGTGCAAAAACACTTCACTATACATCTTAAAACGGTTTATCTCATGCATTAAGGCGATAAAAACAGGAGGTTAATTTCTAGTGCACCTGCCTGTTTCAGGCTGCTTCACTGTCTCAGAAATCGTCTTTTAAACAGTCAAATCTTGTTCCTTCGAACTATCAGTTCCAAACTAAGGTTGGTAACTGTTTCAGCTCACTTTGTGTGGCTAAACAATATTAATTTTGGAATGCTTGGTTGAAGGATTAGGCTTATAATAGATAATATCTTCCAGGTCAGATCTAACCATCTGCAGTACTTAACTTCTTACAGTATGAATTTTTTTTTAATCAACACTAAATTTAAAAAAATATTTTACGTATCAATATTAAAATACGATTTTTTCTTTTTAATTTTTAAAGTTTTGAAGGGGTTTTCTCTGTTTTATTAAAATTTTTAAAAAAGTTTAGTTCTTGCCGCTGGAAACTAAGTTTTTGCAACTTTCTGCCTTGTAAAGAAAGTTCTTGTTATTTTGTGCTTTGTAAACAAATTTCTTGCTATTTTTTTGCTCTGTAAAAAAAGTTCTTGCTATTTTTTGCTTTGTAAAGAAAGTTCTTGCCATTTTGTGCTTTGTAAATAAAATTCTTTCCAATTCTAATCAAAATAAGTTTAGTTTTGCATTGTGCAGTCTGCGGGTGACAAGTTATACGCTGAATACTGTTTTCGGTATTCAGATAAAAATTGCACTTTTTTATGATCTGTAAAGGAAATTTTTGCTACTTTTTGGTTAGTAATTTTTTTTTGACATTTTGAAATCTGTAAAAAAATTATTGTTACTTTATATGTATATTCTTTGCACCGTGCAGAGATTTCTAATAACTTTTGATAACTTTTGAGACACTTCATACTGTTTAGTACTAAAATTGTGTTACCATTTTATATTAAAATTACAACTAGTTTAGTATAAGTCAAATTAATTTAATTTTCAGCGATTTCGATTAGTTTCTAGTCACTTAATAGGTCTTGTTTAATGTTGTAATTTTTCCGGAAATTTGGTTAAGTTTCAATTTTTTTGTTGTCTTGCTTTCGTTAAATTGTCATTTGATTAAAATTGACATCAAATTTGTTTTTGAAACGTATTTTATAATTGTTCAACGTTGGGGGTTTTTTAATTTATTGCACCGTGCAGTCATTGACCTTTTTAAAAATATGCAATGTGCAAAAAGTCCGAGAACTTTTGAAATGAAATTTGAAAAATATATGGATTGTTACCTTATCTTTACCTTCACAACTCAAAAATACTAAATTTTGCAATGAAATCACTTATTTTTTGTCCAAAAGCCTCTGCCCCTCATTACCCTTTATATTATCTATGGTTCCATTGGAAAAGCGTAAAGTTCATGAATACTTTGCTTTGTTTTCGAATTATTCATAAGACTGTGGGCAAGAATAGCAAAAGTAGAAGTCATTTGGGGGCTTTGTATCCGCTTTTACGTCCAATAGCGGCTCTTTTGAACCTAAACTATGGCCTTGACAATGGTCGGTTGGACGGATTTTTTGCTGGAAAAACGTGATTTTTAGCTTGATGGTGTTAAATTATTGTAAAATGGATAGAGAATAAGCTGTTCTATTTATATTTGAAAGCTTTGTGCTTTAAAAATTGCCTTACAGTTAGTTTTTCACGGCGAAAAGAAGAACGTCCGTTTGATGTCTATGATAATATAATTTTTCAAACAAAAAGTGATTACTCATCAATTTTTTATCAGTACAACAATGCAGCCTGTCTTGTTTGTTATGGTTAAACAATTGTTTTAAAATTTATAATTTTCAAATGAAATTCGATCAAACTAACTTGTGGTACCTTCGATGTCCTTGATGGCTACTACAACATGATGTAGCTAAAAAATGAGTTGGTAAAATCCTTTTAGCTTCTACAGTTTTAAAGAATCGATATTTGGCTAACTTTTTTATTAAATAAATTTTTTATCACGCATTTGGTTTTTAAAATATCACTCATCAAAGGCTACCGATTCGATTTCTATGGATATTCGAATGGGCGCAGAGTGCGCGAAAACCCCGTGTCCGTTCGCTTTTTTCTCTTTCTATAACAATTTCTGGTCGTTTCGGCGGATGGCTTTGTCGTTTGGGCATGGATAAATCCCGTTCTATTGTCGATTGTTTTCCACATTAATATTTTATGGAAACTTCGCTAAATTTTCGCGGAATCGGCCAAATTTTTCGTTTCCGGGCTTGAAACACTTTGAATTTCGTAAATTTTAAATGAATCACGATTGAAATGGTGTGGAAATGTTCGAAAATAGATTGATTAGTTAATGTCGAATGTTGACAGTTAGCAATTTAATTATTTTGAAGTGTACTTGAGTTTAAAATGAGCAATAACAGCCAGAGGGTATATTTATCGAAATTCCACTCTTTTTTGTCCGTTTTTTCTCAAAATTTGATGTTTTCCGAGAGTATTTTTTGTCTTCACGTGATTTCGAACGTTCTCAACACTGTTACGAACACAAAGATTATGCACTCATTGATTTTACAGCTGAGACAAGCAGTCTTCCGAGCAAATCATATGAGCCATCTGCTCTATTGTTCGCGATCTATAATATTCGTTTCTCCAAGCATTATAACACAAAATTCTTTGCAGCAGAGGATAGAAAATTATAGGCAGAACGCTTTAAGTTTAGAAAGAACAGCTTTTTGATTGAAAGTACAGTGTATTTGCATTATTTCCGATATTAACTATGATTGACATTACACATGACGCGTCGCGTGGTTTATGGCTTATTTCAGATAGAACTTACTGATATTTGTTGTTTTTAGGTTATATTCAGTTGTTGGAACGAATAAACCACGAACATCGGCAATCATGTCGTTCGCCGGGCTCAAGAAACAATTCAACAAGGCTAATCAGGTATGTTAATATTAAATTATTGTTTTTGATCTTTAGGTAAATTGAAGAAGAGTGTTTTTTGGTAAGAGTGATTTTGGTGGATTCGTGCTTCTTTTAAGGGTCAAGGTCTTAAAAAACAATTGTTTTGAAGCAAGTTATGAGTAATAATATTTTAAGTTGACTGAAGGTAATGGATAATATGTTTTCAGTATCTCAGCGAGACGATGGGCGCTGCTGAGGCAACAAAACTTGATGAAGAGTTCAATGAGATGGAACGAGTAAGTTTTTGGGCTATAAAATCGTATTAAAGATAGTTAAATATCGGTTTTGTTGGTTTATATACATTACCTAAATTCATTTGTAGCTGAAGTGTAATATTTTTACGTCAAAAACATTTTAATCTTTAAATTTCAGAAGATTGACCTGACCTACGAGTTAGTAGGAGCCTTGACAGCCGGCACTAATGAGTATCTTCAACCAAATCCAGCAACACGAGCTAAAATGGCAGCTATGGGTGCCATGAGTAAGGTCCGAGGTACCACAAAGTCCCAATCTTACCCACAAACGGAAGGTCTTCTGTCTGAGACTATGCAAAAGTATGGCAAAGGTCTAGGCGATGATTCGGACTTGGGAAAAGCTTTGGTGGATTCTTCAGAAGCCTTCAGGCAGATGGCTGATATCAAGTATCAACTGGAAGATGTTGTAAAACATAACTTTTTGGATCCAATCACTCATTTGATGAACAATGAGTTGAAGGATGTTAATGTATGTTGTTTAGTTTGTTTTGCTTTTGATTTTAGGTGATTTCAACAGAGTTATCATTGGCAAGAGAGTTATGATTCTAATTATATTGTTATACCTTCAGACTCATCGGACTAAACTAAAGGGCCGTAGACTGGACTATGATTGTAAAAAGAGAAAGCAAACACGAGATGATGAACTTCTACAAGCTGAGGAGAAACTAGAGGAATCTAAGAAGCTTACGGAACAAGCTATGTTCAATGTTTTGAGCAATGATGTGAGTTGGAATTGTTTATGGGAACTTTTTGGTGTTTCTTTTTAAAAAGTTGCTAAAACTGTCTAATAAAACCGTATTTTACAACAAATTTTAGATTTATTTTAAGTATATTAAACTCAAAATTGATTGAATTAAAATTTTTAGGTAGAACAAATTTCTCAATTGAAGGCTCTGGTTGACGCCCAGCTTGATTTCCATCAACAAACTCTTCATGTTTTAGAAAACTTGAAGGGACAATTAGATAACAGGATAAAGGAATGTTGTGCGCGGCCGAGACGAGACCACAGTGTGAAGCCAGTACTGATGGATAGAACGCCGAGAAGCCGGTAAGGATTTTAGAGGGTTTTCTTGGGGTTTAGGTAATAAGAATGATTTTGTAGGTTTTTAGGGGTTTTACTTACAAAATTTATTGTTTATGTGAAATGATGGGGATATTTTCATTTTAAGGCAAATTGTTACTTATAAAGTTGTTTTTTTGCCTTTAGATGGGTTTTATTACCTAAATTTTTTTGTTTTGTGGCTTTTAAGGTATTTTTGTTACCTGAAATTGATGTTTTTGGCGTTTTTAACGGAATTTTTTACCTAAAATAAGCAAACGTTCTTTTTTGGGGGTTTAAGCTTTAAAAAACTATTTTAGATAGATTTTTAGGTAACAATGTTTATGAACATGCAAACTTTTTAGTTTTTAGAGTTAAAAACTTTATTTTAGGCTAAAGTTCTAACTAAAAAACTTCATTTTATGCTAGAATAATATCTAAAACAAGCAGTTGTTACCTAAAAAAATATTTTTCAGATCCCCAGTATCAGGCGTCGTAGCCGGCACCAACAACCTGAACTTTGGTGAGTCGGCTCCACCAGCTCAGAATGGTGGCTCCCACTTCACCCCCACTCCAGCCGCCGCTCCAGCTTCGACCAAACCTCAGCCATCATGCAAAGCCTTGTTCGACTTCGAAGCCCAGAACCCAGGGGAGTTGGAGTTCAAGGAGGGTCAGGTCGTGGAGCTCCTGAACCAAGTCGACGAGAACTGGTACGAAGGCAGAATCAACGGAAAAACCGGCTTCTTCCCCATCTCCTACGTCCAGGTCTTGGTGCCATTGTAAAGTGTACTGTAACACCGAGATTACTTTTTAAGATACTGTAATTTTCTGTACTGTAAGATTGGTTATGACATGTTTTTATGATATTAAGTTGCTGAACTAATTCTGTGCAATCTTGAAAATATGGTTTGAGAGGGGCACAGAATTATTTGAACAACCTGATATATATTTGAATTCCAGTATGATTTTGATTCTAATTTTATATTATGGTATCTTGAGGTACTGTAACTTTTATTTTGTACTGTATTTCAAAATTACATTATTATTTTGTACTGTAGTTAAAACTTACAGTACTACTTTGTACTATAATTGAAAATTACAGTACTTTTTTCATGCTGTACATTTACTTTACAGTACTCTATGTTATTATACAGCAATTCAATTTTTTGTCAAAGCTACAGTAACCTAACCCTTATCATTTTCTATAACCTGATCAACCTTGAAGTATATTATTCTTGATTGTCTTACCCCATGTTTAGTCTAAACTATTGTTGATTCTAGTTCAAAATCACTTATAGCATTATTCGAATCTACAACTGATAAAAGTCTTGTCACACAAATCTTGTCCAATTCTTATTTATCTATTTCAATAGTATTTTACATTTAACCATTTTATATTGTTTTATTTTGCATTACTTACTCAATAAATGTTATATCAAATGGGGGTGGGGCTTATTTGAATTTTGAAGTTTAGTTGTTTTGGCATTTTCATATTTTTGACATAAAGTCTTTATTGTTGTAGAACTACCAGACTGTTCAGATAATTTTGTGCTCAAGCAAATTTACGGGGTTAGGGGCACATAATTATGAAGTCGTTCACTTAATTTTGCGCTCCTTTTTAAGCAAATTTTTGGAATTATGGGGCGCAGAATTAAGTGAACGACCTAATATTTGAACGACCAATTGGATGAAAAGATATTATAATAGTATCAAAATAGAAATGAATGGAAAGGAAAAGGTTTAGTATCAATCTCAGACATTGATTGCCATTTACTTATTCATCTAGTCCCAGAATATTATTATTAGGAGTTACTAAATTAGCCTGATTTTTTCAAGCATTCCAAAATTTACATTGTTCAGCCACACAAAAGTGAGCTGAAACAGTTACCAACCTTACTATGGAACTGATAGTTCGAAGAGAAAAGGTTTGATTGTTTAGGTATAATAACGATCACTTGCTTTTCGATTGGGTTTGGCAAAAGGAGCGAGTGTATTTCTCTGATTAAATTGTGATTTCTTTCCAAGTTTATAATATTAGGTTTACATTTGTATCTCTAATCATTGTGACTCAGCTCAATTTTTTGGCATAGTCTGTATTAAAAACTATTTTTAAGGTTAGTAGTTAAGAACCAATCAAAGAATGTTTTTAAATTCTGCAGCAAACCGATTGCATCAATCATTCCGGCAATAGCCTCTACAGAATCCGGTCGAAGGAGCTTCCTGTAGCTGAAGCTTCTTCCTGTATAAACGGAGAAAAGACTCCGGAATGTCTTCTTCGAATCACGGAATCTTCTTTTTTGATAACATTGTGATATGATTGAGCTGTTGACCTTACAACAACATTTGTCAACTGGCTCAGATCATACTCTACACGTTTTTTATCGACAGCCGGCTTATATAAAGTTAAATTTAAGATTTTGAGTGGAAGAGCTGGGCCGACAGATGTAGGCCTGAAGGTCAAATCGAGGCTCTAAGACTCAGCTTAGGTCCCGCAACGAAAGATTTGTAAAACGGATCTGATTTTAATCTATTTGCTTAAGACTTCTTTACGGTCCTAAGGTTACACATAAGGTTGATGACATTGCCCCGGGTTATGATTTTTTTATGAGCGGAAGGATGAAGATGAGCCGGCTGTCTCGAATCCAGAAGGAATCCGATGTTTCCGTCATCGTGGTCGCATCTTCACGTCTGCAAACCCGTTGATGACGGCAGTCACGGAATAACAAATGACCTGTCGAACGGATGCTCGAAAAATAGAGTTCAGAGAGTTAGAGGTTAAGAGTTTAAGCCTATTTTTGAGGTTTAGGCTTAAAGATAGTGTAATGTTAAAGACTGAACTAAAAACACAGCTTACAAGTAAGCTTTTCTTAAAACTTCTCCACCGGTGATATATGTTTGTCTGGCCAGAGAAAAAGAGAAAACTCTCTCTGCTCAGCGCGAAACCCAGTCAAACATTAAATGTGCATTTTTAGGTATAAAGACTCGTATTCTTTGTCTTCGAACTATCAGTTCCATACTAAGGTTGGTAACTGTTTCAGCTCACTCTTGTGTGGCTGAACGATATTAATTTTGGAATGCTTGGTCTAATGAAGATCAGGCTAATTTTTCTTGCAAACTTTGAAAAAAGTTGTAAAAAGTGAATGTGTGAAAGGATCATCTCGCTGATCACTTTTTTAGTCATTAATAATATAACAAACAGGCTTACGTCGTTCCGAGAAACAATCGCAATCAAAGTAAAAAAGGTTCTTTTAGTCTGACATTTGATGTAATTTGTGGACTAAAATTGACTTCTTTGGATTAGAAAGCTTCAAGGCATATCATAAGACAGAAAATATTTTTGTGAATCGGTCCGGGTACTAATAGCAAAGCTTTATCCTTAGCCTGATCTTGAGTTTGAGCCTGAGCCCGAACCTATACCCATGCCTATGCCTATGACTTAGCCTTAACGTGAGCCTATTCTTTAGCCTTAGTTTGAACCTGAGTCAGCCTTAGTTTTAGCCGTAACCTTAGCCCTTATTTTACATAGTAACCTTTTGTTTTCATACCCTCTAAGCTTATAAAAACATAACTCGGAGATCACGTTGCGACATAAATCATCGAAATCGCTATGCCGTTTCTGAGAATTGCTTTGCTAGCGAGTTAATAAAGGTCATTAAAAGTGCAAAAACAAACGTCACGAAAACTTGTATAATTACTTTGAAAGCGTGCTTTTACTAAAGTATAATAACATCATAAAAACTTCCCGGTTTAACACTGTCCTGCCCTGAATTTCCTTGCCTTGCCTTGCTTTGTCCTGCTTTTAACTTACCCTTTACTACCACTAACCTACCCTTTCCTACCCCTAACATGCCCTTTCCTATCCCTATCCTACTCTAGCCAACCTTGCCTTAATCTATATTGCTTTATCCTACTCCTAACCTACCCTTTACTACCCGTAAGCTACCCTTCCCTACCCCTAACCTGCCCTGCTCTAACGAGATCTATTGCGTCGTTTTCACGTTGTCGCTCACGTTTTCTCATCAACGTGCCGTCCTGATTAGTTTGCTTTTTATCAACTTCCGTCTGTCTGGATCTTCTTTATCTAATCTCGTTTTTCTGTTACTTATTTGATCATAAACTCAACTTTCTTGACCTTTTTAGTCAAAATGTCATTTTTATTACATGTTTTTTAAAAACTGACCGTTTTTTGTCTGTCTTAGTATGTTTTTTTAACGTTCAATCGTTCTTTGCCGTTCTTTATCATTTTCTTTATCATTCTACCTCTATTTCACTCTTTCCTACCCTTGTTACTACCTTTATAACTACCCTTATCACTACCCTAACCACTACTCAAATCGATGCCCTTATCTTTAGTCTTTAGCACTACCATAATTACCATCTGTATCTCTGATATTGCTCATATCACTTTTCTTATCACTATTATTATCACTGTCTTTATCGCTACCCTCACTACTATTCTTATCTCTAACCCTAACGCCCTTATCCTTACGTTTTAACGCCGCTTTCAACCGGATTGCTTAAGGCGGTTCCCTCCGATGAGTTATGAAAATGAAGATGGGTTTATGACGAGGTTCGTCAGCAATGTCATCAGTATTATTATCAGTCGCCAAACGGATAAAAAGCTCACATTTCCGTGGCACGCGCCCATTTTCATCGACCAAACCGGAACGGTCGATAATTTCTTGAGCTACAGAAAACGGTCGATAATTTGCTGTGAAAACGGTTGATAATTCGCTGTGCTACAAAAAACGGTCGATAATTTTTGGTTCTATAGTGAACGGTCGACTAGTCTTTGTTAGGCTTTGATAAATCGGTCGATAAGCTATTTTTTAACCCTAAATTGACCGGTCGATAAGCGTTTTGCCCGCCTATCTAAAACGGTCGATAATTTCTGTTCTACAGGAAACGGTCGATAATTTCTTGCTTCACTTAGTTCGGTTGATAAGTTTTTTGACCTAAATTGACCAGTCGATAAAGAATGTTAATATTGGCCATTATTTTACTATGGGCCGGTCAATTCGCTGCCATACCGGTCGATAATGCAGTTGTTGGTGAACCCACTGTTGCTTGTGGTCCTCATGCCATCGAAGTCACTTTCCAAACACAGTAAGTGTATTCTTACGTATTAATTTTGTATGTATTCGTACTTTACTAAAAATTAGAATGGCAGAAAAGTCGTCGTTTACCATTGTTTTGAACTTCTTTACAACAGCTAAAATGAATTTTATTGTATAATTTGTCACCCGTAGGCTGCAAAGCACAAAATGTGTTTATTTTGAATAGAAGTTGCAAGAAGTTTCTTTACAAATGAAAAAATGCAAAAAACTTTCCTTACAAAGCCTAAAATGGCAAAAACTTTCTTTCCAAACCATAAACTGACAAGAGCTTTCTTTCCAAACCATAAACTGGCAATAACTTTCTTTCCACATTCTGTCTGACCGCAAAACGTCATTCAAAGACCACGAAAGCCCGAAGGTACCTCTTGGTCTTAACCACAGATAATGAACGATATGATAATCGGTCGGTCGATTGCGGGTTTCACGAAAGGTCTGCCCAGGTCAATCTAGTGTAAATGACAAGATTATTAAGCCAACAAAAATTCGGCTAAGGTCATCTGATTGGGGCTGGAAAGAAAGTTATTGAAGTTTTTAAAAAAGTTTAATGATTGCACCGTGCAAAGGAGCTAAATTGTGAGAACTTTGTTTACAAATCTTAAAACGGAAAAAACGTTCTTTACAGGTCTTAAACTAGCAACAGCTTTCTTTACAAGACATAAAATGGCAAGAACTTTCTTTACAAACTAAAAAATAGCAAGAACTTTCCTTACAAGTCACGAAACTGCAAGAAACCAACAGATATTCGAAGACCCCAGTTACCTGAAGTCACTTCCAAAAATTGGCCAACTATTTATTCAGCCGCCCCTGACGCTGGCATTGTATGATAACTGGGGTCTTCATCGGATGGGCGGTCCATGCTTAACCGTCTGTAATTGAATTCGAGTCTTCTTTTTGGCAGTTGCTTTTTGATTGGGTTCCCGTTTGAAAATATAAAAAAGGCTTTTTTTCAGTTTTTCAACATAGAAAACGCAAAAAAGAGCGTAATCCAATCGAAAGACAAGTGTCAGAAAAGGGATCCGTTCAGTGTTGGGCACAGAGCAGTTCTAGGGCAGGTTAGGGTAGAAGGGCCGAGGGTGCTTCGGGCCGGGCTTCTAAATTTCTCTGCCCGGCCCGGTCCGCTTGGATCGCACTTTTATAAATTAATTTTCTATTGTAAATAAATATAAATCACGCGTTACACCGCGAAATATTTGAATGCTAAACTGTTTGGCATTGCATTTTAGGCTGTTTTTACTAGGCGTGAGAAACGGTCCTAGGCCCGGCTCTAAGTTCGGGTCGGGCCGGCCTTGAGCTATAATTGAAAATTGGGCCCGGGCTTGAAAAAATATTTTTTTAATTTTTCTTCTCTCTTTCTCTAACCTCAATAGTTGTGTCCTTATTAATTACGCATGGTAAAAATACAGAGTAAAGTCCTCGTTCTGTTTTGTCCAAACACTGACCAAACTTCAGACTTGGACTTTGGGCTTACGAAACTTTAAAATCTTATATCATTTGCCAGTTTTTTAGGTTAAACTTATATATTATATAAATCAGCCCATAAATTTTTGACTATTGTGATATCAGCCCAATCTTTCGACCAAGCATTTCAAAATTAGTATTGTTCAGCCACACAAAAGGCTGATTAGAGCTATGTTTTTTCTCTCTTTCTCTGACTAAAAACGGTTCTCTTATGTTTATTGACCTAATATAATAATACACTATTTCTCATATTAAAGAAACGTATTTTAGAAATCCTTTCCACGGCCGTCTGTACGTAAAAGGTCGGTCATCAGACGGAGACTGTAGTAATGAACAAATTGGTCGAACCTTTACTGGAATTACTCTGCCCTTCGAAGGCTGTAACGTTCAGAGGTTACGGTCGTTGTAAGTTTTTACTATTTTTAAATCTTTTTGTATATTTATTATGATACTAAATAAATAGTACTAATCGGTACTTTCAGAAACCCAAAAGGTATCTTTGCCTCGACAACAGTGGTTATATCATTCCATCCTATCGTAAGTTTACCTACCTTACCCTACTCTACCCTACCCTACCCCTTTGCCATACCCTGACTTTTTGCCATACGCTATCCTTTAGTTCTGCCTCTTAGCCCTACCTCTTTCTACCTTATACTGCCCTAAAACATGCCATAAATTATCTTACAGCATGCCCTACTATGTCTATAAAATGCCCTACCCTACTCTAAGCCTTGCTCTTGAAAGCCTTTCTTTACCCCTTAAAGATGCCCTGCCATAGCCTAAAATCAGTACTGTCTATATTTCAGTTCGTGACCAAAGTGGACCGAGTTTACCACATTCAATGTTTCTACATGGAAGCCGAGAAGACCGTGAGTCAAGAAGTGGAGGTCAGTGACATCACCACCGCCCTAGCCACTCACCTACTACCCATGCCCATCTGTCGCTACGATGTCCTCGACGGTTCACCCACGGCGGCTCCAGTCCAGTTCGCTGTAGTAGGACAACAGGTGTACCACAAGTGGACTTGTGACACTGAGACCACTGATACTTTCTGTATGGTCGTTCATACCTGTTTTGTGGATGATGGTGCAGGTGACAAAGTAGACTTACTCGACGAAAATGGCTGTGCCAGAGACAAGTTCTTGCTGAACAACCTGGAATACCCTGAGGACTTGAGTGCTGGCCAAGAAGCTCATGTGTTCAAGTACGCGGACAGGGCGCAGCTCTTCTTCCAATGCCAGATCGCGTTGAGTTTGAAGGATGGAGCTACGGAATGCCCAAGGCCGGAGTGTGCGGAGCCTGGCAATCGGGTGCGAAGGCATGTCAAATCGTAAGTTTTTGAGAATTTTTAATAGAGAGGGGGGGGTTAGTAAGGGTAAGGTAGGTTTTTGAAGTTTGAGGGTAGTGCTTTGAAGGGTGGGGTAGATTTTTTAAAGAGGGGGTTAGTTTTTCAATTTTTTAGGTAGATTTTCGAAAATTTTTTAAAACTTTTCAATGTTACGGGCTAAGGGTAAAATTATGTTAAGGGAGGGTAAGGTAGATTTTTGAATATTGAGGGCAGATTTTTTATCAGCCCAATCTTTCGACCAAGCATTCCAAAATTTACATTGTTCAGCCACACAAAAGTGAGCTGAAACAGTTACCAACCTTAATTTGGAACTGATAGTTCGAAGAGACAGGATTTGATTGTTTAGGTATACAAGAGCTTATTTTCCTTTTGATTGGGTCCGCGCTGATGAGAAAGAGAGTACGTTTTCTCTCTTTCTTTAACCTGCTCTATCATTAACTACCCAATTCTTACAAAACTTGCTCTACGCTTAAAAATCAAAAATCTCTCCTACCTTTAAAAATGTATTCAACCCTTAAAGATCTGCCATATTCTCAAAATACCCTCCCTTTTTAAAGATACTCTTAAAAATCTTTCCTACTTTTTAAAAATTTGTCCTATCTTTTGAAAATATACCATACCCTTTAAAAATTATTGTTTAAAAATTTACCCTACCCTTACAAAAAACTTTCCTGTCTTAAAAAAAGACTTGGAATTTATGAAAAGCAGGCTTTTAGTTAGAGAAAGAGAGAAAAAGCTTATTCTCATAAGGAAAACCCAATCAAAAAACAACTGAGCGCGTCTATACATAAACAATCAAATCTTATCCCTTCGAACTCTCAGTTCCTAATTAAGGTTGGTAACTGTTTCAGCTCACTTCAGTGTGGCTGAACAATATTAATTTTGGAAGGCTTGGTCTAAAGACTCGGCTCATATTACAAAGGTTTTGTTTAAAACTTTCTTTCTACTTCAAAACCCTCAATTTCAGCCCCGAAATCGATATTTTGAACTCGATTGACGTCGCTTCAAAGGAGATTTTCGTTTTTGACGCAGATCTTGTACCAAATGTACCAGAAGCATCAAATCAGTACTGTTTTGACAAACCACAATCCATAGCGTTCATAGTCATGATCACCTTACTAGTACTACTATGTTTCGCCATGGTTGTGGTCGTTAATCGGCAAAAATGAGGTTTTTGGCCTCATGTTGTACCAAATCAGTGATCTCAATACTTATTCCATGTTAAATTTAGGCCTCTTTTAGCGTTTAATAAACTTGAAATTTGTGGTTTTGGCCATTCTTTACCGTAAAAACCAATTTAAAACAATAAATTTCTTTTCATCACTACTTGTTACCTAAAACATTCAAAAAAGGCCAAATACACTTGGCAAATGACCAATATTTATTTAAAAATTACCAAAAATGTTATTTTAAGATGAGTTCAGATCACAAGTACAGTAACATATAGTACTGTATTAAGCACAGTATCATATGGTACTATAATTCGTACAGCACTACAGGGTGCTGTAATAACAACTTTAGTACGAATATTGAGTTGTGGTAATAATGATAAGAGTCTTGAGGAGTAAACAAACAAAAAGTAGAACAAGAAGGGCCTAAGGCAACTTTAGAAGTAAGCAAAATGGCATCTTTTATCTTTTTAAATTTAAAAAGTAAAATACGATCGCCATATTACACAAAATCGCCTTAAAACCCCAAAAAATCGACCAAAACAATACAACTTTTTAAAAACTGTACCATTTTGGGCCGACTTCCAACCAGTCAATTAGATTGGCTTGATCTTGAAGTGGAGTCCCATCAGAGAGAAGACCATGCACTTGAGGTCTTGTACCAGATAGTAGAAGCATCTCAGCCCGTCCGCGTCCTCACTGTCCTGAATGTCCATCAGGGAGCCGATCTTGGAGGTTGTGAATGAGACGTGCTCGTCGCCGATCAGGATCTCCAACTCTTGACGGCCGACACGGTCCGGTTCTGGCCATTTTGTGTCGTCTTCCTGCAATTTTAGGTATTAAAAATGTGAAATATGAAGCTTAAAACAGTTAGAAATAGTATTTTCATATAGTACTAAATAGCACCTCTTTCATAATAATACTCAATAGTACCAAAGAAATACCCATACTGCATATCACAAAAGCAAACCAACCCAAAAAAACACCTACCATCAAAATATCCGAGTCCATGACGATGCGCTTCAGCTCGTTCAACACCGACTTCGAGACGACGCACTCCTTCCTGATCAGGGTGTCATTCTTGTAGTTACTGTTGTTGGCGTAGCGAAGTTTGCCGTCTGGTCGGAAGTCGAATTCCAAGAACTCATGACCGAACTTTCCCTTGTGGCCGACGTAGTAACGGAGGTAGAAGCGATCGCCCGTCTCTTGCCTCTTATCTTCATCGGCTTCGCCCATTCTTGCTCTGAAAGTATGAGATCGTTAAGGAGGATTATTAAATAATGATGAATATAAAGTTAAATTAGAAAATGCTAAAGGTAATGAAAGTAAAAAACCGCTAGAAATATGAATAACAACATAAATAAACAAAAATTTTAGAAAAATAACAAAAAATAGCTAAGGGTGAGAAATTGGACGTGTAGGCCCAGCCCTACAATCGGATCGGCCTTGATCTAAAGTTGAAACGGTCCGGGCTTAAAAGTTGGTCCACGAGTTGGGCTTGAAAAACAAGCCAAAACCAATTTTTAAAAATTTTTCCTTTTTAAAACGAACCAAGCCAACCCTAGAATTGTTTTGACCAAGCTGAGTCAAAATTTTTATACCACGACCCTGTGCCGATAGTTGAACAATCTAATATAATATAACATGAAAAACCAAAAACACACAAAACAATACCCTAAACCAAAGTAAAATAACAAACAAAACTAAGATGATATATCTAAACATAAAAAAATATAAATTAGCATATCAAAATCGCTAAAATAACTCAAAAAACCATAAAATTGAACCTAAGATACTATACCAAATATTAAAAAAACCTTCAAAAATCAACAAAATAACCTAAAAAGTCAACCTGAAACAACAAAAAAAGTGTCATAAAAACAAAACAATGCAAGTATTTCAGTGTTGTTCAACACATAAACCAAAATCTACTACAATATCGTTTTAAATCCATTTATATTAATAAAAAAACCTTTAATAAACCTTAAATGAATCAAAATAACGTTAAAATACAAAATGTGAGAGTAATATCATTCAAATCCGAAACATAATATAAACTTTACAATAGAGAACGAGACCATCAACATTAGGTATATTCACCTTAAGAAAATGTGTTTTGATTGTAGTGTTAGGTTGTTCAAATAATTCTGTGCCCTTCCCAAAACAATTGTTCGAAGTTAAAGAGCACATAATTATTTGAACAACCTAATAATTGTAGTTATTACCAAAATTTTGTAGGAAAAGATAAAAAAATCACTTATATTGTTTTAGGTGATAATAACATAAAGAATGGGTTAGACAACATTGCTTTAGGCAATAATGAATTTACTTGAAAGTTACTTTACCCTTTATATTGTTTTAGGTAATAAGTAGATCAAAAACCTTGTAAATGTAGCTTATTATAATAGGTTCTTCAAATAATTCTGAGCCAACTGATCCCGCAAAACTTGCTTTGAGAGTAGCTCAGAATTTTTTGAACAAGCTAATCAAAAGGCTCAGAATTTTTTGAACAACCTAATAAATCAATTATTTTGTAAAAAAACTCTTGAATATTGTTACCAAAACATGAAGATCATTACGGAGAAAATTACAAAAAAAACTGTACAGTAAGACATCTACAGTACCCCTAACCGTAGCAACAGGCTGTTAACAACAGCACCTACACCAGTTCGTCTTCTTCTTTCGGCCGTTTGGCTCCATCCAGCACTGGTGATGCTTGTCGTTTGAAGCTCTGATGATTCCTCACATCTCCGCCCTCCTTCTCGTTATCGTAATATTCTCCATTCGCTTCCACAATACCATCAGAAATGGCATCGGGTAGGCGAATATCTGGATCGGCCGCGTCTATCGCCGCGGTTTTGTCAATTCTGGTGGTTGGGGTTTCTGGAATTGATATCATTTATACATTTGGTCCTTTAGTCATTTTTTTGTTGTAACTTCATTAAAATTTTAAGTTAAAATCAAAACTACAAACGTATTGAATTGTTCAAAAAATCCTGAGCCACCTCTCAAAGCAAATATTGGAGATTAGTAGCTCAGAATTAATTGAACAACCTAATATTTTCCAAAACCTGCTCGTTACCTTTCATTTGAACTGAAGGAGCAGCATCAAGTTGTCTTAGCGACTCAAACAGTTCAATTTTGACCTTATCCAGGTATTCCCGAGTATTATGATTGGGCATATTCGATGGTGTGATGTGTAACAAGAAGTCTGGACCATAGTAATCAATGTATGGGTTGTATGGAATATCTGGAAGATTAAAAATAAATTTGTTTAAAGGTTCCCACTTCATTTCTACATAAAATCCTTCCACAAATCACTCAATAGGTCCTCAACTCACTGTTAGAAAGCTCCACATCCAAAGCAACACTAGTCTCATATGCCCAGCACCTCGCCACATTCCTGATCGTGTATCCACCACCACCCAACATCAATATTGGCACATTAAACTTCTTCAGAAACTCTAAACATCTACCGTGACCTTTTACTGTCAAGTTGAAGCAGCCCAAACGATCTCCAGTCAGTGAGTCTGCTCCACATTGAAGTACTACAATATTGGGCCTGAAGTGCTCCATCACTTTTGTCATGACTGGTGCAAATATCGACTCATATGTGGCGTCATCAATTCCATCACGTAGCGGAAAGTTTAGAGCGTGATATCGACCTTCTCCTGCTCCGACATCCTGAAATCAAGTGTAACATAAGGTTTCGATCCGTAGAACAAAATAAAAATGCTGACTGACTTAAGACAACTTTTACAAGCAAAACAATATATCATTTAACATTTTAAAACAAGTTATAATACTTTCAAAGCCATCAACTTCAAAATATCACCCAAAATATATGCACCTACCCTGATATCTCCTGTTCCCGGGAAATATTCACCATATTTGTGAAAACTGCATGTCATTACTCGATCTGTTGTGTAAAAAGCCTCCTCAACACCATCCCCATGATGAATGTCAATATCCACGTACAATACACGCTGATGATAGTTCAGCAGCTCCAATATAGCAAGTACAATATCATTTGTGTAACAGAATCCAGAAGCTTCGCATTTCTTCGCATGGTGAAGTCCACCCATCCAATTTATTGCTATATCTGCTTCTCCAAGGTTTAACTTCGATGCTGCGGCTACAAAAAATATTGTTTTAGGTAGGGCATTAGATAAAAATTGTTTTAGATGAATTAGGTCATTCTTTTTGGTAAAATATTCCAATAATTGCCTAAATATCAAAAAAAGTAAAGAAAAGCTTACCCAAACTTCCTCCACTTGATATACAACAGAATTCGTATAAACCGTCAAAGACTGGGCAATCTTCACCAACATTAAAGTTCTGCATCGAATTCCCAAAGTTTGAGATATTGTCAGGCCTGATGTCCTTCAGAAAATTGATGTAATCATCTGAATGGAACGTCGTCAAGGTCTCGAAAGTCGCTGGATCTGGCCTCTAAAATATCATTCGTAATTTCGAAAAAGATCTCTGCTTAAAGGCTAAAACCAAATGTAAAATTTAAAATAACTTACAAACACATCCAACTTTTGATAAATGCCATAAGAACACAATAAAGAATGTGTCATACGTATTCTGTGTGGCTTCATTGGATGCCCTTGACCATAGTAAAAGTTCCCAACATCACCGTCGTAAAAGTAACTTATTCTGCGTTTGCCCATCCTGAAATTAAAGTGACATAAAAAAATGTTTAATATAAGAAAAAATATGAAATAAAGAAAATGTAAAACTACATTTTACAAGACATTATGGCAAAAATATAAACCAGATCACAAAAAACTGTGTCCAAAATTCGGCGCGCAAAGCCAAAAATGTATCGCTTGCTACAAAATGCCAAAGATTTGTTTTCGTGTCTGAGCCAAAACTTAACATTGGTGTGACGAAACAAGCTATTTTTTGCCAAAAAAAGATAATTTTTAGTATAATATATTCTAGCATTATATTTATTTACCATCGCTTTTAAGAAGTTTAATGTCTCAAGAGATTTTTAATAAAGTAAGTTCACAAGTTTTGTTAAAATATTGTCGAAAATTTAGGATAATGGAGATGCTAACGAGGATGTTTGGGACGATACAGCCATGATCGAGATGTACGACAAGTGTAAGGCAGAGGCAATGGAGAAGATTCGAATCAGCACAAGTCAGGAAAATGTAAGTTTTAGATTTTGGGTTGAATTATGGGTTTATGTTGTAGTAGTGAATAGGTAAAGGGGTTTTTGCTATAACTTTTTTTTAAATGATAGATAAGGGCTCTAATATTTTATTGGGTCTAGTTTGTGATATTTTTCAACTATTAAATTAAAAAACGTTTCAAAATTGGTTTGGGTTTTGAAGTTATATTACTTTTACAATCACTTTGCTTTTTCAAAGTTTTTCAAAAATTTTTGTAAAAATATTAAGTTAATCGTCTAGTAATGCGTTTTTAAACAAACTATTAATTTTTATACTTTTCAGTTGTCTAACAAGGCCTGGAAAGTGGAAGATTTGTGTATGGCCCCATACGAAGATGGCAAGTGGTACCCAGCTAAAGTGTTGTCGATTGATGGTGATCGTTGTAAAGTATGCTACACAGAATACAATGAAGAAGCCGAAGTTGATGTGAAAGATTTGTTAAGGTAAGAGTTTATTTTTTTGTGTTTCGAAACGCTAGGCGCAAACTGATGTCTGGTCGGTTCAGGAAGGACACCGTGCTCTATGGGGAATCTGGAGAAGTTCAGCGTGCGAACGGTGTTTATGTTCAAAAAAATGTTTCTGCGTCTGAAGAGGGGTTGTATCAAGTAAAAGAGACGTTGTATAGTATATATGACAGTCAATATGAAGACTTTAATCAACCAGAAATGAAACCTCACAAGAAACGTGATATCAACAACAAACCTGAATGGCTGGGCAACTTCTACAATACTCCTGGGTATGAACAATCTACAGAACATTCATATGGTGTAAATACACCTACAACATCAATAGAAGCTTCTGAACGACCTCGATTCTTTACAACAACAAGTAATATGGTACACCCTATCACATTAACAGAGAAAACTCAAAAGTTTCTCAAAAGGAAGACTTTAAATCCGAATGATGTTATTGTAAAAAAGGGGAAGACCGAGCAGATTGAAGAGTTGTTGCAGACAACGAAAAAAGGAGCATCTAACGATGGAAAAATAACATTAACAAGATCAAAAACGGAAGAAATACAAGAAATGTTGAAGAAGGCGAAGAGGAAGAATTCAGATGAAGTATTGTTAGAAGGGAAGTTTAAAAAGCTAGGAGATAAAGATGCCCAACTCTTCCGGAAGCCAAAATTAAAAATTTTCCAAGATCTGTCAACCTCGTCATCGTGGAAGAAGTTGAATTCAGAATCAGAAGACAAAAACGAAATTTCAGTTTTCAAAATTCCAACCGGCTTCAAAACTCAGTATCAGCTACTGAACGACAAGAAAAAAGGACTAGAATTACCACCGTGCACGGCTACAGACTTCAACTGGGCTCCAAAGTTTGGAAACACTGAAGCTCCAGAGCAATTGTTACCTGATTTCGTCTTCGATCGACGATTTTGCGAACAAGACCAGATCTTCTCCATAGGCACGAGCAAAGTCAAGTTTGCCTGCGCCAAAGCACGGCTATTCAGCTACAATATCGACCGGTTGAAGGGGGTGCGCACGGATTTGGTCTTTGTCAAGAACAAGGTCATGGTGAAGGCCGAGCACACGTTCCTGGCCAAGGCGTCGCTGAACAGTGCGAACAAAAGACTTATTGCGAATAGAGTTGCGGCCACAAATGTGTTTTTGAATCACCTAACTCAAGGTATAATAAGCGATATTTGCAGTGAGGACGGGGTCGAGAAGGATTCGCAGGACAAGATGGAGGTGACCGAGGAGGCGGCCGCTTCACAGGAATATGTAAGGCATTTCGAGGTTTTTATTGTGGTATCAGTATTTATAGGGTTTAGTTTTACATCTTTAGTTTTGTGATTTTAAAATTTTAATGTTATTTTTGATGCTATATTCAGTACGATACTATTTTACATTGATTACGCCTCCATTTTACCAATCCCCCCATTTCAGAAGCCAGTATCGAGTAAACTGTTCCCAATCCCATCGATTTGCCCGCCCCCACCCGCTCTGTTCGCCAAGATTGCCAAGTCAGGAAACGAGAAGGAGGCCCTGACCAACATGCTGATGAGTTGGTACATGAGTGGCTATCACACCGGCTTCTACGAAGGCTTCAAGGAGGCCCAGAAGAGCATCCAACTCGGCAAACGAAAGTAAAACTGGTCTCAACCCTCGATCTAACCGTATATTGTAATCAAATTATGGGTATCCTAAAGTGTTTTTTCTTCGCTTAAAACTTTCTCATCTTCTTGTTCTAATAAAGACTTGTTTTAATATTGTTTTATAGTGTTGTGGTAGCTTAAAATTAAAAAAAAACTGATTTTTAAAGGAAAAAATGCCATTTCTTAGGGTTTCACAAAAGTCTTGTCGTTTTTCACGTGCTAAATACATGTAAAATAACGACAAGACTTTTTTATCCTCTATTACAATAAAAAAATCTTATAAAATATAACCATAGCTGTTAATCGAGTATAATTTAATCAGAAATCAAAAATTTGGCGGAATTACTTGAGCGGATCAAACTTGATGACCTTGGCCGGGCCAACCTTCTGGGCCTCTTCGGCCTGCTTCTTCTCCAGCGCCTTCTGCTGCTTCTGTCGCATGATGTCGGCGTCACGGCTCAGCCGGCTGTCGGTGGAGACGCCGTTGGCACGGTCCTGCGCGGATTTGCTCTTATTGGCATCCTGTTGCTTCTTGAGGTTCTTCAGGCGAGCTAGGTCACGTTGGTTACCACCTGGAATGTAATAAAGTTAAAATTTGGTTTATGGTGCTCATATTGTGCTAGGAATTACACATTTTTTTTACCAACGAGCCCTAAAAAACTAGGTTAGTCTAAAATTGGCCTATATTATCCTTGTTTCAAGCCTTTTTTTCCTCAAAAACTTTGTTTTTAAATACCAAAAATACAGTTTTAAATATACTTAAAAAACCGTTGTTTAAATTACGAGCTAATCCTTCCCGTTCGTCTTCTTTTTTCTCATTTTGCACCCTAAATCAACTCAAAAATTGAACGAAAAGTGCGCTCAAAACCGGTTTTTCAATCGATTGTCCACTCTCTCAGCGGTTACAAAGAAAAAGTAGAAAAATATCAACAAAAAAGTAGTTCAAATTTATAAAACACAGCTTTTAAAAATATATTCTTTATCGAGAATTTCAGAAAAATCTCAAAAAATCGCTAAATTTGATTAAAAAAGATCACTGTACAGTGCGTATAAAAAATTAAATTTTAAAATGATTTAAAACCAAAAAGTGGCTAAAGTGACGTCTGATGTCAGATTTTAAAGCAATATATCCAAAACTATTAATTAAACTTCAAAAAAGCCTTCTGAAACTACAAAAAAAAATTTTAAACTATCATCTTGGCTACCTTATATTATAACATCCACTCTTTGGCCTATATCTTCATCCTAACCAATCGATTAACCCCAAAACCTCTTCCACACATTCTTCATTATCTTCACCACCATTCAAACCCAAATCAACTAAAATTGAAACAAAAACACAAGAGCAATATGAAAAAGCAACTTACGAGTCATTTTGATAGCAGAAAACCACGGAACTCTGAAGGAAGCTTGGTCGGAATTCTACCGCGGCGACGCCGCCTTCTGTTCAACTATGCTGAAGAAAGGAAAAAATGAGAATAAAACGAAACACCTTCTTCTCCACGGATGAGAGGCGGATCACGCGAAAAGCCGAGTAATAATGCAAAAAACACAAAAATTGACGAATTTCTGGAAGTTTCCGCGTGTTTCACGACCAAAGTGAATGTGTAAGGGTTGATTGTAATATTTTAGATGTAAAAAGTGTAATTATTAAATCACCGGAAGTTGAAATTTTGGTGAAAGAGCAAAAGAAAGGGGTAAGGGTCAAGAAAACCTAGTAGAACATGGTTACTTTTAATCATAACTCAAAAACTAATGCACAAATACTTCTCATTTTTTAACATCAGATACACCATTTTAGTATCTTCAATTGTGCCAAAGGAACTTATTCTTCAACATCTCCGTCAAAAGTTATAACCATTTCTAAAAGAGGTATACCTATACTTCGTAAACTGAAAAATTTAAAAAATCCTTTTAAAAAACCAATATTAAAACACCAAATAGCTATAAAACACATAATTATGCTCCTTTACGATCTCTTCTACCACTTCTAACCCCAAAAACAGTTTTAAATGTGAAAAAACCAACAATATTGACCAAAAACTCGACTAACAGCTAAAACAATATAACCTATAACACCAAAATTATTCTCTTAAAACTCCCACCTTTAAAAATTCACAAACAACATATCGTAAGCATTGTAGACAGTGTAATATGCCACATAAATTAACTGTCCCCTCTCAAAAATGACCCGTCTCATTCGAGTTCCTCAATATGATACGCAAACTGACCACATCTTGATGTTCAAGACAAGAAGTGGGAAACTTCGAGACCTGCGACACGACTTTCTTCTCCGTTAAACGCATTTGAACAGCTGACCTTTCGCCGAATATACAATTTTTTTCTCGGAAATTTAACAAAAATGCAGGCTGCGACCGAACTTTAACAAAAGAAGTCTTTGCAGGCTGCACGCGACATTTTATACGATGAAAACTGGCTGCTTGTAAAAAGAACCGTAAATTGTTTAGAAATGTAATGAGTTATAATAAAAAGCTCATAGAATGAAGAAAAATTCAAGTTTACAAAGCTTGGGTGATAAAAAAATTGTAAAAATTTTAAAGAATCTACATCAATATAATCAGGTAGGTACAAATTTCTATCTTCAGGCCAAACAAAATCCAAAACGAAATAAAATAATGATTTATAGAGTCCAGTAGTGCCGGAAGGATAATTTTAATCTGGGCAAGTAAAAAAAATTTAATTTTTGTTGAAGATTAGTAATCTTATGCCCGGCCCTAGCCTCCAGGCAATTCTACAGTATCAAACTTTACAATTTTTAATTTTGAAATGATATTTGATAAAATAATAGAATTTTTCAACATTTTTTAATAAACGGTTGGTATCATGCTTAATATAAGACACACTTTGATATAAGATAAGCCTAAGCTTAATTAAAGAGATAAGCCTTACATCTCACCAACAATTGCCTCAATTTAAAACACGCGCAGATAAATCTACCTAAAATTGAGTTCAACAAAGCCATTGCGTAAGAATAAACAGAGAATTTGGCTCGGTATCTTCTTGATCCTTATGTTTTCATTCGTATCAATAGCATCTCTGGGGGCGTGTTTGGTCTTGAATTAATTGGGTTTCTTGGGTTATTGAACATTACTTTTAGTTTTTTCGAATATACGTGTTCTGGTACTGTATGTAGAGTTTTAGTACCGACTATAAAGTTCTGGTACTGAGTATACAGTTCCGGTACTGAGTATACAGTTATAGTACTGTATGTATAGGTTAAGTACTGTATGTATAGTTTTGACTATAAAGTTCTGATACTGAGTATAAAGTGTTGCTACCGTGTGTAAAGTTTTGATACTCAGTATACCGTTTTGGTACTGAGTATAAAGTTTTCGTATTGTGTATAAACTTATTATACTAAGTGTCAAAAATGAAACAAAATGCTAAAATCGTGCTCTGATTTAAATGTGCTAAAAGGCACCGATCGTCAAACTATTATATATGTGCCAGTACTGTGCATACTCTGCCCTGTACTTTGCATATCCTGCCCGATACTGACCATATCAACCTAAAGCTGTGTTAAACAAAGCCATTGCGCAAGAATAAACAGAGAATTTGGCTCGATATCTTCTTGATCCTTACGCGTTCATTCGTATCAATAGCATCTTTAGGGGCATGTTTGGTGTTGAATTAATTGGGTTTCTTGTGGTCTTGAATATTATTTTTTAAATCGAGTTTCTTATGTTCTTAAACATTACTTTTTTCCACCTGATTACGTGTTCTGGTACGGTCTATACAGTCGCGGTTCTGTTTATAAAGTCTTGGTACCGATTAAAAAAGTTGCGGTACTGTGTATACAGTTGTGGATGGAATTGAGTATAAAGTTATAATACTGATTATAAAATTTTAGTACTGTAAACAATTTTCTGATATTAAATATAAAAGTTTTGATACTGTATATAAAGTAGTAATTGAAATGCTTAGATCGCGCTCTAACTTAAATCTGCTGATAAGCATTTATTGTCAAATTAATGCTATTTCGTGTAATGAGCTCACGATGCACTGTGCTGAGTATATCCTTGGCCTATTCAACCCGGACAAGGCTACTTCAGGGTTATTATCAGTTTGATGCTCAACCTAACACTAAAAAAGCTTCATATTAGGTTAAACTAAAAGTAACGGGACACTTTGAAAAGTGTCCCGCTACTTCTGGTTCAACAATATATAAAGCCTTAAACCATGCTAGTCAGGGCGGTACAAATAAAAAAGGGGAGAGGGAAAATAAGACGTGATCTACTACAACCGATTGACTTTTGTGTTCCAAACACGTAATATTAGATACAACTTCGTGATTTGTCTTGTTTTTGCACTCTAAAAGGCGTTCGTTATAAGGACTTTTCATTATACAGAAGTTCTGCTCTACATCGTGATATATTAGCCAAAAACTAAATAATTGTTCGTTATACGGGATTTTCGTTACGCAGGTGTTCGTTATACAAAGGCTTCACTTTACTGTAAATCGGTATTTAAAATTTCATTTTCAGATATAAAAAATGTCAAAGTTTGATGAGCTTTTGGACATTGACTTGTTCACCTTTGACTTGGACAAAGATGTAATTAAGATCCCATTCAGGGCGGAGGTACCACAACCTCGACCCCACTTGAATGTGGAGCCATTCCCGCCCCGGCCTAAAATTGAAAGAAAGGTCCGCGGGCCTCGCGACAATGTTGACCTCAGGGTCCAGCTATTAAAAATGAGATATGCCAAGGCTGAAGATGAGTTAATTAATATAACTTTTGTAAGTTTATATTTGAAATTTCAAACTACTTATCTTGATAGATTGAACCAGAAGTAGTTGGACACTTACTTTTAAAAATATATGAAAAGTGTCCCGCTACTTTTGGTTCAACCTAATCACTCCACTATCCTACCTTAAACTACATTACCCTCCTCTAACTTTCCTTACCCTACTTTTCCTAAGATAATATATAATAATACAGTAGGTGGTAAGGCTAAAGTCTATACCTATAAAAAAACTTTTAATATCCAAGTTTAACACTAAACAGTTCATTCAACAATTGTAAAACTCTTGTATAACAAAACTACTATATAACAAAGCTTCTTAATAAACGAAAAAATTCAAAAACCATTTCGTTATACAAGTGTTCCACCGTATTTGCCATCATTGACATATAGAACCTTCTTTTTATTACAGGACATAAAGCCCCAGCCGGCCAAAGAGCCAGAACAAACAAAAAATGCTCCAAAAGGCAAAAAACGGCCGGCTTCAGACGACCTGAACGAAGCGTCGGCCAAGAAAATGATGTGCCAAGACGACTTGGACCTTGGTGACAAAACGTTAACGACCGAGGAATTGGAGTACCTAATGTTTGGGGATGACTAGGATAATATTAGACCAAACATTTCATTGTTTTTTGTACATATATGTTATTATTTACATACGGTTACTGTATATCAACCCGGTTATATATTATGTTAGTTCAAATTGTTAATAATATTACTATAATATAAAGATATATAATAAATAATAATATCAATCATGTTTTAGAAGCTAATATTTATAAAAACCAAATTTTAAAAAATTTAAAAAATATGAACCTAGTAGGACACAAAGACCTATAACAAGATAAAATTTAAGTTTTTGAGTTTAATTCACAACAAAACAATCAATTTAACAAAAAACAAGTTGTACCTATTAACAAAACAGAGTCTAGTTGAATGAGCATAGCCGTTCGTAGAGATAAGGGTTGGATCCGCTAAGGTAGTACATTTGGTCTCTGCCGGAGTCGGTTCTACCTAAAATGGTCAAAAATAAGTATATTAATTGGTGTTCTTAAGCTTTTGTCCACTAATTGATTTTTCTTAAACCTTTGTCGCTTACTTGACTTTTCTTAAGAAGCCTACAACTAGAAAGGTTACCACATTCCCTAAAAATGTCTCTACTTAAGCCTATTGGCAGAAATCGTAAGCCTACTACAGAAAAAATCGTAATCAAGCCTACTACCCAAACCAGCAAACTCATATACTCCATAACACCAGCTATAAGTCCTAAAAATCCAAACCCTCCCCCAATATTACCCATGCCTACCATTAGCCGACGAAATCCACTGCATTTCCTTGTAGTAGTTGTAAAGCGAGTCGGCTTCGGCCTTGGTGTAGTGAGTTGTTTCGATTGGAATAAAGGGATCAATGGCTTCGAAGCCTTCTTCTCTGAACAACTCCAACGGTGTGTTTAGTGGAAAGTCTTCGGTTTCCTTGATTTTACTGAATTCAGCTTTGTCTGCCACCAAAACACACGCTCCATTAGTCCAGTTTTTGTCGAAGAACTTGCGCATGTGAACTACTAGACTAACTTCTTCTGGCATCGCCTGAAAATTGAGTGTTTTAGTTAAGAATGGCAGTTTTTTCGTAAAATTTTAGGATTTTTTTGTTTTGGAAAGCTAAAACAACAAAACTCATAAAAACTAATCTATAACAAAACAGATAAACATCATAACTCGATTTACTATACATTATAAACTATAAAACGCATTTATATTAACACATACTAAATTTAAGACAACAAAAACTCGAAAAAGAAAAAAAAATCTACCTAAAACAATATAAACCTCAACCCACCTTAGAAAAGTCGGCCTTCTTGATCATCGTACGATTACCATATAAAGAGTTGGCTTGATCAACAGCTACCAACAGCTTCACCTTCCCTTCTGTCGCATGTCTTCGTAGTTCTCGACCTAACACTCCAACACAATCACAAGCCGAGAACGGAGCTGATATGCCCATCTCAACGACATCAGTCAACGACGAACCAGCTGGCGTTTTTTCTACATTCGACCAGTCGTACTGACGTTCAGTTTTTAGGCCCTGAAGATTGGTAAGGTTAAAATTACAAAAGGTATGAATGAAAGAGTAAAAACAAAACCAAAAAAGTCATGAATAACATAGTTTTGACTCAAAACTGAAAAAAGTAATTTAAAAGTCAAACAATTCTTAATCAAAATCACTTTAAAACATCAATATCTTCTTGTTATACATACCATTAAATTGTTCAAAAACGTGTTTTTTAAACTTTTAAAGTGAACCAAGGTAAGATAACATAACTCACAGCCAAAGTTTGCCAAATATGTTGATTCTGACTTTTAAATAAGTTCAAAAAGTTCACAGCATGCGTAGGTGTGTCCACTCGACTTCTGTTAATCGTATTAACTTGGACATCTCGAATAACACGCGTCCAGGTCAAAACTGAAACGAATTTTAGCTAAATTTTGTCGAAATAAGAGCTGAAATGTAGTTCTTTGTATCTTTTTAAAGCCAAAAAGTTTGAGTTTAACATCCTATATCTATTTTCACCCTCATATCCACTTCCTTTGCTTCAGAAAAACCCTAAAAACCAATAAAACAACTAAAACCCTTCTTACCTCTAGGCACATGCCAGACAACCCATTTCTGTTGATGTCCAACATGAACCAGCTGATTCAACGTCATCGTCTTTCCAGTACCCATTTGTCCCCAAAGAACCATTCGAATCGACGGGAAACTCGGTCGAACTGCTTTCAAACAATGCACGGCTTCGACCAACGGCGCTCGACATAACCATGTACATTCCCTCAAAGTGTTGAGTTGAGCAGAGTATGGGCGTGGTAAAGTGTCGGTTAACTTCAGAGCTACTGATTCTTGCTTTTCGACTGTGTACAGCTTGCCCAGGTCTTCATTTGTGAACTCAATGGCATGATTTGATGAACATTTGCTATATTGTCTTATGTCTTTGAGTGTTATTGGTCGGAAAAGACGTATTGCTCGCATTCTGAAATGTAAATAAATTTATAAATTATTGTAAAATACAGCCAGGTATCTTATACGCGGATATATAGCTGAATATACAAGTTAAAACAACTTTAAATGCCCAACTTCAACCTATATTATCGTCAACATAGCTCTTTTCAAATCCTTTAAAAAATCAGAGTTAAACGCCATTAAAATAACTTATAAACTACTAAAATGTAAGAAAATATTCACTTCAAGGAATCTAAAACAACATTTGGCAAAAAAGTTTTATAAAAATTCTGAAAAATCCGAAAAATAACTATTTTATACGACGAAACGTCTCATATAAACCTTCCGTCGTATAAAAAGTCTCTTTTTAATTCTTTTTCCAAAATTTTTGGAAATTATTCGAATACGTTTACTGCCCTAATAATGGCGGATACTCTACCACCCCCAGGCAAATATCCAGAAGGGATAACTCTGGAATATGTGGACAAAACCGGACAATCATTGAATGATCCCAAGTAAGCCTTTATGGTCAATATAATTTGTGTTTTAGTGAGTCTCTAGCTGCTCGATTCCGAGCATTGTTTGTTCTTCGAAATCTGAAGGATGATAGGTCTGTATACTACATTGGAAAGGCCTTCAGCGACGATTCAGCTTTGTTGAAACATGAGTTGGCTTACTGTTTAGGCCAGATGCAGAACAAGAGCGCGATTCCAGTTCTGGTGCAGATGTTAAAGGATGAAACTCAAGGTAATGTTTGTTTGTATTACGTTCTTGCTTTTTAGGACCTTAGGACTTAAAAAGTCCGGCTTAACATTGCTGATTTTAAGTTTAAAACTTCGCAATACCTAATCAGATGGATAACATCAAGGCTATGGTGAAAAAAATTCATTAAACATTGCCATATTGTGTTCGATCATCTATAATAAGTTACTTTAGAGCCTATGGTACGTCACGAAGCCGGTGAAGCGTTGGGAGCGATTGGTGATGCGTCATCTTTGGAGCTTCTGCGACATTACTCATCGGATCCAGTGATAGAAGTCGCTGAGACTTGTCAATTGGCTGCTTCTCGTTTAGAATGGACCTTAAATGGTGGAGTAGATGCAAGTTCGGCTTATGATTCCGTAGATCCGACACCTGCGGCAGATTCGGAGAATGTCGAAGAGTTGGGCAAGAATTTGGTTGATGAAGCGAAACCTTTGTGGGAGAGATATAGGGCCATGTTCAAGCTGAGGAATTTGAATACTGATGAATCTATTAAGGCTCTTGCTCAAGGTAAGTAATTTTTTATTATGTCAGTGTTAAATTTTAGTGTTTTAATCAGACTTTGCTGCTTTTTGAGCTAAAATCTATGTTGTCGTAGGTAAAAATCGTTAAATCTCTCTTATTGTTAGTCCAAATTCAAAATTTTTATGTTTCATATTTAGCTTATTGTTTTAGGTATGTATTGTGAAGACAGCGCCTTGTTTCGACACGAAGTGGCCTATGTACTCGGGCAAATCCAGTCTCCACTATCAATAAAGGAGTTGAGTGATCGTTTAAAAAAATCAGACGAAAACTGCATGGTAAGACATGAATGTGCCGAAGCTCTTGGAGCTATAGCCACTCCAGAGTGTGAAGAGTTGCTAAAGGAGTATGCCAAGGATAATGAGGTAAGCATCTATTTAAAAATGGCATTTAACGTTAGGTTCTACAAGGTTTTTGAGCAATTTCTGGGGATTTTTTGCGAAATTTATTGAAAGAAGGCGCTGAATGTAATGGTTTAGGTAATAAACGGCTCTTTTTATGTTGTAGAATAACATTTATGTTTTAGCAAGTAGTCCGCGAGAGTTGTGAGGTCGCGTTGGACATGGCCGAGTACGAGAACAGCGAGAACTTCCAGTACGCTCAAGCTTGATCCAGATTGTTTAAAAGTGATTGTTTGATGTTGATTCCGGTTTGATTGTTAAGTTTTTCAATAAATTGTTATTTTAAAAGACTGGTATTTTAATTTTGAGCGAAATTTGGAAATTTTTGTAATCTCATATTGTACTATATTGATATAGCGGATAATTTAATAACTGTTAGTTTTTAAATGCTTTTGGTTGAAAATGACGTACAATGGTTTTAAAAACCATACTTTATCAAATCGAGAAGAATTCTACGGACTTTTTGACCAGAAACGCCCTTTTAAAATTATATCGTAGTAGATGTCCAAAAAATTATGTTATAATAGGTAAACAAAGCTTTTGACGCCCAAAACATGAAATTTCTTATTTGTTAGCCAAAAGCTGTAATGAATGGTCTTTGAGCAGTCGATTCAAGTGTATTATGTCAAGTTGGCATCTCGAAATAGACTCAAAATAAAAGTACTTTACTAAAAACCATTTTTCATCTCAAAACTGTCGAAAGATCGGAATTACAAAAGGTATTTTGACAAATAAATCAAAGTTTATTGTCGTCGACGCTTCTCGAAAGTTATTGCTCAATACCGTTTTAAAAAGCTGTTTATATTATTGTAGAGGAGAATGAGATTGTTCGGATCTTTGAATGGATTTGAATGGAAGAGACAAGGACATTGGAGATGACATAAAAAGGATAATGTAAAGGGTTATGACAATGACAGTGTTCATAAAGGTGAATCATATATCCTACACTACCCTACCCTACCCTACCCTTACCTAGCTCTGTTCGCTCTACCTACGCTGAATTGCCTTGTTTTACCTTGCCATAGCCTTATTATGTTTTGCCTTTCCATTCCCCATGCCCTGCCTTACATGGCTTTACCCTGCTTTACTTTACCCCAACTTTATTACCTCTGACCTATTATACCAAAGCCCCAGATCTAAATAACCTGGCTATAGCCCTATCCTAGCCTAGCCTGATCCTAACTGAATTTTGACCACAATCTTCAGAAAACATTAATAATAAAACTGAAAGACAACGCAAAACCGAGAGACGTTAGAAGCACAAGTTAAAAGATCATAAATTTCAATTAAATTTTTAGTTCACAATAAGTTTAGCAAATAAAAAACTGTTTATCGTCTCCATAAGACGACTTTTTACTGTAAACTTTTTGTGTTTTTAAACCCACAGAACAGAAGAGAAAGCAGAGTATATCAAAAAGGTGTTAAAAGGTTCGTTGTAATAAAACAATGCTTAAAATAACCGTTAAACTTACTGTTAAAGTTAAGACTTCTAACAATAGTAATTTAATATTGTGCTCACTAGACCTGTCCCAGCCTTGGCCTGGCCATAGGCTACCCAGCCAGGGCCAAAACAAAAACGAAAAGGCCTGGGTTAAGAAATATGGGCTAGAGAGCCAGACTCACATAAGGACCCAAAGGCTTATTAATTTTAAAATTTTTTATAAACAGCCAAGCCAAAGCAGCTTTGAAAGGAGCCGGCCCGGACTGACACACGCGAGCCTGACAATGAGGTCCAAGGCCCAAAACAAAGCCCAACCCCCAGACCGGGCTCAAAATCTGAGCTCGGCCCTCAAAGGTCCAGTTGTGAGTATTAATAATTGTATAATATGAAAGGGTAAAAAAAATTTTGTCGCTTTGCAAAGTCAAACACAGTATATTAGATTGAACCAATAGTAGCGGGACACTTTTTAGTTGAAAAACAAATGAAAAGTCGCTACTTTTGGTTCAACCTGATAATATGACGACACGACTTTTGTGTCGTCATATTAACCCTAAGAGTACAAGACAGACCAGTTTAAGGTACGCGTTTTAAAATTTTGACCATATTATGCAACACTATAGAGAGCTGACAGTTGTGACCATTCTTTGATGCCCTAATGAAGACAAGAAAGATCAAAAGCAAAAACAAAGAAGTAGACAAGAAAACATTACTTAAAAAAGACATAGCTTATGAAAAAACAAATATTGTATAACAAACTTAGATAGGAAGTTGAAAAGCAGTCTTATATCAAGGATAATGTTTCAAACAGTTAACATAGAGTTATTAATAGAAAATGTAAAAGCTATGTAAAAACAACTTTTAATTATCTTCCTAGAGCTAAAACACTACTAGAAGTCAAAGAAAAAGACAAAGTTAAACACCCTACCATAGTAATAAACCTCTAGACATAAAAACTCAAAAATATTGTAGTAGGCGGAGCAAAAGACAAAATATCACTAAAAACCAAACAAAATATCTTAGTTAAAGACCATGAAAACTACAGTAGAGACCATGGAAAGCCTACTAAAGACCATGCGAAAGATCGTGGGAGGAGGTGTGCGATGATATACATCATTACCGTGTGTTGAAATTGGTTCTTATAAAAACGATCGTCTTTTAAAGAGCGACGAGTTTAATATCACTGTCAGTGATTACTTTACTGCTCAAAGATCATGTTACGAGTTATTTTGGTGTGCGCTTTAGTTTCGTCCGTGTATTCCAAGGTTTTGTTACAGGATTGTAAGTTAATATAGGTTGTGTTAGGACTTTAAAAAAGTTTTGTCGTCGATTTACGTGTAATTTGATAGTTAAAAACGCCAAGACTTTTTGAGGCTTTACGATAAAGAATATTTGTTTTAAAAGCTACTTAGAATGAAAAGCCAATTTTAACAAATTGTCTATGTTAAAATGGCAAGAAAAGTCTTGTCGTCAATTTGCGTCTAACCAAACAGTAAAAAACGACAAGGCTTTTAAAAGTTCAAACAAGAAAAAAAGTTGTTTTAAAATTGATAAAACGTAAATTAAAATTGACACTTAAAGACTCTAACTATGTTATAATGTCCAAAAAAGTCTTGTAGTCGATTTACATGTTTTTCACTGCAAAAAACGACAATACTTTTTTTAATCTTCAAATACAAAAATTTAAATCTCAAAATTTGAAAACCATCAAACTGTATCCCAAATGCTATTTTAAAACTCCATTTTCAGTCTTCAAAGGCGGCAATGAGCTCTACTGCGACGACGAAGACCGCGAACACAACTATATGAACCTAGGCATGGAGCCGGCCTGGTCACCAAACCCAAAAGTCGAATGGGCAGTGTTGTGTTACGGTGCTACTGGTGAAGATGACGAACTACCCCTGTCATCACTCACTGATATCTATTTGAAATCCGCTAGGAATCTGCGCGCCGCTGCCCCGAAGCTGACTGACGTCGAGTTCTGGAACTCGCAAACCTTTGATGGAAGCAACTCGACCGAAGATGAAGTGAGTCAATCTTAATAAGTTCAAGAACAGAAGTTTTAAAGCTTGAGGAACATTTTTTTAGTTGAGTGCTTTTTGGTTGGATTACTGTAACACACTGAATTTTAAATTTTTCTCCTGAAAGGCTCTATTTAAAAAAAGTGTGCCATTTCAAAACACAGGTGACCCCAAAAACTCAAAAATTTGTACACAATAGTAACAGATCAAACAAAATGTTTTTGTAATTTACAACTTTTTGATTGGATTACTGTAACATTTTGGATTCTAAAGTTTGCTCCTGAAAGCCGGCTATTTGAAAAAAATGTGCCATTTCAAAACATAGGTAACCCCAAAACTCAAAACTTTGTACACAATAGTTCTAGACCATAAGGAACATTTTTGTAGTTGACAACTTTTTGATTGGATTACTGTAACATAGCGTACTAAATCTTTTTCCTCATATTGTACTAGCTAGAGATAAGACATGATTTCCAGTAGACCTCACCATCCTCCCAGCCCCTCCAGCACCCGGCCCTGAATACAAGACAACCTACAGTAACTAAACGTTTTGTTAAAATGACTTAAAATTATAAATTTTCAGATAATCGACCTCTTCCAACACCAATATTCTCGAGCCCTGGCCGAAGCCAAGCTGGTAACCAACTCAGCCCTAAATCAAGGCTTTACCATCACCAAAATCGTGTCCCAATTCCTGATTCAAGTAAGATGTGATGGTCCCGACACGTCAGCACGTTGTAGAGATCCGATGAGCATGCTTCAACGTGCTTACGACCGAGAAACCGCGATTATCGACCATTTCGAGGCGTTTTTGAAGCAAAAACTGGAAAATGGAGTTGAATTCAACTTCTTTGCCACTTACTTGGTCAGGGTTAGACAACAACGAGTGTTCAGTGGGTTGTTGGGGTCTACTGTGAGACAGACTGAGGAAGACATCAATGGATTTGGGCTTTTTAAGCAGGATTTCTTTTAAATTTTAAGTTTTTTTAATTTTTATTAGGTTATTCAAAAACTTCTGTGCTCCCTCTCATCGCAAATTTTCAGAGTTTGGGGGCTCAGAATTTTTTAAACAACTTAATCGACAATATAAACTTTTAATATCAAGTTTTTCAAATAATTCTGAGCCCCAAATTCTAAAAATTTGTTTTACAAAGGGGCACAAACTTATTTGAACAGACTAATATTACCTTCCTATATTACCCTACACAATGCACTCTTTCCCCTTATAGTACTAATATCATCGCATTTACTGTACAGTAACGCCATTACAACCATAGTATTGTCTTTACCCTAAACTAATGTCTCAATTCTACAGTAACCTACAGTAAAATCTTTACCCCCACAGTATCTCCTTTATTCTACAGTAAAATCTTTACCCTACAGTAACGCCTTTACTCTACATTATCTCTTTTCCTCTACAGTAACCCCTCTACTCTACAGTAACTAACTTTTACGACCATCACAAGTCGAATGACTGCTCATATCCCTTGTGATAGCTGTAAACACTGTCCTTTCTGTGCGATTTATTGTAAAATATTGTTTTTCCGCCATTTTTCACAAATTCCTTTAGGCATTTTACTGCAAATCGCTTACTTTAAAGCAGCTTTTTTAGGTATTTCTTTGCAAAACATTGCTTATTATTGTAGGTTTTTGTTGTTATTAAGTCTTTATTGTAACTTCTTTGGCTTGTAAGTTGTTTTACAGTATTTTTTTAGTTTGACAGCTGTTTTACTCTAGGTTCTTGCAGTTGTAAAGCCTTTGTCTATTGCAAAACCTTGACTAATCTTGTCCTCAACTCCAGCGAACCCTTGAATCCTTATGATCTCTGTCTGTCCCAAAACAAAAATCGACCGAAAGTTGTCAAAACCCTGTCTATTTCAGCCCGTATAGGTATGATAAATATATTTTAATACCTTCTGAACTATATACTGTATATTTACCTTCATTTTTATGTTGTATCGCACCTGATTCAATAGCTATACTACAAGATTTCATTGTTTTTTGCGTTTGAAAGGTAGTGTAATATGTTTATACCTATATTATTCCTCTTCAAATCCTTTTATTCGGTCAAAAAGTTTGTAGAACTACTCTATGTAGACTTATTTTCCTCTTTTTATCATGTTCTACTTATTTTTTGACCAAACTCTTCTTTTTCGACCAAAAATATGCCAAAACATTGTACCTACCTTAAGTTATGTTCAACAGCCTCCTTGATGTAAAAATGACCGGTAAAGTGAGCTCTGGCTGTTGCAAACTCAAGAACTTTTGCCCTTGATGTTATTTATGACTATACCTGCAAAATAGGATATATATTAACTTATATTTAAAGTTACAATCAAAGTTATCAACGTATTAAGTTGTTCAAATTACTCTGAGCCAACTTCAAAGCAAATTTTCAGGGTTACGTGGCTCATAATTATTTGAACAACCTAATAGAATGTTTCCCTTATATATATTATAATAGGTTGTTTACAATGTCTACTACAATATCCATGTCTATAAAGTTAATATTTTAAACTATTTTTGTTTGTACATTACAATAAACTTGACATAAACAAATAAACCATGCCAATATTATGCTACATTATCTTATACTAGGTTGTCCAAATAATTCTGAGCCACTTTCAAAGCAAATTTTCAGAGTTACGTAGCTCAAAATTATTTGAACAACCTAATACTATTCAAGTTTTAAAACCCTTGACAATAATATTCAAAGCACAACAATGCTACATTAACTTGATATAGATAACCATAGTTTTAGTCAACACTAGATGTTTAGGTAACAAATTCAAGACATTTAGCCAAACTTTATTGAAGCAAGTTGTAAACATTATAAATGATATTAATATATGAAGAGAACTATGAATTTAATTATCGACTTTTTGCCGTTTTGGGCTTGGAGCGCCTGAAGGCTTTTGGGTAGTTTCTGTGAGGTCTGGCTTCACATCAATGTATTGTTCTACGTATTGTTCGTCGTATGGCACCTGAAATGGAATCGATTTTACTAAAAAGCCTTTAGGCTGATTTTTAGTAAAACACCCCCCCCTTTAGCATTTTTCACAACACCCCCCCCCCTCCCCCCTTAAGCAAAGTATTTTACCGAAAAAACCCTACCTCGAACTCCTCCTCAACCACATCGATCTCCTCGTCCAGCAATCGTTCGTCATCTCCTCTGACTACCACAACTTGTTGTCCATCTTCGTTGATATACCTCTCCAACACCATGTTATCATCGATGTCGTAGTAGCGACCGTGCTTGTTGTAGCCTGGATTTTTGTGTACGTATGGAGCTAGTCGGTCCTGTCTGTAGGGCTGTGGTCGGATGATGTGGGCGTTGGGGCGATTGGCGTTCTGAAAGGTAAACATATTGTTAAGAACTTTTTGGGTATTAAAGTATACTGTAAGTTATAGCTGCTACTATAGTATACTGTAAGTTACAGCTGCTACTATAGTACATTGTAACTTATAGCTGCTATATAGTATACTGTAAATTATAGCTGCTACTATAGAATACTGTAATTTACAGCTGTCACTATAGTATACTGTAATTTATAGCTGTTACTATGGTATACTTTAATCACAGCTCCTACTATAGTATCCTGTAAGTTATAGCTGCTATCATAGTATGTATACTGTAAGTTACAAGTGCTACTATCATTACCCTACCCCATCCACCCTCAAAAACAAGTTATTACCCTACCCATCTACCCTCAAAAACAGATTACTATCCTACCCACTCACCCTCAAAAACTGATCATTACCCTACCTCGATCAAGTAGTCCCCAACCTTGGAATGCATTGAGAAGTGAGGCTCGTCTTGGTAGGTGCCCAGCATTGGTGCCTCGTGTTCCTGCATGTTTCGCCGCAGGCGTCGTGCCAGTGACTTTTGACGCACTTCGGAGAAGTAATCGACTGCCAAATCATAACGAAAGTCCTCTTCTTTGATCGAGGCTTGTTGAAGCTCGTAGCGGATGGCGGCACGGGCTTCGTTCAACGTTCTCGGGCACACTCGTTGCTCTTTCACTATTTTTCTAAACAAAATTGATGTTAAGTTGCAAATTTGCATGAAATTTAAAAAAGTCTTAAAATTTAAATTTTTTATAAAAAATATAATTTTAAAAATATTTTATTACATTGTTCACTTAATTCTGCGCCCCCTTATAAAGCACATTTGTCGCGTAAGGGAGCGCAGAATTATGTGAACACCTAATAAATCAAATTTTTAATAAAGTAAGACTAATTGAGCTATTTTAAGACCCGCAACTCAAAGGCGTGGGTAGAAGAGGGCAGGAGAGAGAGGGTAAATAAGGAAGCAGATATAGAGAAAAGAGTAAATAGAGAAGAATTAGATGGACGGTAAAAATCCACCCCCGTAAAAAACAAAAAAAAATTTTTTTTCTGCAAAATAAACCCCACCTTCCCCTTTCCCCTTCAGAAAATCAATCCTCACCCGGAAAAAAAAGAAAAATAATCACCCTCCCCCCTTTCCTACGTCAAAAAAAATAAAAATCATCCCGCTTTGAAAAATAAAAATCCCCCTCTATCAAAAAAAACACCCCCCCCCCGTCTTCCTACACTTATTCAAAAAATTAACCCCTTCCCCACACCCCCCCCAATTCCAACCTGCCATAGCCAAAAACAAAGAAGCCAAACTTACAAAACGACCTGCTTGACAAAAGTCCCCTCCCTTGGCTCGGTTTTGTTTCCACAAAAGTGTTGTAAATCATCTGGGTCGGTCAAGAAGTGTCCAGCCCTGATCCGAATCGTTGGAATCACCAGCTTTAGGTCCTTATCAGCCTTGAGGAGTTCTCGTTTGATGCCATCGCATCTGGTGCATTTGTAAGTGACATCGTTCTGGTTCAGTGACTTGAAGCTGAACTGCCATACCGTGTCGGGCAGTTTGGTGGAGCTGTACATGTAGAGGGGGTGTTTGCCGTGAAGTGAGATGCCTTCGACGGCTGGCCATCTTTCCGACTTTGGTGTGCCTTAAAGAGGTCGGTTTAGGTGATTATTTTTTAATGGTGATTTTTCGGTAACAATTTTATAAAAAAAAGTGATTTTTAGGTAACAATTTTATGAAAAAATTGATTTTTAGGTAATAATTTCACAAAAATCTTATTTTTAAGTAACAATTTTATAAAAAAATTAATTTTTAGGTAACAATTTCATGAAAATCTTATTTTTAAGTAAAATTTTCAAAGAATAACAAATTTTAAAAAATCTGATTTTAGATAACATTGACCCTTACCATCCTCATCCTCTTTACTAGTCGAAGCTTCAGCCTCCATCTTCCTCTTCAATGCCTTTGCCTTGTCCTTCTTCTCTTTTTCCTTCAACTTCTCCACCTGCTTCTCATATTCACCTGGGATCAAACAGAAATGCTTCAGCTCATCTGGATCGCTCAAGAAGTTCTTTCTAATGACATTAATTGTCGGAACTGATGGGAATGGACCCGGTTCGCCTAGGTTCATATGATAGAGCTTAGTATCTTTACATCCGACACATTGAAAGACCTGATGGCATTTGTTTTCATGTAGATATACGAATTCATATACTGCGTCTTCGACTTTCCGGCTTTCGTACATGTAGATGGTGGCTTTTCGGGCTGGCTGGGATTTAATTATGGCTGGGAAGAAGATTGACATTATGTGAGGTTTGACTGGGCTAAAAAGAATCATAGATCAAGCGTTTGAACAAGTTGTAGTTACATAAAAACAGATCTTCCACCTAATACAATATCGTCTCAAAAAATTTTTAAAATCCTCACCGTAATCCCTCATAATCATGTGAATCCAGCATCTCCACATCAATATCATCACTGTTCAACTGACTTTGACAAAAGTGGTCCAATTCATCCGGATCAGAGAGAAAAAACCCATTTCTCCATCTTATTATAGGCACTTGAGGTAGCACGGCCAGATGCTCCGATTGTGACATAGCCATACGTTGATTGTTACAGCTCATACATCGATAGGTCGCCCCGTACTTGTCTCCTTTACTTCGACGAATAAACTCATACACAACATTGGCAAAACGTTCAGATCTGTAGCGTAATCTCCTCGGATTATCATAAGTCTCTTTCTTTGCGAAGGCGGACTCCAATGTTTCGGTCGATTCTTGATTGCCGGTCGATTTCTTTTGCCCTTCTTGGCTTTTAGCTGATTCGGAAGTCTTTTCTTTACCTTCAGAAACAGGTTTACTTTGACTCTCAGCAGATTTATCGTTGGTTTTTTGGCCTTTACCTTCCTCAACATTAACATCCGTCGTTTTCTTTGGAAATGCGGTCGATTTTGAAGAATTCCCAGCAAGATTGAAAAGAGTTTCCAATGAACAATTGGCATCTACTGTAGCATTAAACAATGTCAAGTCTTGAGTGGCAGAAGTCTGGTTGAAGTCCGTGGAAACATCAACATCTTCATCATCGTCAACTGGCTCTGATTGAAACTGAACTTTGTCTCGTAACATGCTAAAATACGACTTTGAATAATACTTTTTAGCTTCATATTACTCTCTAACTTTTCAATATCAATTTAGATCAACTTCTACACCTAAAAACGCAAAACAATCAAAAAAGACCTTACTTTAGCTTCCTGTACTTGATCAAATCGGTCTCTTCAAACATTGTGCAACAATGCTGTACCACATCCGGGTCGACATCAAAATACCCCTCCTTGTAGAACAGCCAAGGTACCACCAAACGCTCCTGCAGCTCTCTGTTAGCATTTGGAAAATGACGTCGCTTCATAAGTTCACATTCCATACACTTGTAGATCTTCATCTCGCCTTGATAACACTTAAATATAAAACGGTAAATGTAATCTGGCTTCACTTTAGACAGGTACAACAATGTGGGATGTTTGGGGCCTTGGCAGACCTTGATCGGAGTGTAAATACCTCTGAAATAAACTATTTAGCATAATATACTATAATATCACTTTCAACGTTACAGTTTTCTGAAGCCCGCTACAGTATTTAAAAGACAATTATAGTTCAAAAACATCATCTTCAAGCCAGTTTCATACCTAAACATCCAATGAAAACCACAAAAACTTACGTTTCAGCCAGCTCTGGCATCTCGACTATCTCATCCTCATTGACAACAAATTCTTCTTCTTCCATTTCCTCTTCAGGAGCCGTCAATTCATTCAGCACACTCTCCGGGAGTTTTTTTCCGCGAGTTCTTCCAGTCCACGGACTTGATGTTGGACTAGAGGTCGACTGGGCCGCATCCTCCTCTGTTTTCACAATTTCCTTCGCTTTTCCTGGCATTTCAATTACTAAAAAGTTATGTTAATGACAGTTTTTGGTCGAAAACGCGAAAATTGGGAAAATAATTTATGGACAGATTTCAGTGGATAACATTGAAGCTAAAATTAGCGTCAATATATAAGCTACAGCTGCGCCCATGCCAAAGAATAATATTTCCGCAGTTTGCGAAATGAGAAAGCTTGCCGCGGAATGCCAAAAAAATCCTATTGGCAGTTACTTGTTTTCGTGGTGGGACTTGACCTTCTATAAAACAAGCCTGTTTTTGGCGTATAAGTACGTATCGCAGTCAAACAAGAAGATAGTCGTACGCACATATGAAATATAATTGTTTCGGGCCAGAATTCAGTCAAACAAACAAAGAAGAGACATAAAGTTATATTCTTTCGCGTTGAAGAGAGCTACAGAGTTCGAAAACGCCTCCAAAAAACCGACTTCCTCAACCAAAACCAAACCGACCTAGTTGGTATAGGCGGGAGAAATCAATTCAGCTTCGGTTTTTACCCAGTACATTAAGGTACGTGGAGTTTCTGACCGGTCTTTCGAGGCTCGTGTCAGAGCAACCTAAATTTTTTGACTGTGTTCACGGGGCTACCGGGAACCTTATATTCAAACGGCTAGCTTTAAGTCTTGCTCAGAGACACGATGAAGTGCAAATCTTTAAAAAATCTACAGGAATAGAGCCGAAAAAATTGCATTCAATTGAAGCCGCGGCCAAAAGGTGGCCGAAGATGCGCGAGCTGATAGAAGAAGCCGGTAGCAGATGCGCAAGCACTGGCCGGCCGCGCAAATGAGTATAAAAGGAAACGCATTGCATTGCAAAGGGCATTTAACGAACTTGCAACTTACTGTGCGGCGGCTTTTTTTTCGCTCTTGTTTTTTGCGCATTTTATTTACTTTTGGCACTGCCAACGGCCGAAGCTTCGCGAAGTGATTGGAGCTTGATTGGACCCGAAAGGTAAGTAAAAGTGAGCACTTCAGAGACGTTTGAGCGTTCCATATGTAATGCGGTGTTATATTAGATGTCACGAAAAGTTTTGTCGTCAATGTGCAACTTTTTTGAAGTTAAACACGACAAAATTTTTTGTGAAATCTAATATTAGGCTTTTCAAATAATTCTGTGCCTCTCAAAGCAAATTTTTTGGGGTCAGAAGGCACAGAATTATGTGAACAACCTAATATAATGCATGACGGACTCGGACGTCTTTAAGTATAACGCTGATTAATGGTGTACTTCAAGGTATTTGAAGTATTTCCTACTCTGGTAAGTTTAAATTGTTTTACCTGTTTTAGATTTGATTTAAAATTGATTATAATATCAAAACGGGACTTTATAATCAACAAAGAAGGACAAAGTTAAGCTAGGGACTGTTACAAGTCAAACTGAACCTATATTATAAAAGAAGTATATCAAAATCAAACTAAACAATAACAAAAACCAAATCATATCTAAAGTTGAACAACGAATTACTTCAAAATTGCTCAAAAGCTTTTCTATACCTCAATTGTCGGATACAAGTTGTGGACGACAAAGCTCAATCATTCACTTGTCTTAAATTATAAAATAAGTAAAACTGTTCGCAAATCTGACAATGAGTATGATCATGAAGATAAATTGTATGAACTACATTATACAATGAAAGAGGATCAAAAGTAGAAGGTGTTCTAGGTTCAACTAAAACATCGTTACAAAAGCCATCTAAACAAGGTCCTATCTCAATATTTATTGTCAAAAAATGTTCTACAAGCTAAAATTAAACAATCACATTTAATAATATATAAAAATCTACAAAGGCTACATAAATTAATCTATTATATCTTATTTTATATCAAAAAAGTTACTTAAGGATTAAAAATACTAATAATAAATTCTCCTAAAGAAATTCAAAGGCTCAATTATCAAAATCGACAAGCTAAAAGCTTGTATCTTTTGTAAAATCAATCTTCAAGCTATCCCTTCAAATATACCCAAAAATCACTTCAAAAGATATTCCTCAGCTTGTCGCAGCATCTTCTCCATCTCAGGAAACTTTGTCGTTGTTATAGCATCATCCAGCGGTGCCCATTTCCAATTCTGATGTTCATGACTCAAATGCACAGCATCGTTGTTCTTCAGCTTCGCTAGCCAGTAAAATACGGACTTTGGTTTCCCGTTGGCTTCGTAAAACATCTCGTACTTGAAGTTCTTGTCGATTTCCAGCTGACTTTGCTCAATATGAGCTTCTTCTTGGGTTTCACGCAACGCCGCTTGCCATTCATCTTCTCCTGGGTCAACGTGACCTGTAGCAAAATTAAATTTAGAGTAAGAAAGGGTTTTAAATGTATTATCATTAAATCTTGGGCAACAACCACATTAGAATCAAGTTTAATATCTCGAAAGTTTTTTTTGCCCTTTTTTATTCAAAGAATTAGCTTATAAATTTTAACAATGTAAAGCTAAAGAACTCTTGACCATCTGAAAAATTTTAAACATGATTTACATCAATTTTTGACCGAAAATAACATTAAAATCAAGTGTAATATCAAAACGCCCAATTTAACCAAATATCTTCGCAAAATTAGCTTTAAACTCTTAAAAATCCAAAAAAAAATCTCCATACCACCTTTCTAAATCATGAAAAAACAATAATAAGCACTTACCTTTTGGTGGAGTCCAATGATGTGGTGGATAAGATGCCTGAAGCAGTAAATATTCGAATTTCTTCTCGGCCACAATTCGGTAGACCAATAATCCAGCTGCTCTCACTTTGCTACCCATTTTGGAACGACGAAGAACGTTAAAAACCCAATTGAAGTCTTCTAAAAAATGTCTGGAATAATATGGGCGCGATTCGAAAGAAATTAAAGTGTGCAGCCTGCGGAAGACATTTTATACGATGAAAAGTTTATCTTTTAATGTTATTTTATTGTTGTATTTTATATATGAGGCTTATAAAACAATTTCATTTCATTTTTAACCTGAATTTTAATCATTAATTTCACATGTCATTAAAAATGTTATTATAGGTAACATCTCAGAGAGTAAGTGTAACTTGATGTTTTTAAGATCTCAAACTTAAAATTAAAAAACTTGTAAACAAATTAACGCCTGTTAGACATTCGAAAACAAAAATCAACTGTTTTTTATTTCAAAAAAGTAATGCACTGTAGTTTAGATAGTAAACATTCTTTAAATTGTTGGAAACAAAGAAAAGGAGGAGTTTACAGCGTAAAAAAGGTAATGATTGTTATCTTTAATTACTTACTGAGGGCCTTTTAAACTGTCGACAACTTGGTTTGGCGCCTAGACAGTAATGTAACAGTTTTTTGTTTTAATTTCGAATTTTAAAATGAACTTTTAAAATTTTTTTGACTGCACTGTGCAAAAAGTCCCATAACTTTTGAACCGTTAGACCAAATTTAAAATTTTTGAAATTTTTGATAGATATTAAACTGTTCTACAATATTTATACTAAAGATTTGCTGATTTACGTTAAAATATATATTTTTTGCTTCATTATTTCAGAAAACACCATGGTGAACATGCTGAAGCTAGTTTTGTTGATGCTATTGGTAACGCTGGCTGCTTGCCAATGGCACGGAACTTGTCAAACAGAAAAAGATTGTGGTAACGAGTGTGCCAAGTACTGTGGATCACCAAGGTACATTCAACAATGTACTGATGGCAATCCTGGAGCTTGTGATTGCTTGTGTCAGACTCGTGAGTTTTTGTCAATTTTAAATTTTTTTAAAAATTATTTTTTTAACAATAGGCGTGTTAGACGTATTTTACATTGCTTTTAACAAATCTTTCTATAAATACTCATATTAAGCTGGTAAAAAAGTTTTGTCGCTTTTTAACTTGCAGGTACTAATAATTAAACGACAAAACTTTTTTTGACAGTTTAATACATAAAAAAAGTTAATTTATATTAAATTATATACTAGTGCATAGTAAAACGGTTAAAAAATGACCATTTGAAGAGAGATCACCTACGCCGTCCTTTGATATTGTCTATAACAAGATTTTACCATAGAAAACTATACTAACCTATAATACCAAAATGTCATTTCCGACCATTTTTTAAATTACATACTGCTTTTTCAGCTTGCATGAAGATCAAAACCAAAAGCTGTCAAACCGTGTTCATTTACTATGGTAAAGATCGTGGTCATTAAACCAATCATGCTATACTTTAACACTTTGTAAACGACGGTATAATTAATACCTTGAAACGATGGTACAAGCCTCTGCAATCCTACATATCATTTTTTGTTAGTAACACTTGTAAATAAATTTAGAGCATAGACGATTTTTCGTGTTTTGCAGGGTCCAGCCCAGTACTGGGAATTTCAGTTCAATGATCCGATTTACCCTGCCCTGTCCTGCCTTGCTCTGTTTTGCCTTGCCCTACCCTGCCCTAAAACTGCTCTGTGCCCAACACTAAACAAATCCCTTTTCTGACGCTTGTCTTTCGATTGGGTTACGCTTTTTTTGCATTTTCTATTCTGAAAAAACAAAAAAACCTTTTTTATTATTTCAAACGGGAACCCAATCAAAAAGCAACTGCCAAAAAAAGGACTCGAATTCATACACAGTTACAGTTTTTTGTCGTCTATCGTTTGGGTCCGCTCACCCGGCGATCAATTTCTACATATGCATCTAACGTTTGCAACAGCCAACGTCAGGGGCGGCTGAATGAATAGTTGGCAAATTTTTGGAAGTGACTCCAGGTAACTGGAGTCTGATATCAGTGGGTTTCTCGCCGTTTCGTGAATTGTAAGGAAAATTTCTGCCATTTTACGCTTTGTAAAGAAAGTTCTTGGCATTATATACTTTTTAAACAAAGTTTTTCCCGTTTTAAAATCTGTAAAGAAAGTTCTTGCCATTTCCTATTTTGTAAAGAAAGTTTTTGCAATCTTAAGGCTCGTAAAGAAAGTTATTGCTATCACAAGACTTGTAAAGAAAGTTTTTGCCGTTTTTATTTCTTTGCACGGTGCAATCGTTAAAAATTTTAAAAACTTCAATAACTTTCTTTCCAACCCCAATCAGATGACCTTAGCCGAATGTTTGTTGGCGTAGTAATCTTGTCATTTACACTAGATTGACCTGGGCTGACCTTTCGTGAAACCCGCAATCGACCGACCGATTATAATATCATTCATTATCTGTGATTGAGATCAGGAGGTACCATCGGGTTTTCATGGTCTTTGATAACATTTTGCGGTCAGACAGAATGTGGAAAGAAAATTTTTGCGGCTTTTCTGGTTAGTAAAGAAAGTTCTTGCCAGTTTATGGTTTGGAAAGAAAGATCTTGCCATATTTTGTACTGTAAAGAAAGTTCATGTCATTTTGTTTTATAAAGAAAGATATTGTTATGTTATGTTTTGTAAAGGAAGTTTTTACAAATTTTAATCAATATAACCGCTTTTTGCGTTTTGCAGCCTGCGGTGCCAAGTTATACGAGGAAAATCATTTTGGTTGTTGTAAACAAAGTTCTTGTGATTTTATGGTTTGGAAAGAAAGTTTTTGCCATTTGTTATCTTGTAAAGAAAGTTCTTGCCATTTTTGGCGTTGTAAAGAAAGTTGTTGCTTATTTTGTGCTGTGCAGTCTGCGGGTGACAAGTTATACGAAGAAAATCGTTCTCTATGCCATTTACGTTTTTGTGAATTAAATTCTTGCCATTTTTCACAAAAAATTCTCATAAATAAGCCGTGTAAACAAAGTTCTTGCGCTTTCCACACGCTCTTCTTTTTTACGTTTCGGGCCGCGTTATAGGCAGCCGGTTGTTATCAGATCTTTTGGCGGAAACGTCGAGATATTTTTGGGCCAAATGTATCGAGAATCAGATAAGATTCGCCGTTTTTTGGCCCACAGATTCTTCGTTATTATTGTTATTATTTTAGGCTTAAATTGGTTTTTTCGATGCGTGTAAAAAAAGTTATTGCCGTTTTATAATTTGTAAAGAAAGTTTTTGCCATTTTATGATTTGCAAAGAAAGTTGTTGCCATTTGACACTCTGTAAAGAAAGTTCTTGCCATTTTTTAAATTGTAAAGAAAGTTCCTGCCAATTCTGGTTTTGCAAAGAAATTCCTTGCTACCCTTATTCAAAATAAGCGCATTTTGTGTTTTGCAGCCTGCGGGTGACAAATTATACGCTGAATTTCATTTTTCGTTTTGTAAAGAAGGTTCCTACCATTTATTGGTGTGTAAAGAAAGTTGTTGCCAATTCTTTAGAAATGAATCGCCTTTGTGTTTTGCAGCCTGCAGGTGACAAGTTATACGCCAAATGTAATGTTGTGTTAAAAAAAGCGTTTATATTGATAACCAAAGATCATGGATAATATAATGTCATCTGGAGACCCACAAATTCATATTTTTGGTATTAAAAAACGCGTTTGGGCCGCTGTTTTTGGGCCGCGATTGCCTGGACTGATAAAATTCGAAAGTTGGCCCTCCGATTTCAAACTCAGATTAGGGGAAAAATGCCTGCGGGCAGTATAACATCAGGGCTGGTCCGTGGCCAGAAACTTTGGTTTTTTTTAGCTGGAAAGAAGGTTTTTGCCATTTTTTCATAGGATTGAGTCCTTACTTCTGCACGGGTGGGGTAAGGGTAGGGTAGGGTAGGGTAGGGTAGGGTAGGGTAGGGTAGGGTAGGGTAGGGTAGGGTAGGGTAGGGTAGGGTAGAGTAGAGTAGGATAGGGTAGGGTAGGGTAGGGTAGGAGAGAGTAGGATAGGAGAGGGTAAGGTAGGGTAGAGTAAGATAGAGCAAGTGGGTAGGGGTAGACGGGTAGGGGTAGGTGGGTAAGGGCAGGGATAGGGGTAGGTAGGCAAGAATTTTCTTTACAAACCACAAAATATGCAAAAACTTTCTTTACAGCCCCAAAACGTAGTGTTAAGGCAGAGTTTTGTTATCTTATCAGCCGGTTGTCACTATTTCTACACCTCAGAAACAAGTTGTTAAGGGCTGTTATCAGTACCTTGACTAATACAACTTTAAAACCTTGATTACGAAAGTTTAGGTATAAACTTTATATCTTTTCATTTTTTTCCTACCTGCGCCCTAGCTTGACCATACTTTGACTCTTTTTTAACTATTGCCATTCCTTTTTGAAGGTACAAAGCTAAAAAAAACTTTCAAAACTTTGGTTATCAAGAGTGATTGGGGAATTGTCGCTGATAAGGAGAGTCATCGCTTTGTAGCTTCAACGCTTTACCTATATATTACTCTGTCATCATATCTAGAATATGACATATTAAGGTGAGAGGGGGTTGACCAAAACATTATTTATACTAATTTTTGGCAGTTTCGCGGTCTGTAAAGAAAGTTCCTTCCATTTCTTTCAACAATAAGCCCAATATTGAGTTATGAAGTCGAAAGTTCATGACATTTTATGTTTCGTAAAGAAAGTTCTTGCAATTTTTTGTTTTGTAAAGAAAGTTCTTGCTATTTTATGTTTTGTAAATAAAGTTCTTGCCATTATGTGTTTTGTAAAGAAAGTTTTTGTTAATTTGTGACTTGTAAAGAAAGTTCCTGCAATTTTTTGTTTTGTAAAGAAAGTTCTTGCTATTTTATGTTTTGTAAATAAAGTTCTTGCCATTATGTGTTTTGTAAAGAAAGTTCTTGCAATTTTTTGTTTTGTAAAGAAAATTTTTGCCTTTTTGTGTTCTAAAGGAAGTTCTTGCCACCATTATTCAAAGTAAGCCCAATTTTGTGTTACGCAGCCTGCGAATGACAAGTTATACGATGAATTCTATTTTTGCTGATGTAAAGAAAGTTATTGCCATTTTCTGCCTTGTAAAGAAAGTTTTTGCGTTTTTCGTATAATAATTTATATTTTAATGGCCCTTTTAATAATTTTTGTCATTATTATGAAGCCCTGCATCTACAAAAGTTCCACGTTTCGTTTGTTTTTGTTATCAGCCGGCTGGTTACAATCATATCACCGGTTTTATGCCCTCTGGCGGTATTATCAAACAATCGTGGGCTGTTTCGAAGGTGTTGTAATTGGAGTGATAAAACTGTTTTAACAAATTTTTTGGTTTTTTGTTGCAAAAAATGATTTTTGGTAGGAAAGGTTACTGTAACTTTTAAACCACGAAAACCTGAAATTTCCAAAAACCGCGATTTTGGCCTAAATTTCGAAACAAACCAATAAAGCCTGACCTATTTATTGTTTTTAAATGTAATTTGCGTCAAAAACACCCAAAATACATTGACAATTTTGAGATAAGTAGTAGTCGATTAGAGTCATACGGGCCGGCGCTTATCACTGCCTCGCGCTTATCAGCCCGCAGCTATTGACGTCTTTATTGGGGGTGTAGCCGCAAAAATGGCTTGATTACAAAATATTCGACTGATAGCCTTCCCCATTCTTCCAGTATTACTAGTTTTTGGTTTGTATTGTTGTCATTGTGGCAGTGGTTTTTGATGTTGTTTTAGAGGTTTTTGGCTGTTTTTTTGACGTTTTGATAAACTTTTTGAATTTTTTTGATAATATGCTGTTTAACAGTCTATTTTAGATTATATTTCAAGAATTTTCGAAATTTCATCAATTGTAATGAAAGTTATTGCGCTTTTTCTAAATCGAACATTTCAAACTGTATTTTCAAAACTTTGTCAATTTTAATATATTTTACATTTAAATATTCTTTACCTCGTATTTTACATTACATTGTCACAAAAACAACTTTTTCTACCATGTCCCCAAACATTTTAAAATTGCATCCCCTGTAAACAAAGTTATTGCGTTTCTAATTGTGATTTTTGGAATTTTGTTGATTTAAAAACTTGTTGTCAGTGACAACTCATCATGGAAAAGACCTTATCACCGCTGATAGTCCCCGATTTCCACCCAAATTTTTGTTTAATTGATAGATGTTATGTTATCTCACACTTCAGTTTGCTATCGATCGAGTTTGTTTGGGCGAAAAATAAACTTCAAACAGCTTATTTTTGTGTTGCATCAGTTTTTAGACTTTTTTTGAATTTTAAGCTGTTTCAAGCATTTTTACGTATCTAAAAATAAATTCCTGGGTAATATTTAGGTAGTTTTTACAGTCCGTAGCTGCCATTTTACATTTTCGTATCTTTATTTTATTCTAAAAAAGTCTAAAAAAGCATTTGCATTGGCCGGGAATCGAACCCGGGTCGCCCGCGTGGCAGGCGAGCATTCTACCACTGAACCACCAATGCACATTTCGTTCCTTTTTCAAAAGTCTTTTCGTTTCGGCGCAAATTCTTTTGCACGGTGCGAGCGCAGTTAGGCTTGTTTTAAAGCGGTTTTTAGCATAAAAAAGTATAGCAAAAAATTAAACCCATTTTTTTTATAAATTAGGGTTAATATAGTATCTAAAATTTTTCAAAAAAAAATTATTTTTTCATTTTTTTTGAAAATGACATTTTTAACCTAACACTATAAAAAAATTTTAAAATCAAAAACAATTAGCCAACTTACTATTGTCTACCCCACCAATCTTAAATTTTTTTAATTAAAAATTTTTTCCCGTCCAAAATTTCCCCACAAACCCGTTCCTTGCTTTAATGATGATTACCGAAATTAAAGCCGTCTAAACTAATGTGATGACTCACTTAAATAAACGATAAAATTTTATAAAACAAGTAAATAGTATTCGCTTAACTGATAATGATTCCAGATTCCAGTCGCGGAATGCCGGCACTTCAAACCCTCACCATGAACGTGAACAGTGGACCGGTCGTGGTGAAGACCGAAGATACCTGTAAGTTGGGGTACCTTTTCAAAAGATGTTTTTTAATGGTTTTTAAAGTTTTATCAGTAGAATCTTAATATAAAAAGCTTGAAAATTATCAAATTTTTAAATTTACATTTAAAAAAATTTTTTAAAAATTGTTTTTGAAATTTTTGAAGCTAATAGCCTATGATAATAAAGCCCTTTTTTCAGCTTTACCATGTAACAACTGCGGAGTAAAATTTACTCAAAGTGAAAGCCTCAGGCGGCATCAGTTATTCTATTGTAAAACCGAAGAAAATGGCAGTGGTAAGTTAGCGGGGCGTGGCTACAACTAGGATTGGGACTGAGGAAGGCCTGTAAAGGGGTCGAGAACAAGCCTTGGTTTGAGCCCCTTTCAAGCCCAAGCTGAAGCTAAGGCTGAAGACAACTAAAGCTCTTCAGGGCAAGGACTAAAGCTAAGGCTCGAGCTAGGGCCCAGGCCAGGGCTGGAACTAGAGCTGAAGTTAGAGCTTAGGCTAAAGCCATGGCTAAAACTAGGGCGAAAGCTAGAGCTAAAGCTGGAGCTTAAGCTAGGACTAGGGCGGCTAGGGCCGGAGCAAGGACCAAAACTAGAGCTAGTACTAGGTCCAAGCAAAGGCTTTCGCTACAGTAGAGTTTTCAGAACCGTTTATAAAACATTAAGATTTCTAACAAATAACCTTTTTCCAGACATTCACACCAGCACAACAACGACGAAAGAAGAGCCCCGACCTCAAGAATCAACTCCATCTACCTCAACCTCGAATCTCCAAAGTCTTCTCAACAATAATATTAGTCTACCCAACTTTGCTGACGCGATTGCTGCCATCATTCAACAACAACAGAGCCAGCAACAAGTTTTGTTGCAACAGCAACTTCAGCAACAAGCTGTGAGCAACATTCTTGGAGTGGGACAAACAAACACTATCATATTACCGGTCGGTTATCACAATCAAAGTGATAGCAGCATCATTCAGGTGAGTACTGATTTTTGGTTTTTTGGTTGGATTACTGTAACTTTTTGGCAATTATTTTTATGATTATTGTTGAAACTTTAAATTTAGGTGTAGACTAAGCTTAAAAATGATCTTTCAGGTAGTTATAGACTTATAAAATACTCTATATTAAAATTCCTAACCTAAAGGTATACCTACTATATACAACATCCGCTAATTCCCAACTCTGAAAGCCTAATATAACCCTTGATATTATCCCAAAATGGCACAAAAAGCATACCCTAACCAAAATTTCACATTTCAGGTGGTAGGCCCAGTCCAAACCGTGATACCCGTAGCCATTAGTCGCACTGTGCCAGTAGCCTCACGGTCGTTAATGTTAGACGCCGCTTTCGCTTCACAACTACAGATTCCACCAAAACTGCCATTAAATCAACCATCAGGAGAGTTCGGTCTATCTTTGGCGTTTTTATCACAAAATAATCCGACTCAAAGTACTAGTAACAATGTCACAGCGACGGCTACCGTGCTCAGTGGAAACGAATTGAACCCCAGTTTGTTGGGGAGGAAACGGTAAGAGTTTTATTAAAGAGTTTTAAAGATTAATCAAAACCTTTCTTGACAGCTCATAAAATGGTAGAGTAACTTATTGTAAGATAACAAAAGAGAATCCATCGTATAATATGTCTCCTGCACGCTGCAGACGAAAAAAAAGTTGTTTCGTTATAATGTTTACAAGAACTTTCTTTACAAAACATAACATGGCAAGTATTTTCTTTACAAAGCATAACATGGCAAGAACTTTCTTTACAGATCATAAAATGGCAAGAACTTTCTCTACTAAGTATAAAATGGCTAGAACTTTCCTTACAAATCATAAATTGATAAAGACGTTTATCTTTTCCGAAACAGTCAGAGAAAAGAAAAAACCTTTTCAAAAGTAAAGTTTTTCCCAAAGCGTAAAAAAGTCGCCGCCGCGTGAAACCCAATCAAAAAACAAGTGCCATAAACGCGACTTCAACTTTAGTCCAAAAAAAGTTTAGCTTCACGCTCAGCATGATCCGCCTATCATGCGTCTGATGGCCCTATTTAACCTTTATTGGCCCTTGGCCAACGTCAGAGGCGGCTGGTCGAATAGTTGGCCAATTTTTGGGATGACTTTAGGTAACTGGAGTCTGATATCTGTGGTTTTCTTGCCACTTTTTGCTTCGTAAAGACGGTTCTTGTCATTTTATGGCTTGTAAAGAAAGTTCTTCCCGTTTCATACTTTGTAAAGAAAGTTCTTGCTATTTTTTGGTTTGTAAATAAAGGTCTAGCCATTTATGTTTTGTGAAAAAATTATTTGCCATTTTATAGTTTGTAAGGAAAGTTATTGCCATTTTATGTTTTTTAAAGAAAGTCTTTGCCATTTGTAATTAGCCACCAAATTTCTTTACAATAGCCCAGTTGAAACCTTAAAATTCCTTTAAAAGGACATTTAATGCCATTTTTTTATCTAAATTAAGTCCCATAATTTCAGAATCAGAACAACATCATCATCCTCATCAACAAAAAGGTTTTGTGATTCGGCCGAATCCTCCAGCCGGCCGCTTGACCTCTCCCAGAAGCCGAAAGAAGATGAACCCACTGACAAGTCCGATGCCAAGAAGCCTTTCGCTTGTGATTGTGGAGTCTCGTTTATGACAAACGAAACCCTCACCAGTCATCGCAAATACTACTGTAAGAACCGGGTATCGGCCGACGAAATCGAGGAAATGGAGCCCTCGAGGAAGGTCCCATCACAGTGTTCCCAATGCGATTACATTCCCTCCACCCACGCCCAGCTAGCACAACACATTCGCCACAAACACTCGCTAGTCCAGGCGTTCGTCTGCCTGATTTGCAACTACAAAGGCTATTCGGCCCGAGGCATTAAAAACCATTTGAGGACTTCGCATCCGGAAGAAATGTCAAAACGTCGTGCTGACAGTGAGAGTACCATGCTGTCGGACAAGAGCCTACTACAAGATTATGTGTTTTGTGTTACAGCCGATACAAAACAAATTCCGTGTGAAAAGTGCCGATTGGCATTCCCCACCGAAGACCTCAGGAACCGACATCAGTGTCGGGCGCCCGATAGTTGATTTTCTCATTTTTTTGAAAAATGTTATTTACGAATAGAAAATGGCAAGAATTTTCTTTACAAAGTATAAAATGGCAAGAACTTTCTTTACAAACCATAAAATGGCGAGAACTTTCTTTACAGATCATAAAATGTCATTTTTGATCAAAAAATTGAGATCAACTTTTAAAATTAAAAAAATTACAATTTTTTCATTCTTTTGCCGTTTAAATCGCTTTTTGAAAGCTTGTATATCTAGTCTACACGTTTTGTAATACCCAAACACATAATTTACAATAATATAATATATAAACTTCTAAACTCTACTTTTACTTTTGAAATGTCATTTTTATCGTTAAAACCGCCTTGAAATTAAAATATTAGGTTGTTCAAATACATCCGTGCCCCGTCTCAAAGCAAACTTTCAGGGTTGGAAGCAAATAATTATTTGAACAACCTAGTAATACATTATGCATTATAATAGAATATATATAGTACCATGGTACTTTATATATTATGTTATATATGTATTTACATTATAATTATATGTTATAGTATATATAAGTATTACAAAAATCTACCTTTTGCCTCCTAATTTATTTTTTAAAGTTTGAAGCTTTACTGCGATGTACATTGTAACAAGTTTAATTTCATTATTGTCACGTTACTCTAAGATGATTACCATTCACGTGATTCGAATTTTCGATTTTTATGACCATGTTTTGAGTTACTACAATAAATTACTGCTATATACAAGTTTGAGATTTCAATTCTTATTTTAAAAAATTTATTTTGAACTTGTCAATATTAAAAAGCTTTTAAAAATTGATATTATGAGGCTAATGTATATTGTACTACTTGTTTGTATAGCTTTTGAGCCACTCAGTGGAATACCAAGTAAGAAATGACATGAAAAAACACCTACCCCCTCTTTTTTTTTCGCCCAACCCTGCCCCTACCTCTATCTCAACTATGTCATATCATCTTACTTACGCTACCCCTGCATTCTTAGCACCTATCTTACCTACAATATCTTTTTTTTTGTACATACTACGTTACTCAGCGCTACTATACTATAAAATTTCATACTTTAATGTACTATACTGAACTATTACCAAAATTTGCACTAACAGTACTATTTTGAAACTTCATCATATCTGCTAGTGCAGATTATGGTAAGAGTGCAATATAGTAACAGTATAAAATGTTATAGTAAAGTAGCTTTGAGTATTGCCTTACAAAAAGAATGTTGTAGGTAAGGTAGGTGCCAAAGTAAGACAGGGTAGCGCAGACGGCAAAGTCTTAAATATAGCCCAAAAATAAAAAAAATATTTTTAGTCCAACCCCTCTCCCGTTTACGCCGCCAACAGCTCGGCTATCCGGCTTCAATTTGCGGTTGTGCCCCTTTTCCTTACCAAACGCCGCCTGGAGTCAAATGTGGATGTTATCCTTTTCAACAATGCATTGCTGGACAGTGTTATCAAGGATAACTTGGTCACAAAAAAGTTTGATTAAAGGACCTGTAAACCCCCAAAAAACCCCTTTTTGAAATATCGCCATGAACCTGGCATTATGTCTTATCGTGCGGGTACCAAAAGGAAATTCTCGCGTAAAATATTTTCAGAAATTTTTTTCATGGATAATATACCGATGAATCTCCTTGATTTCACTATAACTTGCTGTTGTAACTATTGTCTCTGTGTTGGAAAATGCTATTGATGGCCCCAGTTTTCCAGATTTTATCCGAATTTACACTTTTATGTTATTATAGTGTACTTTCCGGTAACGTTTTGAGAACTTTGGCCAGATTTAAATTTAAAAAACTTTAAAAGTTGATTGGTAAGTTTTTTTATAATATTTATGTTGTTCTAACTGAATAATCAATTTTTTAGACCCCCACCATTGCGTTCAACTGTTTTGATGTGGTTTCGCACTTCGATGTTGTTATAGCGCAATGTCGAGCTGAATGATGAAAGCTTGGGCCGTTTTTGGACTTGAAAACTTACAGAATTACTGGAGAAGATGTTAAAACATGTGTGTAAACTTTTGGGGACGATTCTGGTTCAATAAAAAGGCTACGGAAGGATTTGTGACACATCCCAGCTAAAACAACGTCAACAAGCGATATGTAAGTGTTTTATTGAATTTTTATTGTTTTAGGTATGAAATTGGCCAGTTTAACTAATTGTATAACTTGACATAGACTTCCGACAATTTTAATATCAGAAACACTGCTTAATTCTCAATTGTTACCTAAAAATGCTGCATCAACTCAATATTATGGTAAAGACAGACGGAAATCAATTGGAAGACGACAAGCACTTGTGGATTTAGCTTAGTTAGCCAATTTCTACCTAAAACAACAAAAATGGACATAAAAAAACTTACGAATCGCTTGTTGACCTTGTTTTAGTTGGGATCTGGCAGAAATCTTTCCTTAACCTGCTTTTTAAACCAGAATCATCCGCAAAAGTTTAAAAACATTCTTTAACATCTTCTGCAGCCATTCTGTAAGTTTTCAAGTCCAAAAACGGCCCAACCTTTCATCATTCAGCTCGACATTGCGCTATACCAACATCTAAGTGCACAAAGAACTCCAACTGAAAACAGAGTGTTTTTGTACGAATCTGGCACTGCCAGTGCGCCCTCCAAACACAGATTACCTGTACTAAAAGCAGAATATAGCTACTGGGAAGACAGCGCTACCAAGATGTTTGAAGAACAGTTTAAGGAACTCATAAACACAGTACGCACAGCTAAGTCAAATGCCGATTTACTTCAATATGAAAACTTGCCAACAGTTACGAAAAACAACGACAGAAATTAACGCTCGATTAGAAGAAAGATCTATAGAGTTATATAATGTAATTCAAACATGTGACACTCTTGTCAGTGAAATTGGAAAGTTCAAGTCAAATACTTACAACGTCAAGTAGACCGACGAATACTTCCTTCTCGTCCGAATCGTTTAACTTATTCTGAACTTTCATCCAAAGGCAAGATGAGTGCTCAAAATAAATACCACGAAGAATTGCGAAAAATATTTTCGAATTACACTGAAGATGATCTAGCACAACTTAAAAAAGATGCTACAGCCGCATTGTTTCCCAAGCAAATACAAAGGCTTGATGATGTTAAAACACTAGTCATACAACAACATTTGTCTCAGTCAAACGAAGGTTTAAGGAAAATGAGAAAAGCGTTACAAGCCTTTGACTTTCCCCTACTTAGTAGCGATAGGCAGGTAAAGAAAGCTCGAAAAGAGTTGTCAATACCAATGGATTTAATTCAGTATACAGGTAAATAACACATAATAGATAAAAAATGACGAATACCTTCAATATCCACACAATTTTTCTATATAGACAAGCAATTTTCCGCCAATTTGGCAAATTTGGCATTGTGTTGCAAGCACTTTTTTGATGTAACAGATAAGATGAGTTCACAAATTTAAAATTTCGGGTTCATTTGAAGCTTTGCTATCGTTATATTAAAGAAAAAATGTTAAAAGTCAAAAAACGAGAAAGTTAAAAGCTTGAAACACTATGCCAATTTGGCGGGAAATTTATAACGCAGTTTTTAATCTCAATTTTCCCAAGTCTGACCGCGAACCGCAACTTAGAATTTTGCATAAGGTCTTACATTTACATGAACTTTCAAAAAAATTTTTAACAAAAGTGCCTTGTTATTTCACTGTTTTAAAAATCCTGAACCGCATAATATTGGAAAAATACCTAAAATCATACATTGTAATTAATTTTAAAGATGACGATGGTACCGTGCATGATGGAGCAAGAATTAGAGATGTAAAACATGCACTACAAATTCGGGTAAACAATCAGATAAAAAGCGGAAGATGGAACCCTCCAGATGAAGAAGCTTTACACCTCTGTATTGTTTCCGATGAAGGCAACAAAATAACTAAACTGGGCGTTATTATGGGTTCAATTGATCATAGAAACTCTCCGTCGGCCATGCTGCTTGTTGGACTATACATTGGGGAAGAAAATTATGATGTATTTAAAAACTTGATGAAACCGATCATCGACGACTTGATGAATATAACCGAGCTTGACAAAAATGAAACAAAAGTGTCCGTTCATTGGCAGTATGTAGCTGACCTTAAGTTGACAAAAATGACACTTGGGGTACGAAGTGGCGCGTTATCTTATCCATGTCCTCACTGCATATCCCATGTCGAAAAATCATGTTCTGAATTTAAAGATCCATCTCCTTTAACTCCAAGAAATTATCAAGTAATTGACAAAGAAGTTGGTCAAGATCAAGAAACTTTAATAAATATATCACCTGAAGACGTCATTCCGCCCTTACTTCATATAAATATGGGGATTACGGAGAAAACGATCAATTTCATGAAGAAAGAATTGGCACAACTCGCTGGCACTAGCTCCATTACCAAAAAAACTAAACGAAACATGAAGATATTAGAGGAAAAACAAATTGAAGAAAAACATTTGAGTTATAGCATTGCAAAGTTACGATATCTCTCACTAGCGATGACTACACTAGAAGAAACAGGGGCTACACTACAACATTCAGTAGCAATTAATTGTCCAGAAACATGTTCTTTATCTGATTGTTTGGCAGCTTTGTTTAATGTAGAATTACCAAGTAGGACAACAACTGAACACGACTGGATTCAGCCTACCAACACCAGAAAATGGTGCCACACTGCATGTCTAGGCATGACAAGTCAAGAAACCAAAAAGGCCGCAAAACTAAACGCAACCTTTAAAATGCCTAGCTATACTGCAAAACAAAGATTTGATGTCATCCAAACAGAATTACAAAAATATGAAGAAAAATCATTGAAGGTTAAAGCCATCGTACAAAAATTGACTCCAGCACCCGCAATTGAAAGCGAATTGGGGCTTGTTAACATTCTTGAAGAAGCAATTAAAAAAAGCGGAGCATCAAGACAAGTATTTTTCAATACATACTGTGGCAACCATGTTCGAAAAATACTTAAAAATGCCATCCAAACAGAATTACAAAAATATTGGAAATTGAGGCGGCAGGAAAACAGAATGCCATATAACTTAGCGCTTATTTGTTTTCGTGTCAGGATACTTCACGGAGTTGTGTGTATTGAAAAATTTATAAATTTTAAAAATTGATTGATTATTACCAACGGGAAAAAACTATTTTTATGTTTTTTTAAAATATGTTTGTTTTGTTAATATTATAGAGCTCAAATTTTTATAATTTTTCATATATAATAGCTTTTGATCAATTTAAATTTTATACGACCTGTTTTCAAAACAAAGTCTGCCAAACGGAGCGTTAAAAATAAAAGTTTAATATGTATTTTAAAATATGTTTTTATGCTTCAAGTATTAAATTTGCTATTATATTTTTGTTACAAGATAAACATTTATTTTTGATTTAAAATTAGGGGATAAAAAACGATAAATTGAACTTAAAATGAGGCTATACATTGAAGTAATCTTCTTCTTCTTCATCATCAGACTTTTCTTCTGTTCTGGCTTCTTTTTCAATGTCAAGTTGGATACAATCGAGGCCATATTCGTCAAATAAAACAGTTCTTTCGTATGCCCATACGATTATTGACATTAGACGCTTTTTTGAGTCTCGGGTTTTTACCCTTCTAAGGTCCTTATTCACGGCCGCATGGCAATGTTCGATCACTTGTTCAGTAAAGAATGTCATGCTTTTGTTCTTTTTCATATATTCAGGTACATGGAAGAAAAGCTGATGCAGTTTGTGGCCGGGTTTTTCAAACATCATTGTATCTGATACGAGATGTCTTAATTGTGTAATCAGCGATATTACATTGTTCACTTCAGAATCGGTCAGGCGTCTGGATACAGAAAAATTTTGGATTTTTCCTAACAATTGTAATATGTCAAATCCTTGTTTGATTTTTTCTGATTTTGTTGATAATAAGGTGCCGTCGTTGGTTTTGGCCCAGTGCTCTATTTTTTTGGCATTTTTAAGTATTTTTCGAACATGGTTGCCACAGTATGTATTGAAAAATACTTGTCTTGATGCTCCGCTTTTTTTAATTGCTTCTTCAAGAATGTTAACAAGCCCCAATTCGCTTTCAATTGCGGGTGCTGGAGTCAATTTTTGTACGATGGCTTTAACCTTCAATGATTTTTCTTCATATTTTTGTAATTCTGTTTGGATGACATCAAATCTTTGTTTTGCAGTATAGCTAGGCATTTTAAAGGTTGCGTTTAGTTTTGCGGCCTTTTTGGTTTCTTGACTTGTCATGCCTAGACATGCAGTGTGGCACCATTTTCTGGTGTTGGTAGGCTGAATCCAGTCGTGTTCAGTTGTTGTCCTACTTGGTAATTCTACATTAAACAAAGCTGCCAAACAATCAGATAAAGAACATGTTTCTGGACAATTAATTGCTACTGAATGTTGTAGTGTAGCCCCTGTTTCTTCTAGTGTAGTCATCGCTAGTGAGAGATATCGTAACTTTGCAATGCTATAACTCAAATGTTTTTCTTCAATTTGTTTTTCCTCTAATATCTTCATGTTTCGTTTAGTTTTTTTGGTAATGGAGCTAGTGCCAGCGAGTTGTGCCAATTCTTTCTTCATGAAATTGATCGTTTTCTCCGTAATCCCCATATTTATATGAAGTAAGGGCGGAATGACGTCTTCAGGTGATATATTTATTAAAGTTTCTTGATCTTGACCAACTTCTTTGTCAATTACTTGATAATTTCTTGGAGTTAAAGGAGATGGATCTTTAAATTCAGAACATGATTTTTCGACATGGGATATGCAGTGAGGACATGGATAAGATAACGCGCCACTTCGTACCCCAAGTGTCATTTTTGTCAACTTAAGGTCAGCTACATACTGCCAATGAACGGACACTTTTGTTTCATTTTTGTCAAGCTCGGTTATATTCATCAAGTCGTCGATGATCGGTTTCATCAAGTTTTTAAATACATCATAATTTTCTTCCCCAATGTATAGTCCAACAAGCAGCATGGCCGACGGAGAGTTTCTATGATCAATTGAACCCATAATAACGCCCAGTTTAGTTATTTTGTTGCCTTCATCGGAAACAATACAGAGGTGTAAAGCTTCTTCATCTGGAGGGTTCCATCTTCCGCTTTTTATCTGATTGTTTACCCGAATTTGTAGTGCATGTTTTACATCTCTAATTCTTGCTCCATCATGCACGGTACCATCGTCATCTTTAAAATTAATTACAATGTATGATTTTAGGTATTTTTCCAATATTATGCGGTTCAGGATTTTTAAAACAGTGAAATAACAAGGCACTTTTGTTAAAAATTTTTTTGAAAGTTCATGTAAATGTAAGACCTTATGCAAAATTCTAAGTTGCGGTTCGCGGTCAGACTTGGGAAAATTGAGATTAAAAACTGCGTTATAAATTTCCCGCCAAATTGGCATAGTGTTTCAAGCTTTTAACTTTCTCGTTTTTTGACTTTTAACATTTTTCTTTAATATAACGATAGCAAAGCTTCAAATGAACCCGAAATTTTAAATTTGTGAACTCATCTTATCTGTTACATCAAAAAAGTGCTTGCAACACAATGCCAAATTTGCCAAATTGGCGGAAAATTGCTTGTCTATATAGAAAAATTGTGTGGATATTGAAGGTATTCGTCATTTTTTATCTATTATGTGTTATTTACCTGTATACTGAATTAAATCCATTGGTATTGACAACTCTTTTCGAGCTTTCTTTACCTGCCTATCGCTACTAAGTAGGGGAAAGTCAAAGGCTTGTAACGCTTTTCTCATTTTCCTTAAACCTTCGTTTGACTGAGACAAATGTTGTTGTATGACTAGTGTTTTAACATCATCAAGCCTTTGTATTTGCTTGGGAAACAATGCGGCTGTAGCATCTTTTTTAAGTTGTGCTAGATCATCTTCAGTGTAATTCGAAAATATTTTTCGCAATTCTTCGTGGTATTTATTTTGAGCACTCATCTTGCCTTTGGATGAAAGTTCAGAATAAGTTAAACGATTCGGACGAGAAGGAAGTATTCGTCGGTCTACTTGACGTTGTAAGTATTTGACTTGAACTTTCCAATTTCACTGACAAGAGTGTCACATGTTTGAATTACATTATATAACTCTATAGATCTTTCTTCTAATCGAGCGTTAATTTCTGTCGTTGTTTTTCGTAACTGTTGGCAAGTTTTCATATTGAAGTAAATCGGCATTTGACTTAGCTGTGCGTACTGTGTTTATGAGTTCCTTAAACTGTTCTTCAAACATCTTGGTAGCGCTGTCTTCCCAGTAGCTATATTCTGCTTTTAGTACAGGTAATCTGTGTTTGGAGGGCGCACTGGCAGTGCCAGATTCGTACAAAAACACTCTGTTTTCAGTTGGAGTTCTTTGTGCACTTTCAGGGTTTGGGGCAGTTAGGATAATGTGTTTTTTCTTACCTAAAACAGGGTTATGGTTATTCTTGCCTCTGTATCATTATTAAAGAAACGGTTTTACTATTGTTGTTTTTGGCAATAGCCAGAGCTTTATTGTAGTACATTATATTTTTTCTGTTAAAAACATCACTGAACAAAAATAGACTATAAGGAACAAAAATAGTTGGTTTACGGCCGCCCAGAATAACGAATTTGTTTGCTACATGTTTAATAGTGGAATTTTGCTTTACGATATATTTTTCTTACAAACATTTAGGAATAAACAACAAAAAATGTGAGAAACATATTTTCGACACACTCAATAAAGCACTGCTTTTATAGGAAAAAATAAATACTTTTAATTTTTAAACATACTATGTGTATTTGTCTTATTTCATTCAAAACATACCTAAATTTTTGCTGTGTTTTGAGATTCCTGCCTTCTTTATCCGTTTAATGCCACGCATTTTAGCTGCTTGCAGCTTCTTTTTTTGTGTCTTTGTCCTGTACTTCAACGCGGCTTTTAACCTCGCTACAACAAGCAATTTGAATTTATGTATTACTTTTTGTGTTATGTTATTTTAAAATTTTTACACTATGTATAGTTTTCATTCTTATTCAAAATTAATCATCATTTATAGCCAGCGTTATCGACAATCTTCTAAGTTGAATTAATTACCTTGCTGTTTGTAATCCGCTGGATTTACATCCATTTTTTGTAATCGTCAGAAGTTAAGTTGATGTAACGAAAATGAAAAATCTATAAATTTAAATTTAATAGAGCTACTTTGAACTATAAATTATAATACTTTTTTGCAAACAAAACAAAAAATGGTTTTATAAAAATATTTTTTAATAAATAAATTTGCTGCAGTTTGCCTCTAATGAGACGGCGCACAGCGGCCAAATTCTGAAAAAAATACTTTGTTTTAGTACTTACAAAGGAATTGCACCAAATATCCGTCGGCTTTTAGAACGAGACTTATATAGGATGAAAGAGCACAAAAAGTTACCGGGAAAACTGTTTTCAAAAACTGCAAATGGACTTGGCTAGCGAAATATCAGCCGCCCAAGAATTTACAGAGAAAACCCTTTGGCCTTCCGTCCTGGAAAAAACGAATGGGTTGATGGATGAATATACTAAATGTGACTGGGCGGTTGAATTGTTAGTTTGGAGTGCAGAAGGTTTATATTTTAAAAAATTTTTTTACCAAATGTTAATAATAATGCGTACTTTAAATTTGCAAGACAGGTTTTTAGATTTTACTTTTTAAAAAAAGTTACAGTACTTTAAGTGATTTTCTCAGTGCAAAAAAAGTTTGCTCCGAAGGATGCTGGAAACACCAAGTCGCTGCTTCTTTTCATTTTTATACCAAATATTACTGATAACGTGTACTTTAAATTTGCAAGACAGATTTTTAGATTTCGCGTTTTAAAAAAAGTTACAGTACTTTAAGTGCTTTTTTCAGTGCAAAAAAAAACTGCTCCGGAGGTTCCTAGAATAACCAAGCGGTCACTTAGACTCAGATTTTATAGGGACAGTTATTTAGTAGTTTACTTTTATTTTGCAAAACAAATTTTTAAATTTTGACTTTTAAAAAAATTTACGGTATTTTAACGTTTTTTACGGTACTTCACGTAGCACTTTAATAGATACCAAGTTAACCATGCAAGATATTAACTTAATATTTTGTACAAACGTTCTTTCTATAACATACATAAACTTAGTAAAACATTTTATTGTATGGTTTCTTAAAAAAATTGTTACAGTATTTTAAAGTTTTTGATACGGTGCAAATTTAGTTGCTTCAATGAGTGTTGGCCGAACTAAGAAAAGTATAAATTTTATTTTTTAATTAAATTTTTTAATTGTAAATTACTATAATTTTGTAATACGGTTTTGTATTTTTTTGTACTTTGTAGAAAGTTACTGTACTTTAATAATTTTTCGTGCAACAAACATCGTATAAGATGTCTTACACAAAAACGCGCAGATCGCAAGATTAGGACGCAGCTCCCTGCCGTTTTAAAAATCCTTTTCTTTAGAAGCGGACCGAACGTGAATTTATGAAAATATTTTACGCGAGAATTTCCATTTGGTCCCGCCACGATAAGACACAATGCCAGGTTCACGGCGATTTTTCAAACGCTATCTTTACAGGTCCTTTAAAGATTAAACGTCGTAATGAAGGTCAGAAATCATGAATTTTATTTTTGACCTAGCTCATTATAACATGATTCCGATGACAATAAGATGCCATTATAATACTTTGTAAAGAAAGTTTTTGCCATTTTATATTTCGTAAAGAACGTTCTTGTCATTTTATGATTTGTAAAGAAAGTTCTTGCATTTTTACGTTTTCTAAATAAATCTTGTCATTTTTTAATCCGTAAAGAAAGTTCTTGCTAATTTATACTTTGCAAAGAAAATTCTTGCTTTTTTTTCGATTTGTAAAAAAATTTCTTGCCATTTTATGTTTTATCAAGAAAGTTCTTGACATTTTTGACCCGTAAAGAAAGTTATAGCAACTAAAAATTAAAAAAAAATGTTTTTTTAATCTGTTCATTTCGTATTTTTTTAAGCTGTTCATTTCGTATTTTACATTTGTCTATCCAAATAAAAAAAGAGCTTGTTTTCAAAAAATATCAAACCCCAGTGACGTAATACCCTATAAACCTTATAATTGTCTACCCTTTCATATCTTCTTCTTGAACCTAATAAAGTTGCACCTTATAAGAAGCAGCACACATTTTTCAGCTATCTTAACATAAGCGATGGTAAAAGTTAACATGTCTTAACATAAGCAAGTTAGATTTTAATCTTGTCTTTTTCATTTTGAAAGCTCAGTTTGTTCATCTTACTCATCGACGGGCTGTTGCCACTTTGTATAGTTTATTCAAAATTAAATTACTAACCTTATTTTAATCAGCTACTACTGTTTCCGTTTATTCTACAGTTAAAAAGCTGAATATCTTCATCTAGACTGCGAAGAACTAGCTATTTTTCGACTGTATACTGGACTAGCTGTCTGCTATTATAGTATATACCTTTCCATTGACTAGACTACCTACTTTTGGCTACAACTACTCACTTTCAACCTTGAAAGATCAATATCTACCTTCATTTAAAAAGCCTCATCTTGCAACACTAATATGTCATCTTCAACCTCAAGTGCCAAGCCCACAACCTATTCTGCCAACCTCTCAACCTCATGTTCCAATACCAACAAATCATGTAAAAACGCTTCAACTTACAGCACTTTCTGGCTTATCATTTGCCTGATCCTCTCAACCGTGTTCTTCATCGTTTCTTCTGCCATTTTCTTTTGGACATGCAATATGTTGATTGCCAAGATCTACAACAAGTTTCAGCGTAATTCAAGTTGCTGTTGTACAGAATGTTTGAGCGAGCAGTAGGATATTATTACAAATATTATCTATATCCTATTTACTGTGTATTTTACTGTAAATAAAAAGAAATTTATGCTTATTGTACCCTTTTCATGGCTACTAATAGATAGTATATATGATATTGTACCTTATTATTACTAATAAATAAAATTACAAGTAAATATAGTTTACAACAACTAAAAATAATGTTTTTTTAATTCGATGCTTATTATATTTATTCCAAATGTAAGTAAAAATAAATTATCCAAAACGTAATAGTGATATCAAGAAGGTCAACAACAAATATTAAGAGACTGAGATACGAATAAGAGCAATGTTACAGTGTTTTAGAGAAAAGATAGTGTAAACAACTTGTAACCCACACCAGTTTTCTTCTACTGCCATAGTTGGGTATTGTAAAGTAAATTTTAGGTACTGAAAGATAAAGTAAATATAATAAAAAGTACTGTAAGGTAAAGTCAAATCTTTCTTACTGTAAGATCAAATATATAGCATATGTAGATACCGTAGAATCAGATAAATTAGGTGCGTAAGTCTACTGTATCCTCATTCACTACTTTCCATTACCATACTGAAACCCTACCTTCTAATATCATAAAGTAACGATACTTTCCAGTTCAATACAGTAACCCTACCTTCCATTGCCATAAAGTAACCCTCGGTTGCTGTACCATACAGCAACCCAACCCTAACCTCCAGTACCGCACAATATCCCAACAGACCCAAGCCTAAACTCAACACCTAAGCCTAAGCAATAGTCATAAGCCTAGGAGCAATTGACATAGACATAAGCTCCTGGAACAACAGTTTGCAAGCGTATGGGATTCTGACCGCAGAGATTTGGGTCTTGTTTTGGCATGCTTGACAATTGAATTGATTGGTGCGTTGATTGGCTACCACGACCAGACCACAGAGGTTACAGACGTACACGTGGTACGGATCTGACACTTCGAATAGACGTTCCTTTAGGAATTGAGCTGCACCGTGAGAAATCTGACAATCACGTTCCATTTCACCGAAACGAAGACCTCCATCTCTGAAAAATTTTGAATTTTAATTTAGTACAATATGGAGAAAGTCTTAAGAATTAATTTTTGATATTTTTAGGCTACTACAATATAAAAAAACCTTTTCAATTTTAAGGGCCCAAGACCATCGCGCTGTAAAGAAAGTTCCTGCTATTTCAACTTTGTTAAAAAAAGTCATTGTCATTTTTCAATTTCAATCAAGTGAAAACCAAAAAACGAAATTTAAGCCCCAATACCCTCAAAACAAATAGCCCTCTTACCTGGCACGACCCTCCATAGGCTGTCGATTCATCATTTGAACCGGTCCTCTGGCTCTGGAGTGAATCTTATCATCCACCATGTGCTTCAGTCTTTGATAGTAGGTTGGGCCGAGGAAGATTTGAGTGGTCAGTTTTCTGCCCGTGTGTCCATTGTACATGATTTCATTGCCTCTCAGTTGATAGTCGTACTCCGATAGTAAAGTGCTGATCTTCTGCACATTTACTGTATCGTTGAAGGGTGTGGCATCACCGATTTCACCCTTGTTAGCTGATAACTGAAACAATTGGCTTTATACTACAATTTTCTAGTTAAAAAACCATGTTTTGGCCGTTATCATACTACTTATCATAACTTTCTCCCGTCTTTTTTCAAAATTTTTGCCAAAAAACTTCATTTTTGACCAAAAACTTATATTAACCATGCCATAACAAGTCCAAAATTGCCACAAAACCCTCTCAAAACCTCAAACAATTACTATTATTAATATCTTACCTTGCCCTGCAAGCATTCAATCAAGTGACCAATTGTCATACGAGATGGTACAGCGTGAGGATTGATGATAATGTCTGGAGTAATACCTTCTCTCGTGAAGGGCATATCTTCCTGTCGGTACATCATACCCATCGTACCTTTCTGACCGTGCCGTGACGCAAACTTGTCTCCGATTTGAGGTAGACGGACTGATCGTACTCGGATCTTGATGAACTTGTTACCGTCCGTGTTCACGGTCAACATCACTTGATCTACTACACCTGTTTCGGAGGACCTGAAATAGAAAACTTTGAGTTTAACATAGTAAAATGACTTTGAAAATAGATAACAGGCCTTTAAAACTAGTTTACAATTGCCAAAGCTTCAAAAAAGCCAAAAATAATTTTAAATTTGGGTCCCATCACGAAAACCTCAACAAGTATAAATTAGTCTAAAAAATCTATTTTTCATAAATCAAGGACTATAATAATAGAATTAATAACTAATTTATCCCATTTTAAAACCCGAAATCCCAAATTTTCAAACCTCTCTAGGTCCCACCACGAAAACCATTAAAACTCAATCCGTCATCATTTCTTCCCAAAAACTATCGCAAAAGCCATTCCCTACCTCAAGAAAGTCGACGAGTCTCGCTTGGTGTATTTTTTCGTGGTACTGTTGGTATCTTCTTCGTCTGGGACACTGATTGTTTTGCCTATGATAACATCGTCACCGGTTACTCTCACTCCGGGCGCTATGATACCGTCGTCGTCGAGTTTTTCGTAAGCGGCGTGTCTCATGCCGGAGCAGTTCTCTCTGGTTGGTTTTTCGATGATTTCCGGGTTTCCGTACTCGAGGTTGGCTTCTTGATCACGGTAGGAACGGTAGAACACCTAAAATAAGGTCGGTTTTAGGGTGGTTTGGCTAAAATAAGGTAGTTTTTAAGCCTTTTTATTTAAAACAAAATAATTTTTAAGCGTTAGTAGCTAAAATAAGATCATTTTCAAGGCTTTTTGGCTACAATAAAATGGTTTTTGGGCCTTCATAGCCACCTTACCGATCTGAACAATCCTCTATCGATACCGGACGAGTTCATAATGACCGAATCCTCCTGATTATACCCAGTGTAAGACAAGATAGCCACAATCGCATTAATTCCAGCTGGTAACTCATTGAAACGTAGGTATTCCATGGATCTTGTTGTTACCAATGGTTTCTGTGGATAGTAGAGTACGTGAGCCAAGGTGTCCATACGAACATGGAAGTTGGTTGTGTATACGCCCATGGCTTGTTTACCCATAGCACTTTGGTAGGTGTTACGTGGGGATTGATTGTGATCGGGGAATGGGATGATGGAGGCGCAAACGCCCAGGATCATGGCTGGGTGGATCTCGCAGTGGGTGTAGGTATCGCAGTAGCCGCCGGCTTTGATGTCTTCTGGAGTCATGGCTACCATGGAGGTTTCTGAAGGTAAAATGGTTGATTTTCTGATATTAAGGTGGGCTTTAAGCTAATTTTAGCTTTATATTAACATAAAATAGCTTTATTTCTCAAAATTAAGGTAGATTTTTAATAAGAAACGGCTTCATTTTTTGATATTTAAGTAAAAAAATGACAAAATACCTCAACATAAGCCCATTAAGCCTAAAATAACCATTTATACCTCAATATTAAGCTATAAATTCCCCCAAATCCTCCCTTACCTTCCTCCATGGCATCAATCAGTTCGACCACGCCACTAGCAGCCAGATCCGACCAGGTGAAACTGTTTCCTTCTCTGTCCTTCAACGAATCAATGTGGCTCTTCTTCAACCTCAACTCTTGAGATTCGGATTCCACGATGAGTAGCGGTCGACAGACACGGCCCGGGTCAGTGTTGATTCTGATTTCGCGGTCACGGATGTCACGGACCATGGACACTTCGGATACGATAATGTCCATTTGCCTTCGTAGCTTCCGCAAGGTCTTCATGAGGAGGTCGGGGTCACGGTGAACTCCCACCCAGGCTCCGTTGACGAAGATCTTGGTGGCATCACAAATGGCTGAGGGACTGACCTGAAGGTATGTTATAGTAGGTCTAAGTATGCATTGTGAACATTGCATTTAAAAAACATGAAATGATATTAGGTTGTCCAAATAATTCTGTGCCTAACCCCGAAAACTTGCTTTGAAAAGGGCACAGAATTATGTGAACAACCTAATAACAATCTACACATTTTTCAATTATATTATCCTAACCTCCTCCAACGTTTCCATACTCCATTCCTCCAAAAACTCCAGAATCGGTTCAGGCAGCGATCCGACCGAGATATAGGCCATCAAAGCCAGGTTCTTCACCAACCCCACAGCCTGTCCTTCCGGGGTTTCAGCCGGACATACGAAGCCCCATTGAGTGTTGTGAAGTTGTCGAGGCTTGGCCAGTTTGCCTTCTCTGCCAATCGGTGAGTTGGCTCTTCTCAAGTGAGACAATGTAGCTGTGTATGTCAGTCTGTTCAGTACTTGTGACACTCCAGCTCGAGCTTGATGTGCCTTCTTCTGGTCGCCCCAGTTTCCAGTGGCCAAAGAGTAGGCCAGACCACGAGTGATTGTAGTTGTTTTGACACACACGTCGAGGTTGAAGTCGTGCTTCTGATTAATGTACTTTTGGGCTAGAAGCCGGACTTCTTTCATCAGATTCCTGAACAGGGAACGGAACAGGAAAGCGAGGAGAGGGCCGGCTAGATCAAGACGCTTGTTGCCTAAATGATCACGATCGTCCAATTCTCGGCGACCTAATGCGGCCAAGAGGAGACGATGAACCATGTAGCCGATAAAGTACTGAAAATATTATTTTAGGCAATATTTTTTAAAAACGCACTACATTTTTCAAAAAAATAGCAACGAAACCTCAAAAAATTGCTATTTTAAGCCAAAAATCACAATTTTAGGCCAAAAAGTCACCAAAAATAACTAAAATAGCATAATTTCAAACTTTTTCTACCAACAATATTGCAGTACAATCCATATCCACCAACTCACCGCCTTTTTCGTTTCACAATGTTCAGAAACCCCCACGTGAGGTAACATTTCCTTCTGCAGAATCTCCTTGGCATACTTGATTCTCTGTTCCTTCGTGACACCAGGCTTCGCTCCTCTGGCACCAATAAAGTTGAGAGCAACTTGTTGTTCTTGAATTACGAAAGCCTCATCCAAGGACGGCTTGACCATTTCCACCATTTCCGGATCGTTTTGTTCGTAGATAATATGCTCCAAAATGTCCAAATCAGAAACGAATCCCAGAGCTCTGAATACGATCATAACAGGGATTTCTTGTTTAATGTAGGGCAGAATGGCAATCATTCGTTGTCCCATCGAAGCTTTGGTTCCTTGTTTACCACCTTTGGCCATCATGTTGACCCAGAGAGTTGAAGCTGGTCGACTAAAGAAATATTATTAAAAGATGTCATGGATAATATAATTCATTCATTCTAACATAGACTTGAAGATTTTTAGAATATATCTAATCCTTTACTTCTACTTTAAACCATTTAAGGTTAATACACTTATCACAAAATCAAAAAAAAGTTCAAAGATAACGCGGTTAATATCGACTTTTCCAACATAATAACCTAAATAATATAAACTCCCCCAAAATCTCACCTCGAATTCTCCAAGCAAGATCTACATTCAGTTTTGTACGCATATTTACCATCCTTAACACTGAAAACATAAACAGTGTTGGTAGCCATCTTTTCTTGAGCGATCAACACCTTCTCAGACCCGTTGATAACAAAATAACCTCCAGGATCCAAAGGACATTCATTCAGCTCGGTCAAATCACGATCATTCATGTTAGCCAACATACAATACGACGATCTCAACATGATTGGGATTTTACCGACGAAAATCTTGTTGTATCTGGTTTCTTCTGGTTCTTGTCCTGGACGAGTTACCGTCTTCGAAATATCAACATAAAGTGGTGACGAGTAAGTTAAGTTTCTCAAACGAGCTTCATTAGGCATCATACCGGTCGGTGCTCCGTCCTTTTCCCAATGTGTTGGTTTGGAGAGATAAATTTGGCCGAATTTTAGAGAAAACATTGTCGGCTGCTCGATATCACCTAAAACAAGGTAATTTGAGGAATTTTCCCAATTTAAAGCTTTTAAACTAAAATAGCTTTCCAACACTTCGAATTCAGATTCAACTAAATGTTTATAAGGTAAAATACGGACCTAAAAACAAAAAAATTACAAATAAAACAACTTACCACCAAAGTTCTGACTTTCACTCTGAAGTTCAACTGGAGGTGAATCTTCAACGATCCTCTGAACGATCATTTGAATAAATTCATCGAAACTGTCCAACTGTTGTCGTACCAAACCTTTTTCATCAAAATACGCAGAGATTACCACCCAACATGCTTCCTAAAATTCAAGTTATGAAATCTGCTTGTCAGCTAGATATAACAACATAGTTTAATGTAAAACAAAGTTCTCTGGCTTCAAAACTATTAATTTTACAATTGAGAATAACCTTTCACCATATTCTTAAAAGATTATAAGCCCTGTCTTTCAAAAAAACCAAAAACCTTACCTGCCAAAGCTCAGGAGAGATGGCATCTTCATCTTCACCCTCCGGCTCCTCTTCCATCTCCTCCTCCTCATCGTCCCCTACATCGACATTGGCCATGTCGTCGTCCATGTCCTCATCGTAACGGTTATCAACATCGTCGTCAAGATCTCCACCGAACATTGTTGTTGTCCCAGACGAACGGAGAACGCCGTTTCGATGAAGAAATTTATGGTGTCAAATGTTTTTCTTTCCTTTTCTAAATTTCGCGTCAAGTTTATCTCTTCATAGAGTTTTTTTCGCGCGCGCGTTCTTAAAAGAATGGCGCGTGGAATACTCCTGTTTTGGAGTTTTTAATTGACTTTTTCATACACAAATTGTATATTATTTAAAAGCTAAAATATTGGGCTACTCATTGTTGAATATTTTGTAAAATTTGGATTTGTAGTAAGTTTTTTATTTTACAGCAAAGTTTTGGTGCCACAAAAGTGGTGTATTTGCTCTTTTTTATTAAAAAAGCTTGTTTAACATTGTAAGACTGGTTTTTATACGAAATTTTGACTTTATTTTAAAGAGAGAAACATTATTGTATCATTTGAATATCATTTTACAAAGCTGAATCACATTCTTCATATAGAAATGTTGATGTAATTACTCTAATTTCTAGTAACATCATGGTGGATAAGAAAGTGCTTCGCGTGATATACTTGTATGAGTTCAAATTGAATCACAGTGCACCAGAAGCAGCCAGAAATATTGAAGAAGTGTTTGGCAAAGGCACAGCACCAGTCCGGACCGTACAACGATGGTTTACTCGATTCCGTTCTGGAGATGAATCCCTTGACAATGACGTCATTCCTGGCCGACCTTCAGGTGTTAACGACGAAGTTTTGAGGAAGATTATTGAAGAAAATCCGAGCAAAACGACTAGAGATATTGCGAGGGAACTTGGCGTCAGTAACTCAACGATTTGTCATCATTTGGCCAAGCTTGGGAAGGTGAAACGGGTGGACAGATGGGTACCTCAGGAAATGAATGGAAACTAGAAGTTCATGGTGACATCAACGTGGTAATCTGTTTTTACATTATGATATTGGACTAATGATTCTTCAAGATTAGGAACTATATATTGTTGTATATAATGTCGCCCAAATTGCCTTGAAGGTCAATGCCTACTATAATATAAATTCTAAAATAAAATTTTATTCTTAAAAAGTTAAATTTCCTTCACAAACCATACATCTCCATCTCTTTCATAATCTATAGATTCAATACCAACCAATGCGATAGTAAATTTATTCGACTACTTTATTATAATACTACAAAATAGTTTAGGTCTAGAGACAAGATGGATGAGTGAAAAATTGCACTGGGAATAGTCTTTAGGGGGTGGTTGATATCAAGAGTTACATCAATAGAGCCGTTAATTACAAATAGAATATGACACAAGTTTTGTCGGTAAGGAAACTAATTTTTAATGTTTTTTAAGCTTAATCATGTACAATATAGCATTAAGGTCATTAAAAATTAAATTTTTAACTTTCTGAACTTTATAATCGTTACTGCAACATGATTATACTAAGACATACGGCATTTTTTGCATAAAAACTTTCAAATCAATAAAATCTTCAAAAATCCAATCAATAAAATCAATCATAAAGCCAATAAACTACTATAATATTCATAAAATCAAGAAAAACACTCCAAAACCGACTAGATGACAAAGATTTACATGCTGAACAAGTGTCGTGTACAAAAAGAATGAAAAATGGTCTCATTGATATCGGAAATAGTATAAAAGTTCAATAGTTTACAGTGGTTTTTAATTTATTGTGCCTCTTCCTCAGCGCGCGTTTCGGCCAAGATGGTTTCGAAGGAGAAGGGAATAAATGCGTAGCCGGTGCCCTGGTAGAACTTGGACTGGAACTCGACCCAGTGGAGACGAAGAGCGTGCAAGAATGCGGACAAGCCTTCCATCAGGACGAGGATGGCCAATGTTAGGGTGGCAAAGACCAGGAAGAAGACGTAGGTGGCGGCCGCGCCCAGGTAGCCATCGAAGCCGAACGACCGGCGGAATACCATGCTCCAGAGGACGTCGGAGAGCTCTGGAAGATCAAAATTTTAAAAGTTAATTAATATTGTAAGCTAATACTTATAATTACCGTCAAGCCAGTGATTTTGATTTGGCAGGGGTAAAAACATTAAAATTATATAAATAGACAAAAAAATTGGATTTTAAAATTTTTTTTTACATATATTCACAAGAGCACCGAGCTCAACAATTTTCAAAAAAATATTGATTGAAAAAACTTACGAGCATGAGCCAAACTCAAAGCCCACAAACGAAGATACGAAGCTGTGTGGGAAATACATCCTAGGGCGAATTCGATTGTGTGAATGGCTGAATATACCATCGTATCACCGAGATCAAACTAAAATGACAATAATCAAATAAAATATAAAAAAGCTTCAGGAGGAAGCCTGACAAGACAGCGAAATAATTAAAAATATTAAAAATTACCCCAGGAAACAAATTTATTACAATAAAAAACCTACCGGTCCACTTCCATGACCATGCCCTCCAGCATCAGCTTTGTGATTTTGTTCATCGTGATGGTTGATTTCCACTTGGTCATCATCAACATCAGCGCGCACACTCTGAAAAACATTTCTTATCATTTTCACAAAACCAAACAGTCACATCACACATATACAAAAGGTGTACTGCACTGTCATACTCAACTTCTTCAAATTTCAAAAGTTTTTTAAAGAAAAATTTTTTTTTCTGAAAATGTAAAAATCGTCAAAACTTTTTTTAGGTTTCTGTATGACAGTACAATCACAAAGTAGAAAAACACATAGTGGAATAACAGGTAGAAAGGTTACTGCTGCTCGCGTTTGTTTCTGTAATCAACACACAATACTAAAAAAGGTGACTTTTACAATGCTTTAAAGCAAAACTTGGACAAAACATGACGACAACAAACAGTCTTGTTTAACATTACACAAAAAAAGCATAGAGGTTTCGACTTGACTATTAGGTTGTTCAAATAATATTGTGCCGATACCAAAAATTTTCTTTGAGAGGGAGCACAGAATTATTTGAACAACCTAATATTTTAATTCCAGGGCGTTTTAACAAAAAATTGACCAAAATAGCACAAAAAGCAGCAGAAAAAGCATCTTAAAAATAAAAATTTGTATTTTTCTAGGCAATTTTTAGAAAAAAATCAATTTACATTTGTTTTTTAAAAATGAAAAAGCCTACGATATTACTTTACTTTAACTGTAAAACCTTTTTTCTTTACACTAAAAGTTTTAGAAAAGCAAAAAATGTCATATTCTCCTTTTAAAAACCCAAAAACTTCCATATTTTAGTCCGAAAACCCTCAAAATTTCGATTTTCGTTTCATAAAAAGCTCAAAAGCTTAATTTAAACAAACCTAATTAAAGAAAAACTTGTTGGTTAACGTAGTAAATAAATTAAATATAACACAATCCTATCACAACACAAACAAAATCAAAAACAGACAGCTTCACAACACCTTTAAAAACGATAAAAAACTAAAAAAAACCTAAAACAATATCAAAACACGACAAAAAGATAAAGATGCGTAGTTGTTCCAAAAACCGACCAATGAGTTGCTTCCATTGAACAGACCCCGGCGCGACATCGTTCGTTGTTTGGCACGTTTGTCGGCACGCCACAAATAATACGGCTTCACCAGCAACATGACAGGAATCGAACACAACGCGAGCAACAGCAACACAACCTCCACCGTGCCCTGAAACACACCGCAACAACATTAAACCCTCACCAAATTGTTCATGTTGTAGTTGCCGCCCTGCCGCCGCTCCTTGTCCGCCTTCCACAGGAGGTAGGGCTTGGCACACAGCATGACCGGAATGCACGCGACCGCCGCGAGTATGAAAATCGTTTCGAAAAAGCCCTTAAAGTTCGAATTTCGTAAAATGCAATTTTTTAAATTTTGAAAAATTTAAATTTTTAAAATTTTGTTTTTTTCAAAATTCGAAAATTTCAGTTTTTGAAAAGTTTTAGAAGTATCTAGAAGTGTCATTTAATTTTTAAAACCCGTTTAATAGCTAAAATCAGCTGAAATCTCCAAATTTAAATTTCAAAAAAATTTTTTACAGTCTATAGATGCCCTCTGGAGTAATGAGGTAGGGCCATTATAGACCACTTACTACAGTAACATTGTTTTTTTCAAAAAGATTAATTGCGTCATATATACAAAAAAAATTATTTCGACCCAGCCAAAAAAAACACCACGCCTCAAAATCTTTAAATTTTTTATTCGGCCTTCCCTCTTAAAATTTTTTTAAAAAGTCAAAACGCCCAACCTGTCCAGGATACCAATAGTTGAGATGACACATTGGGATCACTTTTCCATCTTCAGTGTTTCCTTCCGTGAACCCTTTTGGCCGTGATTTCATCATGAACATGTTAATCAGTCCAACCAACAAAGACGGAGCACAGTTTGAGCCGGGATAGTAGTTGCCCAGCACCCATCCTGGCTTGGCAGTAAAGTAGAGCCATTTGGAGATCACTTCCAGGCACAAGTAGACAAAGATGGAGCAGAGGAAGATCATTTGAGGGATGAAAACGTAGACAATATCGAGTCGGCTTTTAAAGTACTTGTGGTTGTGATAAGAGAGGATGATACCAAAGGCCATTTGGGCGATTCCGATGATGATCGATCCCTTCATCTTCATCGAGTTCAGGAAGTTGAGTTTGTTGGCTTCAGCCAGATTCCATACTGGGTCCACGCCGATTGGGTATGGTGCTGAGAGATCCTGCTTTTCCGGTACCAACATGTACTTGTTCTCCCAAATCTCCTCGTTCTTCGTGATTTTGTCCAGCTGACTCTTGGACATGTCATTCAAGAAGGAGCTGCCAAACAAATTGAAGGACTTGCTGAAGGCGTCGTTGTAGATGAAGCCAGTGTAGATAGAGAATAAGCCCATCAAGAAGATGACATAACGTCCGCCAAAGAAGGTTTGGAAAATTTCGTCGCGGATTCTGGCCGCTTCCAATTGTTTCTCTTTTCGGACCAAGAACAGAGCAAAGAGGAACATTATCAGACCGTGCCCCATATCTCCAAACATCAAAGCAAACAGGAATGGGAAAGTAATCATCGTGTATGGAGCTGGGTTGATTTCACGGTAGTTGGCAATACCATAGGCATCTACAATGTTTTGGAAGCCACGAGTGAACTTGTTGACCTTGTTGTAGGTTGGCGGAGCTTCGGCAGTGTCCATTCGTTGGAGGATTGATGGTACGGTGGAGCCGCTTTCTTCCTGTAAAGATAAATTGGTTGAAATTTAAATAATTTTATGTAACTAGTCTAACGACATCAGATACACCTTGTCATTGACAAAACACAGATATCACCCCCAAAAAACAACCCCCTTTTTTCCCTCAAAAACGGCCTCAAACCCTTACCGATCCCCTCTTTAAAGCCATTTGAATCTGATCCAGGTCCGATACCGGGCACCAGCATTCAGCAATCAAACACTTTTGGGTGACATCCACATTGAACAAGTTGAGCGTATGATAAATAGCCTTGATCTTGCAGGCTTTGGCCATCCACATTCGCACGTTCTTGGCCGCTGCCACCAACACACGGTGTTTGTGGTCCTGGGTTTGGCCTAGGACCGTTTTCAAGTCTTCGATTCTTGTCATTACACCAATCGACATTTCGCGACGCTCTTGGCTGGTCTCTGGGCATGGGTAAATTGTGGCACGGAAGCCTTCACAGATCTTCTTCACACGAGCCTTAAGTTGGTCACCTTGGAAGAAGATGATGAAGACGCTTTTGTTCACGGAAATGCCCTGAAAATTGCTGTTTAGGTAACATTATAATTTTTATATCAAAAAAGCAAAAAAAAACATAATTTTAGGTAACAAAACCCCATTAAAAGCCTAGAATATTTAACTTACAGTAGTACAATCAGTCAAGCTTTCGGTGATCTCTGATTGTCTCAAAAACACGTTTCCTCGGCACGCTCTCCACAAAAGTCGCTCGAAAGCTGGAAGACGTTCTCGTTGAATCACACCAGCAACAAACCTACAACAACATAGATATTTCCACCTTTTCTTATTAAAAACTATATTTTTTGTAGAAGCACACATTTTAAATGTCATTTCGATAATTTGTGGTTAGTGAAAGTTGTTATACCAAAGTCAAAGAATATTATACGTAACTTCAAAATTTAAAAATTCTTTTTGTGAATACTGTAACATTTTTTTCCGTTTTTGTAATTGATAATCTTTTGATACAGTAAATTGTCTTGCAGCTTGACAATGTTGTGTTTACTCACTTCAGATTCGGCTTATGTGTCAATGCAGTTTCTTGTTCGGAAATGAGGCGCGCCCCATCCGAAGTGTTGACTGGAGAGCCGTCCTCGCCTGCCAGCACGTCCAACGCTTGTCTTTCTCCTTCGCTCTTTAATATTTCATTATAAAACTGTTCCTTACAACTATGTATATTGACTACCTTACAACGTGTTACACTATCTTCTAGGACTTGACTAGGGACCTCGCTAGGGGGAAGGGAGAGGAAAATGAGAATGTATCCATTCTTTAAGACAGATTTAAAAAAACTTCCACAGATATGTATCCGATGGCAAATTAGGTTAGCAAAATTTCGAAACCTTCCTTTAAAGATTTTTTTTTGACTTTCGCCCCCTCCCTTAGTTTCTTAGAAAAAAACCCTAGCAACGTCTTTACTCCCAACATTACCTCATTATATCATTAAATTAAAATTCATCAGTTTATACCTGTTGAACTACCTTAACATCATCAAAAATTAATGGCCCCTGAATTATTTGAACAACCTAATAAAAGAAATTAATAAAAAAAATCGTATTTTACCCAAAAAACCTATTCTCAAATGAACTTAAAGTTAGTGAAGAATACATGTAATGTAATAATAGACAGAAATTAGTAAAAAATGCGTTAGAAAACTGAAAAAGCGTGCAAAGTGCTGAAAAGTAGTGAAATTCAACAAAAAATAAAGATTAACACAAACAATCTTAAATTTAAATCCATTTTTCTGTCATTTAAGGTAAAACTCTTTTACAAACTAATAATCTCCAATATCATATTGTACTTGCTCAACCACAAATCATTACATTTTTACAATATCACACAACAAACACCACCACAAATTATCGAAATGTTTACGTTACAAACACAACGTGTGCTCTACTATACCTTTATCGACCATTTTTGATTAAAAATCCTTTAAAATTTAAAACAAATACCAAAACACCTTATTTTATATCGTTTAGAACCTATATACATTTGAGAAGCATAATAAGGTTACAAAACGTAACAAAATACAAATTTACTTCAAAACTTGACTTTTTTCCTTAAAATTTGCCATTTTTGTTGTAAAAAAAGCTAAAATTTACCCAAACTTGACTCGTTGCTGTATCGTCGTGTTCTCCATAGCTTGAAGTAGAGGTTGGTTGTCGTCAACATCGATTAATCGTTGTGGAGATCGTGATGCTCGTCCAAATAACCCATCATCTCGTTCCACCTATCCATTACAATATTACACAACACAAAACACGGTTTTACAACATAAAATAAGGTTTTTAAAAAGAAATCTATTTTCAAAAGATAACTTGAAAAATAATACTTAAAATTACTCATTTTTATGACAATTTTATAAAGCTACCTAAACATAAAGTTAATTTTTTGGTAGGTGATTTAAATTATCTAATATAGGTGTTAGTAGTGCATGAACAGTACACAAAACGACAAATCTGTGAATAAAAACGTGCAACATTGACAGACAAAAAAGCAAAGGATAATACATCTAACTTTAAGTTGTTTTACTATTTAAGAACCTAATTTCTATATAAAAATCTTCAAAAAACCTAATTTTAGGCTTCTTTTTCAAAAAAATGTTAAGAAAATCAAGTAAAAATGCCCTCTAAACCCGAAAAACGATTATCTTTCATAGAAAGAAGTATCTTTAGTACCGGAACAACACTCATTTAACGTTAAACTACTTGTTTTACCTCTTAAAACTCCAAAACCGGCCCACAAATACTGAACATAAGGGCCTAAACACATAAAAACTAAAATAATATAACTCACTTCTTCGAAGAACTGTTGAGTCTTTCTTAACACATGTTTTAGTTCGGTAAGCTCAGCAAAGTTCTTCTTCAAAGCTTCTTCGTTTTGATTAACCTCTCTGAGTTCGTTTTCCAGCTTTTCGAAGGTGGCTTCAAGATCGAACATCTCTCTTGGCTGTGGAGTTTCTGGATTCTCTCCGGTATCGAACATTGGAATCGAATCTTTCTTGATTTCACGTTCAAGATAGCCTAAAAGATTTGAGTTTAGCTTTAAATTGTTTTAGGTTTAAAAAGAATACCTAAACTCCTTAAAAACATTGATTTCTCAACATAAAATTAAATGTTTTAACTATTATTGATATCATTTCGTCCATAAAAATTCCTTTTCAAATTAAAATACGAAGATGAGCACAAGATTCGTTAATAGTGCTCAAACAGTCCTAAAAACCAAAGCAATACAATAAAAAACAACTTACGAAGCTTCCTCTCCATCTCATCACAACGTCTGATCTCCTTAACATACTTCCGTTGGAATGGATTCACATCTGGATTCATATCCCTAAACTGCACTACTCCAAGCTCTCCCAGCTCCGAAACACAGGCGTAAGCGGCTTCGTTCTGGAGATAGAGCTGTGCCAGGCACATCTCCTCGCTCCGATGGATGGCGTCCATCATGGCGAATGTTGGCAATGTTGTTCTTACTTAAATTCGGTCGTTTTTAATCGAGGCTTCCACCAAGATTGAGTTAGTATGCTGAAAAATGTAAATTTAAAGAGTTTTGAAGATTTGTGAGATTTGAGAGCACGATGCGATATTGTACATAGTAACTAGATTAAAAAAATAAATTTTAAAAAAGGAATAACTCAATTATCAAAAAAATTTTGAATTAAAAAAAACTTGCTTAACATAGTAGCATTCATTTACAATAAGACTTTAACATTAAAGTCAACAAAAGCACCTTCAAAATTAAACAGAAACATCTAGGTATTAACTTATGAAAAATATCCCGTAAACCCGTAATATCACTTCATAATTAGACAAGACTTCTTGAATACCTTTTCTAAATCCTTCTTAACCATTTCCTCTAATTTTACCACCCAAAATTCTCAAAAAACGCTAAATTTTATCAAAATAAACATTAACCCTTTAATTTTAACATAACCTGAATAATTAACTCCAAAAAATAGCTAAACCCACGTCAAATGTAAAAAATTGACCGCCACGTAAACCTACTCATAATCCGCCTCTGTGAACCTCTGAAAGTTCATCAATCAAGGTGACCAAAACAGAGGAAAAGCCCGTCGTCGCGACGTGTCCGCTCCCCACCCTTTACTTTCTGTTTTTTGTCTAATTCCTGCGTTCTTTTTCGCGAATAATGACTAATATCTGAACGTACGACAAGTCTATGTTATCCATCGATAAAGTGTAAAAAGCGTTTTCAAATATAGATTCATTTGACTGATTATTTTGGGACTTTATGTTACCCATCGTCAAAAAAAAGATGTTTGGTAAAAAGTTTAATAACTTTACGTTAACAAAATTGAATTAAGTTACAGACAAAATCGTGTCAAACAAGAATAAATTATGCTTTAGATTGCTACGAATAAATTGCGTTAAAAATCCTTAATGATAAACATAATATCATATGATTCATCGTCCAACGTAACATCACTCCCCACAAAAGATGAAGCTTCAATTAGAATAAACACAAAAAAAAACTAGCACTTCTTCTTAATAACAACCTAAATTTCTCAATAAATCGAAAAAAAGCAATGTCAACTACTTTATCTTTTAATAACCAACGTTCTTTCTAAACAAATCTTATCATTCCGACGACTTTGGTTCATTTCGATAAGCTTTGATAAGAAAAGGTTCGACAATTCAGAAGGTTTTGGCCAAAATTCAATAAATTCGATAAAAGAAACGGTCTTTAGCCTTGCTGAAGACTAGAAGAAGGAGAACAGCAAGAGGAATATCGAATGCCAATGGCCAAAAAGTCTGGCCAAAAAGAGTTTTTCGGAGAGATAAGTACTACGTCCCGCCACGAAAACGAACAGTTTGGCATTGTGTTTTAGCAAAAAAGAAAAAATATTTTATTTTTGAGAGCAAGTAATTATGAAAGATAGTAAAGTAAAAATATAATTTATTCATAGTTTTTTATAAATTAAAAATTTTATATATTGCACAAAGGAAATCTACAATAACATCACTTTAGTGATGGATAATTAGGTTGATATTCAGGTGGAGGTTCCGAACAATCAGTCACTGTTGAAAATCGTTTTTCGTTGTTACTTTCATCACTTGGCATTGGCTGTAATGAGTTGTAATCTGGCGGAGGAGCTGTTGGTAACATTGGGTATATGCCATCTGGATTTATATCAACAGAACTTGATGTCGCTACTGGTTGTGGGTAATATTGTTGTTGGTTTTGGATTTTAGGAGGCATATTTGGTTGGATAACTGCTGTGTCGATCATAATTGGTAGGAATATTTGGACTGGGAGTTGATTGTGGATTATGATGTATATCTGAAGAAGGTTAATATACTTTTGATGGTTTTAAAATAGATATGGGTTTAAGTTTTGATTTTTAGGTATTAAATTGACCAGAGTAAGTTTACAAAGATGTAAGAAGGGCAATTTATGTGAAATTTTTTTAAAAAACAGTGTTTTAAATTACATTGGGGATTTAATGGATGGATAACATACTTTTTGTGATTTTAAAACGGATTCAACTATTTTTAAATGTAATTTAGTTTTTAATATTACAAACGCATATGTCTAATTATAGCAGAAGGGGATAATAGGTATAATCGGCGAAAAACCCAATGACAACGATTTAAATTTATGTTATCCTACCTTTAGTTGATAGTCAACGTTTATAACGGGACAATTGTTGAACGTAGGTACTAAGGACGGTAATGGCACAGTAAATACATGGTTAAAGTTTCCTTTCATTGAGTTTTGAAATTCATGTCGATGTTCTTTCCTGATTGTAGTAACTTTTTTGTCTTTGGCTGCACCAGATGCCTGTGCCACTTGGATGGGATTTCCTCGATAATCATTGAAAGTTGTTCCTATGTAATTGGCATTTTGGAGGATCTGAAATACTAAGCGTTAGGATTAATTTTAAGGGTTTTTACTGTTGTTTAGCTAAAAAAAATCATTAAATTTTTTTTTAATTTTTAAAAATTCGAAAAAAGTTGTTTTTACTGCCAAATATTCAATCCTACCTCGCATTTTAAAGCGCTGATTTTTTTGTCTGAGTTATTAGTAATTTGAACGTTGAGGTCGATAGTTTCTCCTGGAATGTACCGTAATTTGGGTGCTGTTACAGTAACCTTAATAGCGTTCTTTCCAAAGAACCCTGAGAATTCCTTTTCGCCTGAGGCGGTTTGAGGTTGAAATGCTGAGGGATGGGCTGCGTAGTCAATGTAAGGTAGTACTGTGAAGGACAGGTACTGTTTACAGTCTAGAAACCATGGTCTTGACAGTACGGCTTTTAGGGTATATCGAATATGGCCGTCCGTACCTAAAAATCGTATATTGTTATGACTTTTTTGGTGATTTAGCTTGATTTTGAAACATCATGTCATTGTTTCAAGTAGCAGTTCCAGGCTAAAATACGAATATTGTAAAGATCTTCACCTTCAAAACTAGGAGGACAAACATGAGGTACTGTGAATGCGAACGGGAGTATCATTTCGTTCATTGGCAGGTGTTTGTCTGACGTCTGAGGCTTCCATAGACATAGTTCTTCGTTTGAATACACTACTTCACCGCTTCTTTGAATCAGTTTTTTACCTTTGTGTTGACTGGAAATGGTTTTAAGGTTAGTAGAGTAGGGTAGTGGTGTAGTAAACGGAAGTTAAAGATAACGTAGGGTAGGGAAAGGCAGTGGTAGAGCAGGATAGAGAAAAGTAAGGTAGGGTAAGAAGAGAGGACAGCACATGACAGGGTAGAGTAGGGTGGGGTAGCGTATGGTACAGTACGGAAGGTTAGGATAGTGTGGGGTACGGTAGAGTAAGATAGGGTAAGCTACAGTAAATAAAACTTACGCTCCAAGATATTCAGAAGAGCTCCAGCTAGTTTTGGCTATCCCTTTGAAATGAATATGAATGCCATTTGATTTTACAGACTCTTTCGGTCGTACAATGACTTTACCAGTGACTTGAGTGCCGGCCATTACCCACCCAGCACTATTGTCAAGTACAATACTCAAAAGTTCACTTGGATGGATATCTTGGAGTAGCTTTTTGGCTTCAGATGCTATTAATGAAGCCATTTCTGAATGGTATAGTAATGATTGGTCTATGGCTTGTAGTTAGAGATATATAACAAGATATTTCAAGATAAATTGGTGAGGTTTAGGTGTCTAAAAGAACATTATATTAGTTTTAAAGCAAAAACTTTGTTTACAGGAGCTTTTGGCTACAATAACGTACCAAGAATAAAATTAACAAATAGTTTAACAAATATGGATAAAAATAGCAAAAACTTTGTTTCCAAGCGATTTCAAATAAATTCAAACAAATTTTAAAAGCGAAATCAATAGAAATTCGAAAATAATGTTTGCGTCGCGGTTTGATATCTTGTTTGTTGTGCTTTTCTGTTGTCTGTGAAAGCTTTAAAGGCTCACAAGGTGAGTAAAAATACTTTGAAATTTTTGTTTTTTTAATGAAATCGAAAAGTTTTTAAAGAGTTTTTTAAAACAGTTTAAAATTTAATATTATTGTTGGGCTGAGAAAGGGGATCAATAAAAGTGGTAGGGAAGGGCAGGGTAATTTTTTTCAGGGAGAAGGGAGCTTAGAGACAAATTTTTTGATTATTTTTAGCTATTGATGGTTTTTTCATGATTTTTAAAAACAAAAAATTAAGAAAACCAGCAGGGCCGGGATGGGCAGGGGTCGTTATACAGGAGTTCATACAGTAGAACCTGTGTATGACGAACCCTTTTATAATGATAATCTCGTATAAAAGAATAGCTTTTGAATCCCTTGCCAGCACTACACAATGCATTTCAAAGCTTTGTAGGGTAGGGTAGGGTAGGTTAAGTTAGGGCAGGGTAGGGTAATTTAGGGTAGGGTAGATTAAGATTGGGTAAGTTAGGGCAAGGTGGGATAAGTTAGGGTAAAGTAAAGTAGGATAACCGATTTGTTATACAGGGGTTCCACTGTATCATAAAAAATATTTTAGAGCAAGCCAAAAAAGCCTTGTTAATTTATTACCCCTACCCCTGTCTCAAAAAAACCATAAACTTAAAATCATTTGCCAAAAGCCAGTAAGTTCAAATATTGATCGCTTCAAACTATGTAACAAGTTTTGAAATTGTTAATAGTGAGCATGAAGACTGATATGATAACGATTATTTGCGAAAAAATGAGTCACATGTGACGTCTTTTTCAACATATTTGCGTAATAGGAATATAATATAAAACAACTTTTTAACGACATATATGATATAAAAAAACTATAAACTAGTGGAGAGCTACACAAAAGCCATGGTTGATTTAGGGTAGGATGGGGTACGATAGGAGTAGGAAAATATTGCCGTATGGCCAGCGTTACCGTAGATATAGGAAGGGTTAAAGCATGGTAGGGAGTAGGGTGTATGGTAGAGTGAAGATAGGTGTAAGACTAAGACAGGCATAAGATAAGAATTAAAACTCATTTCACAAAACCTCCTAATACTTTATTCAAATTCCTAACATTAACCATGACATTTTCAGTATCAGAACCCGTATAACATCAACGCGACTATCCACATCACAGCAACATTTTCAGCTGATGAATCAGCTTTAGTGACGGTTTCGGTCTCGGAACCATCCTCATGGTGTTCTGGAGCCTCTGGTTCTTCATGATGTTCAGGAGCCGTATCATCTCCACCTGGATTTCTAGTCAAGGGCGCCAAGGTCTGCCGAGTCGTCTTAACAGTGGTTGTCAACTGAGTTGTAGGGGTTTCGGTGGTCGTGGTATACTTGTAACGTAATGGACTATCGTTGAAGGGATCGTCTGGTCTCAAAAGTGGCACAATCGTGCGTATGTCACCAGAGACGCTACTTGTATGTACTTTTATGTCATCCGGAATCCACCAGTCGGTTCTAAAATAGTAAAGTTAGTCCCATTCAAATTTAGAATGTTAGTCCCATTCACATTTAGAAAAAATATTTTTAATTATAAAATCGATTTTTTTCCACAAAATTTTCAAAAATGTTCGATAGTGACATACCCGGTTTTGGTGTCGTGCATGTAGTACGCACACCTATAATCAATGCATCCCAAGTACACGACTATACCGTTGCGCATGTAGGCAATACGATGTCTTTTGCCTTCGAAGAAGGTCAAATAGGATGGATTGTCGACGTCGTACACGCATGTTCTGTTTTTAAACTCCTAAAACAACAAAAAGTATTTATAATATAAAATATCGTATTATAAAAACAATTACTTATACTAAGAAAAGGACGTTAAGCTGAGAGGGTAGGGTAAGATCTGAAGTAAGGAGAAGAAGCACACTAGAAACTAAGCCCCATTTACAGCGCCATAAACAACATACAAAGCACGTATCTAGGTATTGGTAATTGAACTCTCCGGCCAACTCACGCGGTAGTTCTTGCAACAAAAATGCTGGGTCGTGTACTTGAAAGTCGTCGTCACATACTCTTCTCAAATCATATGCTTCCGTTTTACTCTTGATGTAGATGTACAAGTAGGTGAATGCTCGCTCATGGTCCATTGGATATTGCGTATTGTGAAAGCAGAATTGAGGATCTGTTGATCTCATATTGTTCCGTCCGTTGACAGCGTATTGGTAATCACCGTCCATCAACTTTCTGAACTTGAAAGGTGAAAAAACCGCAGAAATTAAGACAACATGTTGTTTTGTTGAAGATAATCAACAAACTATGTTATAACAACAAATTATGTTAAAGGCCAACAACAAAAACTTTCAGATCTCTCAAAACTTACACTTGAACCCGCTTGAAAAAACCACCGCCAGTAACTTCTATCATGTAACGCTGGAATCTGGTCAAGTTAAACACTGGAATATACCTGAGACCGTAATATACATTACTGACCACAAAAAACTCCTGAATCATGCCACTCTCCATTTTGTAGCATTGCGGACAAATTACCTTTTTCACTTCTTCGGCATTCACTTGATGGCCTCTATTAACTGCGTCCACGGTGAAGACCAGGAACAGAATGAACAACACGGTAGGAAGAAGCAGCCGCTCCACAGCACGCATAGTTATCGATACTGATCAAATTGGCAAAAACAAGGCGTGGAAATAACGTATTTGCTTTACGCAGATTGGAGAACAGCCAAAAATAGGGTGTAAAATAAAATAACATTTTCTTCAATTTATCAACGGAACATCAATGGCGCCCGTCGTTCGATAGTGGCGTTTCGTTTGTCGAGGCGTGTTCTCAAAATTTGATTTTTTTATTTTTTTTTTGACTTTTAGTGATCGATCGGTTTTTCCTCGTTGTAAATTATTTTACGTTGCGATTTACTTTGAAATATTGCGTAAAATATTTCGTATTTGATGTTTTCTTTCCAGTTTTACCTATTTTTATAATTTGCAAAGCTTGATCAACCAACTTTCTTCAAAAAACGTTGTTTTTTAGGTTATTTTATTTTATTTTCAAAAATTCACTCGTAAAGTCATAATGTAACATAAAATCGATATAATATAAAATAAAATTTTTAACGATAAATGACAGTACAGTGATGAGCGTTTAAATAGCTATTGATCCCTTAGTTGTCTTAATGATCTAGGAAAAAAAGAGTTGGCTTTAACACACGTCCTGGAGTAAGGAACGTGGTATTGGGCCCCTCTTCTAGACCTAGAATCTCTCAGGACAGGCTTTTGGGCAGACGATACAACTATTTTGTTATTTATTATAGAACTTAAAGTTTTTATATCTAATTTATCACGACGTGATTTCAATGTGGGAAGACTGAGTTTGGCAAGACGAAGAGAATAGGTATAGTGTGAACATGAAGGAAAACAACGTGAGATTATTATTTTACTTGCCAGTTTCTGTACTGATTCTAAAGAGTCTATTAGTTTTTTAACGGTTGGATTATATAGGGGACAGTTGTACTCTACTAATGGACGGACATAGCATATATAAGCGTGACGAAGGACTTTATAATTTTTGGTTTTTAAACATTTAAATAAAAGGAAAGTGCGTTTTTTTAGGTTATGATGGGCAACGTTTTGGAACATTTTTGTCCGATCGGCTTGATAAAGGTATTATATATTGTAATTTAAGGATTGGGACGTCGAACAATAAGCCTTTTCAGTTTTCTGTGTGTTTTTAGGTACGAAGGGTTTGTTCGCGGGAATAAAGATGGAGTTGTTGTCGCTTTAGGTATCGGTCTGACCCAGATGCTACATAGCAATGGTATGGCTTTTAAGTTTTCTGTGTTGATTTAGGTATGAAAGGATTCATTGCGAGACGCAGTAAGTTATTTTTTCTTATTTTAGGTATGGTATACGTATTATGTAGCCTGTAGTTTAAGAAGAACTACAAAAATTGGTAAGTTCTTTAAGCATTCGTTTGTTTTCAGGCATAAACGGTTTATCTGTGTGAATACGTGTTGTTTTAGGTATGAAAAAGAAGATCAGGGTAAACGATTGTTGATAGTACAAAGTGACTTGCTCTAACAATTTTTAAAAAAGTATCTGACTATTCAATTTACGATAATTTATTCAAACACCCATCTACTATACTATTTTCAATACAAGAAAATGCACAACATCAATGCGACAATCCACATGAGCACAACATATTGACTTGAAGAGCTCGTTTCGGTACTGGCTTCTACCTGCTCACCACCGTCCTCGTGTTCCTCTTCTGTATCACCATGTTCTTCCGGAGCAGCGTCATCATGTTCAGCATCATGTCCACCTCCTGGCTTGTCATCTGGCCGTGTGATAGGCTTCAGAGTCGTGGTAGTGGTGGTTGTAGATGTCGTTGTAGTGGTTGTGGTGGACGGAGCATATTTGTAGCGAAGTTCACTAGTGTAGAACGGATCGTCGGGTCTCAAAAGTGGAACGATCGTGCGTATGTCACCCTGAATTTTATAAGTATATACTTTTAAGTCATCAGAGATCCACCAGTCGGTTCTGAAAATGTGAAAGGTTAAAGTCAACAATGGTTTATTTTAGGTTAGAAGGAAAAAAATAATTTAGAAAAATTAAACAAGATTTTAAGAATTTAAAAAATGATATACCCGGTCTTTGTATCGTGAATGAAGTACGAACACCGATATTCAATGCACCCCAAGTAGACGACCAGGCCGTTGCGCATGTAGGCAATTCTGTTTCTTTTGCCTTCGAAGAAGGTCACGTAGGATGGGTTGTCAACGTCGTACACGCAAGTTCTGTTTTTAAACTCCTAAAATACCGAAAATTATAAAATATCATACTTTAAAAGCCTCAAATCTACATAATCTATCCTAAACCCAATTGCAATTCCATAAAATAACTTACAAAACACTTATCCAAGTATTCATGATTGAATTCACCGGCTAATTCACGCGGTAGGTCTTTTAACAATTCTGCTGGATCTTCTGTTTTAAAGTCGTCGTCACATACTTTTTCCAGATTATATGCTTCCGTTTTACTCTTGATGTAGAGGTTCAAGTAAACAAAGGCTCGATCATGGTCCATTGGATATTCTTTATTGTGAAAGCAGTATTGAGGTTTTCTTATTGCCATATCATTGTGTCCTTTGACTGCGTATTGGTAATCACCATCCATCAACATTCTAAACTTAAAAAATGAAGAAAACTGCGGAAATTAACGCAGTACCTTGGTTATGTCAACAAAAATAAATATAAAAAAAATTTCAAAGTCTTTCAAAACTTACACTTGAACCCGCTTGAACTGACCACGACCATTAATTTCTATCATGTAACGCTGGAATTTGGTCATGTTGAACACTGGAACATACATAAGAGCGTAGAACATGTCATCGCCGTAAAGAGCCGTTTTGGGGGTAATATAACTGTGAATGTCGCCTGAAATATATAAAATTAGGAAAGTTAGTAAGTAACAAAATACTACAAAAAAAATATTTGAAACTAGAAATAATAAAAAGTAAAAATTTAAAAAAGCAAATAACTTACAATGAAAAAACATGTCTTCGCGACCGACCTTCGAGACCACATAAAACTCTTGAATCATGCCATCCTCCATTTTGTGGCATTGAGGACAAATTACCTTTTTCACTTCTTCGGCATCCCTTTGCCAGCCTCTTTTATCGGCATCTACGGTGAAGACAAGGAACAGGATGAGCAACATGCTCGAAAGGGTCGGAGAAAGCAGCCGCTTCATAGCTCGCATTGTTATCGATACTGATCCAATTGGCAAAACCAAGGCGTGGAAAACAACATTTTGTTTTATGCAAATTTTAAGAGCAGCCAAAAGGTGTGAAAAAGAATTTTATTCCCAATAAAACGGAATGCACAAAATTAATCCGACAATCCACATGAACACAACATTTTGACCTAAAGAGCTTGCTTCCGTTCTGGCTTCAAATTCTTCATTATCTCCATCAGCATCTTCGTCCTCTTCTCCAGCAAACTGTTCTTCTGAAGCGGCCTTCCCACCTTTACTTTTTTCATGCGGTTTTATTGAAGCTGGCCGAGTGATGGGCTTCAGGGTCGTGGTAGTAGTGGTTGTAGTTGTCGTTGTAGTGGTTGTGGTGGACGGGACGTACTTGTAGCGAAGTTCACTGTCGTAAAACGGATCGTCGAGTTTCAGTAGTGGCACGATCGAGCGTATGTCACCATGGACTTTATCAGTATGTACTTTTATGTCATCCGGGATCCACCAGTCGGTTCTGTAAAATGTGAGAGGTTAAAATAATCAGACTAACGGTTAGTCTTAGATTAGAAAGAAAAAATTTTAAAATTAAAAAAAAAAACTTCAATAAGATTTTTTTTTAATTTTAAGAAACTAAACAAAATAACATACCCGGTTATTGAGTCGTGAATGAAGTACGAGCATCTATAATTAATGCAGCCCAAGTATACCACCAGGCCCTTGCGCATGTAAGCAATACGATTCCTTCTACCTTCGAAGAAAGTCAAGTAGGATGGGTTGTCGATGTCATACACGCAAGTTCTGTTTTTAAACTCCTAAAACAACATAAGTGACAAAACGTACAAAATATCAAACTACAAAAGTTCTATTACATTGCTCTAACCAAGACAGAGCGGGTGACTTTAGGCTGGAAGCGTGGGCTGAAAAAAAAGCCCCCCCCCCGTGCCGAGTTTTTTCAATTTTTTTTTCTGGGGAGAAATCCTCTCCTTAAGACTTATGTTGTCCTAAATCTATTTACTCTAACCCAAACCCATTTGGCCATAAAAGAACTTACAAAACACGTATCCAAGTATTGATAATTGAATTCACCGGCTAATTCACGCGGTAGATCTTTTAACAATGTTACTGGATCTTCTGTTTTAAAGTCATCGTCGCATACTCTGTCCAGGTTATATGCTTCCGTTTTACTCTTGATGTAGAAGTTCAAGTATACAAAGGCTCGATCATGGTCCATTGGATATTTCTTACCGTGAAAGCAGTATTGAATCCTTCTTCTGAACATATCCTTGCGTCCGTTGACAGGGTATTGGTAAGTACCATCTGGCAACTTCCTAAGCTTAAAAGGTAAAAAACATTCACGGAAATTAACATAACACGTTGGCTGAACAATATCAACAAAAACTTTTTAAATCTCCTCAAACTTACACTTGAACCCGCTTGAACTGACCATCGCCATTAATTTCTATCATGTAACCTTGGAATCTGGTCAAGTTGTACACTGGAACGTACATAAGAGAGTAGAACATGTTAGGACTGTAAAGAGCCGTTTCGGGGGTAATATAACCATGAATGTCGGCTGAAATATATACAATTGAAAACGTCGGTAAGCAACGAAAAACTAAAAAATATAAAACAGCAAATTTAAAACTGACACTTAAAAAGCCTGTCTTCGGGACCAACCTTCGTGACCACAAAAAATTCTTGAATCATGTCATTCTCCATTTTGTGACATTGCGGACAGATTTCCTTTTTCACTTCAATGGCATCCCTTTGATAACCTGCGTTAACGATCGTGACAAAAAACAGCATGAGCAACGTGCTCGGCAGAGTTGGAGAAAGCAGCCGCTCCATAGAAGGCATAGTTATCGACAGTGACCTAATTGCCAAAACCAAAGCGTGGGACTCAACATTTTTGTTTTATGCAAATTAAAAAAAATAAGTAAAAAATAACTTTTCATTCAATTTAAAAAGGCACGTCAACGACCCTTATCGTTCAATAGTGGCATTACGTTTGTCGAGACTAGACATGAGGAACGGGCCGGGCCTGCGCGTTAGGCTATTGGTAATTCTTTTGAGCTTTTCGATTTATAAGTATGAACGGTTCATCTGCGAACATTAGAGTAACGGTCGGTTGATTGGAAGAATATCTACTACACATTCAATTTTAAAACAATATCCCCAAAAATTAAATTTACAACATTTTATTCAAACACATTTTCTATACTATTCTCAACACAACAGCATGCACAACATCCATCCGACAACCCACGTGAGCACAACATATCGGCCTGAAGAATTTTCTTCCGCACTGCCTTCCGAATGCTCTCCACCGTCCTCTTCTTCCACTTCTGCAGCATCATGTTCTTCTGGGACAGGTTTGTCATCTCCACCTCCTGGTTCAACAGGTGGTCGAGTGATAGGCTTGTGAGTGGTTGTAGTAGTGGTTGTTGACGTAGTTGTAGTGGTTGTGGTGGTCGGAGCATACTTGTAGCGAAGTTCACTCGTGTAGAATTTATCAGTTGGTTTTAAAAGTGGCACAATCGAACGGATGTGGCCATCGAGTGGAGACGTATGTACTTGTATGTCATCCGGGATCCACCAGTCGAGTCTGAAAATGTGAAGTTTTTAAATAAGTGGTTAGACTAACCGGAATGGCAATTTTTAAGCAATTTTATCATTTTTATATTAAAATATTAAGTTTTTTATTAAATTTAATTATAAATTAAAAAAATCATAGTATAATGTTGAAAAACGTTTAACAATTGACATACCCAGTTTTAGTGTCGTGAATGAAGTATGAGCATCTGTAAGTGATGCAATGCATGTACACTACTAGGCCGCTGCGCATGTAGGCAGTACGATCTCTACTGCCTTCGAAAATGTTCAAGTAGGAGGGGTTATCCACGTCGAAGACACAAGTTTTCTTTTTGCTTTCCTAAAATGACATATCGGTTTAAAAAGGTCCAAAATATTATGACAACCATCGACGAGGCAGCTGATTGCTAAGCTAGTGCTGTAAACTGGTTTACAGTTCTGTAAATTTACCTACAGTGCCCTGAAGTCATCTACAATACTCTAAAGAGATTAATAGTACTCTAAACTCATTTACATTACCTGAAAGTCGTCTTATTAGGTGCCGACATAAAGAACCCGCCATTTTTTACAGGAAATTACAGGCAAAGTATGGCGGGTTTTTTATGTCGGCACCTAATAATTACTCCAAATACACCTACAATACTCCAAATCTTGGCACAGGGTTCTAAACTAATTTACAGCACCTTTAAACTAATTTAAAAAAACTTTACACTACCCTAACATCACTTACAAAACACTTGGGAAGGAATCCCTTGTTGTGTTCGCCACTAATTTCAATTGGCATTTCGTCCATCAATACTTTGACGTCTTTGGGGCCAAAGCGATCGTCGCACACTTTGTCCAACTCGAAGGCTGTGGTTTCGTTGATGATGTAAAGAGTGTGATACGCGAAAGCGACACTGTGATCAATGTAGTGGTACTCGTTGCCATAATAGCAGTATTGCGCGTTTCTTTCAATCATGTTCGAACCCGGAACACCGTATTCGAATTCTCTGCCAGAAGACGTTGGGCTAAAAATTGATGTTATTGTGCAGCCTGTGTTTGCAGATAGTTATATACATCTACAATACTATAGCTAATAAAGTGTAGTAAGACTTGTAGCTTTTAAAGTAAAATTTTTTAAATTTGATTAAAAAAATTACGTTTGAATCCGCCGGAATTGGTGATGATCATAAGTGACTTCCACGAGGTATGCTGTGAAGTTGTCCCTGTTGTACACTGGAATATACTGGAGAGCGTAGTAGTACGGACTGTTGTACAGGAGATAATCGATAGTCTTTCTGCCATTAATGTAAGCTGGAAATTTGATAATTAGATTTGTCAGTTGGCAGGCCAAAATTGCCTGTCTGGTAAAAGTTCATAGCATCATAATATAAATTTAAAAAAATTATAAAAAAGTTATAAAGTTTGTAAAATGGTTAAAAAAATTATAAAAGTAAAAAAAAAATTTTTAAAAGTTATAAAATTAAAAAAACATAAAAAAAATGTAAAAAACATTATAAAATGTAAAAAAAAATAAAATTGTAAAAAAACATATTATAAAATATTAAAAAATATCATAAAAATAAAAAATTTAAAAAAATAAAATTTAAAAAAACCAAACGTACTTCTGGTTATTATTTCCTGGTCCTGATTTTTTTTCCTGACCACAAAAAACTCTTCAATCATCCCATCCTCCATTTTTAGGCAAGTCGGACACTTTTGATTTTTCACTTCTTCGGCAGACAATTGCTCTCTTCCTCCATCAGCGTTCGCGGTCGGAAGAGATAGAAGAAGCAGAACGACGGAGAACATCACGGAAAACGACCGATTTTGAGCTGACATATTGGAGAATACTGATGAGTTTGAAAAAAAAGTTGCACAATGGGAATTGCAATATTTTGGAAAGGTAAAATCTTTATATTCGAAAAAAGTAGTTTATGCAAATTTTTTTGAAAAAAAAATTTTTTTTTGGCTGCAAGAATAATTTTTTTTTGTAAAACGTATAAGACTGGAGTGAGTAGGTTACCTACCCCCAATTTTATACGTTACATTAAGAGTAGGGTAGAGCTAAAGTAAAGCTTGGCTACGACTAGAATAGGACTAAAGTAAGGATGGCTAAAGGCTAAGATGAAAGTCAAACTGGGGCTAGAGCAAGGCTATGATAGGGCTAAAACCAAACAATGATATGGCTGAAATAGAGCTAAAGTAGGGCTAGGGTAAGGTTAAAATCAAACTATGATGTGGCTGAAATAGAGCAAGGGTAGGGCTAAATTAAGTATGGTTTAGGGCTGAAATGAAGCTCAAATTGGGCTAATGTAAGACTAAAATCAGGCTATGATAGAGTTAGTATAAGGCCAAGTTAAAGGTAAGATAAGACTAAAGAACGTTGAGAAGTCTAGCTTGTTTAAAACTGTAAGATAGGGCTAAAGTTGGGCTGAGATAGGACATGGATAAGTGTAAGCTAGAGCGAGAACAAAGCCTATGCATAATCTGGGAAAGCTAGGGCATGTGTATTGTAGGGTTACGGTGAAGCTAAGGGGCTATATCATGAGTAAAACTGGGCTAACTTTAAGCACGATTAGAGGAAAAATATGGCTAGACTGAAGCTTTTGGAGGTAGAAATAAGATAAAGCTATGATAGGGCTTGGCGGTGATAAGACTAGTGTATAATTAATATTGGCTAGAGTAGAAGTTAGGGTAAATCTATAGTAGAATCAAGGTATGCATGATATATAACCATGAAAAGCCAAAATCAAAAGTTCATCATAGGCCACAAACAAATTTATTTAAATACTCCAAATGTACTATAATATTCTCAGTACCAGCACATGAACAGCATCAAGGCGACAATCCACGTGATCACTTCATACTGACTTGAAGAGCTTTCTTCCTTTTTGAATTCCAAATCCTCGTCTCCACCCTCAGCACCTTCTTCCCCTTCCCCAGCATCCTGTCCTTCTGAAACAGCTTTCTCATCACCATCTCCTTCATCCGGGGTTTTTTGACCTGGCCGAGTGATGGGCTTCACGGTGGTGGTAGTAGTGATTATGGGCTTGGTTTTGATGGTTGTGCTGGACGGGGCGTACTTGTAGCGTAATTCACTAGTGAGGAACGGATCGTCGAGTCTCAAAAGTGGCACGATCGAGCGCATTTCACCATTCAGCTTTTGGGGGTGTACTTCAATCTCATCTGGGATCCACCAGTCCAGACTGAAAAATGAAGTTATGATTTTTATAGACTAACGAAAACGTTAGTTTTAAAGCTTTTAAGACGATTTGCGAGAACTTGCGTCCGCTGAAATAAGGGGTGTGCCTTAGAAATTTTACCCTATGATTTTTTTGAATAAAATACATCTTTAGGTGTTCAAAAACACTTTCCTAATTTTTTTTTGAAAAATACGTCATAATGTATGTTTGGTAAGGGATATTCGGGTCTGCTAGAAATTTATTTACAAATATAAGCTAGTTAAATAAACTTAATTTTCGTTATAATAACATTTTTGACAAATAAAAATAACCAAATTTAATGTTTACACTATGCCGGAAAATTAAATTCTAAAAAACCAAGCTTTGGTTAGTTTTTAATCTTATTATTCATTCACGAATAAATGGAATAGCAATCCCAATTATCAAGACAGCCGTCTAGCCATGGACCACATCTTTCAACTTATCCAATTTTGATAAAACGTCTTATCAGACATTATAACAGTAAAAATATAAAAATATTAATAAAACACTTTTATTTTGGTGTTAAAAGTTTAGTTTTACCTTAATTTTACGTTTATTTTATCTTTTGGTTTTTATTTTATCGTTTCCCGCCATTTTTGGGCCTTGTCCTCCGACCGGACTCGAACCCGTGTGGTTTCGGTCGGGTGTATAACGCGCTACCAGTTAGACCATGGAAATTTTACCGCGCGATCCAGAATTGGGAATAGTGCCGTCTAGAGCAGAATTTTACGCTGATTCCGAATATGAAAAAAAATTTCATCACGATAATGTAATTTTCTTGAGAAACGATGCATTTTATGTACGCATATACCAGTTTGGAGTATTAGGACCACTTTTATAAGTTTGACATAAAAGATAAAATGTAGAGCATAAAAAACTAATTTTGCACACAAAATTTCAAAACAATTGCATAAATTTAAAATGAGATATGGCCCGGCAAAGGCAACATAGTAAATCCGTCATTATGACGTATTTTTCAAAAAAATTTAGGAAAGTGTTTTTGAACACCTAAAGATGTATTTTGTTCAAAAAAATCATAGGGTAAAATTTCTAAGGCAACCGCCGATTCAAACTCTCGCGAATCGTCTTTTAAAATGTAAAAAAATCAAAATTTTTAAAACTCCAGACTAGGCTTTCAACAAATATCAAAAAAATATCGACCGAACCCAATATATCGACCACTTTCTTTTTAAAAAATATTTTAAAACAGCCATTCAAAATAAAAATAAATCAATAAAAAAAGAACCAGCCAATAAAAAAACGACATACCCAGTTACAGTATCGTGAATTATGTAAATGCATCTGTCCTTCTCCTTGCCACAGCCAATGTACACGATCAGGTCGTTGCGCATGTATGCGATACGTTCTCTTTTGCCTTTGAATACGCTCAAGTAGGATGGGTTGTCAACGTTGTATACACACGTTTTGTCTGTGTATTCCTAAAATGGCATATTTATTATACGTATATATAAATCACAATGTTTGCTGATAAGGAAGGTACCCAACCTGCCCAATTCACAATGAAAGTACCCCATCTGTAACCCTCAGAATTAGCTCAAATTTTTTATTCGAATTCTTTGTACCACTAGTATTACACAAAAAAGATTTTAATTCGCGCTTTCGAGTTTTAAATTTAAATATTTGAAGTTTCCCGCCAAAATAGAAAACTTGGCATTTTGTTTCAAGCACTTTTTGTGACTTTCCAGACAAGGCTTACAAACTTGAAAAAATAGGTCCGTTTAAAGGTTTTCTACTAGTAAATCAAAAAAATCATTAAAATTCAAAAATGACAAAGTTATAAGCTTGAAACACAATGCCAATTTGGCAAAAAATTCAAAACACGCTTTTTTAATCCTGATTTTATCAATACTGGCCTAGTATTCAAAAAGAAAAAGTATTTAGCATAAAATTACATATATATGACCTTACTATAGAAAAAGTTTTGAATTGCCCAGGCCCGGCCCGTTCCTCATGTCTAGAACAATGTGGGACAAACCAAAACCCTAACGCCACTTACAAAGCACTCTTTGATGAACTCTCTGTTCCTTCCATTGACCAGTTCAGCCGGCAAATTGTTCAGAACCTCTTGCGGATCTTCCGGACCAAAGTTGTCGTTGCACACCTTGAACAAGTTGAAGGCTTCACTCTTACTGTTGAAGAAGTAGTTGACGTAGGAAAAGGCTGTCTGGTGATGGATCGTGAATCTCTGAAACACGTGGCAAAACTGTTTTTCCTGTCTCTGCACTTTTGATGAATGTCCAACGTCATCGTACTGATAGCTACCATCACTCTGCTTTCTGAAAAGAATCGTGTTAGGATGTGTGGGATGGTAGGGTAAAAAAATGGATGTTATTGCTTAGACCTAAATATAAAATTTAGATTTAAAACTTGATTATAGGATTAAAACTTCATTTTAGGTATAAAAATTTAACTTTGATACCTAAAAATTAATTTTTTCTTTTAAAAGTAATTTTGAGCTTAAAATTTAGTTTTAGGCCTAAAGTCAATAAAGAAGAAATTGAAAAAATCATGATATTACACTTGAATACGCTTGAAGTGGCCAAAGTCGTTAATTTCCACCATAATCCGTTCAAAATCGCCGTTTTTGAAGACTGGAATATACCGCAGATCATAGTAGTCACCCTTTGTGTACAGCTCCGTATCAGGAGACCTCTCACCATTGATGTGGGCTGAAATAGCATTCTTCATAAGCTGCAGCAAAATTACATTTAAAAATGTTAGACTTAGGCTTAAAAATGAATTTTAGGTTTAAAAAAATTAAAAATTGATTTTATATTTAAAAAATGGTAAATTATGCCAGTTTGTAACAAATATAAACAGAAAAAGTCCCTCGTAGCTGAAGATAAGGATTTGATAAAAAAAATTAAGGTAAAGCAACACCTACTTCTAACAAGAATGTCGTTTTTATTAACTTGTCTGACCACGTAAAACTCTTGAATCATGCCATCCTCCATTCTGTAGCATTTCGGACAAACCTGATTCTTCACTTCTTCGGCGTTCCTTTGAATCGCTCCGTTCCCGCTGTTAGCCAGAGGCAGCAGAAGTAACACGTTCAGAAGGAGCAGCGAACGCAACCGCATGGTAGCTAGCATATTGGAATATACTGACGAAACATTGGGAAGTCAAAGTTAGGGTGTCGATTTCAAAAACCTTTTATGCAGATTTGTGGGAAAAAATAATTTTTTTCATGTACGAAAAGTTGCCGTTTTTGAAAAGCTTGGCGTTCCGTTTCAAATTCTGAAAATCGAAAAATATTTCTCGACGGATAATATTCGCGGCCATGTTCTGCGTTTTTTATTCGGAAATGTTGCTTATCTTCTCTAAAATATTGTTGTTTTACTCATGTTTTATATTTTACATGAAAATTTACAGTTATATATTGAAGTACTTCATCTCTTTAAAAGGTTTGATGATCTTCTTCAAGATTCAACCTAAAACAATGTCAAAAGTAGATTGGTAAGTGGTTTATTTTGTTTTATTTTTGTTGCTTTAGGTAAAGGACTTGTTATTACAACTTATCGATAACTTTTCATAAGGTTTCGAGCGTCTCTTGCATGGAAGACCAACTTAACATTGTTTTAGCACAATGTTTGAGTAATTATTCAGAGCTTGGTCATGATTTCGAGGTGAAAACCTGGAGAATTGATCGGTAAGAGGTTGTATAATATTCTTAAATGTTATAGGTCGGAATTAAATTGACCAAACATGTGAAAGTTTTTGGTTACCTTCTGATATTGTCAAAACTTAAACTTTTCTAAATAATAAAAATAAGATAAAACAATAAAAACTAGAAAAGCTATATAAAATTCAATAAAATTTACAAATATTTATTCAACCTATTCTAATGGACTATAATATTCTCAGTACATGAACAACATCAAAACGACGATCCACATGAGCACGACATTTTGAGCCGAACCGCTTTCCTCCCAATCTGCACCTTCGGCTTCTGAACGGTCGTCATCGTCCGAATCATCATCGTCGTCGTCTTTTAGATAGTCATCTTCATGATGTTCCGTAGTGGCATCACTTTCACCCCCCGGCTCATCAGTTGGCCGAGTGGCGTCATTGGGAGTAGTGGTAGACGTCGTTGTGGTGGACGGAGCGTACTTGTAGCGCAATTCGCTTGTGTAGAACTTATCGTCGAGTCTCAAAAGTGGTACAATCAAACGCTTATCACCTTTGAGGGTTTCTGTATATACCTTTATATCATCCGGGATCCACCAGTCGAGTCTGAAAGTATTTTTATTGATTTTAGGGTAGCCAGGTGGATTATGCAGCCGGAAAAAATTGGTTTTATATCAACTTCTCATGATCTTTCGAATGGTATGTGTTTTTTAATCGCATTAAACTTTTTCATAAAAATTACATACCCGGTTTTGGAATCGTGAATAAAATAAGTGCATCTGAACTCTACACATCTAAGGTACACAATTAGGCCATTGCGCATGTACGCAATACGGTCTTTTTTACCTTCAAAGTAGTTCAAATGAGCGGGGTTATCAATATCGTAGACGCACGTTTTGTCTTTCACGTCCTATAATAACAAAATTTTTAAAATATCAAACTGTCATAGGTAATATAGTAGACTTCGCATCATATAGCTTGTCTTAAAGACCTTGCAATACTTTGCACTCATTTACAATACTCCAAAATCATTTACAGTACTTTTAATTGATTTACAATACTGTAAACTCTCTTATACTACTCTAAGCTCACTTATAGTACCAAATATAAACTCAAGTAATGTGATCTATTAACGTTCATATTATTGTATATTCACTTACAAAACACTTGTCGATGAAACTCTTGTTGTGTGCGCGACTGACTTCAGCCGGAAGTGAACTCAACAATTTTTTTGCATCTTTGGGACCAAACCCGTCGGCGCACACTTTGTCCAACTCGTACGCTTGTGTTTTGCTGGGGATATAGAGATTGAAGTAGGGAAAGCTGACGTTGTGATCCATTTCGTATTTTTTCTCGAAATAACAGTATTCAACCTTGTTTGAGGATAGCTTCTTGCTCAAATCGTTGTATTGGTAACTCATACCATCATCCATGAGTCTGAAAATACATTTTTACAGTCAAGGGGTGGTGAAGATAACTAAAAAATATTTTTTTGAACTTTAAAATAATTTTTAAAGGTTGTAAAAACAAATAGAAGATGGGGACCAAGTTCAACTCTTATAAAATACAAAATGTCAAAGGTTACCTTTGAATACGCTTGAATTGACCATCTGGAGTAATCTCGACCATGTATGGCTGAAACGTCCCATTTGTGAACACTGGCACATATCGAAGTTCGTAGTACTGGTAACCGTTGTACAAACTTACATCACTCGTATGCGTGCCATTGATGCTAGCTGAAATAGGAATCTTTCAGTTGTAATGATCAAGAACAAACATGTTGTTCAAAGCACCTACTGAAAGTAAATATGTCTGAGCCTCCAACTTGTCTGACCACATGAAACTCTTGAATCATGCCATCTTCCATTTTGTGGCATTGCGGACACAACGCATTTTTCACTTCTTCGGCACCGATTTGCTTTTGCGGCTTCTCACCATTCACGCTGGTAGCGAGGAACAGCAGAAACGCGTTCAGAAGGAGCGGCGAACACAACCGCATGGAATCTCGCATATTGGAATATACTAGCGAATTGGTGAAAATGAAGTTAGGAACATGTAAACTTAGAATTGTTTATGCAAATTTTGTGAAAAAATACAATTTTTCAGTTTCGAAAAGTCGAAAGGGACAAAGAACGCGACCTCATGGCAGTTCGCATATTGGAAGATACTGACATTTTAGGGGACAGAATTTAGGACGAGATAAATTTCAGGTTTTTTATGTAAATTTTTGAAAATATGAATTTTTCACGTTCGAAAAGCCGCCGTTTTTGAAAAGCTTGGCGTTCCGCTTCAAATTCAGCGAAATCCTAAAAATCGAAAAATATTCTCGATGGATTAGACATGAGAAACGGGCCGGGCCCAATTTTTAGGCCCGACGGCCTGAATGTTAGGCCCGACCCGATCGGAATTTTGCTCAAGGCCGGCCCGGCCCGTTTCTCATGTCTACGATGGATAATATTCGCCCCAGATTCTTCGTTTTCTATTCTGAAATCTGGCTTATCTTTCTTCAAATATTGTTACTACTCATTTTTTATATGTTTTATTGTAATTTTCAATTTTAAATTGAAAAATTTAAGTTTTAGACGAGAAAAGGCAATCTTCATCAGGGTTCAACCTAAAAAAATGTCAAGAGTCGATTGGTAAGTGCTTTATTTTGTTTTTATTTTTGAATGTTTAGGTAAAGGACCTGTTATTACAACTCATCTATAACTTTTAATCATGTTTCGAATGTCGTTTGCCTGGATTAACATCTTGACATTGTTTTAGGTGAACATCAATGGGAACACGCCAATGTTTGAGGAAAAATTTCGAATTTGGTGTTGATTTGGAGCTGCAAACATGGAGAATCGATAGGTAAGGGTTTTTAGAATGTTTTTTAAGATCTTTAGGTACAAATTCCGTTCGCAAGACCTGGAGAATTCCTTTGGTACGTTATATTGTCATAGGTAAATTTTCGTTGTTTTTTAGTTTTATTTTTTCTCACATTTTATTTACGACGTGTTGACCGTAAATATCGATATTAGTACGGTTTCTACGGCCGTCACGGTAAAAAGTTACGCTAGGCAATGTTTCTCGTGATATTGTTTTGGAGTATTTTTCGAGTTTCAGAAATTTTAGGTTCGACCTGTCGACTTTTGCGGTTCAAAATCAGTTCGATAATTCACATAACAACTCTAAATGTACAATACTTTATTCAAACATTTAAAAAGACCGGTAAACTTGTTAGTACAATTGAATGTACAGCAACGCCAAGACAGCGATCCACATCATTTGACTTGAAGATTTGGATGTTGATTTACCACTATGGTATTCTACAAACCATTCCATATCACCAACCCCATCTCTGTCTTTGGAATCACTATCGTAAGCAGGTTCATCCTCTTTGCTGCTTGGTTGATCGTGATCACCTCCATCTTGGGGTTGATTTGTAGGGTTAGGAGCAGGGTCGTTTGGTGTCGTAATTGTAGTTGGAGTGGTTGTAGGGGTTGTTGTAGCGGAGGTCACGGTTGTATGCTTCGTAGCCGTAGTTGGGGTAGTTTCAGATGTTGTTCGTCCGGTTTTAGGCGTTGTTCCTTTGGTTGTAGACGTTTTTCTTGTTGTTTTAGCCGTTGTTCTTTTGGTTGTAGCTTTGGTAGTTTTGGTTGTGGTAGTTGACGCTGTGCGCAATGGACTCGTGTAGAATTTATCGTCGCGTCTCAAAAGTGGCACAAGCAAGCGAATATCACCATCGAGTTTGCTATTGTGTGCTCTTATGTCATCTGGAATCCACCAATCGAGTCTGAAAACGTATTTTTTTAAATTTAAAAAATGCGTTTATTAACTTTGGCACACTGACAAGAAGGTCATTTTTTATTAAAAATGTTTTAAAAAATGAAATACCCGGTTTTCACGTCGTAAATAAAGTAAGCGCATCTGGACGTAATGCATTGCAAGTACACGACTAGGTCATTGCGCATGTATGCAATACGTTCACGTGGTTTACGTTTGATTAAGCGCAATCGAGAGGGGTCGTCCACATCAGAGACACACACCTTACTGCTGTCTTCCTGGAATAGCACAAGTTACAAAGATTTAAAAATATTCGCATTTCATAGTCAATAATGGTACTCTAAACTCATTTTCAGTACTCTAACCTTACAGTACAGTAAACTCATTTACAGTACTCTAACCTTACAGTACAGTAAAGTCAATTACAGTACCCAAAAGACATTTGCCGTGCTCTAAATTCACTTACAAAACACTTGTCAATCTCTCTGTCGTATTTACCAGTTTCAGGTAGCACAGACTCTGGACGTTTTGGCATAAGTTTATCGCTACATGCATTATCCATCTCGAAGGCTCTGTCTTTGCTGGTAATGTAAAGATTTTGGTACATAAAGCTGTGCTTATGATCTATCGAGTACTTTTTAATGACATAACAGTATTCATAATCAGGCAATCCCCCCTTATCAGTAGGATGATAATTTTTAACATCGACCGTGTGTCTGAAAATACATTTTTTAGTCAAATCAATGCAGGGCGGTGAAGATGATTTAAAATTTGACCAACTCAAACTACAAATAGTCAAAAGTTACCTTTGAACAAGTTTGAATTCACCATCAGAAGAGATCTCGACCATGTATGTCTGAAACGCGCCGTTTACAAACACTGGAATATATCGAAAAGCGTCGATGGAATCACCATTCTGGTACATTTTTGCATCAACCGTCTTTGCGCCATTAATACTGGCTGAAATAGTTTTTGTTAGCGTAAGGGTAGGAGAGGGTAAAGCCTAGACATGAGAAACGGGTCGGGCCGGCTTTGAGCAAAATTTCGATCGGGCCGAGCCTGAAAATTGGGCCCGGCCCGTTTCTCATGTATAGTAAAGCCAGAGTAATGTAGGATAGGATAAATTAGGCACAAATAATGTTACAGTAACTTACAGAAAATAAGAACGTTCCAACTATGAACCTCTCTGATCACAAGGAACTCTTGAATCATGCCGCTTTCCATTTTGAGGCATTTTGGACAAAGTATATCTTTCACTTTTTTCGCGGACAAGTCTACATCTGCGCACATGGTCGTAGCCAGAAAGAGTAGAAGCACGTTCAGAAGGAGTGGGGAACACAACCGCATGACAGCTTGCATATTGAAAGATACTGACATTTTAGGAAATCGGACTTTAGGACAAGGTAAATTTCAGGTGTTCTTATGCAAATTTTTGCGAAAAAAAAACAAATTCACGTTTGAAAAGTTGCCGTTTTTTGAAAATTTTGGCGTTCTGTTTTAAATTCAGCGAAATTCGTCTACATTTTACCTTGTGGATTTCAAGATTTTATTGGCTCTCATGGCCATGGATGTCTGAAACACGCCTGTTTACAAAACCATACCCTCTCGTTCTGACGATGAAAAAATCCATTATTTTGTTTTGGTCGATGAAAGAATTTCATATATTTTGAATGGCCAATAACAGCCTAACGATACCACTGAAAAAGAAGACTTTGTGCCAGAAGAAGGTTAGAGAATCGATTTTCAAATTTTCAAAATCAGGTTAACAATCCACATAACAATATTAAATTTACAATAATTTATTCAAACACTGGACTATAAACTTGTCAGTACAATTGAAGGTACAGCAACACCAAGACAGCAATCCACATCAAGTGACCTGAAGACTTGGATGTTGATTTACCACTATGGTATTCTACAAACCATTCCATATCACCTTTCCCATCTCTGTCCTCTTCCCATGCAACTTCATAGTTTTCGATGTGTGGTGGAACGTAATAACCTTTATCTTGTGGTTGATATGTTGGCTCAGGATCAGGGTTATATGGCGTCGTGATCGTAGTAGGGGTGGTTATAGGGGTTGTCGTAGTCGAGGTTCTAGGCATGGTTGTAATTCGCTGCGTAATCGTAGTTGTGGTAATTTTAGACGTGGTTCTTCTAGTTGTTGACGTTGTTGTTTTAGTTGTAGTCGTTGTTTTTTTAGTTGTCGTTGTTTTTTTGGTTGTAGTAGTTTTTCTGGTTGTAGTCTTGGTAGTTTTGGTTGTAGTAGTTGGTAATCTACGCAATGGACTCGTGTAGAACTTATCGTCAGGTCTCAAAAGTGGCACAATCAAACGGATAACACCATTGAGTTTTTCAGTGTGTACTTTTATGTCATCTGGAATATACCAGTCGAGTCTGAAAAATGAATTTATCATTTTTGACAGGCTAACGAGAAAGTCGATTTTATAGCTGTTCAACATAAAAATTAAAAAATTAAAATTTGAATTTTTAGAATTAAAACAGATTATAAAATGTGTTTTATTTTAAAAGTAAATTTTTAACGTTGACATACCCAGTTTCGGTATCGTAAATAAAGTAAGCGCATCTGGATGTGATGCATCGCAAATGCACGACCAGGCCGTTGCGCATGTATGCAATACGGTCACGACGGAAATTACGTTTGATTAAGCGCAAGCGAGAGGGGTCGTCCACGTCCATGACACACACTGTGTGGCTGTCTTCCTATAATAGCCCAAGTTACACAGATTTGAAAAAATTACGGTTTATTTCATACTTTTACTCTAAACTCATTTCCAGTACTCGAACCTCATTTACCGTACTCTAACCGCATTCACAGTACCGTAAAGTCACTTACAGTACTCTAAACATCTTTGCACTATCCTAATTTCACTTACAAAACATTTGTCGATCTTTGTGTCGAAATTGCCAGTTTTGGGTAGCAAAAAGAACGGATGTTGTGCCATAAATAAATCGCTACACGCTCTATTCATCTCGTAGCCAACGTCTTTGCTGGTGATATAAAGGTTTCGGTACACAAAGCTGACCCTATGATCTATGCTGCGCATTCTATCGAAATAACAATATTCATAACGTCGTACGGTCAAATAAGAGCTCATATCATCATATTTATAACTTATACCATCACTCAAGCGTCTGAAAATACATTTTTTATAAGATCAATGTAGGGGGTGTAGATAATGTAAAATTTTTTTTGATTTTAAATTTAAAAGGCTTTAAAATGAAAATTAATGAGGGAGAGGGGGGGGGGGTAATTTTAACTCTTATCAAATACAAATTCAAACGTTACCTTTGAATACGCTTGAATTCACCAGTATTTGTGACCTCAATCATGTATGTTTGAAAAGTGCCGTTCACAAACACCGGCATATATTTAAAAGAATCGATGAAATGGTCTTCTTTGTACAGTGGTGCATCAACCGTCTTCGTGCCGTTAAGGCTGGCTGAAATAGTGTTCGTTATTGGTAGTTATAAAATGTTCAATAAAACCCAATATACTCGGGTAAAGTAGGGTAGAGCACGCCAGAGTAGGTTAGAGTACGATATTATACCGCCCGGCCAGAATTTTTTTACGTGCAAAAGGGCCGGGCCTTGATTTTCAGGCACAGCCCGACCTAAATTTGGGTCAAGACCGGTCTGGGTTCCTCATGTCTAATTTCAAGTACTTAAAAACTTTGTCATGGCTAGTTTTTTATAAAAATTAACAAATAAAACATATTTACAGTAACCTACAGAAAATCAGCATGTGCCAATCGTCAACCTGTCTGATCACATGAAACTCTTGAATCATGCCGCTTTCCATTTTTAGACATTTTTTGCAACGTAGATCTCTCACTCTTTTCGCGGACAAGTCTTCTGCGTTCACGGTGGTAGCCAGAAACAGTAGAAGCACGTTTAGAAGGGGTGATGAACTCAACCGCATGGCTGTTTGCATATGGAAGAAACTGACAATTTAGGAAAACGGACTTTAAAGCAAGGTAAACTTCATTTTTTTTGTTTTATGCAAATTTTTGCGAGAAAAAAAATATTTTCACGTGCTTGGCGTTTGGTTTCAAATACAGCGAAAAAATCTAAAAATGTTTCTCAATTGATCTAAAAATTTCAAAATAATGCCCTTTCGACCGGGCGAGGAAGTTTCAAAATAATGCCCTTTCGACCGGGCGAGGAAACAAGTTCATTTCTCCATTTTGAGTGTTAGCGAACGGCCGAACGATGCCGCCGAAGAAGAAGACTTCGATCCAGAAGAAGAAGAAAAAGGGCGGAGCGACGCGCGAGGAAACGGTCGAGACCAATGAGAAGCAAAAGTCTGTAATGGGAGCCGCCCCTTCGGAGAAGGTATCTTCCAAAAAGCCGGTAAAGAAGGCGACCAAAGGCAAGAAGAAGATCCAGGCTACGGTTGGTGGGTTGCTTTACTTGGTGTTTTGGATATAGAAAAAGTTCTTGTCATGCTTTGTATTGTAAGGAAATTTCTTGCTATTTTATGGCTTGTAAAGAAAGTTATTGCCATTTTATGACTTGTAAAGAAAGTTTTGCCATTTTATAATTTGTTAAAAAATTTATTGCCATTTTATGATTTGTAAAGAAAGTTCTTGCAATTTTTTTGTTTTGTAAAGAAAGTTTTTGTCAATTTATGGCTTGTAAAGAAAGTTTTTGTCAGTTTATGTTTTGTAAAGAAAATTTTTGCATTTTTTGTTTTTTAAAGAAAGTTCTTGTTAGTTTATGGCTTGTAAAGAAAGTCTTTGCATTTTTTGTTTTTTAAACAAACTCCTTGCCAATTTACTTGCCAAATGCATTATTTGTTGTATTGCAGCCTGCGGGTGACAAGTTATACGATGAATGCAACCTTTGCTATTCCAAAGAAAATTATTGCCATTTTAAGTTTTGTAAAGAAAGTTTTTGTCGTTTTATGGCTTGTAAAGAAAGTTCTTGCCATTTTAAATCATGTAAAGAAAGTTCATTCCAATTTGTGCTCAATTTACCTATCTTTGTCATTTCCAGTCGAAGCAACATGCGAAGAAGCAGCTGATGCACCAAGTGTGGCCGCAAAACCGACGCCAACCGCAGCTCAACCGACCACTCAAGGCGAAGGCAACTTGACAGAGCAAAAAAAATATCTGTTTGGAGAGTTTGTCAGAGATGCAGTTACTTTGGGCGTGCATGGTATCTTTAACCAGTTCGAAGAGCTGAAGATCTACATTCCCAAGACTCACACCAGCAACGAGTTCAACCTGCACATGGACAAGAATAGGTATAAGGGTAGGTTAAGATTTTTCTTGATACTTTTAAGGGTAGGGTAGAGTAGGATCGGGTATGTTATGGTAAGCTAGGGTAGAGTATGGTCTGGTAGGGTATGGTAGGCTCGGGTATGGTATTGTAGGGTAGAGTAGGGTATGGTATTGTAGGGTAGGGTTAAGTAGAGTAATATGAGGAAGGATTGGGTGGGGCATGGTGAAATTAAAAACTTTTTTTAAATTTTTAATGCCATTCCAGATGTGACCTGTGCCGACGCCACTCGTGTTGTCCTTCGTGATGGCAGCTACATCCATGCCAATTTTGTTGGTGGAGATCCTTTCAAAAATCGTTTCATCGCTACTCAAGGCCCCCTGTCCAATACTGTAGTTGAGTTCTGGAGAATGTGTGTTCAAGAAAACGTGGGCTACATCTTCATGTTGTGCGAATGTGTTGAAGACGGTAAAACCAAATGTCATAGATATTAATCGCCGGATTATAAAGGAACGCTTCCAGTTGGAGGTAAGGCCTATAAAATGTGGAAAGAAAGTTATTGCGGTTTTAGTTTTGAAAGAAATGGTGTTTTTATGGTCTGGAAAGAAAGTTATTGCATTTTTTTTATTTGCAAAGAAAGTTATTGACATTTTTGACTATTGATGAAAGTTTTTTCTATTTTATTTTTTGTAAAGAAAGTTGTTGCCATTTCTGTTTAGAATAAGTAGATTTTGTGTTTTGCAGCCTGCGGGTGACAAGTTATACGATTAATGTCAATTGTGTTGTTTTAAAGAAATTTCTTGCTATCTTATGTTTTGTAAAGGAAGTTTTTGCCATTTTTTAATTTGTAAAGAAAGTTCCCGCTATTTTTTGATTCATAAAGAAAGTGTTTGCCGTTTTGTGTAATTTAAACAACGTTTACACCATTACCATCATAGTTATCTCACCTAGCCTATATTATTCTAGAATTCATCGTAACCAATGGCGAATCTCGAATGGACGGTAACACTGAGTTCACAGCACTTACTGTGTCAGTAAATGGCCAACCCATCCTCCAATGTCAGCACGTTCAATGGCACGGCTGGCCGGATCACGACGTGCCACGTCAGGTCATGAAACCACTGGAGCTGTTGAAGGTGGCTAGGTCGTGTACAAGCAGGCCAAGTGTAGTCCACTGCTCGGCTGGAATTGGTAGAACTGGAGCGTTCTTGGCTATTGAAATGTGCTATCAACATATATTGTCATCGACGACTAAGCTGAATGTGGTGGATGTGGTCAAAAGTTTGAGGGGTGGGTTTTTGAAATATTTTTAATTTTGAAAATTTTTTTGAAATTTGAATTTTGTTTTTTTTATTAAAAAAAATAATTTGAAAATAATTTTTATTTTGTTTTTTGATAATTTTTGGGTTTAAAATTAAATAAAAAATTTTTCGAAATTAAAAAAATTTTTTGAAATAAAAATTTTTTTTTTGAAAAAACGGCCTAATTGAAAAAAGTATACATATAGCACTTTTAGCTATGCGAATGCATTGTATACAAACACCTACTCAGCTAGTGTTTGTCTACAGAGTGATGATTGGATTGGCCGAGCAAGAAGACGTTATCGGGCTTAGTAGTGTAGGATAAGGTAGGGTAGGACAGAGTAAAGTAAAGTAGGGTATAGTAAATTAGGGATGGACAGAGTAGGGTAAGGTAGAGTAGAAAAGGGTAAAGTAAGGTAGAATAGGCTGGGGCAAGTTAAGTTACGATAGCGTAGGGTATGGAAGGATAGAGTAGACTAGGTTAAGGAAGGATAAGGTAAGTTATGATAAGGCAGGATAGAGTACGGTAGAGCAAGACACAGTAATGCAAACTAAACTACGGTAGGGTGGAGTAAAGTATGTTGTAGTATGAAACAGTATGCCATTATAAATTACCATACATCTTGTTTTCAGTACGTCCAACGATTCATCAAAGAGTACGAAACCACGGCCGAAACGGACGCAGCTAGACAAGCGGCTAAACAATCGGCTCATGCTGCTACAGCCGGCGCTCCAGGTGCTCAACAATCACCAGGAGGACCAATACAGCCAACGGGAGGAGCACAACCAATGGGTGGAGTACCACAAATGGGTGGAGCACCACAAATGGTGGGAGCACAACCTATGGGAGGAGCACCACCAATGGGAGGAGTACCAGATCAAGCATTCGGAGGTGTCCCAGCATCACCCAGACCAGCTTCACCGAGTGCTCAACCACAGTTTGTGATGGGCTTACAAACTGGAGTACTGGGACAAGGCATGGCTCAACAGCCGATGGTACCGATGGCACAACAACCTCAACTTGGACCACCTGCAGGTGCGGTACCACCGTATGGAGCAGTACAAACCCCACCTCAAATGGCATCACCTGCTCTGAACAATCAGCTTGTCAATCGAATTCAGCGTTGAACTTTGGGTTTAAACTTGGTTTTGGAGGTTGATAGCCTCAGGGAATAAAGAGAATTTTGAAATTTTGGCTTAATTTTTTGAAATTTAGAAGTTAATATTGGCTTTTATATTTATATTTTTTCTTTTAAATTTACATTTTAAGGCTTGTTAGCCTGAGGGAATTTGAATTTTTAAAAATTTTTTAGTTTTTAAAATTTTGGAATTTAGGTATTATTTACAACCTATTGCAATATCAAGTTTATTGTTCTTAAAATCGCAAAAAATATGATAAGTGGTCAATAGTACCACTTGAACTTATGCTAGAAAGAACCAGCTTAAGTTATATTAGTACCACCTTAAGCCCGCTTGTAGGTCTGCTCCTTTGGCTGTTGAGCTGGAGCGTTACGTTGAGCTCCTTGGTTGGCCACCGGAATGGTACGGCCAGGGCATGGACAGTAAGCAGCATCAGGGCCAGGCACTCCCGGACCACCGATGAAGCCTGGCACACCTGGAGCACCGTTTGGTCCCAACTCTCCTTGAGGTCCAGCTTCACCGTTGGCTCCTGGAGCTCCATCACGGCCTGGTACACCAGCAACACCTGGGTAGCCTTGTTCTCCTGGTGGTCCAATTGGTCCCTTTGGTCCTGGAGCACCATGTCCGCGTTTACCGTCCTCTCCTGGCTTTCCTTGTTCACCGGGCTGGCCTGTGTAACCGGGCTGTCCTTGTGGTCCGGGCTCTCCGCGTGGGCCGGGCTCTTGAGTCTTGCCTGGTGGTCCTTGAGATCCGGCCATTCCTTGTGGTCCTGGTGGTCCAACAGGGCCTGGAGTTCCTGGTGGACCGGGCTCACCAGCTGGGCATTTGACGCACTCCTTGGTCACATCCTTTACGTACCAGTCCATGCCGTTCTCACCGTTCTTTCCGTCGGGGCCAGGAATACCTGGTATTCCGTCTGGTCCCGGTTGTCCTGGTGGGCCAGGTGGTCCAGCTGGGCACTTGTTGTTCTCGGGCGAAGCGCAAGCACACTCAGCGTTACGCTTGTTGCGGCCCATCACAAGGTTCACGGCGGCCTTGAAGTTGGCGGCACGGGCGACGCGGGGCTGGGCTTGGCGTTGGGCTTGCATGATGCCGAACCAGGTGCTGTCGGCTACGTCACGAAACTCGACCATCTCCACCTGGATCTCATCGTAGAGAGCGTTGATGTCCTGGAAGAGGGTTCCGACGACAAAGAGGGAGCTGAGGATGACCAAGGCGCTGCCTACGGAGGCTACGCCGACCAAGTAGTCGGTTTTCATTTTGAAGCTGAAAAAGTAAGCTTAGTTTTGAAAATTTGAATTTTTTAGATGGTACCTGACTCTACTATTAGTTTTGTACAATTTTAAAAATATTAAGGTTTTAAAAAAGTCTTGGCGTTTTTGACAGTGTAATTACATGGGAATCGACGACAAGACTTTTTTAACTTAATATTTTTGAAAAAAATGAATTTTTGTATTAATGGGTTCTACTATAATATTTTATTCAATATTATGAAAATGTAAGGGCATACAAAAGTCTTGTCGTTTTTTAGCATGAAAATGCATGAAAATTGGCGACAAGACTTTTTTGCCCTTAATTTTTTAAAAATTTTTTGAAATATAAATAAAATAAGATATTGTAATAAACATGTAAATCTGCGACAAGACTTTTTTATTCTATTTTAGCTTTAATATTTTTAAAAATTTTTAAATATTAGCAAAAAGGTATATAAAGTAGCAAAAATAGAAACTACAGTAGAAAAACGAAAAAGTTACAGTAAGAAAGTACAACTTTAAGCCCTAAAACTAACTTTACAAACCTAAAACAAAACTTACCAGTTTAAGAACGAAAAGAACCCAAACTAACTTTTTCTTATCACCTTAACTGTTTAAATAGTCACAGAACGGACCCGCCCTAAGAACACATTCCAATGCCCTTGAAACCGGTTGGAAAGTAATCGCAAGAAAAGATCGGACAAGGTTACAACAATAATGTCGCAAACAGTTTTGTTTCCAGAGTTTATTGCTTACCAACGGTTTAAGCCTTTACCAATAGGGCGAATAGAAAAAAGAACGTTCTTGCTGAAGTTAGAGTAGAAATATATGAAATTTGTAAAAACTAAAGGGCCTATAATATGATTAGCAGCTGAAACCTAGTGTATACAACATAAATTACCTTACAGAATCTCCTACCCCATCCTACTCTAACCCATCCTATCCTATGAAACAAAGGGCACGGTAAAATATTATACATTACTATACAATAAAAGACAAAGCAGTGTAATACATAAGGTAAAGTAAGGTACTATAGAGCAAGCGCAAATTTAGAACAGCATAGGGCAAGAAATGGTAGAATAGAATAGGGAAGGGTAGTGTAGGATAGGATATGGAAAGACAGGGCAAGGCAAGGCAGAGTTAAGTAGGGTAGGGTAAATTAGGACAGAACACGGCAAGGCGCATAACGGGGCAGGGCAAGGCAAGGCAAGGCAAGGCAAGGCAAGGCAAGGCAAGGCAAGGCAAGGCAAGGCAAGGCAAGGCAAGGCAAGGCAAGGCAAGGCAAGGCAAGGCAAGGCAAGGCAAGGCAAGGCAAGGCAAGGCAAGGCAAGGCAAGGCAAGGCAAGGCAAGGCAAGGCAAGGCAAGGCAAGGCAAGGCAAGGCAAGGCAAGGCAAGGCAAGGCAAGGCAAGGCAAGGCAAGGCAAGGCAAGGCAAGGCAAGGCAAGGCAAGGCAAGGCAAGGCAAGGCAAGGCAAGGCAAGGTAGAGCATGGTATAGACAGGAGATGGAAAAGGGAATACTGCGGAATACCGAGATTACTGTAGATAACGTTAGGGTACTGTAAATTGATTTTGTTTGCTATAAATGGGTTTATAATACTGAATTTGACATTAGGGGACTGTAAATTCATATAGTGAACTGTGAACGACTTTTAAATACTGTAAATGGTGTTAGAGTATCGTATCTGCTTTCAGAATAGCATAAATCCTGAGTTGCAGTCAAAGCCGGGCGGGCACTTTTGGTCTAGGGGCGGTAGTTGGAAAATTGGCTGCTACCTGTGCCGATTTAAAATTTTTTTTTCAAAATTTGCAGGGGGCCACGTTCAACTTTTTTTGAAATTTTTTTTCTGCCATTTATCTTGTGTTTTAAATATTAAAAAATCATTTTATAAAAATAAAATGGACTTAAAATTTTCTAAAAAAATTATTTTTTTAAAATTCGGACAAAATTAAAAAAAACTGATATGAATATCTGGTTACTTTTGCTATGAACCTTTCTATCAGCCGGTTGCTTTTATGTGTCACTGTTTTGGGTATTGTGAGCGCAGATCTGGGCGTTCAGCTGAACCTTTTCGGTATAGAGAGAAGTTGTACTTATGCTGAAAAATTGGCAAGTTTTTTAAATTTTGTTTATTTTTAGGTATGAACTTTTGAGTTGAGGTAGAGTATGTTTAAGGATTACGGTAAAGTAGGTAGGGTAGGGTAGGTAGGGTAGGGTAGGGTAGGGTAGGGTAGGGTATGTATAAGTTGATAATGCTTGGCTTTCTTCAGCGTGCCAATCAATGTACGATGGTTCTGACCGAAACATATTTGCCCGTTTCTGACTTCACTGGAATGCGTACACTACCTAAAATTTTGGAAAGTTTTAACGAACAATCATTGACTAATGGACAATGCGCGTATGTCAATTTAAAAATTTGTAATTTTTTTTTAATTTTTGTTTTTGATTTTTTAAAACTAAAACTTTTAAAAAAAATTGTAATTTTAGCCGCCTTTGGCAAATGATAATGTGTACTCGTTTCTTGGGCAAATGCTTTTCCGAGATGGTCGGTGGTTCCGAGTTGATATCGATATACAATAACTTTGGCTTTGCTTACGGTATCTGCAGTAATCATACTATAGAAGGTAGGGTTTTTCATATAATATCATCCTACATAATCTGCCGAGATAAAAAGTTCTGTCGTTTTTGAATAAATTTTTAAAATTAAATTGATTTTAGAATCACGAAGAATCGAAGATTGTTACAGTACCATTAATCGTGCCTATTGTATTGAGCATTATGACATTATCAGCTCGTGCAAGTAAGTGCAAATTTAACTGCTCCTACCCCTACTCAACCCTAACCTACCCTACCCTACTGTTACTTACTGTACAGGAGCCCCTACTATATCATACACCCATTTGAAGTACCATAAACCAATTTGCTCATTATATGTTAATACCCCTTACCGTACTCTATCATATGTTATTCTTATTCTACTTTAATCTACAGTATACATTTTTCATCTACAGTATCGAACCTACAGTACATATTTTTCAGTGAAGACTACTATGGATGTGTAAAGAATCAGCTGTACGAGTCTTGTCCCACACTTTCGTCCGAGAGTCGCCAAACAATCTGCCTACTATTCGCAATGAGTGAACAAGCCGGATGCCCTTACTTTACATTCTGCTCTCCATATTCACGACAAAACATAAAGTTATTTTAAATAAATTTTTAAATTTAAAACTATAGTTATTACCTGAGGCTTTTATATTTTAAAAATCTATTGTACTCAATAGGCCTGGCGGTGGGACAGAAAAATGATTATCTTTCAAAAAAATTTTTTTGAAAAAAAGTTGAACTTGGTCCCCCCTGTTGACATTCCTAAAAAAAATTTTTTTTTGTTATTTTGTTCACGCCAAACCAAAAACTACCCGCCCAACAATATTTAATATTGAACACGATCTTCTACTCACCCTTGACTTTACTTGGCATGCTCTGGAATATCACTTTATTTATCAAATCAATAAAAAAACAAAAACCGCGGGCAAAACCCCGTTCAAAAATTTATTTTTCCAATTTTCTTGTTTTTTTTTTGTTTTTTGGTAAGAATTCGATTTCTTTGTTGAATTTTTAGGTTAATATGATTTTCAATTGATGTGTTAAAGTTGGTATTTTGTAATTTTGCACAGTAATGGCATCGCTAAAGATTTCTGGAGCTCCAAAGTGAGTTGGTGTCTAAATCAATGTATTTTGGGTAAGTTGTTGACTGTTTTTGTTGATAGTTTAGGTTAATATAGATAGCCTTTATTCTTTATTTCAAGATTTGTAAAAAGTTGATGTAGATATTGCATCGATAACAATTGCTAAGGTTTTGAACTGGATTCAATTTGATTTCTGTGGCTTTCTGGTAAGTCTTTGATTGTTTTGTTGATAGTTTAGGTTAATATAGGCTTTATTCTTCATTCAAAGGATGGTGTTGTAAAAGGTTGATTCAGAGATGGCATCGATAACGATTTTCGAAGGTTTGAAGCAGATTCAATTTGATTTTAATAGATGTTGGGTAAGCCTTTGATTGTTTTGATCGTGTTTTAGGTTAATATGGACTATTCATGGATTTTTGGCAAATGGTTCGTCATTTTATCGATGTTTTAGGTTTACCGCTGTTTTGGCTTCAAATATTCTTGCTATAGACTACTAGTAGATCTATACGTCCCTTGATCAGCTGATATTGATGTAGATAAGAGCAGCTTTTGGTCAACTTTTCTTGGCCGAACGCCCAAAAGGCATTTTTTTTATTTTTCAAAACTGATTTTTAAATTTTTTGAAAACTAAATTGATTTTTTGTTTTTACCTTTTGGGTCATTGTTGATATGACTTGTTTTCTAAGCTGGCTGCTTTTATTCGCGGTGTTGGGCATGACAAATGGTTTGGAGATAGTTAAGTCTGGAAAGGAGTTGAAAATAAATTGCACGCTACGAGATAAAATGGTAAGATTTTTTGAAAATTGGTCAAAAAGTAAGTGGAAAAAGAATTTTTTAATAAATTTTTGAGAAATTTAACATTTGACTATTTTTAATTGAAAATGAAATTATAAATTTTTTTGACCAAACTTATTGAAAAATGGAAATTCTATAGACTTTCTGACCGATTTCTGCTTGAAAATGGATGTTCTATAGACTTTTCGACCGATTTTTGCTTCAAACTTAAAATTTCATAAACTTTTTGACCGGTTATGACTAAAAATTAAAAAAATTTTTTTCTTTGAACTTTTGGACCGAATTTTTTTCAATTTTAATATTAACTAGCTATTATTCTAGCTAGCCAACCAATGTAGTATGGTAGTGACGCAAAACTTTTTGAGCGCTGACGACTTTACTGGTCTCGGCGAATTGGCCGGTTTATTGGACAGTTTCGACAATAATTCAATGGCTAATGGGCTGTGCGAGTATGTCTATACCTATACTTAAGATTTTGATATTTTTTGACTTTGAACGTCAAAATTAAAAAAAAATTTTGATAGAAATGGTAAATTGAAATTTCTAGGGACTTTTTGACCGATTTAAAAAAATGGAAATTCTATGAACTTTTTGACCGTTAAAAAATGGAGGTTCTTATTTATAACTTATTGAACGAATTTTGAAAAAATGAAAATTCTATGAACTTTATGACCGGAGTCAAAATGCTGTAAAGAAAGTTTTAGTCAATTCTGGCAACTAATGATGTGTGCCCGCTTCGTGGGTCCATGTTTTTCCGAAATTCTAAGTGGCACCGAGTCTATGATGCTCTATCGAAAAGTGGGCTATGCGTTTGGGATTTGCAGTAATCATACGGTTGAAGGTAGGGGTTTTTTAATTTTGTTTTGTCTAGACAGGGCATGTTATTAAAAAGGTAGGGCGGTTCAGTTAGTGGGACTTGTTGAGACTATGGTAGGGATAGGTTAAGGCTAAAGTTGAGTTATCTAAGGGCTGGTTTATGACTAGGGTAACAAAGCATGGTAGGGTAGAACATGGTAGGGTAGGATAAAGTAGGATGGGAGAAGTTAAGGTAGAATACGGTAGAACAGTAGGGTAGGGTAGAGTTACTGTAAGCCTATTGGATGTTTATTTTAAGCCTGTGGTAGATCCAAAAGGTAGGAATAGGATAGCGTAAGACTTAAGACTAGGGCAGGCTAGTATTGAGTAGGTATGATAACGTTTGTCCTAAGACTAGGCTACGGTAAATATAGGGTTAAACAATAATAAATGGTACTTGGGTAAGGCTAGAGTAGGTCTACAATAAGGTAACACTTTTTTTGGATCATGGTAGGTTAGTGTTAGCCTGAAGTAGGGTGGGTATTGTGGATGTTGTTTACAGTATAAAGCTCATAAAAGTCAGTATGTAGTACTGTACATATATATAATATTCATTATACGATTGTTTTAGTATCAAAGGAAATTGAAGATTGTCACGATACCTTGAGCCGTTCTACTTGCAACTTCGATAGCTTTGATGATGGGTCAGGATGCAAGTAGGTTTATATTAGCTTAAACTACCCTTACGTCTTTAGTTTTACCGCTACGCCGACCTCTATCCTGATCTTGCTCATACACTTACACCTACCCTTACTCCTACACCTACCCCTTTCTATTACTTTTACCTCTATCCCCACCCCTACCTCATGGTAATATCTTTTATTTCAGTGAAGAGTACTACTCATGTGTATTCAAACAAGTCACCGAATCCTGTCCCGGTTTGTCAGCCGAAGGGAAACGAACCATTTGCCTGATCTTCGCCTACAGTCAACAAGTCGGCTGCCCCTACTTTTCGTTCTGCTCTCTATATGAACGTGTTATCTAGTAGAAGGTTTGCAATAAATTACTGGATGAGTTTGATTGGTATTGGTGAAGCTTGTAGCAGTATAAAATCTTGACGTATTTTATTTGAACCAGTGTTACTCTGCTCTTTTTTAACTTACTTTTACTCTACTCAAGCCTTTTTACCTTACGTTAGCTTTCATTGTGCCTTATTCTAGCCTTCTTTAACCGATTTTTAGCTTTAAGCTTTCTTCGTATAGTCCACTTTGTGACTTGTTCTAGCCTTATCTTAGCCACAGTCTAGCTTCTTTTTTTTTGCCTTACTCTAGCCGTTATTTTTCCTATCATAGCACTGATTTTGCCACAGCCTTACGTGTATTTTTGAGCTTTTTTTGCCTCATTATAGCCGAACTTATGAATTGCTCTAGCCTTATCTTAGGTTTAGCCTAGCTTTCTTTTTATCCTTTTCTAGTCTTGTTTTTGCCTTTGCCTTTTGTTTTTGTTCTACCCTAGCTCTATTTCGGCTTTACCCTAGCACATTTTTGCCCTATTGTAGCCCTAGTTCGACTCTTCGTATGTCTTGATATTTTTCTACTCTAGCCTTTTTTTTGCCTTATTTTAGCCTTAATTTAGCTCTTGCTTTGTCTTGTCCTGTCCTTATTAGTTATTTCATTGTCTTAGTCTATCTTTAGAGCTCTATCCGGACCCTGTTTTTCCACTCACCTAGCTAAATATTAATTTACCATTGCTATTATTAAGCTTTTACTCTAGTCTTACCTTTCTCTAGCTCTTTCTTGCCCTACTAAATTTATATTTGACTCTACCTTAGAACAACACCATGTATAAATCATGCAATAACCTATTAACATCCCCCCCCCCTAAAATCCGTTACGTGAAAACTTGTCGATTTCGCGGTCGTATCGGCTCAGTTTACAAACCCTCGACAACAGAAGCCTCGTCGTTGTAGTGTTTCGCGCGTTCAAGAGCCGTTACAATATTACAATAGGGGGGGGCTTGCGCACTTATCCGGTCTCTTTTCCCTCGGTAAACCGTCTTTTTTGAAAAAGTATTTCAAAGTAATTTCGGTCTTTTCGGAACGTTTAAATCTCTTCGGGAAGGTTTTTGGGGAAAGCTTGTGGTTTGGGGGTTTTTAGGGTTTTAATTTAAAAAATTTTTAAAAATTCAAAAAAGTTTTTTTTGGTTAAAAGCAGTCAACGGACTTTAGGCTGAACCCTAAAGCAATTTTAGAGTAGAGCTAAAGGTTTTGGTAGGGTAGGCTAGATTTGGCTGCGGTGGAACTGAGGTAGGGCTAGTATAATATATGGTATGGTTAGTTAGTAAAGTAGGGTGGTGTAATAGTAAGGTAGGGTAGTGTAAAATAGCGTAGAATAAGACAAGCTAGGGTAAGGTAGAATAGAAGAGGGTAAAATAGGGTGGGGTAAAGTAGGACAGAATAGGGTAAAACTTTGATACTAATAGGGCAGGGGTGGTATAAGTTATGGGTGTCGTAAGGGTGTGGTAGGGTAAGGGGGCAGGGTAGGTAGGGTAGGGTAGGGTAGGGTAGGATTGGGTAGGGTAAAATAGGGTAGAGTAAGGTAGGGTAGGGTGAACTTTTAATTAAGCAAAATAGTGCCATAAAATGAAACCCAACCCTCCCCATTTACAGCGACTGGTCATTTTATGTTACACTTGCTTGTGTGGATCGAATGACGCACCGCCTGGGTGACTAACCTTTTTCGCCTTTAGGGCAAATAAAGGAGGGCTTTCGAAAAACAACCGTTTAAACACATTTCTATGTCATATTCAATGGGAATTTAGTTTTCTTTTACATTCTAATGTTTTTTTTCACAATTTTTGAGGTTTTAATTTTTTAAATTTATTTTAATTTTAATATTTTAGGCTTTGCTAGACTAAAAAAATACATTTTATCAGTCTTCAAACGTTTTTAAATTTAAAAACAACGTTTTTTGGGAGCGGCGTGTAAAAAATCTTTGCATTTTTTTATTTAGGCAAGGTTAGTAAACAAAAATATTAATTTTTAGTGGGGTTGATTTTCAAAACTAGTGCTGTTAATTGTCCAGAGTATAATATGGCTAGGGTAGGATTAGAAAAAAAGAAGGGCTAGGTCTTAAGATAGAGCTAGTCTTCATCTAGATCTAAGTCTTCACCTAGAGTAGAGCTACTGCTTGGATTAGGACTTAAATTAGGTCTTAAGCAAGGACTGAGGCGTAGGGCAGGGCTAGATCTTTGGCTGTATCTAAGGTTAGGCTAGAAATTGAGCTAGGGCTAGGACCAGGGTTAGGCTGGGGTTAGAACGAGAGCTAGGGCTATTGCTAGGGCTAGGGCTTAGGCTAGGGCTTAGGCTAGGGCTTAGGCTAGGGCTTAGGCTAGGGCTTAGGCTAGGGCTTAGGCTAGGGCTTAGGCTAGGGCTTAGGCTAGGGCTTAGGCTAGGGCTTAGGCTAGGGCTTAGGTTATGGTTTAGGTTTAGACTAGGGCTTATGAAAAGACTATCGTTTAGTATAGGGATAGAACTTCTACTAGAGCTAACTCTTACGTTAGGGTCTCTTAGCCTAGGGCCATTGCAAGGACTAGGGCACAGACTAAAATTTAGGGTAGTGCTAAATCTCAGCCTAGAGCTATGTGTCTGGAAGATAACTTGGACTAGGGCAAGAGCCAGGGCTACAGCTACTGATAGTGTTATTGCAAGGACAAGAGTTATTTTAATAAAATAAAGCATCATTAATCGAAATGACGTATATAAAGCAGGTTAATTAGCCCAGTCTAATGACTCACAGTCGGAAGTATAAAAATAGTTTTTTGCGCTCCAAACTATCCGAATTCGATTTATTTGCGTTTAAAACGAACGATTCGTTTTAATTTTGTTTACAGCTCTTTTTTCTTAATTTTGTGAATATTAAAATGCATCACGGTTATCAATTTTGATTAGGAAAATGGCTCTGTTTTCGAAAGTTTCTTCCTTTTCTTTATTTTCAATATTTTAAAAATTAAAAAATTGGTTTTTGGTGTGGGAAATGAAGTTGTTGTTACAAGTTTATGAGGTTTTACATTGATTTTTGGTTGATATTACATACAGCTGTAGGGATAGGACTAGTGTATCATTTAGAGTTTCTGCTTGTGTAATCAAATAAAGCTATCAGTTTGTGATAAGTAAAAAAAGTTCTTGCTATTTATGGTTTGTAAGGAAAGTTCTTGCCATTTTATGGTTTGTCAAGGAAGTTCTTGCCATTTCTGTGTTATGCAACCTGCGGGTGACAAGTTATACGATAAATATCATTTTCTGTGTTGTAAAGAAAGTTCTTGCTATTTTATGATTTGTAAAGAAAGTTCTTGCTACTTTATGATTTGTAAAGAAAGTTCTTGCTATTTTATGTTTTGTAAAGAAAGTTCTTGCCGTTTTATTATCTGTAAAAAAATTCTTGCCATTTTTGTGTTATGCAGCCTGCGGGTGACAAGTTGTGCGCTGAGTATCTTTTTTATGTTTTGTAAAGAAAGTACTTGCCATTTTAAGTTTAGTAAAGGATTCATTTTAGGTAACAAAAATCATATTTTTTCTCAACTTTAGATTAAAAAAAAATCGATTTTTACTTTCTAGGTAACAAAATGGTAAGTTTAAGATGTTTTTCCCCAAAAAGTGATTAATAACGCAAAAAACAAAGTTTCAACAAAAAATCCCGTTTTTTGAATAATGATTAATCCAGAAAATAAAAAATGTGCCCAACGTCCACATCGGTCACGCCCAGGCACAGCTGCCAATCCGGAAAACCATAAAACAATCGCCGCGACTTTAATGCGCACCGTTGTTTGTTGGGCTTAATAGGCTTGTAGATTTAGTTGTAAATTTAAAAAAATGTAATTTTGTTACCTAAAGTAATTAAAAAGACTTATTTTTGTTACCTAAAATAAAATAAAATAGCGTTTTGTTGTTTATAATAAAGAAAAAACGCCTTTTTGTTACCTAAACTAATAAAAAATCTCATTTTTGTTATCTAAACTTCAGAAAAAATAAGATTTCGTTACCTTAAATTTAAAAAATTATATTTTGTTACCTAAAATTGGAAAAAATAAGAATTTGTTATTTAAAAAAATTGTAGACACATTGACGTTCTTCATCGTTCCATTAATAAAATTGAATAAGAAATAAGGAAAAGTCAATATAGGCCTTTTTTACTTTTTTTTTGATGTAAAAGTAGCTTTAACGCCTCTTATTTACCTGTTCTAACTTTTTTATATCTACGTTTTTTGTTTTCTATTTTTTATCCTAAAAACATTACCTGCTCTAACCTTTTAACTTCTATAAAATTTTTAAAAACAGCTCTAAAATCACAATATTTTGATCAAAATAGACCTAAAAGCCTCGAGCCAAACCCTTTTTTCCTTAACAATAAGCTCGTATTAAGAGGAATATTGTTCGATTAGTGACTTAATGGCTTAAAATTGAACGTCTTATTATATTCTCCTTCACCTTTCCCACTTCTTTTCCCAAAAACTTGAAGAAATTTGGAGGGAAAGCGAGGTGATTCACGAAAAGGTCACTCGTCTCTATTATAATATGTCGAGCATTGTGTTTTGGGGGCGGTTATGTCGTTATACGTTTACGTTTTGGTATTTACGGTTCCGGGATTGGGAGAATGGTTTAGTACACGTGTTTTGCGAGATTTTTTTTAAAATTTAAAATTTTTTGAAAAAAAAATTTTTCTGGGGGAACATCCACACGGGGGACCCTGTTGAATTTTTTTGGATTTTTTTTTAAATTTTGAATAAAAAAAAGTAATTTTTGGAATTTACCGTTTTTGCTAGTTCAATAGTGTTTTACTATACGTGTTTTGCAATATTTTTTTTAAAACTTAAAATTTAAAAAAAAATTTTTTTCAAAAAAATCCACATGGTTGATCCTTTTCAAAAAAATTAAAATTTTTTAAAATTTCAAAAATGAAAAATTTTAATTTCAGGCATTTCTGGTCCTCACTAACTTATTTTCAACTTGATGTTAATATAAAATGGCACCATTTCACTGGCAATCCAATGTCAATGTACAGAATGTGGGGGTGGAGGATATGGTTCTACTGCGCTCGTTGAATGACAATGCCATTGTGGACAATTTGAAAAAACGGTTGGCTGGCAAGGCTATTTTTGTAAGTTTTTTAAATTCTCGTTTTGTAAAGAAAGATTTTGCCGTTTTATATCTTGGAAAGAAAGTTATTGCCATTTTATGTTTTGTAAAGAAAGTTCTTGCTATATTGTGATTTGTAAAGAAAGTCATTGCCATTTCGAAATTTTTAATGAAACTTTATGCTATTTTGCTTCTTGTAAAGAAAGTTATTGCGCATTTTGTTCATAAAAAGCAAATTTTGTGTAGTGCAGCCTGCGGGTGACAAGTTATACGATGAATGCTATCTGTTTGCTATTTTAAAGTTCTTGCCATTTCATGCCTTGTAAAGAAAGTTCTTGTCATTTTCAGACATACATAGGCCCAGTGTTGATCTCAGTAAACCCATTTAAAGAAATGTCATATTTTACCGAAAAGGACATGGAGCAGTATCAAGGTGCTACACAGTACGAGAATCCACCCCACATCTACGCTCTAGCCGATAACATGTACCGTAACATGATGATTGACACAGAATCCCAATGTGTTATCATTAGTGGAGAATCTGGAGCTGGAAAGACGGTGGCAGCCAAGTATATCATGACATATGTGGCTAGGATATCTGGGGGAGGGTCGAGGGTTCAGCATGTTAAGGATGTTATCATCAAATCGAATCCATTGTTGGAAGCGTTTGGGAATGCGGCTACGTTGAGAAATTGGAATTCATCGAGGTTTGGCAAATATGTGGAGATTCAGTTTGGGAGAGGTAAGGTTGGAGGGAGTTTTGGATGTTATAGTAGGTTCTGATTATCAGCAACATTGAGAAAGGGTAGGGTAAATTCACGGCTGGGGTAAGAATAATGAAAAGCTTGGGAGGGTAGGACTTTGATAATGATAGGGTTGAAGTAAGATAAGGCATGGGTAGGGTAACGCCACGGTAGTTAGGGCAGGATAGGCTCAACGCTAGGGTAAGAATATAAAACGGCTAGGGCAGTAATAGGATAAGGCATGGACATGGTAAGGCTGCTTTAGGGTAGGGTAAGATAGGTAGGGCACGGTAGGTTCAAGGCTAGGGTAGAATAGGTAATGGCGAAGGTAGGCCAATGACTTTGATAACAATAGGTAGCGATGGGACAAGGCATGGGTATGTTAAGGCTAGGCTAAGGTCGGCTAGGCTAAAGTAGGATAGGGTACAGCAGGCCAGGGAAGGGTAGGATAGGGTAGAGTAGGGTAGGGTAGGGTAGGGTAGGGTAGGGTATGGTACGGTACCTCAGAGTTGGGCAGGGTAATTTTATTATTTTATATTTATATGTTCAGGTGGAGAACCAGTTGGTGGTAAAATCTCCAACTTCCTGCTTGAAAAGTCCCGAGTCTGCAACCTGGGCAAGGGTGAACGCAACTTCCACATCTTCTATCAACTCCTATCAGGAGCAGATCAAAATATGCGCGAAAACTTGGGGATCAGTAACCCGGATTACTATGGTTATTTGGCCCAAAGTGGTTGCTACGAAGCTGAAGGTACTGAGGACAGAAAAGACTTTGGAGCTACATTAGAAGCCATGGAGACGATAGGGATCAGTGAACAAGATCAACTACAGATCCTACAGATTGTATCTGCTATATTACACATAGGCAACATTACTTTCGTTGAGGATGGTAACTATGCGACGGTTATGAGCGATGAATGTAAGGTTTATTGTGGTAAATTATGGTATTTTACAGTAAAAAATTTTAATTTTGATGGGTTTTTGAGAGACGAAAAAACTTTCTTTACAAAAATTTTAAAAAATTTCAATGTGGTTTTAAGGAACGAAGAAACTTTCTTTACAAAAAAAATTTTATTATAAAAATTTTTAGACCTTCAATTCCCAGCCTATTTACTAGGCTTAACTACTGACGCCATCAAGTCTAAATTGACCAGTCGAAAACTCGAATCAAGATGGGGAAAAGACACAGAACAGATTGATGTTAACCTCAATGTAGAACAAGCCATCTACAATCGAGATGCTTGGGTCAAAGGAATGTACACTAGACTCTTTGATTATCTTGGTAAGTTAACATTACTGTGGCTTATATTTACCTTTATTAGTTAGCTTGACCCTACCCTACCCTGCTCTATTCTACTTTACTTTACTCTACGCTAACCTTCTCTAGCCTAACCTTATTCTAGTCTTGCTTTGCTTTAGCCTTACCTTGGACTTACACTATCCTAGCCTTAGTCTGCCTTACTCTTACTTCATCTTAGACTGCTATATCCTAGTTTTACACTGCCTTATTTTACCCTACTGTAGTCTCACCTTCTTCTAGTTTTACCGTAGTTTAGTGATACTCTACCCTAGTTTTTTTTCTATTCTATCCTAACCCTACACATCCTTTCATTCAACCCTACCTTAGTGTTACTTTTCATACTTCTAAAGCCTAAACGATGTTGTGCTATTAAAACAATAACTTTTTTTCAGTAAACTCAGTGAACACAGCCTTAAAATCGACCGGAAAGCATGACCAAAACCTGTCGATTGGAATCCTAGACATTTATGGCTTTGAAATCTTCGAAAACAATGGCTTCGAGCAGTTCTGTATCAACTTTGTCAACGAAAAACTTCAACAAATCTTCATTGAACTGACTCTGAAGGCAGAACAAGAGGAATATATAAGTGAAGGCATTCACTGGCAACCGGTCGATTACTTTAACAACAAGATTGTCTGTGACTTGATTGAAGCCAAACGCCCTCCGGGCATTATGTGTCATCTGGATGACATTTGCGCTCAGATCCATGGCCAAAGCGAAGGCTGTGACCAAAAGTTCCTGGTCAAGATGAATCAGAATGTGGGTCAGAATGCTCACTACAAGCCGGGGGCCAATAGCTTTTTGATCACACACTACGCTGGTGATGTGAGGTATGACATTGAAGGGTTCTGCGACAAAAATAGAGACGTACTCTATCAGGACCTGATTCAGTTGATGCAGGGAAGCGAGAGGTAGGTATTCGACTTGGGCGGGGTAATTTGTTTTCTTGGGGGCGGGGTGGGTAATATGGTTTGGGCGGGGTAATTTGGTTTTGGGCGAGTTAATATTTTTTGAATTATTGATTTGGGTTTGGGGGTCGGCAGGTTGGTTTTGGGCTGGGTGTTATTGTTTGGGCAGGGTAATATAGTTGGGATGGGTTTTGGTTATAGGCGGGGTAATTTGGTTTGGGCAGGGAAAATTTTTTCGGCAGGGTTATTTTTCTTTTTGGGCGTGTTAATTTGGCTTTACGCGGGGTAGTTTGGGTTTGGACGGGATAATTTGGTTTTGGGTGGGGGTAAATTAATTTTTGGGGTGATTTTTTAACAAGATTTAAAAAACAAGATTCTGGTGGGAGGGGGGGGGGATTATTTTATAAAATTTTTTATACTTAAAAACAAATAAAATTTGTTATTTTAGTTTAAAACGATATAAAATTTCTTCACTTTCAGCTCCTTCATTCGCTCAATGTTCCCAGAGAGTACGACATTCGGAGCCAAGGCCAAGCCCTCAAGCGCAGCCACTAAGATTCGAACTCAAGCCAATCATTTGGTGGATTCGTTGATGAAATGCTCTCCACATTATGTTAGATGCATCAAACCTAACGAAAGGAAGAAGGCATTGGAGTTTGATGAGGAACGGTAAGTTTTTTAAAGATAGGGATGTGATAAGCCTAGGCCGGTACTGGGATACGTTATAACTGAACCATTGATACGATAAGGCTAGGGTATATAGAGTACAATACGGTAAATCTAAGGCACGTTAGACGATACTACAATAGAAATACGGTACCGAGGTTACAGTAGGGCTATTTTTTATTACCATACTTTAATAAAAAGATATAATACTACGGTAAGACGAAGGCGGGCTACAGTAAGGTTAGGGCGGGTTACAGTAAGGTTGTTTGGTTACGGTAGGGTAGGGTAGGATAGTCTAGCTTACCTTACCTTACCTTACCCTACCTTACCTTACCTTACCTTACCTTACCTTACCTTACCTTAATTTATCTTACCTTAATTTACCTTACCTTAGCCTAGCCTAGTCCAGGAACTATAATAACACCTTGAATACGTTATAAAAACAATTTAAAAATTCTTCCAGAGTTCGTCACCAAGTCCGTTACTTAGGCTTGAAAGAGAACGTTCGAGTCCGACGTGCCGGCTTTGCCTACCGTCGTCCCTTCGACAAATTCCTCTGGCGTTATGCCATCCTAACCGAGGAGACATGGCCCACCTACAATGGCACGGTCCGAAACGGCTGTGAAGTGATTTGTCGCAAAATGGGCCTAGCCGAAGACCAATTTCAGCTAGGCAAGACCAAGATCTTTATCAAGAACCCCGAGTCCCTGTTCATGCTGGAAGAAGCCCGAGAACGGAAGTACGATGCCTTCGCACGCGTGCTTCAGAAGGCCTTCAAGAAGTTCGTGGCGGCCAAACGGCTAGTCAAGCAGAAGGAAGAGGCTAGCCAGCTGGTCTATGGCAAAAAGCAGCGACGGAGGAACTCGATCAATAGGAACTTTGTTGGAGATTACATTGGCATCGAGAATCGACCAGCTCTACAGGCATTGGTCGGTCGAAGAGAGAGGATCGACTTTGCTCACAGCATGACTAAGCTTGATCGAAGATTCAAGGTGGGTGGAGTTTTGAATTTGTTTTTGAAAACATGAAAAAACTGGGTTTTAAGGATTAAAATGGAAAAAACTTTCTTTACAAAGCATAAAATGGCAAGAACTTTCCTTACAAGGTTCAAAATGACCAAAAGTTTGTTAAGAATACCAAGAATGGCAATCATCGTATAACTTGTCACCCGCAGTCTGCAGGACACAAAATGGGCTTATTTAACAACGGCAAAAACATTGGCAATAACTTTCTTTACGATGCTTAAAATGGCGAAAACTTTATTTATAAATCATAAAATGGCAGAAACTTTTTTTACAAATCAAAAACCTGCAAGAATTTTCTTTACAAAACTTAAAATGGCAAGAACTTTCTTTACAGAGCCTTCAATCATAACAAATTTCTTTTTCAGAGCTCAAAAGTAGACGTCCTCCTGACCTCCAAGTACCTCTGGCTGATTGGTCGTGACATTGAGAAGAAGGGCGTGAACAAAGGCAAAGTAATCGACGTGGTAAAGCGCCAAATACCATTGGAGAACATCAAAGAGATTGGCTTATCAACCCTACAAGATGATTACCTATTCCTTCAGGTTCAAGATGAATACACCAGCGTACTCGAGTCACCGTTAAAGACCGAGATGTTAACCGCCATGAACAAAAGGTACCGCGAAAGGGTACCAAACCGTGATCTACCCCTAAAGTTCGCCAATTCTCATATCGCTACGTTGAAGAAGCTCAAATACAATATCATCGGATCTCCGGGAGTACGAGAGTTCAAGTTTCAAGAAGACAATGCCACATTGAAAGTGGCAACAGCGAGTGAAGGCAAGGTACTGACGATAAGAGTACCACCAGGACTACCTGCCACCACGAAGCCTACGAATCGACCGGTCTCGGTACAAAAGAGCACGTGGGCTTCGAGACAGTCGGCAGCGAGGGATCATCACCATCCTAGTGTGCAGCATCATAAACCTACACAGCTGTTTAGAAGCGCCGTGGAGGAGCAACAACAATATCAAGGTAAGCAAGGGGTATATCAAGATAGTCTAGCTCAATGTCAAGGTAGCCTAGCTCAATATCAAGATAGTCGTCTAGCACAATATTAAGATAGTCTAGCTCAATATCAAGGTATTCTAGCTCAATATCAAGGTAGTCTAGCTCAATATCAAGGTAGTCTAGCTTAATATCAAGGTTGTCTAGCTCAATATTAAGGTAGTCTAGCTCAATATCAAGGTAGTCTAGCTCATTATCAAGGTAGTCTAGCTCAATATCAAGGTTGTCTAGCTTAATATCAAGGTAGTCTAGCTCAATATCAAGGTTGTCTAGCTTAATATCAAGGTAGTCTAGCTCAATATCAAGGTTGTCTAGCTTAATATCAAGGTAGTCTAGCTCAATATCAAGGTTGTCTAGCTTAATATCAAGGTAGTCTAGCTCAATATCAAGGTTGTCTAGCTTAATATCAAGGTAGTCTAGCTCAATATCAAGGTAGTCTAACTCAATATCAAGGTAGTCCAGCTTAAAATCAAAATAACCAACCTCAATGTTCAGGTAATGCCACAGCTCAACATCCAGCTAATGGTATCCCTCAACACCCAGCCAATGTGCTTGCCCACGCCCTAAATGCCGGCCAGAAGGTACATCCAGTAGCGGATGCCCCAAGGCCCGTTCCCAAGCCAAAACCCATGGTAAAGCCAAGAGGACCCACGGTCAGAGCCATGTATCCGTACGATGCTCAGGATACTGATGAGCTCTCGTTTTGTGAAGGGCAGATTATCGAGCTGGTCAAGAAGGGTAAGGAATGGCATTAAGGTTTTAGGGTAGATAAGGTAAGGGTGGGTTAGGATCAATGGTAAGCTATAGTAACAGAGGTTATATTGTTCATTTTCAGATGATTCCGGTTGGTGGCAAGGCCGAATCGGCCCAAGAATGGGACTATTTCCAGCAAATTACGTTGAAGAACAATAGGGATAATAGTGTTCTTTAACCTACAACAATAATATGCTGTTAAAACATGTTTTACTGGTAAACAGTACCTAATTATGTATAAAAACCGACGGTTTATGGTACTGCATTTACATTATCAGAACGATAAGAGAAAGATATTATGAATACTTGTAAATACATTGTGATATCTTCTGATCATAAGCATTCCCGTGTCTCTTTATTATATTATAGTAGGTTGTTCAAATAATTTTGGGTCTCCAAAAAAAATTAAAAATGAATTATATTATGGTTGTTTAAGTAGTTCCGTGCCCCTTTTCAAAGTAAGGTTTGGGGGTTAGAGAGCACAGAATCATTTGAAAAACCTAATACTTGGATATTACCCCTCCTTTGCATTGAAGTCGATTTTTTTGTAAAATCTAATACTCTTGCCATTGTTACTAACTATTATATATTGTAGGTGTATTATAACTATATATTGAGTCTTGAATGATATATATTGTATTGACTAGGTTTTTTTTGTTATTGACTGCCATTTTGATCGAATAAAGTTTTATTCAAAAGTAATTTAAAATGGTTATAATTTTGATTGAAATTCAAGTTTTGATGTTTTATAGGTATAAAATATATTTTCTAGATTCTGAAGTTTAATTACAACAAAAATAAGGTGTGTATCACACGTAGCGCAGTGGCAACACAGCGAAAAAACAAATTAAAGCTGTTTGGTTCGAATCCCATTGGCGAAAAATATGTTTTTTAAGTAAAATACGAGACATAGCTTATATTTATTTATATAATAAAAATTTAAAACATTTATTGTAACATCAGTTTGATCTAATTTAAACAGCTAACAGGAGATTTGACATCATAATCTTCTCGAAAAGTAAAGATGGTGAAAGATGGCTTGTTAAAAGCTTATTTTTTATGAAATTTGCTGTGAAATTAAATTACACTTTATAAAATCTACATTTTAAAAGTCTTCTTCATCTTCTGAGAGTATAAATTCAACTTCTATTTTATTCACGATCAATAAACACATTCCGTTTGAAATTTGGCGGGCGTTTTTTCGTTCAAAAATATTATTTTTCTCCCTTTTTCATCCTTTTTCCCTTTGCTGGCCGTTGTTAGGCAAGTAATATAACTTTTGCTTCTTTACAGAGTAAATTTAGAATTTACTTTTTATTTTTTAGTTTATTCAGACATTTACCTTGAGTTTTGGTTGTTTTGGAAGTAAATTTATATTATACTTGGCGTCAAAGGAGTCTCTTTGATAAATATTTGTTTTTAGTTAATATTTTAAGGATTTTAGATATAGTTTTTGAAAAATATGTTATTATTAACATTTGGAATTATAAATTTTGTGTATTTAAAGAGTAGATTGTAAAAATATTATTGTTTATATTGTTTTAGGTTGAGTTGGTTCTCCTCGCTCTCAAAATGGATGAAACCAGCTTTTGTAGCGGACTGTCAACCGGGAGGACGTGTAAGTAGATTATACATTGTTTTTTTATATTTAGATATTAATTTGAGCATCAATTGTGAGAAAATTAATTAAAGTGTGCTGTTACATAGTTTGCTATATTACACTTTATTTAGATGACTCCATGCCGGCTAATGCTCAGAATAGGATCCAGCATCTTGAGAGTGAGCTGTATAACACTCAAGCACAACTCACTCAGCTGCTTGGAATGAAAGACAAGAGTTCTGCTGATCAGGTAAGAGTTTTATTAATATTGTTCTGCTTTTAGGAGGATTTATTTATCTAGTTGGTTTTTATTGAAGCTTATTATAACTTTAATAGTTTGTGGACACTATTGGGCTTCAAAAAAATTATGAATCTTAAAGTAATTAAGCAATTTGACTTTCTTTGAGCTCATATTATCCAAGTCTTTGTTGTAGATCCGTGACTTGTCCTTGAAACTGACTCACAAGAACAATGAAGTGGAATCACTACGTAAGAAGGTGGAAGAACGTGAGGAACAGATTAGACGTATCAAAAGAGCGAATGACACTGATATTAAACAGCTACGACAAGATGTTCTAAGGCTTCGCGATGAGAACGCTGAACTAAAGCAAGAAAAGCAGGAATGGGAAGCTGCCAAAAGAGATGATGAGTCCAAATTGTATCAGCAGATGCTCAATCAGACTAGTAGTTCTAGCAAGGGACCTGGTAGGTGTTTTAGATCGTTTGAGGGGGTTTGATATAGGTATTGATATTGTTTTTGGTGATGTGACGAGTTTTTGAAGTTGTAGGTTTATTTTGTAAAATACGTATTGGATTATTTTTTGATAAAGTAATAGTAATATGTCGTCATTTCAGCTCAAGTTTTCTCAACATTTAACAAATCCAAGGCCGATTCGAGCAAAGTTGTGGTGTCAGCGAGGCAACAGAGTGAAAAACCGGCTTACTGGTCGGAAAACCCTGACTTTTTCCGTAATCAGTGCTTGGATATGGACTCGAATTGTGGTGATTCTTTGGCTAGTGAAAGTAGAGTACACATCTCTGTCGATGCTGAACTTTCCGTAGGTTTTTGACTTCAAATTGCTACGTTTTTAGTGGAAATTATATTGTTTTAGATGTTTTTGGTTAATTTTATGTAGTAAAAAGCTGAATATGGGTGTTAGACTTGGTTTTCTTGGCTTTATAGATCAAAAAGTTATGTTTTATATTATTTTAGGTAATAACTTTAGATTACGAGGTCAAAACCTTCATTTTTTGATCTAAAACTTGAAGTTTAGGGCAATGTCTTTAGTTCACATTGAACACTCTTACTTTTAAAGCTATATATTACCTAAAATTCTTTTCAGATGAATGCCAACGGCTTCCGTGACATTCTGAACCTCACCAACAGCGCTCAAGCCAATGTGAAGAATTACAAGAACGTTTTGAAGACTTGGAAGGGTAATATGGAGGTACTATTCGAACAAGTCAAAGCCACAGCTAACTTCCTGGGTGATATTGCCAATAAAATGGGTAGAAATGCGACTGAAAAGGAGCAGATCAAAGAGGTACTTACTAAGATCAATGGTATGACATTCAACTTGAACCTGAGTGTGGATCAGACCAAGGAACTGATGGAAGGGGCAAATGGAGTGGAGGAGAGTCTGAACGAGCTCAGCCATATCATCGATGATTCATTGCGGTAAGGAGGGTGGATTTTTGAGGAGGGGCGGGAGTTATGTTGTAGTAGGTGGAACTTTTGAAGGGGGTTTATATTGTAGTAGGTGGAAGTTTGGGAATTTTCATCTTATATTGTAGTAGGCTTATTGTTAAGGGTTTTATGTTATAGTAGTTCGCTCTTAGCGATTTTTATGCATTACTGGATATAAATTCAACTTTTTATATTGTAATAGATAAAAAAGTAAATTTTCTTACCTAAATTCTTTGTTTTTTTGCTTTAAAGTTTAGTTTTTTGCCATTTCGATTACTCTGGTTATTTTCAAATTTACCATAGAGTAAAAGCAGTACCTTGTCATTAATATATGAGGAAAGGAACAAGTTTCAACGTCTATAACAAAATTTGTGCTTATTTTAGTCGAAGCATGTCCATAATTGAAGCCCAAGTGGACAAAGACGAACATAATGAAGTAGAACTGAACCAGAAGATTGTAGAAGCCCAAAACGAAGTGGCAAAGTACAAAGAAGAAGCTAAAGACCTAAGGAAACAACTGGAGAAGGCGTCGAAGAATATCGAAACCCTTGAATCAGATGCAAGAAGAAGAGAAGAGTTCAACAATGATGAGATTCGACAAAGAGAAGAGGAATATAAGAGAAATGTTGAAGTCTTGGAGACAAGTTTGATCAGGAATAGAAAGGTGAGGTTGAATATGACGTGTTTTACGTTGTAGTAGGGAGATGTGATATTGTTTTAGGTGGTTTAATTGATATTGTTTGCCATTTTAGCAAGTTGAAACGGACGAAAACCAGCTAATCGAACTCTCCGAGATCCGTCAACAATTAGAAGAAGCCCAAAATGCCCTCCATTCAGAGAGAAAAGACCATGTTGACCTCAAGATTCAGCATGAAAAGCTGGAAAAAGAGCTGGAAGCAGCGATGGCAGAGCTAGATGAGTTTGTGACGGAATGTAAACGAGCTCAAAGCGAAGCCAAAGCTCAAGAACAGGTCGTGGAAGAGCTGAATGAGAAGATACAGAAGTTCAAGCAGGGAGAAGCACGATTCAGACAGGTGGCGATGGAGCTAGAACAAGTTAAACAGGGAGTAGAAGTATTTAGTCAGGAGCTACAGCAATGCAATGAAGCGTTACAAGAAGCTGAGAGAGAAAAGAGGAAGCTGGAAGCAAGACAGGAGATGGCCTCAGAACTGGCAAACAGAGTTGAAGCTCTGAAGAAGGATCTGGCTAATGCTGAAGGTGATAAGAGACAGTACAGTGAGTGGATTCTGAAGATTGCCGAGAAGATTCCGAAAGCCGCCGAAATTAGGTAAGATTGTGGAATTTTTGATCGAAATTTGCCATTTTCGATAAGAGGGTCGAAGATAATTTTTGAAATTTCGTTTTCAGCCTCGAGCACGATCAAATCCCAGTGATTGTGGGCAAAATCAAGGGCTATATTGAAGCAATGATCCGTGACAAAGCCGACCTAGAAGATCTATATGGAGTGCTGGAACAGGGCAATCGACAGTTGAGACAGAATATCGAAAAAGGGTAGGGTAAATTTAATGAAAAATTTAATTTTTTTGGGAGAAGGCTAAATTGAGGATTTTAAAGGTATTTTATGCTGGATATCGGGGAATTAGGTAGGGTTTTTAAAGGAAAAGTTATATTTTTAAAGTCGATTTTAGGGTTTTTTTTGCCCTACCCATAGTCTTGCCTTCCCCATAGCCTTGCCCTCCTCTTAGCCTTGTCCTACCCATAACGTTACCCTTCTCATAGCCCTGCCCTACCCATCGCTTAACCCTACCCATAGCCATGCTCTCTGCAGAGCCTTACCATACCCATAGCTTTTCCCAACTTATAGCATTGTCCTCCCCATTACATTGCCCTGTTCATGGCCTTGCCTTACCCATGCCCTACCTATAGCCTTGCTCTTCCTATTGTGCCCTCTCCATAGGCAAGGCCATGGTGAGAGCAAATCATAACTTTGGCTGACACATATATAGCCTTGCTCTATCAATCGCTTTGCATTCCTACAGTCTTGCCTTCCCCATAGCCTCGCCCTTCACATAGCCTTGGTCTCCTCTTAGCCTTGCCCTACCCATAGTCTTGCTCTACCCATCGCTTTGCCCTTCCTACAGTCTTGCCTTCCCCATAGCCTTGCCCTTCACATAGCCTTTCCCTCCTCATAAACGTGGCTGACACATAGCCTTGCCGCACCCATAGCCGTGTAAATCATTATTTTTTTACGCTAAACGAAGTATAAAAATGCCATTTTTCAATATTGGTGCTTTTTTTGGTACAACTCTCTTGTTAGTCAATTTTTTATTTGTTTTCATGCCTAAAATCCTTCATTTCAGAGCCGCCAAACAAGGCATCGAACTGGAAATTTCCCCGGTCCGCACAAGCGCCATGAAAATCGACAGCGCCGAAGAGTTCCACAAGTACTTTGACAGTCTGGTCATCATGGCCAAGCGACTGGTCAAAAAGTTGAGGGAAAACAACGGCGACAAAGCTCAGGTCACGGAAGACGCTCGCCAACTCCGACTAGCTCTCATGAACGGCGACGAGTTCTTCAAGAAAAACAAGGAGAATCTGAAGGTACGGCTACACGGCATGGGACCCGACATCAAACAACACCTCGGCCACATACATGAGGTCCTGACCAACATTCGCAACTCCACGAGGAAATGAGACTAACTATTCGAATACTATTTGGAATCAACCATTAATGATTGTATTTTATCCTGTATACTGAATGAAATAACAATATAACTTGTTGTATGGGGTTGGATTTGGGTATTTAGGGGGTATACCTACAAGGAATTAAAATTTTTTTAAAGCTTGTGCCGATTTTTTTTTGAAAATGTATGGGCAGTACTGGTATTAACTATCGCCAAAAGTTCGACGCGCCATTATTTCTGCATCAACCGGAAAATTAGCTTTTCGGCCAAAAAATTGCACTTTTTTGCCTTAAAATGAGGATAAAACTACATTTTAGGTAACAAAATTGTGCAAAGAGAAACCATTTGTGTAACACACACTTAGTATTAGGTTGTCCGGAAAGTTCTGCAATATTTATTCACTTTTGAACTAACAATAATAACAATATAATTAACAACTACAATCAATCAAAGTAATTACCGTCTGAATCAATACAGTCTTGCCAACGATTTACAAGCTTTTTTATTCCACGATTGTAGAATTCCGGGTATCTGGAGTTGATGAAGTTCTTGAAGGCATTCTTGGCATCGTCTGGAGTTTTGAAGATTCTTCCATTAAGAAACGAAGACAAGTGTTTAAAAAGGTGAAAGTCCGTTGGAGCCAAGTCTAGAGAATAAGGAGGGTGCTCCAAGACTTCGTATCCCAGTTCCCTGAATTTTGCCACGGTCTTCTTTGCAGCATGGGGCCGTGCGTTATCCTGCAGAATGATCGGACCCCTCCTTCTGACCATTGTTGGAAGATTGTGTCGCAGTTTGTCAATCTGGGCACAGTAGATGTCGGCCGTAATACTTTGGCCAGGTTTCATGAAATCGTACTGGATCACTCCAGAGCTACACCACCAGACAGTCACCATAAGCTTCTTTTCGTGCAATTCTGGCTTCGGAACGTGCTTAGGAGCTTCTCCACGCTTACACCAACTTGTAGATCTTCTAGTATTGTTAAACGAGATCCACTTCTCGTCAATAGTTACAATTCGATCCAAGAATTCTTCGTTTTTGCAGCGTTGCAGAAGCTTTTCGGAAGCACATCGTCTCTTGGCTTTTTGCAGATCAGTCAAATTGTGAGGCACCCATTTGTCCAACTTTTTGACCATACCCATTGCCTTCAAATGATCACCAATGGTACTTTTTCCACAGTTTAGTAAATCTTCTAACTCCCGGATTGTAATATGTGGGTCATCTTCAATCTTGCGCCTCAGGGCATCTTTGTCAAGTTTGCTGGGTCTTCCTGCACGTGGTTTGTCTTCAAGCTTCTCATCGTCCACACGAAACTTTGCGAACCATCTGGTCACCGTAGAATAACTCACAACATTCTTACCCTCATTTTCGTTTATGATTCTGAAGGTTTCTGCCGCAGTATTTCCGCGTTTGAATTCCCATATATTCACGCGCACGCGAGATTTCTCGATTTTTTTCTAATACCTAAAACAATACAAAAAAATGAAATTAAGTTATGTAACTTACCTTTTTGAATAATTTAAGTAACAAACAAACAAACAAAAAAAGAATTTTTTCTTTCCGTCAAGAAATAAATTTTTCCTGATTTTTCAAAGTTTACCTACTCAAATATTGCAGAACTTTCCGGACAACCTAATATTAACCATGGCGAAAAATTTCGACGCGCCACTCTTTTTGCATCAAGGAAAAAACAAGCTTTTCAGCCAAAGAATGGCACTTTTTTGACCAAAAACAAGGCTAAAGGTGTAGTTTAGGTAACAAAATTTAAAAATTCTCCACTATTTCAGCATTTATTTCTTCTACAATACACTCATCTCTTCCACAGTACCCTCATTCCTTTCACCGTCTCCTCTAACGTCCCCTCTTCTTATTCTTGAGGGGTTTCTTCGTTCCGGCCGCCAATCCGCCACCCATAGCCGGAGGGTGTTTGTTGCCAGCCGGGGGTCGGGTTGGAGATGGGACTGTTGGTGCTGCATTGGACACGCCCGGTGGTACTGGCTCGGAAATGTTGGATGGGCCGCTAAAGGGGCGCTTGAACTTGTAGACCAACTCCAGTTTGTGGGCAATCTCGGCCATCGAGGCTCGGTCGTTCGGGCTCTCGGCCCAAGTCTTCTTGGTGATGAGGTCGACCATCTCTGGTGGGCAGTTATCGGGCAGGGTCATGCGGTAGCCCTCCATTTTGACCTTGGTGAAGGTGTCCGCGGGGCTCATGCCTGGGTAGGGCTCTTGGCCGTTGCTGTAAATCTCCCAACACATGATGCCAAAGGCCCAGACGTCCGTCTTCTGAGTGTACATGAAGGTGCGCAAGGTTTCGGGGGCTAGCCTGGAATTGGGTGATGAAATGGAGGTATGAAAAATCGCTCAAAAACATCCAAGAAGCCTTAAAATCAGCCCAAAAATCCAAAAACCCTCACCATCTGATAGGGACTCTTCGATGTGGGTCCATTTGATAGATGGTACCCTCTCTTGTCAGTCCGAAATCACTGATTTTGACCTGATTCTCGCCGTACAGACAGTTTCTGGCCGCAATGTCACGATGAATCACCATGGACTGATGCAGGTATTCAATGCCCCAGGCTGCTTGCATGCACATCTCCGTCTTCTTGGAGACGGGTTGCTCGGCCCTTTGGAGGTAACCGTCCAGCGACCCACAGTCGGCCAGTTCCATCAGTACCATGAGGGGTTCTACACCGGCCGCTACGCCGTAGAAGCGCACGACGTTGGGATGGTTGAAGTTTCGCATCAGACGGGCCTGGAATGGAATGATGAACATAATAGTAACCTTTAAATCAACCAAAATTTATAAAATTGTAAGCCTATCTTGTCTGGAAAGTTGAAAAAAGTGCTTGAAACACAATGCCAAAATTGCCAAATTGGCGGAAAATTCAAATATTTGAAATTTAAAACTCAAAAGCACTAGCCAAGTTTACTTTCCAACGTGTCATTATTTAAGAATGGCAGAAAGTCCAAAAATCGATAAAATTTGAAAAAAAGACTGGTATGTTAAAAGTACTGTAACTTTTCAAAATCAAAAATTAAAAAAATTCCTTTTAAAAATTCGATACTTTATAAAACAATCCTTAATCACTCCAAATTTTATAGTTCTACCTGTTTTTTGAAGTGAGTTATAAACCAAAATGGCACTAAGCATCTGTTCATAAATTTAAAATTTTTCAAGATTTCAAAAAATTCAATTGATCCCCTCTTCCCCATAAAAAACCACCCTTCCCTACCTCACGCATGATCTCCTTGATCTGTTCTTTGGTCAAGCTCTCGAGCTTCGCCAGTTTAATCGCCACGTTTACGGTGTTGCCGTTCTTCTGCTTCAGTGTGCCTTTGTGGACCTCGCCGAATGCGCCCTCGCCCAGCTTCTTGGTGGTGGCAATGTCGTTGTGGCTGAGCTCCCACGCCTGGCGGCCAATCGGCTTTTTTAGGATGACCGTGTCGATGGTTTTGGAGATGGATTCTTGCTTCTTCATGTGATGCTCGATCATCTGTTTGATGTTGTCGAAGCCGTACTTCTCAATCGACCAGCGGTTCTGGTGGTGCTGGATCACATAGTGTTTTATCTGAAAATCGTATTTTTGATTTTGAAATGGCATCAAATTGATTAAAAATGCCGTTATTTCATCAACAAGATAATTTACAATAATAATTTTAAAAAATTTGAATTTTTATTTTCGCGGGCTTTTTGGCATTGTGTTGCAAATGAAAATTTTATTCATTTTTACATCTACAGCACATATAAAACCAAAATTGTATTCTTTTTACTATATTTTTCCTATTCTACAGCTACAAAACCAAATGTCAATTTGGCGGAAAAATAAAAAATCAAATTTTCAGATTAGAAATTTAAACTTGAATTTTGGCCCACTTACTCTGTACATTATTAACAGTTTATAACCAAAGATTCATAAAAATAAAACAAGTAATAACCAACTTACACCGTTTTCTTCATTCACAGCATCAACCATGATGGACAAGATATACGATCGGCCACCGTCATTACCATTGGGCTCGGAGGTTCGAAGCAGGAAGTCGCCATTCTCATGCAACATAGCCTTGATGTCTTCTCGTGGAAGCAAGCCTGCAATTGTGTTTCGATATATAGTTATATTAATAAATGGCAGTTTTTGGGCCGAAGACCTACTACAACATCGTTTTTTAATGGTTTTTGATCAAAAAGTTTAGAGAACCTTAATGAATTGCAAAGTAAAATGCTCTAAAGATAATAATCTACAATTTTGCTACAAAAAAGTTAGGTTTAACAACTGATAACAATTAAAATGGCATTTTTTTCCGAAAAAATTCGCTAATGTTTGCCATTTTAATCAACTTTTTCCCTCAAAACCAAAAATTTTAAACGAAAGACAATAAAATATCAAAAACAAGACCATTTACTTACCATGGTAATAAGGCTCATTGATAATTGTACTATCAACCACTCCCTTAGACATCAATTCGTTCGGAAGGCGCCGTCAAGTATAATATCCGACTGCTCTGGATAACGAAAATGCAAGGACAATGAAAGTTTCTCGCAAATCACATTCTGAAACTTCTGGAAATTTGCATAATTTCAGTTTTTCGAAATTTTCATTTTTAATTTCGAAATTTTGAAAAAATCGCCAAAAATTAGCCTAAGCGATAATTTAGGTAACAAAAAGCCAAAAGATGTTGTATAATTTATTGCCCCCAAATAATTGAAACACTGACTTTGTTCTAAACAGTGGTTTTAGGTTAACTACACCTTCTTCCTCTTATTTTGCTCTTTTTCCGTCATTTTGGCTTGTGTCTCTGATAGCGAATCATAGTAATCTTCCTCTTCAAACTGTAAGAACTCATTCCTCGTTTTATCGAAATTCGTCCCATATTCATCTATGTCAAACTGTTCTTTCAGCTTTTCGTACATTGATGGGTTCTTAAAGTCTTTTCGGTTGGTCAACACCTTGTTCATATCCAGATTGCGCTTTTCCTTGTATTCGAATAGGTTTCTGAACTTTGCCTGAAATTTTGTGAATAATATAAAAAAGAACATCATTTTCTACCTAAAAACACTATAAAAATGTCTTAAAAATTCAATCCGATCCAACAAAACCATCATATGTCTACTACAATATAACTTTCCCTCCAACAAAAAATAAAGCCTAAACAAACAATATTTAGCGCAATAAACCTTTTAAATATCTTACCGCAATAGCTGGATCAACTTCGGACGTTGGAGAAGGAGGTAATGCTATCAAATCATCTCGAATTTCTTCGTTTTCACCTTCTGAATCCCTACTCGGTGTGGGACAATTAGAGCCAGCACTTGATGCCACAGCCAACAATGCCCCTCCTTCAGCTATCAACCGGTTTTCTTCAGCTTCTGATTCATCTTCTGAAAACGTTTTGATTGGAAACTTCTAGGATTTGAGAACATTACTCTAGATAGGTCACGTCGTTTGAGCTCGACAATACCTCCAAGCGCTGTACAAATACAGCAAGTTATGTTTAAAAGATAGAAAAGACTCTATTCTAAGTAATGAAAGAAAAAACAATATCGCTAGGATTACAAGAATCTATAAACATGGTTTTTAAACGAATAAAAACATTACACTAGATAGATAACGTCTTTTGCCTTCGAAAAACAAACTTAAGGATCATAAATAACCCCAAAATCGCTATTATTAGTAAGATAAAACACATTCTTTCTAACAAGTCCAAAAACGTGATATCTAAAAGCAAAAACCAAAAAGAAAAACTAAATTTACCTGAAGGAGACCTGTTAGGAGGTGTAGATTCACTAAAACTCTTTCTTGTGGGCGCCTCTGGCTCTGAATATTTTACCGTCGGCTCGTTTTGCCTTTCTTGAGGTGTGCTACTGTTCGACGTTCCAGCAGACTCTAGTCTGATCTTCTGTAACATTATAAGACTTAAAAACTATTCATAACATCTTTAACAAATCGAAAAAGTAGGCAAAACATCGAAGTAAAGTTACCTTTGGTGGGCTTTCTTCTGTTTCATCTGAAGAACTTGATTCATATCCTACCAAATTATCCATTTTTACTCTTGTTATTCGGGTTTACAACAAGATATGGCAAAAATACTGTATCCATTCGAATTTATGAAGAAATTCAGCGTAATCCAGAATGCCAAGGCATTTTGGCGTTTCAATATTTCGTGGTGGGACTAAATTGTTTACCGTATGTTTGTGTAAATTCTTGTTTTACTGTTTATAAAATAGTAAAAGCAAGCTTTAAAATTTGAGATTGGTGTTTTAAAACAATTTTCAAAATTATCAACATTTGTTGTCACGATTTCATGAGCAATCTTCACCAAACCCCACGATTTCGACTCATTTCGCACTTTACAACCCACTCAACTACTCGTTATAACCCTTCGTTACAAAAATTTTACATTCGCAGGCGGAAAGAGAGTTTAATACACCAAGAGATGGAATGTAATTCGGGTACCTGTTTCGAGTTTAAACAAACCCGCAGGTTATGAGCCGGAATAGTAAAGTAACATAGTTGGTAACAGTCGACAGGTATGTTCAGGCTGGTGGCGGTAGCATGTGCGTTGTTCACGTTGCGAATGATGACCATTCAGGCCAGTTCCAAGTTTGAGGCCATGGTACCGGGGTTTGATGGTAAGAAATTGTAAATTTAAAAATTTAAATTTAATTTATTTTTTAAATTAAAATTTAAAAAAGTAAAAAATGAGTTTTATACAAACTAAAATTCATTTTTAATAAATTCAATCTTATTTTAAATTGTTAAAAAGTTTTGTCGTCAATTTAAATTACTTTCTTTTGCCAAATGCGACAAAACTTTTTAAACGGTTCAATACACTCCAATTGCCATTTTTATTTGACTACAAAAGTAAAATACGTAGATTCATTTTTATAGCTTATATAATATAAAATTTTAAGCCATTTCATGCCTTTAACAGCCTGAAAAAAGTTTTGACGTTATTTTGCATTGCTTTACTTCTCATTAAGCGACAAAACTTTTTTTAACACTTATATAAACCTTAATCGTATTAAAATTTTAATTCTTCATCAATATCAGATTTAATCCTGTTTTAATATTACCTTTACATGTCACACCATAAAAGAAATCACATTAGAATCAACAGTATTAGGTTGTTCAAATAGTTCTAAGCCGCCTGAACCTGAAAATTTGGTTTAAGATAGGGCTCAAAATTAATTAAACATTTCATTACTACTCACTTTTCAGAAGAGTTCATGTCAGCTGATAATGGCCTCACCTTTGAGCAGAAGACCTTGTTTTTGGAGCTGACTTCCCTTCGAGGTCATTATGAAAAAGACGATCTGAGAAAGATTGTCAACGACGAGAAGTTATTACTCAAAATCATCAAATTCGTCAGAGAATTATTGGAGAATCATGATGTTCCTGATGGTGTCCTTGACTTCTTTGATGTGGTAAGGGTAGATTGAAAATAAAAATTTTTAATTAAAAAAGCATTGAGTCAGAGCTTCAATTGAGTCAGAGCTTTCAAATTGAATATATTCGACTCCAGCTTTGGCTCTGGCTTCGCCTATTTATAAATTTCCGCTCCGGCTGAGTCTCTAGTTCCGGTTCAGACTCTTGTTCTAGAGCCGCTCCACGACGGCTCCAAGGATCCTTAAAGGACCAGTTCGCCCATTGAAATATCATTGCCATTCTGTCGCAAAAAGTGTCGAAAATCAGGCAATTTCAATCAAAATTATTTTTCTCAAAAAATGTGAGTGGGTCGGTGTCGAAATGAATTTTTCAATTGGGGACCGACCTGCTCAGGTTTTTTGCGAAGAAAATGAACGTTGAATTTTTGCGACAGAATGCCAATGATATTTGAATGGTCAAACTGATCCTTTAATATTAAAATGCCACATTTCTTAGGTTCAACCCCGCTTTTCTTTTTTTAAAATTACCGTTTTGGCTCTGATTTCAGCTGTAGCTCTTGAGCGAATTGAACCCAGAGCAATGCCGGAGGTCTTTAGTACTGAAATTCGACATTTTTTTGGCTTTGGCTTTAGCCCCAACTATGGCGTTAGCTCCAGGGCTAGGGCTACTTGGCCAAGGCCGATTCCAAGGTCTTTCAAAACTTTGATTTTAAAATAATTTTTAAATTTAAAATCTTGCAGTACCTCGACATAACCCACCGCCTAGAAGTGGCCTCTCATTTCCCTCCAGAAAAGAGAGTAACTACTGTATTCAAAGGGTTTACAAAGACATTGGAAAAATACAGATTGTTAGATATGGAAGAGAAAGAATACCTAATCAACTACGATATTACGATGGCCAAGCTGGAAAGTAAGTATTTTATTATTATGCAGCCTGCTATTGACAAGTTATACGATAAATGTTGTTGTTTGCTTTGTAAAGAAAGTTTTTGCCACTCTTTGTTTTGTAAAGAAAGTTCTTGCCGTTTTTTGTTTTGTAAAAAAAGTTCTTGCAATTTTGTGATTTGTAAAGAAAGTTTGTGTTATTTTTTTCAATTTCAGAGTTATGGGCTCCAGTGATTCTGCAAGCAAGAACAATGTGTAGAAACCCAATGAATAAAGCTGTTTGCAAAGACGTAGTTTGACTACTTTATTGTAGCATGCTTATTTGTGAAAACATTATGTATATATTACTCTCGAAACGTATCTCAACAACTTTGTTTTTTTAATTTAGAAAAAATTGCCACAGAAAATTTACTACGTATAATATTACAATAAATGGAAATTACAGCTGTAATTGTCATTATATATATAGGGCAGGCTATAGCAAAGCAGATTAGGATATGATAGCATAGTGTAGAGTAGGGTAAAATAGAATAGAGTTGGATACGATAAGTTAAGGGTATAGTAAGATTAGGGTTGGCTTCTCTAGGAGCAGGGTAGGGTAGGACGAAGTAGGGTAGGGTAAGAAATAATCATTTCGGGTCAGATAGGACAGAATAGAATTGAAGGAAAAAGGTAGGGCAAGGTTTTTCGCAAGGCAAGTCGAACAAAGGAAAGGCTAGAGCAGGGTTAAGGCATGGGTAAGAAATTTAAGTTTGGCACGGCATAAAAAGCTACGTCTGAGCAGTGCAAGACATATCAATGTAGGGTAAGGTAGGGTAGGGTATAGTAGAGTAGGGTAGGGTAGAGTAGGGCAGGGCAGGGCAGGGCAGGGCAGGGCAGGGCAGGGCAGGGCAGGGTAGGGTAGGGTAGGGTAGGGTAGGGTAGGGTAGGGTAGGGTAGGGTAGGGTAGGGTAGGGTAGGGTACGGTAGGGTAGGGTAGGGTAGGGTAGGGTAGGGTAGGGTAGGGTAGGGTAGGGTAGGGTAGGGTAGGGTAGGGTAGGGTACGGTAGGGTAAGGTATAGTAGGGTAGAATAGGGTAGGGCAGGTTAGGCAAAAAGTTATAGTACTTTTATCTTTTTTGCCGTTTTAAAGTCCAGTAAACATTACAAATGTCAAAAAAGTTTCTTTTATCAGACAGCCTTCGATGTTACTCATGATTTTACAAGTCAATTCTAATTAGTAGTTTTTGATTGTTTCCAAACTTTTCATCAAAAGCCGGCTGATAAGAGCGCTTTAAAGGGCCTATCCTTCTCATAACAAACAAATAGACTTTTTACTCTTTTTTGGATTGTTTTTAAACGTTTTGAGGGCTGGTTTTTGAGTTTTTGTCTAATATTTATGTTTAGAATTTAAAATTTTAAAGAAAACAGTAAATTTTACATAAATTTTTACTTTACTTTTGTACTATACGATATGGATAACAAGCGCTAGGACAAATGCGATTTTTGGACACTTGCGGATTTTTAAAGGGTTTTTTTTTTATTTTTTAGTTAATTTAGTTGTAGTATGGTACTAAATGGTGCTAAAGTTTAACTTGGTACCGTCTTAACATAACAGTACCATTCAGGGCTTTTGGTACCATTTAGTATCAAAAATATAAAAACAGTACCAACTTAAAATTTAGTACTATTTAACACCAAAAAATATTAAAACAGTACCAGTTTAAACTTTAGTACCGTTTAGTACCATACTACAACTAAATTAACTAAAAAATAAAAAAAAACCCTTTAAAAAATCCGCAAGTGTCCAAAAACCGCATTTGTCCTGGCGCCGGAAAACAAAAAAAATATTTTCTGAACTTTCAGTACTCCTTTTGAAAACCTTAAACCTAAGTATCTATGTTAAAATGGTACTAAATAGTACTAAAAGGAATTTTTCGCTCTAAAGAGTTTGTTTTTCTAGTGTTAATCCAAGTGATTCATCCGTTAGAAAAAGGTTTTTATAAATATTTTGTTTCTTTTTTATATTACTTCTGGTTTTTTTATATTACACTCTGTAGGGTAGGGTAGTTTATATAATTTTTTCCTCCCCATACAAAACCCACCACACCGATAAGTTCAAAAAATATTTTTATACCCTACCCGGGCTTGGACACACGGCAAGGCATTGAAAATTTTTCTGAGTCCTGCTTTGTGCCCTGCTATACCCTGCCCGGTATAGGGCGTTTAATTTCTGAGGCTTGTCCTGTTTTGCTATGTCCTGCCCCGTACAGGTAAATTCGGTTTCGTGCCCTGCCTTTGATAACCCTGGATCTGCTCCTTTTAACCCATATTCATTTCAGAAAAATGGTCTCAGGCGGAATCGGAGGTGGCGCCAATGTGAACAGTGGAATTGGTGGTAGAGCCGGGATCGGCGGGGAAATTGGTGGTGGAGCCGGAATTAGAAGTGGTATTGGCAGCGGCGGTGCTGTTGGCGGAATGGCCATTGGACAGTTTGGAATTGGTGGAGCAAACTCTTTGAATGATAATGTTCAACGTGGCATTTATAATATTGTAAGGCTTATTGATGTAGAGTAGCTTACAAACGTTAGTACAGTAAAACTAGGGATGGTTTCATTAGTAGTAGGGTAAGGAAGGGCAGGATAGGGTAGAGTAGGGCAGGGTAGGGTAAGGCAGGGTAATTTACTGTAAGATAGGGTAAAGTATGGTTAAGTAGGATACGGTAGGGGAAGGTAAGTTACAGTATGAACATAGCATGTTAGGGTAAAAACCTTTCAATACACCCTCTCGATTAAATGTTTCTTTCAGAACACCCCATCCTCAATCCCAGTCCAATTCCACAACGCCAACCCTCTGCGTGTCGTAGTGGTACCAACTGACGATTGGTGTACCATAAACCTTCGCCAAGGCGCAGATATTGCCCTCCACTTTAACCTTCGCTTCGGCCAAGGTCAATGTGTCAGAAACCATCGTGTAGGTGACTCATGGGGTGAGGAGGAAAGAACTGGTGGCTTTCCATTCGAAAGAGATCAGATCTACACTATCGAGTTCATCCCCAAGGTCAATGACAATACTGTGGAAGTGTTTGTCAATGCTCAGTACTATGTGGACTTTAGACTTCGGTCGAACATTGAAGAAATCGACAACATCGAGTTCGAAGCCGGCTTCAAGGTTCACTCTGTTCAAGCTTTTGTGCAGTAATCTTACAGTAATTTTGCTGTGTCTATGAAGTATGACTAAAGAATACTGTAACATTGAAATAAAATAATTTACGACAAGTATTGATTAAAAAAGAGTAATATATACCATGGCGAGGTAGGTAATGTAAAGTAAGGTAGGTTAGGATGGGGTAGTGTACGGTAGGGTAAGGATAGAGTAGGAGTAAGAATGAGATTAGGGTTAGAGATAAGAGAAAGAAATTCAGAATAAAATAGGGAAAAGTGGTGTAGAGTAGGGTAGAGAATAGTAAAGTAGGATAGACAATAATAGTAGGGTATGTCAGAGTAATATACCATTAAATACTAATTTTTTAGCGTATGGCAAGGCAAAATAAACCAAGAAAGAGTAAGATATAGTAAGGTATAGTGACATAGAGTAAGCAAGATAATGAAAAAATAGAATAAAGTAATGCAGGCCAACCAAAAACACAGTAGAATAAGTTAAGCAAAGTAGCAGTAAGAGCAAAGGTAGTACGCTGTATGTAAGCGGAAGGGGGGGGGGGAGGAAGAAGTAGGTAAAATACTGTAGGTTAAAGTAAGTCTTTAGTAGGGTAGAGTAGTGTGAGACGAGTTACAGCAAGGTAGAGTACGTTAAAACAAAGCCAACCTAGGGGTAGGGGTAAGGTAGAGTAAGATAGGGTTAGAAGAACTCGATACAACGTATTTTACCAAAACCTCTAAAATTTTAAAATTTTTAATAAATAATATTAACACTAATTACAATGTAAACCAGTAGGAGATAGTCGTATATTGCATCAGTTACATGATATATTGCAGGTTTATTACAAAGGCAATCCCGTTTCGTATTCTAGGCCAAACTTTTCCAATAACGAAGTGTCAATATAGAAGGCTCCTAAAAGTAACACCGAGCTACAGTAAGACATTGATACAGTATACTATTTTTTTAAATTTTCTGAGGTTACTGTACTCAATCTCGTTACGTTTCAGAGTTACAGTACCCTATGTTTAAATTTTTTCATGTTACAGTACCCCACTTTTTCAAATCTTTAAATGTTACAGTAACCCACCCTTTCAATTTTCGAATCTTATAGTACACCCATTCTCCCAAACTTTCGCTTGTTACAGTACCCCACTCTCCCAAATTTTTCAATGTTACAGTACCTGACCCCTCTCCCTTACCCAAATTTTCAAAGGGTACAGTACCCCCACTCTCACAACTTTTAGAATGTTACAGTACCTCATCTTCCCAAATTTCCAAAAGCTACAGTACCCAAACCTACCGTTGTCACCCCACTGAGAGCCGAAGCTGTTGATGGCGGTCCAATATAACTTGTCGTTGCTGTCCCTGCCCCACCCAATCAGCCTCACCACATGCCAGTAGATGATGCGCTTCTCGAAGTGCTCTTCCGGCATCGGATGAAAGATTCCGGACTCGTAGTGCAGAAACTCTTCGGTCACGGGGAACGCCATCGTGGTGGGACCGAACAGGTAAAGCTCTTTTTTGATTATGTCGTGGATCTGAAGGTGTTATTGAGTATCATTGGGTACGAATGTGAGTGTCAGTTGTAAAATACGGAAATTTATTAAATTGGTCAAATAATTCTGAGCCCTTTAACCACAAAAATTAGCATTGTGAGAAGCACAGAATTATTTGAACTTCCTAAAAAAAAATAAGAAACGTACTCATCGTATAACTTGTCATCCGCAAACTGCGCAACCCAAAAATAAGCGCTTTTCAGTTAAAATTGGTAAGAACTTTCTTTACAGATCATAAAACGGCGAAAACTTTCTTTACAAAACAAAAAATGGCAAAAACTTTCTTTACAAAACATAAAATGGCAAGAACTTTCTTTCGGAAACAAAAAAGAGCAAAAACTTCCTTTACAAAACATAAAATGGCAAGAACTTTCTTTCGGAAACAAAAAAGAGCAAAAACTTTCTTTACAATTCATAAAATGGCAAGACCTTTCTTTACAAATAACAAAATGATAAAGACTAATCATATCTTTGCTGAACAACTTACCTGCTCAGAAGTCAGTGGTTTTTCCGAAGTTTTGTTGAAATGACCAATCACTGATGACATCATCACCTTCTCCTTGCCACTTTGATCTACTGTCATTTTGCGAGGATACAAGGTATAGGCCAGAGATCCTAAAACATTTTAAAGTTACATTTTTTTATCCTTATTACTCTATTTATTTGTTGAAATTGTATCTTATTTTAGGTTTAAAACTCAATTTTAAGCTACGAAAGTTTTCGTGGTGAGACCCAAAATTTTTTCAAAATCAAAATTCAAATGTAAAATACGTTGAAAAATCATTAAATAAATTTTTAAGAAACTGTAAATTAAGCTATTTGAAGCATTTTCGTTTAGCTTAAAAGTTTTCGTGTTGGGACCTTAAACGTCTTCGAAAATTAACAAGTTTAAGTATAAAAAAACAATTTTTTTATAAAACAACATCAATGAACTCAAAAAGTTTAATTTTATGTTTTTCCATACATTTTTATTCTTTTTGAAAGTTTTCGTGGTAGGACCCAAAGCCATATATGGTTCACACCGCAAAGACAATAAAAGTTGAAAATAGTCAAAAAGATAAAAGAATAGTTCAGAAAAAGTACTAAAAAAGGATATTTTAAGCCTCAAAATATTTTGTCGTTTTTCCAACTTTTCGTGGTAGGACCCAATACCCTATTTAGGTCCCACAGCGAAAACAATGAAAGTTGAATATAAACAAAAAAGTAGAATAATTAAGAAAAAGTAACAAAAGTATATTGGTAAACCTCAAAAAAATTTTTAAATCTATAAAAACCATCAAAACCCACCAAAGTTCTTATCCTCAGCATAGCTGTTCTTATAGTAGGCGTTTTGGCATTGCCTGAGGCATTGTCTTTTCTGTTCTCCGCTTGGATATTCGTCTGGTAAACAAGGAGTACCACAATCTTTGTTCTGAGTATAGGGCCTACAGCCATCCTTGGCTCCCGTTACTATGCCTTCGACTACCCAGTAGGCTAGGGCTTTTAGTGGATCTCCACCATAGCAGTTGCCACAAACCTAAAATTTGATTTTTTGGTTTTGTTACCTAAATTTATGCTTTTCTTACGTGAAGTACAATTCTTGTTAAATTTTGTTACCTAAAATTACGTTTTTAGTTAATTTTGTTACCTAAATTTAGACTTTTATCGGCATTTGCTACCTAAAACTAGAGTTTTACTGGGTTTTGTTACCTAAAATTCATTAACAGCTAGTTTATTTACCTTACAACATCCAAGAACGTCCTCAATCGACAAGCTGCTTTTGAACGTTCCGTTACTGTGAATGCAGGCTCGGTCCGAGGCCACCGTGATCGATGAAGCGGCCTTAAAGTGATGAGATTGGAATTGATAAGGGTGATAATATAAATTTTGAATTCAAAAAAGTATTGTAAAATACGGCGTGGGAATACGTGCATGCAGTACTGGTACTCTTAAGACCAGTATTTCATTTAAGCTTGTCGTACTATATAGTACTAGTAAAAGCTGAATAAATCCGTACTATATAGTACTAGCCACAGCTTAATAAAACCGTACTATATAGTACTATTAAAAACTGAATAAAGCCGTGCTATATAGTACTTGTCAAAACCACTACTATGGTACTTGTCAAAGCGGAATAACTTACAAAGCATGACCCACATCCTCCTTGATTGACAACATTGTGGAGTGTTGGACATAACGGCCACTTTTCTCTGGCATCGAAACGACTGGGCAATTGGGAGGCTGGGAAGGTGTCGATTTCACTAAAAACAAATTTTAAAAATTTTTTATTAAAAAAGTAACAACCTTAACCTTCTACTGTACTTATCCTACGTACTATAACTTTCTACCTTATCCTACTCTACCCAGCTTTACGTTACCCTACTTAGCCTTACCCATCTCTGCCCTACCCCAACGTAATGAACCCTCTTTTACTCTACCCTACCATAGATAGTACAAGCTTAACCTGGAATACCGTCCACATAACATAACCTTTCCCACAGCTTTGTCCTGCTCATAGTTTTACCCTTTAACTATCCATAGCCTTGCCTTCCTCAAAGTCTTGTGATCCCCATAGCCTTCCCTTGTATTAGTCGTGCTCTCCCGATAGCCTTGCCCTACCCATAGGCTTGCCCTCTCCATAACCTTACCCTACTTATAGTCCTGTCCTCTCCATAGCCTTGCTTTACTCATATCATTGCCCTCCCCATAGCCCAGCTCTATCCATAACCTTTCCTTTCTTATAACCCAGCTCTACCCACAGCCTTATCCTACTCACAGCCATGCCCTACACATAGCCTTGTCCTATTCACAGCGTTACCCTCCTTATAGCCTTGCCCTTTCCATGACTTTGCCTAACCCAAAGCCTTGCCATTTCCATAATCTTGTCCTACCCGTAGCCTTGTACTATCCATAACCTTGCTCATATTTATATTTTTTTAGCTATACAAATGCCATTTTCCGATATTAACCACAAAAACTCACGCCAAATGAGCCTTCATCTTATCAGAAGCAAAGAATCCTTCCAATATTTTTACATATTCCTTGACTGCAGTCACATTCTTCAGTGTTTTGTAATTGTAATCCTTGTTTTTCATTCCAAACGGATTGAACTTGGCCTTCCAACGGCTTTTGGGAGAACTATTCACATTATCGACCAGACTCTTCATATAAGTGTGCAAGTCCTTGATCTCCTTCTTTCGAATCTGCTGTCGATAGTAGGTCATGCCACATATGCTTAGGAGGATTATCACTGAAATTATATATAGATATTATATTATACATATATACAGATGAAAAATATATAGATAGTCATAGGTACTGTAACAAAAAGTAGAGCAGGGCAGTGTAGAGTAGGTTTTAGTAAAGCAAGGCAACATAAAGTTTAGCAAAACATGGCAGAGTAGGGTAAAAAAGATCGATGTAGGTATAGAAATAAGGGTAGAAGTAAGGGTAAGACTAGGAACGAGTTCAGTAAGGCGAAGCAAGGTAGGGCATATTGTATTCAAGTAGGGCAGAGTAGTAAAGATATGGTAGACTAGATTTTAGCCAAACGAGGAAGTGTGTAGCAGGATAATAACAGTGGAATAGGTATAGGCTGTTAAGAGTAAAAATAAGGTCAGGGCGGATTTTAGTAAGGCAGAGCAAAGTAGGGCGAGCTTTACCCAGCCAAGGCAAAGTAGAACATTATTTCGTTAGAAAGGGTCGAGTAGAATAGATTTTGATAAGGCAAGGTATATTAGACATCAGTAAATCAGAGCAGGATAAGATAGGTTTTAGTTAGCCAAGGTAGAGTGAGGCACATTTAATTTAGTCAATGCAGTGTAGCTTTTAGTAATTAAAGTAGAGTAGATTTTAGTTAAGCAAAGAAAAATAAATTACGCATAAGGGTTAGTATAAAAATAGTAAAATGCCATTCTTACCCACAACAATGAATATCCCCACTCCAATACAACAATATCGTTTACTGGAGGTCTTCGTGCTCAAATCTGGATGTGAATTCATGTTGATCTCTCGTCCATACGTCGGCCTGTCATTCTCTTTCATACCTAAAACAGTTTTAAAAAATATTTTTTTTAAATTTAAAATAGTAAAAACTTAAAAACTAGTCCAGTCTCAGCCTAGAAATCATAAAATGTTGCAAAAGAGTTGTTAAGAAAACAATTACTCAACCTTTTCTTATCTCTGAAATTACTAAATTAGTCGTCTTTGGCTTGTTTTAGAACAGGTGCTTGCTAGATTGAGTATAATGTTCGTTTATAAAAAATAGCTGATGAAGAAAAGCAAAAACAATGTATTTAAAGAATCAGAGTGATCTATAAGATATAAAAACAGGGACGTCGCTACGGTTTTTCTCTGAGGGGGGGGGGGGGGGGTGAGACCCAAAAAATTTTCTGGTCCACAGGTAAGCTACCTGTGGACCGATTTTTCGAAAATTTTTTTTTTCGTTTTTTCACGTACAGGTACCTGTGAATTTTTTTTCGGATCGGCTCTGGGGGGGGAGGGGAGTCACTCCGATCCCCCCAAACGACGTCCCTGTATAAAATGTATATATAAATAACGTTTTGTGCAATAAATTTGAAAAAAAACCAATAGTCCAATTCTGGGCAATAAGAGGCGAAAAGGATAAGGATATGGGTAAGAGTATGGGTTCAGGTCAGGGTATAGGTAGGGTTTGTGGTAGAGAAAAGTTTGGCATAGAGTAATAATAGTGAGGGTTAAGGACAATGGTAGGAGTAGGGGCAAGGGTAGGGTAGAAATAGAGGTAGAGATTGGAGTAGAAGTGATTGTGGGGTAGCGGTAGATTGTGGTCCCCAGCTAATTTTTGAAAAAAAAACAACTTTTTATCACCCCCCCCTCTAGAACAAAATCACCCGCCCAGCACCGTCCTTGCCCCTGATCATTACTGTAACTCCACTCTTGCCTTAAATGCCCATAATCGAGCCTACCTGCCCTAAATCTACCCTAATGTTTCTTAGCCCTACCCTAACTTTTCACCACCATACCCTACTCTTAACCAAGCCTTACCCTACCCCAACCACACATTAAACCTACACTGTCATACCTTTTTTATAACCTACCCTACGTTTGACTTATCTCTACGCTGCCTTACCCTACTCCACCCTAGCCTACCTATGTAAGCCTCGTCTTAACTCTTCCATATTATACCCTGCCTTACCTTCCCCGCTTTTACTTTGTCCCTACGCTACCCTAGACCCACTTTAACCCTACCCCCCCCTCCTTCGTCTCAAAAAGCAACCCTAATTAATGTTACTTAATACTAATCCCCTGAGGCAGCTCGCTTCTCCTCTGACCGCTCCAAACCGCTTCTTCAGGAAATCGAAGCGTGCGATCCGAATTAAGCCAGTTTCTAGCCAAACCCGATCGAATTTCGGGAACTTTTCGAAACTCAAACCACTGAAAACTAATATCAAATTGAGGGTTAAAGGTAAGCTTTGACTATGAAAGGCTAATTCATATCAAAATTATATTTAGTGGCATTTTACATTTAAAAATAGCCTTAAAACACAAAAAAAATGTTGTTTAGCAATTTTTTAAATCAATTTTCTAATTCTACAGTATGCTTTTTTCTATTCTAAATTTTTTTTCTATTTTACCCCTACTTATCATACTGTAGTGTACTTTATGCCACCCTTACTAATATTCCTTACCCAAGTCTATGGCATGCCCCTACCTTACTTTACACCACAATATGCCGTTACATAATAGCATAGCCTAACCTAAGGCGTACGTTTCTTTAATGTGTTATATACCCTACCGTAGTTTAGGCTGCATCATCCTCTACGGTACACCCTTACTCTATCCTTCCGTATTTCCTTACTCTACCGCACAGTAAGGCCATAACCTACCTTACAATATGCCCTTAATTTATCATACAGTAGATCCATACCTTATGCCACAGAATGCTCTATCCAACCTGATATTACTGAATACCTTAACCTGGAGTATGACTTACAGTATGCTCTTACGCTAATCAAAAGAAAGCCCATACGTTGTCCTACAGTATGCCCTATTCTACCTTACTCATTACTTTACCCTAGATTATAATTTACAGGGTGCGTAAAAAGTGGTGTTACCAAACTTTATAAGTGTGCTCTTACCCTACTCCACAGTAGGGCCATACCCTACTCTACAGTATGTCCCACCGTACCCTAAAATATGCTCTTACCCTATCCCACAGTATGACCATACCATAACCCTTTAATCTGCCCTACCCTCTCCTACTTTCAGTTACCCGATACCCTACCCTAAAGTTTGATTTACCATACTATACAGTAATAAAAAACCCATTACAATCAACAAAAACTTCAAAATACTTAAAAACCCCATAAAAGTGCGATGCTCTACGAACATTGTGACCAGCGTTGCGGAAAGCAGAAGACAAACCCTTCTTCACCTAAATATTTGTCCCCGTAGCCCAGATGCGCTCCTTCCGATTCTGTTTCCTTCGAATCAGAAAACAAACAGAAGCCCATCTCCGACTTAATTAAAACACCCAAAAATAGTACGTGAAACAACAACCAGTACATGCATGTTGATACAAGTTTGTGAAAAGCAACGAATTATAAATATTTATCATATGCATTATTAAAAATGGCAAAAACTTTCTTTACAAAGCAAAAAATAGTCAAAAATTACCACTGAAGTTTGAAAATAGCATTCATCGTATAACTTGTCACCCGCAGGCTGCATAACAAAAAATGTGAGTTTTTTGAATAGGAACGGCAAGAACTTTCTTTACAAGTCAAAAAATGGCAAAAACTTTCTTTACAGACTAGAAAATGATAAAAATATTCGTTAAAAAAGCAAAAATGAAGCTTAGCGTATAACTTGTCACCGCAGACTGCATAACACAAAATGTGAGTTTTTTGAATAGGAACGGCAAGAACTTTCTTTAAGTCAAAAAATGGCAAGAAATTTCTTTACAGACTATAAAATGATAAAAACCTTCGTTACAAAAGCAAAAGACATTTATCGTATAAATTGTCACCCGCAGGCTGCATAACACAAAATGAGCTTTTTTCGGGAAAAATAGCAATAACTTTCTTTACAGGTCATAAAACAACAAGAACTTTGGATGCGCAAGCAAAGAATTCATAGAAGAACTTGTCAACCGCAGGCTGCATAACACAAAATAGAGCTTTTTGAAAAAAATTGCAATAACTTTCTTTACGAGTCACAAAATAGCAATAAGTCTTTAAAAAGCAAAAAAAGAGTAAAAATGGCATTCATTGTGGGACTTGTCAACCGCGGGCTGCAGAACAAAAAACTTGCTTATTTTAAACAGAATTAGCAACAACTTTCTTTACAGCTCATAAAATGGCAAGAACTTTCTTTACAGATCATAAAATAGCAAAAACTTTCTTTACAGTCTAAAAATTGCAAGAACTTTCTTTACAGCTTTTGAAATGTCAACCATTTTGTTGCCGAATGCAAAAATGGCATTCAGCGTATAAATTGTCACCCGCACGCTGCTTAAAATAAAATGTGCTTCTTTTGAGTAGAATCATCAAGAACTTTCTTTACAATACGAAAAACATTTCTTTCAACCGTTAAAAAACAGAAAACCCTTGTAGACTTACCTTCATATTCACCGTCCTCATCATTGTTGTTGTTGACATAACGTCGATTTCGCATGTGTAGTACTGTAAAATTAGGTGAAATTAATTTAATTAACAAAATAGTGTCACAATTCACGTTTTTTACGTCTTAAAATTTAAAAAAAATTAAAAAAATATATAAATTTTAATTAAAATTTAAAAAAACTCAAACTTAAGGTATAAAAAGAGTAATATGCTCAATAAAAAAGTATGAAACAGTTAATAAAAGTATAATAAAACCTTTTTTAAGTGACCGACGTGGTCAAAAAAGAATCTTGTTCCGCGTCTCTCCAATGTTTGCTCGATCTATCTTACTTTAGCCGGCTCTTTTTACACAAATAACGTTTTTCAAACTTCCCGCCAAAATTTGGAAATGATAACCATTACTTTAGGTAACAAAACATTATAAATTTCAAACCATATATCATCTATAACATTACTTATTAATAAATTTTGAATATGATCAGTGTAAGGTCAAGGATAACAACTCTTAGGCCACAAAACGTAAATTACATGCGCTTGAACACTAAAAATATTCTTTATGTAATCTCCAAAACTCATACACACCCTGCTATTACAAAACATCAACTTACCTTTGTCATAAACTTCAAATGCAAATTTATTTATAAACATCAAACAAGGTTAGGGTCCATTACTTCTGAAACCCATTACTGGTCGAAAAGTTAGCTTCAAATTCCAGAGAGACTGCTTAGAAGCTAGCCATGCCTCCTTTTCAACTCTTACCAAAACATAAGATTGGACTTTGCCTGAAAAATTAAAAATTCATTAAAATTTATATTATCCATGCGTCTTGATGTCGGAAAACGTAAAAAATGGTTTAAAAGTCCCTCCAAAACGCAAAAATATAATTATCAAGCTAGCTTAAACTTCTTTTAAACTATTACCAAAAAGTTCAGACTAGCCTTCACTAAAAATTAGAAAAAACAACAAAATTTATATTATCCTTGCCTTTTGAAGTCGGAAAACTTGAAAAATAAACGAAATGTAGCCTAAAACAAGGAAAATTAATGACAAATATAAACTTACATGATTTTTAAATCTATTGTCACTTGAATTTATCATAAAACATATAAAGAAAGTAATTTCCACAAATTCAAGGAACCAAAACAATATTTCTGACTATGAACGCTTGCGGCCGAGGTAGCTGCAGACTGCGTGTTATAAAAATTATAATAATGAGCCATAATATACCAGATGCTTAAATTAGAAGTTCGTTTATGTTTTAATGTTTTTAACTACATTCTGTAGCCACTTTTCATATATCTTATATTAATTTACGTATTAACTTTTTGCATTTTCTTTGACTTTTAATTTTTTACTGATAAGAAGCTACATTAAGTTCATCTTTCGTTTGTTTAATTTAAATACGTGTAAAAAAGATGTTACGTTTTACAAACTTTTGTTTTGCACTATTTTTTACAGTATTGTACTATGTAACTAGTACTGAAGTAGCATCTTATGTGAATAGTACCAAAGTACCGGCTTATGTAAACAGTACTAAAGTACCATTTACAGTAGTCAGAGCTCAATCTGATACTAAAGAAGCTGGCTTTTTAGTTCAAAATCAAAATCTTGATTTTAAAAACGAACCGTATTTTATATCGACTGATAACTACTTGTTGGCTACTATTAACATTGGCACTCCTGGTAGGTTTATGTTTTTACTATATGTAGTAACAAAGGCAATAACAGTATTGTTGAATCAAATATAACAATAAGAAGACCTTTTTAGCCCAAGACTTTCAACTAAAGATCGACATCAACAGTAATGAGTTCTGGGTGGTAAATACAGAATGTAAAAGCTTACAATGTAATGGCTTGAAAGGCTACATGTATCCTTACAGAGAAAAGGTCCATTACAATCAAAGGTTTGTTTAATTATCGTATTTTACAATTGTAAATTTTAAGCTTGGTCTATTTGAAGCTTGATTTGAGATGGAGCTAGATCTAGAGCCGCAGCCAGTGAGTGCTTTGGTTTAGGGCTCTGAACTAGGGCTCTGGACTAGGACTCTGGACTAGGGCTCTGGGCTAGGGCTCTGGACTAGGGCTCCGGGTTAGGGCTCTGGGCTAGGACTATGTATTCAAAAATGGCATTTTTTAGTGATTCATCAACAGCTGAGGCTAAAAATGAAAAGTTTGGTCTTGGATTTGGACAAGGATTTGTGAAGGGTGAACAACTTACTGATACTGTAAAAGTAAGTACAAAATTACAAAGAAAGTACCCAATCTACTTTGCTCAGAATCAGCTCAAAATCTTTTATATTAATTCATAGTACTACCAATAGTACCCGTAAAAAACTTTAGTCCGCCAGTTTGAGTTTTAAAATTTAACTATTTGGCTTTCCCGCCAATTTGGAGAATTTTGGCATTGTGTTTCAAGCACCCGTTTTCGACATCCCAAACAAGCTACACTTACAAATTTAAAAATGTAGATTTATTTAAAAGCAGTTCTACTTGTATATCAAAGAAAAATAGTTAAAAGTCAAAAAATGACAAAATTATAAGCTTGAAACACAATGCCAATTTGGCAGAAATTCAAAACGTAACTTTTTGATTTCAATTTTCTCGAGATTGACTGGAAGCGCGATTTAGTAATTTCTTGGAGGTCTTATATTTACATGGTCTTTTTATGTAAAAAGTTTGAAGCCAATCAGAGAGGGGAAGGTCTGGCACTTTCCTTGTCAGTTTAATTCCGCCTGTAATTTTTTTCAAAAAATTTTTAGATTTAAAGTTTTGTAAAATACGAAGCAGCAGAACGAGGCAGGCGTAGCGTCTTCCTTGTCATTTAATCTTAGGTGCCAACATAAAGAACCCACCATTTTTTACAGAAAATTACAGGCTATGTATGGCGGGTTCTTTATGTCGGCACTTAATAGCTTTTCTTGTCTAATTCATAAGCTCTTAACCTGACTTTTCAAATTTCAGATAGGAGAATGGACCGTGACCGAAAAGTTAAATTTCATTTCAACGTCCGAAATCCAACTCTTTTTCGGTTATCAACCAGCCGATGGCATTTTAGGCCTAGGATTTGAAAAACAAAGCCTAAGCGAGTATAAAACTTGGCGGAATCCAATTGATGACATATTATTAAGTCATGGTCTTGAATATTACTCATTACAACTCAATCAAACCGATGAGAAAGAAATCCAAGGTGAACTACAGTTTGGCAGTCGAGATCATGACATTTGTGAACATACTGAACAATATGCACCTTCAATTGATGCCAACTCATGGAGACTGGCTTTGAATAGAGTTGAGATTGGCGATATTTTGGTTGAGTATAATGGTGAGTTAAATAATTTATCCTTCCCTACTAGATCGTACTGTAATATGCTTTATATTGCTGCGCTTTACTTGACCTTACTGTACTTTACTTTAACTTGTTGTACTTTACTTTACTTTGCAGTACTCTAAATTAACTTATTGGGCTCTAATTTACATTGTTTGACCTTATTGCCTTCTACTTTATATTACATTTATTTAAGCAACCTTATTGGGCTTGACATGCTTTTACAATACTGTACTAGACCTTACTCTACTGCACTTTACCTTACTGTTACTTATTTTACCTTACTGCGCTTAATTTTTCTTTACCGTACTGAACTTTATCTAACTATACTTTGCTTTTCCTTACGGTGCCCTTACTTACCTTATTGTCCTTACTTGATCTTCCTGTACCATAATTTATCATACTGTACTTTACCTTACTTTGCAGTACTTTAAATCCTTTTACTTTAATTTTTTCTTGCTGTGCACTAACTTAACTTTACTGTACTAATTACCTTGCAGTACTCTAAATTAGCTTATTATACTCTACTTTATCTTTCTACACCCTACTATAACTTATTGTACCTTATTTTAGCTTACTGTGACTTGAGTTCTTTTATATTTTGTATTTCAGGTAAAATAGCCCTAGACCCATCCTCAGTATGGATTCAAGCACCATCCAAGATCGTTAATGCTGTATACAATGTGATAAAGCCAATTCACATGTCTTACTATGGTTATGTTGTGATGTGTAATGACATCAAGAACAAACCTTCCATTCACATCAAAGGCAGTGTTGATCTGGAGATCTCTAGTCACAACTACATCTTGGATGTAAGTTTAACTACATATTTTGGAGGCAATTAGTATTATAGTAGACTTGGCAGTTAGTAACTTTAGGCTTAAGTTGCTGGGGTTTATTAGGCTTAGGCTAGGTAACTTTAGCGTTAAGAATTGGGCTTAGTGGAACTAAATTTAGTAAGCTTGGCAGGGTAGGGTAGTTTGATTTGTTATTTTTAGCTTGGCTACGGTGGTGGTTACTGTGCAGTAACATTGATCGCTAATGATGATGGTGGTTTTGGTGGAGCTGACATGATTATTGGAGAGCCATTACTACGGCAATATTGCCAAAGTTTTCATGTTTTCGAAAAGAAAATTGGATTTTCAAAAAATTGGAAACTAAATCAAAATTAACATTTTATAAAATTTTACATTTTTTTTATTTTCGAAGGATTTATTTCCCACGGCTAAGGCTAGAGATTAGGCTAGGGCTCTGGGCTAGGGCTCTGGGCTAGAACTCTGGGCTAGGACTATGGGCTAGGACTCTGGGCTCGGGCTCTGAGCTAGGGCTCTGGGCTAGAGCTCCGGGCTGGGGCTTTAGGCTAGGGCCAGAGTTAGCATAAGAGCAGGGCATATTCCCTGTGACAGGGCACTTTTGAAAATTTTTTGGCTAAACTTAAAAAGGTAAAAATTTCTAAAAATAGGTTTTAAGAAGTGTAAATCCATTTTACGTGGTCATTATTTTGATAACTTTACAGTTTTGAAGATCTGAGTTTGAGGTAAAAACAAAATAAAAAAATGCCCTGTGGAAATGCTCTGCCGACCCTGGCTAGGGCTCTGTGACAGGGCTACTAACCTTTAATAAACAATTTATTTTATTGGGGGAGGGGAGAGTTGGAGAAAAAGGAAGTAAACAAATTTTTTTTTAAAATTGAAAAACGAAAAAAATAAAAAAAAGTTTTTGCTTATTACATAACGCTCTTTTAAAACGTTTCAAATAATATTTTTTATGCAAAAAACGCTTTTTTTGACTAAAACAACATAAAGCCTATGAAACTTTAACAAGTTGGTCGCTTAGCAGTAAACATAAAATACGAAAAACCACGCAAAATTCTTTAAACTGTTTATTTTAATATTTAATTTTACAAAAATTTACAATAATATTATTGAAACTTACAATTATAATAAACCTAATAGCACACGTTTGGAAGATGAATATGTCCGTATAAAGTTGGATACTGAGGTATTTTAGACAGGTTTTGTACAATAAAATAGAATTTGTAACAGAATATGGTAGTAATAGTACTAGCCACACGTATAGAGAAAGTACTACTACAAGGCTTAAAAAGACAGTACTAGTACTAAATTTAAGAGAGGTACTAGTGCTAACATTAGTATACGATTCATAAAGGACCTGGTAGACATGGAGAACGCGCCGGCCCTGGCCTACCACTGGGCCGGGCCGAGCTGGATCTGAGCAAAATTTAGATCGGGCCAGATTTGAAAATCCCAAAAAAGCTCGGCTCGGCCCGAAAAGCCCGGCCCGTTCGCATTTAAAAAATTCGGGCCGGGCTTGGCCTGAGCAAAATTTAGAGCGTGCCGGTCCTAAAAAATGGACTGTTCCCCATGATAATTATTGGTACTACAAATATGTATATCTATCTCGGCAAGGGTCTATGCTAGTTCAGCTCTGATCAGTACTATATACTGCGTTTTTTCCAGCTTTGACAGTGCTATTCAGTAAGCCTTTATTTGGCTTTGACTAGTGCTAAACAGTGCAACGTTATTCAGTTCGAACTAGTACTACATAGCACGGCTTTGAGCACTGACTAGTACTATGCAGTACAGCTTTATTTAACTCTGCGTAGTGCTGTAAGTACGACAACTTTGTATATAATACTGCTCTCAAAAGTACCAGTATTAGGCACAACGTAAAAATACTATTTAAAATTGGTACTAAAGATGTTACGGTCGCAAAAACCACTCCCTAACTACGAACAATAGGAGTACCCATACAGCACAAATAAGTAATACTGGCCACATTCTCCAAATTCAGTAGATCTTCTTGATTGACTAACACAAAGTCGCCAGCCGTCGCTTGTGGATACCCGCTTTGCCAGATTAACTCGTCAGTTATTGTCGTATTGTCCCAGTAAAGAAAGGTGGTACCAGTGGTACGATAAGCTCCTATTGAGCCGAAACCATTGGCATGGACTAAAAATTTTATTTATATGTAACTTGTTTATTTTTTAAACTTAAAATGCTATTTTTAACAAAAAAGCTTCTAAAATGTTATTTGCAACACAATGCCAAAGTTTGCGAGAAAATGAAAATTCAAATTTTGTGCTGCTTTTTGATACTTTTTTAAAAAATTTATTCATTTGTTATTTTAAAATTGCATTTTTCCGCTTAATTGTAGACTAAGATCGAACTTGCAACACAATGCCAAACTTGGCGGGAAAATGAAAATTTAAATTTTATGGCCAAATTTCATACAAGTATCTTTTCTAATATCTTATTAATTTTTCAATAAAATGTTTTTCAGGCTTGATATCTTCTAAAATTCGACTTGCAACACAATGCCAATGTACAAAAATCCAAATTTTAACCTAACTTTTGCTGCCATTTTTACAAGCGCGGCCTAAAAACATCTAAAAAAATTTTATGGTTGTAAAGGCCAACTTACTGCATAAAAACCCAGGTATCAACCAGTTGAACACCTTGACTGGGCTACTATTACTCATATAGTTGGGACAGTCGTTTTCAATCAAACTGGTCACATTTGTATAGGTAACTGATGCTTTTGTGTAGCAGTACCATACGTAGTCAAAGACTGCAATAAAGGCGTTCCAATTGTCACAGGTGTAGCTGGCTGACATTGTAGCTTCTATAACAATATTGAGGTTAATATAAACGTTCAACTACGATTACTATTAGATTGTAAAACTATCTGTGCTCACTTTTAAAACCAAACTTACAAGGTTAAGAGCACAGAATTACTGTAGCAACTTAATTAGGTTTTTATTTATTAAGTTGCTAAAATAACTGTAATCTACTCTTAAAGCAAAATTTCTGGGTTTAGTAGCTCAGGATTATTTGAACAAACTAATATCACCCCTCTTACATACACCTTGCCTAAAAACAAAAATTTTAGATCTGTAGTTCGCAGTTTAATTTTTAAAATTTTGATTTTAAATCTACTTCTACCACCCCAAATGATAAAAATAGTACTCCTCCCTCCTCCCCCCCCCCCTCCGGTCCCAGACACAATTACCGGCCTGGAATTACCAATATTACCATACAATTACAACTGAAGAAAGTATAAACTAAAAAAAAGAACTTACGTGCTCTGTTGAACATGTACATAGTCTTTTTGGAATCGACACTCATACGGTAGTTTCGAAAACGGTCACCCCATAGTAAAGTCGAGTTTTGAGCTGACAACTGAAAAGTGACATTTTGAGATGTAAATAGTAATACACAATCAACTCTACTATGTTTTCTACTCTAGACTACTCCCTTTTGTATCTCGCCCATCTTTCCTATTGTTAAAGAACTTACCGGTCCAGCACAAAAAAAAGCGGTTTGATTCCATGTTATACTGTAAATCGGTGGGCAAATTTGCCCTTGATAAGCTGAAAAGCATAAAATTATGAAAATATCAAGACTTTAGCTAAAATTTGCACAAAAGCTACATGTTTCAATCACGGACATTGTTAATCGGAGGGATGACTAGAAGTAGACCTGTTCCTCCCCCCCCCCTTTCCAACCAATCCAAAAATACCTGTACGTAAAAAACTGAAAAAATTCGAAAAACTGACCAAAAAATTACTTTTACTCATTTTCATTTGGAAAAAATCTGTAGCGACGCTCCTGGGTTCAATTTAAAAAAACTTACTAAAATCAGCAATTGCCAACTCGGCGGACTTTGCGTCCATACAACTCGTACAGCCTTTGGTATATGTTCTTAGATATACCGCAAAGTCTCGAACACCCGTATCTAAATTAACATTGGGACTATTAATTGTTTAAATTATTGATTCTTGTAGGACTAGCCTCATTCGAAATTAGGGCTAGCCTCATGAAAAAAAATCAAGTTAAGATAGTGGGCTGCGATTAAAACTGACTAAAGCTAAGAATAAGACTAAGACCAGGACAAAAAATAACGCTAGGACTAAGCCAAAACGAGTACTTAGGCAAGCATGAGAACTAAGACTGGGGTTAGGACTAAGACTAAAACAAAGTCTAAGGCGAGGACTCAGGGCTAAGGTTCTGGGCTAGGGCTCTAAGCTATGACTTTGACTAACCTTGTTGTGTTTCAGTAGCACCAAGCCAACTCTGAATCCATTGATACCCTACACAAGTGCCGTTCAAGTACCATATTATACAATTTACATCGTCATTGTCACCTAAAGTAGCACATTCGTTTACATCACTGACTTGAATCGTGGCTACAGGTTGATCATAGTCTACTTGGTACTTAATTGGGATTTGGACAAAGTCACACATTACAGTAGCGATTATAACCCAATACAGTAGTCGAACACGCATCTGATATTACTGCAAAATTGGGTTTTAGAGTTTAAATGGTAATGTAGGTATAAGTATTAGTAATATAGTTGTAGTTAATGGTAGTATAACAAAAACTTTAAAAATTAAAAATTTGTAAAATTTTCAAAAACAAAACGTAGACAATTCAACAACAAATATGCTTCGAAAAGACTTTCTTTCCAATGAAAATTCAAAACTTTTTGCCGCAACAATATTTTAAATTTTAATAGCGAACGTCGCTTAGCATTCGGTGACATGCTACCGTACGCTCCGAACCGCCACGCCGGAATTTATTAATTTAAAATTTAAATCAGATGACTATGTACCTTGTTACTTCTCGGTTTAATAGCACATGGTAACATAGTAGTACAAAGTAAAAACTACTCTGTATAATGGATATTGATTTTAGTTACTAAAAGGAGATTTAACCGGAAATTTTGCATTTTTTGGCTCGAGCAAAGCACTTTTTGGCTCGAACGACAATTGGGCCCGGCTTCTCTACAGGCCTACTTGTAAAGGAGACTTAACCTTATGATCATAAGTCAGAGTAACTTTTTTAGTAATATTTGTTTTAACTGTTTCAAACATAGTTTTAAAACTCTATTATATGGTTTTTATCTATCATTTACAGTACTTTAACTATATAAAGCCAAAATAAGTCATTATACTGTTGTTTTTCCTAAAAAAACGTTTCAAGTCAGCCTTATCCCCTCCGTTTTCTCTAGTTTGTTATGCAACTACAACCCCGCGCATAAATCTGAAACAAACGCCAAATTTCTCTGCGCGTTATGATTGCCTGCTTTACCTAGAAGTATGCAGAGCTTTTTATTATATAAACCTTCCCTTTCACTTGGTTATAAGTTGCGTTAGCGTCTGTTATTTCTTGTGAATTTATTGTTCGACCATGGCTTTGAACAATGGTGAAGTAAACGGCCAAGCTAATGTCAATGGTGGCGACGAGAACAGACGAGTACCGTCATGGGCCGGAGCTGTAGCGTACGAGCCAAGTTTGAAGGAGGAAACTAGTGCTTTTGGTAAGTTTTATATAGTTTAAAATGTTTCGTGTAGTATTAGGTTATAGGCTTTGTACAATTAACTATATTAACTCTTTTTTACGCTTTAGTTTTAGCTTAAACTTTAGCTTAAGCGTTATAATTTTCTTTAGTTTTAATAGCTTGGCTTCAACCTTAACCTTAAATTGGCATTAACCTTAATTTTAGCCTTATTTTTGCTTAGTTTGATCCGGTTTATTGTCATATTTTGTCCTAAAAGTAGACGCAACCTTAGACGTAGACTTGACTTTAGGTTTTCTTCGCTTTAGCCTTTGCATTGGCCATAAGTTTGTTTTCAAATTTAGCTTTTAAATTGCCTTAGCTCATCTTTAGACATTTTAGCCTTAGCCCTCCTTTAAGTTTTAATCTTAACATTTGTTTTAGGCATAGTGTGTCTGTAGTATTAAGTTAGCTTTAACTTTTTTTAAAACAACAATTTAAACAAGTTTTTATTTTAGGAAAAGTAGTCGCGTACGACCTGGAAAGGATAGGCGAAGTGGACAAAACATTGTATAAAAGTTTGAAGCTTCAAATTCAGAAGCTACTCGGCGACTCAAAAGCTGGCTTACTTTTACCAAATGAAGAAACTTTTACTGACGACTCCACTATTGTACTAGAGTAAACAATAATTTTACAATAATAAATATTTACTAAAGTAAACAATGTAACTACCTTTTTTCTGTTTTTTAATAACTGTATTTGACTTTTAATAATAACATTACTCACAGGTAGTTTTCGGTGAGTCATTTTGGTGGAGAAACAGAGTTAAAAGTTTTATTTATTGTAGGTTAACAGGGGGGACCAAATTTAACTTTTTAAAATGTTTTTTTTGTGTGGGAGGGGTAAATCAAAAACTGTTCATACATGAGAGAAAACCAAGTTAAACTTGTTAAAAAAGATTGTTAGGAAAAGTTTAATCGTTGGAAAATTTACAACAATAATGTTGTAAACAAACCCTTTATATGTTCCTTGTTGATTGAATCGAAAGAGGTCATGTTTTGCGGTGTAAAACACCCAATATTATTAAAACTAATCGTACTTGCTCACGCAAGTACACATTGTTAAATTCAAACATTGCTTCTTTGGAATAATACTCGCACTTTTAATTCTTATTATTTGATGAAGAATTACAGGTACAAGGTTACAGGTAAAAGTTGCCTTTAGCTTTTTTAGGCTTATAACTTATCGTGTTTTCATTTTAAAGACGTAGTAGAACACACGAGCTCGTTTTCCATATTTTTATATTAAAAAAACACACTATTTAGCTCCAAGTAGTCCATATTATAATAGAAACACTATTTTGTTCTACATGCTTCATATTAACATAGGCTGGCTCCACAGACCCTATCTTAACATAGACACACCTCTTCCCCCCGAACCTTGTTAACCAACGCCGAACACACATGAGCCAGACACAAGTCTTTTTCGAAGCCCGCAGGCTCTGCACACTTTTCCCACCCTCCGGGCCAATTCTCATACCCAGTCGCTTCAATACGGACATGTACACACCGCTGTTGATCCTGAACCCCCCATGTCTTTGCTTTTTTTATTCGATTTCACGCGATTATTTCTAAAAAAAAGGCCCTCGACTACATTGCCTCGAGAGTTTTAAACTCTCTCAATCACTTGATCTTTTGTAAATTTTGTTTTTTTGCAAAAAGCTTGTCGTTCGCCAAACTCGGCGGTTTTTCTTTGAACTTTTTGGAAAAAGTTTTGATAATTTTGTTAATTTTTTATTAGAATTTTAGTGTTATATTGGTAATAGTTTTAATTTTGATTTGATTTAATTAGATTTGGGTGGTTTATACGCTTGTTTTATAGATTTGATTGTATTATAGGCTTGATTTTTAAAAAATGTATGAAGATATAGTCGTTTGGAAAGGTTTTTGAAGCCATTTTTGAAACTTAAAACTTTTTTTGCGAATTTTTAAACCTTTTTGATATTTTTATAATCTGTAAATAAAGTTCTTGCTATTTTATGTTTTGTAAAGAAAGTTCTTGCCATTTTAATAGTTGGAAAAAAAGATCTTGCCATTTTTTGAATTGGAAAGAAAGTTTTTGTCTTGCAAAAGTCTATTAATAGCAATACGACAAACGAATGACTAAATTATCAAAAGTACTTCTAATTATTGCACATTATCTCCAAAGGTAAGGTTTAAAGTATATAATTATCCAAAATGTACTCTTGAGATTGTGTACTTTCAAAACGTTATTATACCTTTATCACGCAAGGTTTCAGCTCGGAAATTGGGTTGGATAGGGTAGGGTAGGGTAGGGTAGGGTAGGGTAGGGTATGGTAGGGTAGGGTAGGGTAGGGTAGGGTAGGGTAGGGGTAGGGTAGGGTAGGGCAGAGTAGGGTAGGGTAGGGTAGGGTAGGGTAGGGTAGGGTAGGGTAGGGTAGGGTAGGGTAGGGTAGGGTAGGGTAGGGTAGGGTAGGGTAGGGTAGGGTAGGGTAGGGTAGGGTAGGGTAGGGTAGGGTAGGGTAGGGTAGGGTAGGGTAGGCTAGGGTAGTGTAGGGTAGGGTAGGGTAGTATCATGTATAATATGTACATAAAAGTGGTTGATTAAAATACATTTTTACTCTTTTGGGTATGTAAAGGACCCTCCAAAAAGCCTTCAATAATTTATGCTCCTTTTTTTGGACTTCTATTAATAACGTCGTTAATGCGAATAGCTAGAAACGGAATTTTCATTTAGCTAATCAGTTACTTTAATTTTTCAAATTTTCGAAGTTTTTTTTAAAAATTACTTTTAAGCTTAGGCTTAATTTTAGTCTAAGCTTTAGCTTAGGCGCGGCTGAGCCTAAACATGAAAATGAGCTTAAGCTTAAGTTTGAGCTTGTGCTTAAACCTGAGTCTGAGCCTTAGCTTCAGAATTAGCATGAGCTTGAGCCTGAGCCTGAGCCTGAGTTTGAGGTTGAGCTTGAGCCTTAGAATAGCCGTAGCCTTAGCTTTAGACAGCTTTATCATGAGCTTCTGCTTGAGCCTGAGCTTAAGCCTGAGCCTTACCAGAGGCTTGAGCTTGTGCTTAACTTTGAATCTGAACCTAAGCCTGAGATAGGGTTAAGTTAGCTTTAGTTTTAAGCTAACCTTGTCATGAGATCTCTGTGCCTGAGCTTCAACCAGAGCCTTTGTCTGTGTCTTTAGCTTTAGCCTTAATTTTGGTCTTCCTTAGTCTACTCAAGCCTTATGCAACTATTATAATTGTAGTCTTGCCCCAACGTGCCTTAACCTCAGCCCTAGACATAGTTTTATCTTGAGCTTAAGTCGGTCTTACTTTGTTAAGGGTAAGCATATGCTTTAGATACGGTATTTCTAAGCTTAAATTAAATTTTTTTTACATTTTTAAAAATATTTTTGAAAACTTTAAAAACGAATCAAAATTGAGACAAATTATTGATTTTGCGTGGGATAGGTCGCTCGTTTAATGCCTTTGAGACGTTTTTATTGTCGGTGCATTATCGCCGATTGATAATGCGTTGAGAAGACGGGTATTTGAATATTTTTTGTGTTTCAATCGATCAATAAAACGTTCTTGTGACCTTAGGGAATCTTGTCTTTTTAATAGGAAATTTTAAGTTTTTTGGTAAGAACTTTGTTTACAAGGAAAAAAATGGCAAGAACTTTCTTTACGGTAAATGAAATGGTAAATACTTTCTTTACAGAGCTTAAAATAGCAAAAACTTTCTTTACAGAGCGTAAAATGGCAAGAACTTTCTTTACAAGGCTAAAAATGGCAAAAACTTTCTTTACGGTAAATGAAATAGCAAAAGATTTTTTTTACAGAACTTATAATGGCAAAAACTTTCTTTACATAGCGTAAAATGGCAAGAACTTTCTTTACAAAGTAAAAAGTGGCAAGAACTTCCTTTACAAAGTTTATAACGGCAAGAACTTGCTTTAAAGTAAATGAAATAGCAAAAACTTTCTTTACAGAACTTAAAATGGCGAGAATTTTCTTTACAAAGTAAAAAATGGCAAAAACTTTCTTTTCAAATACGCTCGAAGCTATAACAATTTCTAATCTCCAGATAGTACTAAGTTGATTGTAAACTGACGTTTACTTTAATATTTTAAACAAAACAGTAATGTTGGGGTTTAAAATCTACGCATATTGTTATGCCATTGTAAGCCGCTTCTACACGGTTGTAAATATTTAGATTTTTGTCGGTTTTTAATTCATTTATAGATGTTTGGTAAACATCTCATGTTACAATAGGATTTTGTGGTATTTTGGAACTGGCATTATGTCAGGTGGTCAGAAGTGTTGAATCGTACAGTAATCTTAAAGGCCTTAAAAGATATTTTTAACTATCTCTAGTTCATGGCCCTAGCCCAGAGCCCTAGTCCAGAGCCCTAGCCCAGAGCCCTAGCCCAGAGCCCTAGCCAAAGCCTGAGACAAGAGCCCTAGCCCAGAGCCCTAGCTTATAACTCTAGCCTAGGTCAGCTGTTCTAGTCCTAGCTCCATCGCTAGTCCCTGCCCTATTTCTAGCTCTAGCTTTAGCGTTAGGCTTAGCCATCGTCCTAACTAGTCTATAGGAACTTTTTCAAAAATTTGTTGGCCATATAAAATTCGAGATTTTTTATTGCCACTTAGCCAAAGACCTCAATTATGACGCATTTTTAAGTATCACCACATAGCCGGAAGATAATCCGCTGACACGTTATACATCGTTAAGAAGTCAACTGGCCGAGTTCTTGACACTAATTTCGTTGGCTGTGAATTCATTTTCCGTGCGTTTTTTTTTCAACAAATCTTATATTATAGATTTGTATTGTTAGTACATAACTACATTATAATGTATAACATTTACGAAGTATTTGACAAGCCCGTATTTTACATAACAAAGCTTTATAAGAGCTTTATAAGCAAAATCAGAAGAGGGAGGTAGGCATGGTTAGTAGGTCGACAATACGTTTTAGCCGGATATAAGGAACGATTAATGCGGGACAGCGGTAAGGGTAGGGCAGGGCTTGGGTAGAATGGAATAAGACTTACGCTAAGACAACCTTTCAGATGCTTCAGGCTCACCCCAGTCTCAGGTTTAAGCGCAGGTTCAAGCTTTGTTTCAGGCTTAAGCTCATGTTCTAAGAGCTAAACATCAGGCTCACGCTCAAGCTCAGGCTCAGGCGTAAGCGCATGTTTAAGCTAAGGCTTAGGTTTAGGCTCAGGCTTAGGCTCAGGCTGAAGCTCAAGCTTAAGCTCAAGCTCAAGCTCAAGCTCAAGCTCAAGCTCAAGTTCAATCTCAAGCTCAGGCTCAGCCTTAAGCTTAAGTTCAATCTCAAGTTTAGGCTCAGCCTTAAGCTCAGGCTTAGTCTTATCAGACTTAATCTCACACTCGAGATCAAGCTCTGGCTCAGGGGTTCAAGCTTAGGTTCAAGCCCAAGCTCAGCAGATTAGAAACTCTGAGACTTAAGAACTTAAGGGCTTAACCTCAGGTTCAAGTTTAGGGTCAGGCTTAGGCTTAGGAGCTTCAATTTGTATTGGAACGTGATATTGAGTTTGAACTAGAGCTAGGGCTAGGATTAATGCGAAGGCGAAGAGGAAGTCTGGGGATAGAACTAAGATTGCTTGCACTTAAACTTTTCAATTACACCTTGTGCTTTAGACCAATTTAGACCT